AAAAAAAAAAAAAAAAAAGGAGAGAAAAACATACCAAACCCATGGACTCGCCGAGAAGATACACGATGGGCTGATCGGCGATGCTGCCTGGGTTGGTGAGGAAGAAGAAGCCCAGTGTGATATGGAAAAAGCAGAGGGAGGTGAGGATGGTTTTGGTCGAGATGAGCGCCATGGTGTCGGTCTTGTGGTTCGATCGTGGTGCGAATCGTTTGTGGTTTGGTTATGGAGTTGGGACAGTCGGGGTGCAGTTGTCAAAGGAGCATCATGAGAGCATGGGCCAAAGGGCTTGATGGTAACACCAAAAGCCGCGTGTATTTCCGAGATACACCGGATTGCTAATGGGCGACGGTGTTGCGAAGGGGGGCCTATGGGCGCACGGCGCTGCTTTTCTATTTTCTTGTCCTCCGATTTCGTTCGTTTTCTTGGGCTGTAGAAAACAAATGCGGGTCAAAAGCTGTCCCCGTAATATCACAGCTAAACCAGAGGCCGGGGACGATCCATAGACAAGCTGTCGGATGTTTGTCGTTTGGGAAGGTTTGAAGAAGCGTCAGGCGACGACCGGACGAGTTCACATGCATGGTCCGCCACGTCTGGGGTAGCCTCTCTTGGCGCTGGCTGGGCAGGGGTCCTGTGGCTGAAGCTGCCCCTGTCCACTTGGGTCAGGTGGGTCTCGGTCGGAGGACCACATCGTACGCATCTCATGGCGGGGTGCTTATTCTGCCTGTAGGACTCATGGCTCAGCTTTCCAGTTTTTACGGACTACATCGTAGTGAAATCAGATTGTAAAAGAGGAGAATTAGCTGTTTGGTTTTGAAGGGCATCAGTCAACTTCGAAATTTAGAAAACCTTCCACTGTTTTATTCTGAGGGTTATGACAAGAATAATCATTGGAGGCGTGAAGGTCGGTTCTAGGACTTTCATCTTCGATCTCCCGCTCACATCTTGATTACAACTCTTAACCTCCAACTTCCCACTTCCGGCCTCTGGCCTCTGGCCCAACACACATCAAAATTTTAACCACCACCATCCCTGCACATCATGGCCGACGCAAATCATGCCGAGCCCACGCTCGACATCAACCGGCACCTCAAATATTGGAAAATGTGCCTCCAAGCGCCCTTGCCTAATCACTACCTCTCCAACGAAGGTGTGCGGATGACCCTGGCCTACTTTATTGTCAACTCTATTCGTATCCTGGAGTGGGGGGCTGAGGAGGATACTCCGATCCCATCATCTGTGGGAAGACAAGAAGGCGGACAGGAGGACCAGGCAGGAAAAGGCTCGGCGAACCTTGGAACCCCTCTCATCCACCCAAAAGACCACGCCCGCCTCCGCGCTTGGGTTCTTTCACATCAACAACCCAGTGGCGGGTTCGCGCCGTCATCCACGCTTCTCTACCCCCCCACTCCCCTCACTTCTTCGGGAAACGGTTCACAACGAGACCAGCCAGAAGAAGAAAAGCCCACCGTAGCCAACCTCCCGGCTACTCTCTTCTCTCTTCAGCTTCTGGCCCTACTCGCAGATGACGGTGAAGAGGGAGAACGGGGTGCTTTTGATGGGGTTGATAGGGCGCAGATATTGCGGTGGATGAAGCGACTGCAGCGCGCAGACGGGAGTTTTGGGGAAGTGGGGAGGGAGATGCCGGGTAAGGGGTGGTTTATTGGCGGTGGGTATGATATGCGGTACTGCTATATTGCGGCGTCGATACGGTGGATGTTGAGGGGGGACTTGCGGGAGGGAGAGGAGGGTTGGGTGGAGGATTTTGATACGGGGGCGTTGGAAAGGTATATTCTTGGAAGTCAGGTGTGTTTAATCTATCTCTATTTGGTGTCATGTTTCATGTTTTGGGTCGTCTAACCAGTTTAGACCTACGACGGTGGATTTGCCGGAAGCTCAAAAGAAGAACCTCACGGTATGTGTTTCCTTCTCCCCTAAACTTCATGTCACTCAGATACTAATAATCCCCCCCCCCCCAGCCGGTTACGCCTATTGCGCGGTCGCCGCGCTCTCTCTCCTTCACCGACCCCTAACCAACAGCACCGCCTCCCTCACGAGCAACATCCTCCAATCCAGCATTCGCGACACCCCCAAACTCCTCCACTGGCTCGCCTCCCGCCAGTTCGTCTACCTCGAGCCACCCCAAAACGACACCAACTCCGACTACGAAGACGAAGACAACTTCCTTCTCCCCGCCCGCCCCTCAGACCTCACCTCCATCACCTCCCCATCTTCCCCCATCCCGCTACACGTCGCCTCCAACGGCCGCTGCAACAAAGTCGCCGACACCTGCTACACCTGGTGGGTGGCCGCGGCCCTCTCCGTTCTTGGACACAGCGACCTCATCGATTGGCCGGCCTCGCGGCGGTTCTTGTTGGATCGGATGGCGCACCGTATTGGTGGGTTTAGTAAACACCCTGGTGGTCCGCCGGATGTGTATCATGGGTGTTTTGGGCTGGCGGCGCTGGCGGTGATGGGGGAGGAGGGGCTGGCGAGGGTGGATTGTGCGCTGGCGTTGCCGGTGAGGACTGTGGGGGTTGTTGAGAAGGCGAGGGAGGAGTTGGTGAGGAAGGCTGTGGGGGATGGGAAACGTGAAGAGGGGGGGTTGAAGGAGGTGGGGTTTGTTGATACGGGGCTGGCATTGAGGGGGAACGGCCGGGCTGGTTGAGTGAGAAAGGGGTAATGGCTCGAATTAATTGCCCGATCAAGTCACATGATTCTCTATGAAGGCGGAATGATGGCAGATACTAAACACAACCTCCACAAAACAGCAGCCTCACGCCCCCACGGCGTGCTTGATCAGCCTCTTGTAACCCTCCACGGCTTCCTCCAGATCTTGGATGGTTAGCCCTTCGTTGTCGCCGTGCGCCACCAGAATAGTACCCGGCCCGTAGAGGTAGTTTGTATGCTCGCCTTCCAGATTGGGCACATCCGTTCCGTAGTTGGCCACCATGGTGCCAAAACCTAACGTTCATTGTTAGCACAGTCATTCATCCATCCATCTACCCATCCATCCACGTAGTCATTTGATCCCTTCCGCAAGAGAAAAGGAGAAAAGAAAAAAAAAAGAAAAAAAAAGAAAAAAAAAGAAAAAAAAAAGAAAGACGGTACTCACCCTCGACATCACACTCACACTCCACAGGCCCATACCCATGCCCAACCACCAACTCCAACCCCCCATCATCCTCCTTACCCTTCCCCACCCCCTCCTCCTCCAAAACCTCCCTCACCACCCTCTTCATCTCCCCCTCCAAAATCCCCCTCCCACTCTTCCTCCCCCCCACCGCAATCCTCACCGCCATCCTCGCCCACGCCTCCTTGGCAATCACATTCGCCGCCACCCCGCCCTGCACCACCCCGACATTCACCGTCGTGTTGCCATACCGTTCGCTGCTTCCCAAATCGGCTTGTAGCAACCGGTCGAGGGCGCGAACCAGCAATGCGGTCGCGGAGCGGCCCAGCCAGGGGTAGCCCGAGTGGCCTGCTTTACCGGTTGCTGTGAGAAGGGCCGAGGCGATGCCCTTGTGCCCGCAGGCGAGGAGGTTGGTGGTGGGTTCGCCGAAGATGGCGGCGTGCAGGCGGGGTGGGGTGTTACTCAATGAGGAAGAAGTGGTTTGGTTGGCGAGAAAAGACGAGAAAAACTTCATGCCGTCGCCGGAGATCTCCTCGCCCACGACGTAGAGTAGCACCACGCTTGCTGGGTCCAGCTCTCCATTCTCGAGCAACTCTTTCGTCGCGGTGATCTGGGCTGCTACCGAGCCCTTGGCGTCCACGGACCCACGCCCCGAGATCAGCGTGTCGGAGGATAAGGAGGTGAAGTCGAGCGGTTCGGATGGCGGTACAGGGGAGCCGTTGATGGCGTAGGGCAAAAAGGGCGGGACGACATCGATGTGGGAGGTGATGAGGGTGCGGTTGTGGAACGTCGGGGTAGCATGGCGGCCGGGCCAGGCGAGGACGTTGTAACGGTACTGGGGCGACTCGTCGTCGTCGTCGTTGTCGTCGTCGTTGTCATCGTCGTGAATGCGGGCTGCTGGGGGGACACGTTGGAGCTGGACGGTGAAGTCGAGGTCGATGAGGAGCTTTTTTAGGTCGAGGGCAACTTGGCCTTCGGTGCCGCTGATGGAGGGGGTGTTGACTAGTGTTCGGTGCAGGGAAAGAAGAGGCACGCGGTAGGAAGGGATATCATTCTCGGTCACGGTGTTGGAGGTCTCCGGGTTGGAAAGCAGTGGTTGTTGTTGTTGCTGTTGTTCGATAATTGGAAGCAACGCAGACGCGAGAGGTGCCAAGGCGCTGAGAGTCAGCGCGGTTCGGGTGTTGAATTTCATGCTCGCTGGTCCGCTGGTCAATTGCCGGCAGAATTGATAACTGAACGCTCAATGAAAGGTCGGTGAGGTTGTGAAGGGAAAAACTTCCAGCGGGCCGATGAGATCATCCAGCATTTCACAGCTGAACATAACCCCGGCAACGAGACGCCAAGCCCGCTATCCATCTCGGCCCGAGCCGGCACTACGAGGTATGTACGCCGCGTCCCGGTGCTTCGGCATGGACAGTGGTCAACGCCAAACATCAAAACATTAGTTAACAGACAAGTCACTTCAAGCGTTTGCATCAGCGGCAGCGGCCGTCAAGAAAATTATCCAAAATTTATCCCCGGCTTGGCTACCACCGCCACCTCTCAGGGAGCACCTGGCTAAAGTCAAACTGCCCGTTCGCTCCCTTAACAACAGTCCCCCTTTCAGTCACAATAGCATCGATGAGCGCGTTCGGCGTGACATCAAATGCCGGATTCCAGACACCAATCCGCTGGTCCGCAATGGCCACCCGCGCAGTCTGAGTGGTATCGACCTTGCCGTCCGGCCCAACGACAGCACCCGAGATCTGGGTCAGCTCCTCGGGCTTGCGCTCCTCAATCTTGATCCCCTCGCCGCTCTCGGTGTCGAGGTCGATGCTAGTGGTCGGCGCAGCCACGACAAACTTGACGCCGTGATGGCGGGCTAGCACGGCCAACGCATAGGTGCCGATCTTGTTGGCAGTATCGCCGTTGCGCACTACGCGGTCAGCGCCTACAATGACGGCGCCAATGTTCATCCGCTCTCGGTGCAGCGCGAACAACGCGGCTGCCATGCTGTCGGTGATGAGGGTCGATGGGATGCCCTCGAAGACCAGCTCGAATGAGGTCAGCCGGCTGCCCTGGTTGTACGGCCGCGTCTCGGTGCAGTAGGCGTGCTTCAGCAACTTGGTCTCATGCAAGCTACGGATAATGCCCAGGGCGGTGCCGTGACCAGATGTGGCTAAGGAGCCCGTGTTGCAGTGGGTGAGCACGGAGAGTGGGCGGTCCGCGCTGGCGTTGTACTGCTGCTGCAGCCAGGTCGCTCCGAACGAGCCGATGGACTTGTTGTTCTCGAGATCTTTAGCCAAGATGTTCTCGGCGGCTTCGATGTACGAGTTTAGAATGGCCTCTTTGGCCTCGGGGTGGGCAAGCCCTTCAAGCTTGGCGGCACGCGCAGCCAGCTTGAGCAGCGTGATGGCGTTGGAAAGATCGACGGCAGTCGGACGGCTCTCCTTCAGGTAGTCAAGACGGCCCTCGATGTAGGCTATTGTTTCCTCAGGGGTCGTGGCAGCTGGGGATATTAGTTAGGGTGTCGCTATCCAACTGCAGGTCAGGTCTAATCACTCACTGCAGTCCCCATTGTGAAGCTCGACCGCATGAGCAAGCGCTGCAACGATGGCAATGGCGGGCGCGCCTACGATGTGCCTGATCAGTATCCAGAGCGCTACTTTTTGATCATTCCGAACCCACCCCGGACTCTCATCGACCGGATGCAGTCAAAGGCCTGCTCGGCAGTCGAGACTTCGTCATAGTGGTGTTCGTGCGGCAGCCTCAGTTGGTCGAGCACTAACAACTTGCCCCGCGAATACTTGATTGCTTGGAGAGTGGCCATCGCGGGATGTACTCGTTTCGTACGTCTTTAAAAGTAAAGGATTTGGGCGCAGTGACAGCTCGTAAATATTGTCAAGAAATTCTTTTTAGGATCAGGAGCCAGATATGGCGAATGAATAGATTTCCTGCGAGTATTTGTAATGCTAAAATTGTCTCTTCGTCTCCGAGGTGAGAGAGATCGCGACATCGCTCTCGCTTCAACTGCCCCTCCACGGCAACTTTTTAGTGGGTCCAAAATCCCTCGGTGCTGCCATTCAGGGGCCGGATAACCCCACGTTGCCCCTGTGGCTTGAGCCGCTGGCGGGCGTATTCAGGGAATGGAGGTTGTTCCCGAGCTCCCCAAACGCCCAGGCGCCAAGCCGAATGGAGCAAGCTGCAAGGTCCGGGCAACCCTGCGGTGGGGCTCGGGCGGTGAGAGAGCTCCCCCAAAGCAGCCCGTACATGAACTGTGACTTCTCGGGCTGCCACCTGCATCTGCCGTGTGCCGTCTCCAGTTCGAGTAAAGCAACGTCCCACTTTCTCGCCTTCCATCACGTAGCTTGACAGCCCCAATACGGGTCATGCCATAGACCGGACCAGCGCTGTCCAGCATGGAACAGCCGTTTTCGACATCAAAGGTGACAGGTGAGCGCTCTCCCACGCCGACTCTTTCCCTCAGACACCCCCGAACTAACAGCCGCCTCCCTCGTCTATAGTCGAGTACTCCGACCCCTACGATGTCTACAAGCTTCTTGCGCCGGGCCTGATTCCCCGGCTACCCCTGCGCGACCTGAACTGGCAATCGCATGCTGGCCCGCTGCGATCTATCAGTACCCTCCACGCCGAACTCGTTCCCGCTGGTGTCGACTACTCGGCCATCTTCACGCCGCTGTCCTCTCCCAATCCCAAGACACCCGGCCCCACCGAAACCGCAACGCCGTCCAGGAGCGAGGATGGGTTCCAGACAGCAACGGTTGGGGGCGGAGGGGGTGCTTCGGTAGCAGAGCAGCAAGGCGACTCGGCAACGGGCACGCTCCGCCCGCCTCCAGGGGCAGGAGGTGCGGCCAAGGAAAGGAGACACCAAATTCCCGGCCTGCGCAGAACGCCGTACCTCAAAGTGCTGCTCGTTAGATGTGACGATAATGACACGTACAAGTCAACCACCCGAGCTGAAATACGCGAATGGATCAAGGCCAACACCGCCGGTTCTCAGGGCAAACTGGGGAGCAATGCCGAGAACCACGATGCTTTCGAGTGGCTCCTCGTCCACGTTGTCCTGCCCAACTCCACAGCGTCCACCCAACCTCGCGTGTCCGGCAAGGCCCCCGATTCCACCTCTGACACCACCAAGACCGCTTCTCGTTGGCGCGGAGGGTCGAGCACCCTGCTGGAGAAGTTGCGTGCTGACTTCAACGGTTCCGGAAAGGGAGGTGTTGACAGAGTGAGGCAGATCCGTATCGGCATCAACGACGTGCCGTATAATATGCTTCCGCGCGTTGTGCCGGCTGTGCCTACGGGATACACGGAAAACGAGCAGGACGCGGACAATGCTTGGGCAGACTTGATCGCCAAGTTCAAAGAGTTGATCTTGGCAAGCTTTGATAGGCGAGTCGGCCAGTACGAGGAGGATATCAAGGAGAGAGATGCCCAGCGAAGTCTCCCCGGTTGGAACTTTTGCACGTTTTTCATCCTCAAGGAAGGACTAGCACGGGGATTCGAGAGTGTGGGTCTTGTCGAGGACGCCCTCGTCGTGTATGACGAGCTGAGTGTGGGCTTGGATAATATTATTGAGGAGCAAGCCGCTGCGGGGTCTGTCGAGGCGCATGGGGGTGCGCTCTTAGGCTACACTGAGGACCTGAAGGAGGTTGCGCAAAAGGCGGTAGCCGAAATTTCTGGTGGTCATCTTGAGTTTGACGAGGGCGAGGCTGAAGCCGAAGGGGAAGCCGAGGCCGTGGACCTTCAGGCGGGGGAAAAGAAACGGATCGAGAACGACAGCATCCCCATCAGCTCGTCCAAAAAGCCTTACCGCGATCTCATCTTGGCCAACAACGTGTCACTGCTTGATTTCCGGTGCTACATCTTCTCGCGCCAAATAGCGCTTCTCCTCCGGTTAGCGAATGCCTGGTCGTCACGCGAGGAGCTGCTAGCGAAGCTCAAAGAACAGCAAGAGCTAGTCCCGAAAGGAGTCGCTCCCCGGGCGCCGGCGCCCAAAGTCACTGAGGAGTCGGAAAACTTGCTGCATCTCGCCGAGATCTGCAAGCGGACTCTCGAATTTGTACCCGCCGTGACGGCTGTCATGAGGACGGATATCGTGGCCGCCATGACAGCCGTAGCCAAAGCCGAAGGACGCGAAGTAGACGGCTACATCTCTCCCGACCCACAACTGTCTGAGGTTATCGACAACCTCGTTGCCTCATTCGCCTTCTCGGTCGCTCAACAGATCCTGGCCCAAACGTCCACCAAGGCCCTTCCGATACCGCCATCCACGTTGGGCGCGCCAGAGACAACCGAACAAAAAGTCTCGATTCCCGAGCCAAAAACCATGATGCACCCGGCGCGAAGCTCCTCGCTCATCTCGCCGAGCCCCCAAGCCCCCCCGCACAGTCCTGTTGGGTTTCCTGGCCCGGGGAGTCTTGATGACTCGTTGGCGCCGCCGTATTTGAAATCAGGGCTCGAGGACCTCGCTGCGCAACGGGCTGGGCTGTGCGCGTTGTCAAGAAATATCCTCGAGGAGTGCGGCAAGAAGAGGGGCTGGACGGATGGGTGGGCTTCGGTGCCGACGATTAGTGAACCGGATGTGGCCGGGATGGAAGATGTTAGTTTGGATGATGATGACGACGGTGGTGACGAAGAGGACGATGATGAAGACGATGATGATGATGACGAGGAGGAGGAGGAGGAGGATGGGGAGGAGGATGGGGAGGAGGCGGTTGAGGGTAAGAAAGAAACCAAAGGAGAGAAGCCCAAGAAGCTCCAGACCTCGGTCGCCGGAGTTGACAACAATCTCCTTCGAACTGCCCTCGCGAACAAGGATGACTTTTACCGCCTCTACGAAACTCTGATCGACAAGGCCCTGCGACACTACACCGTGGCAAACCACACACATTCTGTTCAAGCCAACCTGGCGGACTTGGCCGTGTTAAAGTTCCATCTCGGCGAGTTTAACGAGGCGGCCTTTTACTTTTACCGCGTCATTCCCTTTTACGGTGCGAGCGGTTGGAGCCTGCTGGAACTCTCGATGCTCATCATGTATGCACGGTCCCTGAAGCAGCTCAAGAGGATGGACGACTATGTGAACAATGCGCTTAGGCAGCTCTTGTCGAAGGCGGCCGCGGCTGAGCAGGATCGTAAGCAGCAACAGTCAAAGTTTCGACTAGGTCTAGCGTCACCATCGCCATACCCCGAGAAGTCGGCCATATCCGGATATCTCAAAGACTTGCTGGATGTTGCGGCGTCGTTGGACAAGGATGTCAGAATCCCACTGTCGAATCTCTTCTGCGATTTGGGGTTAGACGGACGGCCGTCCTACGACGAGGGGCAGGACAGCTTTTCTCTGTTCTTGGATCTGCACAGCTTGCTGGTGGATGAGTTTGAGGCGACATCTGTCAGCTTGCGCATCTCGAATCCGGCCACGGGCAGCAGGGAGATTTGGCTACAGAGGACAAAACCGGTCACCATTCGGCCGGGGTCCAACAAGGTTAGGGTGCAGAGCAACACCATGGTGGAGGGGGCGTTCGAGGTCGATCAAGTCCGGTTAGTGAGTAACCGGGTGGTGCTACACTACGAGCGGGATGGGTACGCAGCTAAGGAAAAACCTGTTCCGTTCAAAAATCCCAAGGTACATCTGTACCAGCGCTCAAGCTGTCTAGACGTGCAACTCCTGGCTGCGAAGGACCTCCAGCTGGACAAGAAAAAATCGCTGGATCTCAAGATCTCGGCCGGTTGGAACAAGATCACCGCCTTCGAGGTGAAGATTAAAGCGGCTACGGGCGGTCTGAGGCTAGTCACGAGTGAGGCCGAGGTGATTGGGTCTCCCCAACCTACACAATCGCAAGGGGGCGCGTTTACGTTTGGCGGGATGGAGGCGGGCAGCACCGTCAGTATCAGGATTCCGTTCACAATGGAAAACGACGGTCTCGATGTCGCGATCCGAACCGAAGTCACGTACACAACGGACAAGGGCGAGTTTGCTTTCTTCAAAGCGTCGTCGATCCCCGTGGCTCTCGCCCTGGAAGTGAATGTTCAGGACATTTTCAAACACGAGGCACTCTTCTCACGGTTCGCCGTATCAACGGCCAGCGACAGCCCTCTGCGGCTACTCAAGAGCGAGCTCCTCGGCTCCGACATCTTCGACGCCCACTTCGGCCAGCCCTCGAACCACCCGGTGTTGGTTTTCCCGAAACAACCGGCCAGTCTTCTCTACAAGATCACGCGCAAGCCCGGGTCTAAGCTTGGACCCAAGGTTAACAAGATGTTGTACCTCAAGCTCTACTACAGCGTGATCCAGGACGAGATTGAGCAGCTCTTCAAGGAGGCTTTGAGCTCCGCCCTGGCGTCAACGCCGCTCAAAGAATTCGCCAAGGTCCTCGTGGCGCATGTTCTTCGCATCGTCCGCAGCGACATCTCGGCGTACGATCTCGAGATGGCCACTCTGCTCGGTGAACTTCCCACGGCGTTCCTCTCAGCTACCAACTGGGAAACCCACCTTGGCAGTTTTGGATCATCTGGCTCTGGCTCTGGTTCTAGCCTAGCCGCCTTCCTCCGTGCCTGGGTACGATCCCACCCGACCCTCCCGCTTCCCCATCCGGCGGCGGACCAAATTGCTTCGGCACATACTATCCTGATCCCGGTTGATATTCCCTCCATCTCGGTGGTGCACACCGCCGATATCAAGCTGCAACGGCCGCTTCCCACCGTCACCTCACCCGACGGTGGCGCACCTAACGACGACGGGACAACCCCGACGTTCCTCGTCAACCAGCTTCTACCGGCGACGTTGCATCTCCGCTGGACGCGGATCTGGGATACCGCAGACGATACCGCTATCTCTTCGCAAAATGTCTCAACAGCGGCTACTTCACCAGGAGCAGCGGCCAATGGCACCTCGGTGCGCGACCGCGACCTAGAGTTCGGATACGAAATCGTCGCACCGTCGGATACCTGGCTTGTGGGCGGGCGAAGGCGGGGGCATTTCGTGATTCCTGCTGTGTCGACTTCTTTGCCGTCTTCTTCCTCCCCTTCTGCTGTTGCGGCGTCTGTAGGGGGTGAGCTGGAAGTGGGAATGAGCTCGACGGTTGAAACGGAAGCTGAGATCCCCGTGATGTTGATCCCCCTGCGCGAGGGTTACCTACCCTTTCCCGGGGTGGAGATTCGGGAAGTAACGGGGGATGAACGGGAGGGTGTTGATAGTGTTAGGAGCCCGATCGGTCCGGGCGAGGGTGGTGGGGGGAATGCTGGGGTTGGTGTGTATGGGCAGTGTGAGACGGATTTTAGGAATGTGGGGGAGACGGTGTGTGTCGTGGCGGATCGGGGGAAGGTGACGGTTAGTCTGGATGCGAGTGGTGCGTCGGGGGGGCCGTTGGTGTTGGAGTCTGAGGGGTGGAATACCGGTGATGGGAGGATTGTTGTTTAGGGCTTTTGGGGGGATATTTATATGGAATAGTAGTGAACATGTTGTTGAAACAAAAGGCGATGAAGCCCATCTCATTTACCGTCCAAATCAATAAGGCTTAGTAGCGGGAGTATGAGTATTCGTCTTAACCTCTCCTACTACTTCGTAACGTGATTCCATGAGCCCGCCCATCTTGGCCATGTTCATTGCACTACCCAATCAACCAATATCAACAAAACTCGTCTCCACTCCGCCCCCGGCCCCGGGATCAAAAAGCCAAGTCTGCCAAGGCCGGAGCCGGATCCGGGATGCTTCGGCGGGATCGGCGATGAAAGGGCCGCAAAATATGACGTCATCTTCAATTTTTCCCCATTTGGCGGAACCCTGCGGATGCGACGGCGCAAAAGGGCGGACGGGGAAAGGCTTTAGGTTCAGCTGAGGGAGGAGGGAACTGAACTATGTGGTAAAAGAAACTGAAATTGCGACGCGCAGGAAAAAATCATGCAATGCGGTCCACCACAGTCCTGTTGCACAAAAAACTCGGCGAAGCTCGGGTCCACGACCCTCCAAGCAATGGGAATGAATGAAATGTTGGTTGGTGTGTGTCCAAAACGAGGATCGTGACATTGCATTTGCGGCGGGCGCCAAACATGTCTGAGAACGGCGCGCACGTTGGTTGCAGCGCCTCTCGGGGGCCATGCCACAATGCCACAAAAAAAAAGACGAGCGAAGAACGTGTGCTGACGGCACGTCCTTCCAGCCCGGTTGTGCAGCCGCCCAACAACTTGCGGCCCGTTTGGGAATTGCATGAGACGATGGAACGGGGCGCTTAGCTTACCGTGAGAACCTGACCCGCCCGGGCAAGAGAGCGCGAAAGCGAGGAAAGAGTATTCGTAACGTAAGGGAAGGAGGAGGTTGGTGCCGGGGAACCGAAAATCCTTGGCAGGGTCCGGCGTCCCAATTTCGGAGCCGACCCGTCCAGGCCTTCTCTCTATCAATTCTACAGTTAAAAGTGCCAAGACCCGCCGAATCTGACGTTCTTGTCGTCTTCCTCCGAATGTTGCGCCAGCCACCGGCCCAATCTTGTCAATTGCCCTTCTGAGATTGCCTCGAATAGGAATGTGTAGGAAGCAAATCGAGATTTCGTTTTATCTTGAACGCTTCTTACAGGTCAATTCCTCTAATCCCAAGATGTCTCCTCAGGAACCAACCGTAGCTGGCGCTACTGACGCAGATAGCCCCGCGCAACCGAAGGGGCATGGCGTTGATCTTCCGACCAAATCGCAATCCGAGCCGCTTCCCGGGGCAGAAGCTCGCGACGGCGGCAACCATGAAGAGGAGATTACCCCAGTAGTGGCAGCGACGGAGACAGCCACAGCTACAGGAACAGAAACAGAAACCACAGCTCGCCGCCAAGATAGCAAGAAGCTGCGCCAGGTCGCTACCAGTGAGCTGCGCGAGAAGCTCAAGGACCAAAAGGGCAAACTGGCCGACCGCAAGGAACAGCTCAAGAAGATGTCCAAACCCCCCGGTGGTTTTGACCCCACCCCTTTGCCTGACGCGCCCCAGGGTTACACCGTCAAGTTCACCTTCCATCGCGCCTTCAACCTGCCCATTGCCGATTTACACCTCAAATCCTCGGACCCTTTCATTCACGCCACGTTGAAGGCGGCCGTGCCGAAACGGCACAAGGAAGATCCGCTACTGACACACCGCACGCGCACCAAGCGGCGCACGACGGAACCGGTCTGGGAGGAAGAGTGGATCGTGGCCAATGTGCCCGCGACTGGGTTCGAGCTCAAGTGTCGGCTGTACGATGAGGACTGGCCGGACCATGACGACCGGCTGGGGAATGTCACGGTGCGGGTGCCGCGGGTGGACGAGAATTGGGAAGGGTTCGGCCCCGAGGGAAGGGTATTTGATGTGAAGAAGCGGTCGGGAAGCAAGCGGGCGTACTTGCTCCGGGCGGCGTCGGTGGCCGTGTGCAAGGGAGCTAGCATGACGCCGAAGTTGAAGTTGGGGGTCCAGGTGTTGGGCAAGTCGGATCCGCCTCATGCGCAGATGTACACGGTCGGTCCAACGACGTGGGTTAAACATTACAGTCCCATGATTGGCAGGTTGGCGGGCATCAAGGTGAACCGGGACGAGGAGGAGGATGCTGTTTCCGACAGGGAGAGCGAACGGCCAGTGAAGAAATACGAGTAAGTACTTCCGCCGACGCGGTGGTTGTTTGAGGGATACTAACACGTGTTTCCAGCTTCCAAGCCAACGAGATCCAGCTATCCGGCCCCGTCCCGCCGCGGCTTTACCACCGCTATGTCGAGTTCCGTCCCATGATCGGGCGCATGTTCTCGTCGAGTGGCCTGCGCGGCCGCGTTCTCCGCAAGGTATTGCATAAGCAGCACAACCGCATCTACAACTTCGACTCCAGCACCGAATACGGAGCGTTCGAGCCCTGTACTGAGGAGGCCTCGCTGCAATTCCTACGCATGGCCCACTTCGACGAAGGCGGCCGCATCTTCACATATGTGATCACGCTCGACGGCATGATGCGCTTCACCGAGACCGGTAAGGAGTTCGGCATTGACCTGCTGAGCAAACACACCATGCATTCTGATGTGGCAACGTACATTGCCTGCTCCGGCGAGTTTTTTATCCGTCGTTTAGAACACCCGGTTCACAACGATAGAGAGGGGCGCGGGAAACGGTCGGCTGCGTCCAGCCGCACGCGCAAGAAGGACCATGAGCGGTCCAGGTCCTCTTCCTCCTCCTTCTTCAGGAGGAGCAACAAGAACAAGAAACCGGCCCATGCCGACCCCAACCCTGATGGCCAACCTACCCATCCCCCTCAGCACCCCCCGGGAGGCCCACCTCACTCTGCCCCGCCGCCTGAGCCCAAACTCTACCAACTCACCATCGATAACGACTCCGGAACGTACCGCCCGGACTCCTCGGTCCTCCCCGACCTGCAGGCCTTCCTGTCCCGCAACCTCCCCGGCATGCACGTCACAGCCATGGACTGCGCCGACGAGCAGCTGATCGAGATGAAGAAGGCGCAGCACGAGGCCAAGAAGCGTGAGGGCCCGCGGATCAGGATGGTGTTGAACCGTAGTCCGAGCTCGAGCAGTTTCAGCTCGGACGACGAGAGTCGGTTAGGAGCGATGGATGATGACGAGACGGAGGACGGTGAGCATGGGGATGGTGAGCATGAGCACGGCGGGGATGGGCAAGGGGACAAGGGGAAGAGCAAGCAGAAGAGGAAGAGTAGGGGCGGGTTGAGGAGTAAGAAGGAGAGGGCGTTTGATGTGGTGAGCGAGCCGGCGCGGTGGAGGGAGGTATTGGGGTTTGAAGAGGCGAGTGGAAGTAATGTAGAAAAGGGCAAGGAGAAGTCTGGTTAATTGGGGGGATGCTCTGATCTATTCTCCTACGTTCTGCTTATTTTTCCTGTTTCTGCTTTTATCTGCTTTCAGTTTCGTTTGATACCTCGGCGGTCGGCCTTATTCTTATACCCCTTAATGTAGGCTCTCCTTTGTGTTTCTTTTCTTACGTGATAGAACTAAAACCTGATTGTGTTCTGGAATGGTCGCAAACTTCGAGGTTTAACCAACATCTTTTCAACAAGGAAACCATACCTACATGGTAGTGTAGTACGCAGTATCAAGGCGATTCTTCCCGTCCCGCCTCAAAACGTTAAAGCTTGGCGCTTCTGCTTCTGGAAGGATGCCCATGTGATCGGGCCGCGCGAAAGCAACACCACCTGCAGCCTGCAGGCGAAAGAGAAATAATTAACGTGAGAAACAGGGGATCGTTCAACGGTTTCCGTCATAACGTGTCGTTTCTACACTAGGTTTGGTTATGCAGGGCGCAACAGGCCCCGTTCGTTGACATGTACAAAGGTCCGTCATGCCGTCTCAACTTCAAGAACTTGTTCGCGGCATCACGCTCCCGCTGGCCAACAGCTTTAACCAATTCCCATGCCATTCTTGGGCATATCAACCTGACGCCCCCACTGTGCTCACTGTGTCCACTGTGGATTCCATTTTAAGCCCCTGTCGCCTCCCTGTTCCCCTGTAAAGACCCCGCAAGACGCAGCCCCCGACTGGATCGCGGCCGCCACGCTAACATTTTTTTTTGGAGCTCTGCCGTTCGCAGAAGGAAAGGTGCAGAGCTGCAAGCACCCCGGGCCGTCCCACAATCGCGTCTCCAGATCCTCTCTCCCACGTTTAGAAATCGCACTTTCTCTCGTCTACAAGTTGATTCGTATTCTTCCTTCTGGGATATCAGAATAACTATTGCTGGCTTGCTTGATTCAGTAGCTCGCTCGTAGTTGTCGCTTTCGAACCCGGCCGCTTGATCGATCGACCGGGCTAAATCACATCACTTTGCCTGCTCCACACTCGTTTTTTTAGGTGGCTGCCGCGCCCCAATCTGCTGCAATTCCCTCCCCCTGAATCTGGGATCCAAAATCTGAATCCGGGACGAGTTTGCTCTGTTCGGCCGGCGATACTCCGAGCTTGTTCGGCCATCCACCAAACCAGTCAAAGCAGATGACCACATCGTGACTTTGCAAGACCTCCGAAGGAAAACCGCACAACAATACCACCCCTAATGCCTTGGCCGCGCGTTCTTGTCGATTGACTCCGGCTTAAAAAGAGGGCGGCGCGAGCTCATCAACACCACGACCGCGATCTTGACCTCCGCCAAGGCCCTAGCCCTGACTTCGACGACCTCGACACCACCGACGAGCCCCAACGCGACGTCGAGCACAGCAATAGCTACCAATTCGACGGTACCGGTCTCCCTCAAACACCCCCGCGTGCTGCGGCGAATGACGACCGGGACTTCACCCCCAGCGGAGGAAGGATGCAGTCGACAAAGTTGAAAGCGGCCGAGGCCCATGGGCGGAAAGCAAAGGTATGCTTACTTTTTGGGGGTTCATCGATATTGCTTGCTCCTGGGTGACCGCTAACTGGGGTGACTGGTATCTTGTAGCTTGCGCAATCGTACCAAGAACTTCTCGAGTAAGATCACCCGAATATCGAATCATTGCCCGACTCCTTGCGAGCACCCATCACGCAAAGTCTTCACTCGAATAGTGAATACCGATGGGCTAGGGTGAGATACCATGGAATACACGCTAACAAGGCTTGCTTTGCAGCGAATTCTCGAACAAGGACCTGAAGTCGGTCGGGAACTACACGCTCGGGCGCTTGATTGGCAAGGGGTCGTTTGGCAAAGTTTATCTGGCTACGCACAAGCTCACGAACGGTTCCAAGGTATGCGACAAGAAGCGTGTGATTGGATAAGGTCTGGATTTTGGGGCAGAGAAGGGAAGGCAGCTAACACGTAGGCGTACTCCTAGGTCGTGCTCAAATCCGCCAACAAGGACGATTCGAATCTTGCCCGAGAAATCCACCATCACCGGCAGTTTGTCCACCCACACATCGCGCGCCTGTACGAGGTCATTGTGACGGAAACGCTGGTTTGGTTGGTGCTGGAGTACTGTCCGGGCGACGAGCTGTATAACTACCTCCTCCAACATGGCAAGCTACCCGTCGACAAGGTCCAAAAGACCTTCACGCAGCTCGTCGGCGCCGTGTGCTACGTCCATCGCCAGTCTTGTGTCCACCGCGATCTGAAGCTCGAAAACATTCTTCTCGACAAGAACGAAAACGTGAAGCTCTGCGACTTTGGATTCACCCGGGAGTACGAGGGCAAGGCCAACTACTTGCAGACGTTTTGCGGGACGATATGTTATTCGGCGCCCGAGATGCTCAAGGGGGAGAAATACGCCGGCGAGAAGGTGGATGTGTGGAGTTTAGGCGTGATTCTCTATGCGCTGCTGTGTGGGGAGCTGCCGTTTGATGACGACGACGATGCGATCACGAGAACAAAGATCCTGAACGAGGAGCCCAGCTACCCGGATCATCTCCCCTCAGATGCTCTCGCCCTCCTCAAGAGCCTGCTTTCCAAGCGGCCAATCCTCCGCCCAACGCTCCCCGATATCTTGGCGCACCCATTCCTCGCCGAACACGCGCCGCAACAACAGGAGATTCTGAAGCTGGAACGGCCCGAACCGTTTTCCACACCCCTTGAGAAGGAGACACTCCACCGGATGCGGAGCGCGGGGGTCGACATCGACGAGGTGATGGAGAGCGTGCTGGCGCAAAAGTGCAACGTGCTAGCCGGTTGGTGGACGCTGCTGATTGAGAAGGAAGAGCGGAAGCAACGGCGGAGGGAAAGGAAACGCAGGGAACGGGAGCTGGAGAATAGGACTTCGAGGCGGTTTTCCCAGGCGTCAAGTAGGTTGAATGCGCTGGCAACGGTGGAAGAGTCGTTTGTGAAGCTGTCAGAGGCGCCAACACCCAGGACCCGTGGGAGGAGCGAGAGGAGGAGCGGGTACTACCCCAGTCTGCTGATCCCAGACATGCCCGACCTTTCAGACCTGGCCAAGGTCGCGAATGGGAATCTGAGTCCGGATACCGATGTCCCGCCGCCGCCTATCGACAAAGACTCCATTCGGTCGGTCAGCTCGTCGAGGCATCGCAAGCCATTACCCCCGCCCAAGGAAGGCCTCCTGCGGAGCGCGCGGTCTCGCGGTTCAACCCTTCATCTCGTCACCACAAGCGACGCACTGGACGTCAACAGCACCTCGCAGCCGGGCGACGGGAAGAAGACCAGGAAGCGGCCCTCGCAAGCTATTGTAGCGACTTGGAAAAACTGGACGCACTGGCTGTTTGAAAATACACGGCGACACAGGAACTCAAACAAGCGCGGGAGCCAATCAACCCCAAACCTCCTCGCGAAACCGGGCAGCTCAAAGGAGGGCAAGTCCAAGGAAAACAGCCCGCGACCGCAAACCAGCAAGTACCCGACCAGCGGCTTGGCCTCTACTCCGCAAACCTCCAGTCTTCCCAGAGGCGTTGTCGCCAACGGGTACACCTCCCGCAGCGCATCATCAACCACCGGCGGCGGCGGCGGTAGCACCCGTTCCCGTCCCCCTGCGTCCCCCAACCTGGCCACCCCGACGGCCGCCGGCCACGGCGGTAACCCACGCCTGCGCACCTCCAACTCCTACAAACGCCACTCCCTCTCCCCGTCCCCACTCACACCACGCTCCACCATCCGCCGCTCCTCCGGCCCCACGGGGCTACGCGGGCGCAAATCCACCTCGTCGTCCGTCTCATCCGTCCGATCACTCCATCACACGGCACACCACCAGCACTCGCACAGCAAAGCCTCCTCGACGTCCTCCAACGGGTCGGTGTCAACATCCGTGTCCAAAACCCCCGGTGTCACGCGCTCGCCGCATCACTCGGTCAAAGTATTGCCCGCCACGCCAACCACGGGGTCGTTTGGCGGGTTCCCGAATAATATCCGGTTAGTGAGGGATCGCGCTGGGCCGCCGTTGAGTATCTTCAACGAAGCCGCGCCGGGTGTTGTCGGGGTTGGTGCTGGTGCTGGTGGTGGTCGTAACCTAAGCGGTGGGCTCGGTCTTGCAATCGGGAATGGGAGTGGGAGCGGCCGCGGTGGGAGGGGGACCCCGACACCCGGAAGTCCTAATCCATTTCTCGGTGGTGGTGGTGGCGGTGTAAACGGCGGCGGTGGTGTGATGTTTGCGAAGCGGAAGCGGAATCTCTTCAAGGGGCCTATGTTGAGCTTGTCGCATCACCATGCTCGGGAAGGTGGTGGCGGCGGTAAACACGCCGGTGGTGGAAACCCCGGTGGCCTGGGCGGTGCCGGGCTGGCTGCTGCTGGCCTTGGGAGTATTGGGGAGGGCGGCGGGGCCAACGCCGGTGGTGCCGTTGTGGGTGTTGCTAGTAGCACCGGACCGCCGTCGATTGGACACTCCCGTAGCGCTAGTAGCGGTGGTCTGGGCCGGCGGAGTGGAGAGATTACGATTGAGGAAGTCGACGAGGATGAGGAGGAAGCTGCGGAAGCGGCTGCTGCGGCTGCGGGGATTGGTGGGAGTGGGAGTGGGAGTGGGAGTGCTGGGTACACTGCGTTTACGGGGTCCATGGGGAGTATGGGCATGGGGAACCTTGGTAGTGGGAGTCTGGGTATGAATGTCAACAACATGGGTATGGGCATGAGCAGCGGTATGGGGGGGTTGAGCATGTATGGGGTTGAGGAGGATGAAGACGAAGTCGAGGAGGTTGAGGCGTTTACGCCGATTGTTAAGGGGCCGGGGGAGATTGTGGAAGAGAAGATTTATGAAGAAGGGGAGGAAGAGGTTGAGGATGCAGGCGCCCGGGATACGAGGGTTGGGGCTGGAGCTGGGAAAGATTGGTTGCAGCCTGCTGCGACGATCAAACCGGCCAGTGAGACCGCGTGATGATGATTGTTGAGCTGGGTCGGGTGTTAGGACGCACTGCCTAGTAAACAGCAGACATTGGGAAAGGAGTTGGAGGAGGAAGAGGAGGAGTTTGGAAAGGCAAGCGGGCCTCGGGGCAGATGACCCGACCCGTGCTTCGCGGTTAGAAGGGGATGCTACGCTCCAATTATGCGAAGACGCTTCCATCCTGTTTACATTACACCCTTTTATTTTTATTTTCTTTGTTTACGAGGAAGCGGGTTTTATTTTCTTCTTTTTATCCGGTTTGCTATTTTCTATTCTTGTTGTTTTTATTGTTCTTCTGACATCGAACCATGTATTGAGTAAAGATACCACCTGTTGACTCTTTGACTTTGTTTTTCTTCTTTTCTTTTCTTTTCTCAAGACCTGTTTATAAGAGAGCAATACCTGTAGGCATTAGGAAGGTGTGGAGCAAGAAAGAGGCAGTAAATTAACGAGAACGCCGAGGTTAGAGGTGCTATTTTTTGAGCTTGTACTATTTGAGTCTCCTAGCTTCTGAGTTGGTTGTTCTTGTGGCCCTCCGGTGGAATGTCGCTGGTATCATGCTTGGTAGATGTTGACATCTTGTTGCTCGTGCTTTTCCTGTTACAAATCGTCGTCTCCACCGTGAAGTAGACGGCTCCTCCCAGAATTCTTGAGCTTGGTGCCATGGAGTGATGGAGTCGGGTGAGTGTGGGTTCCTTTCCAAGCCCAATCCAAAAACTTGTCTTCCGCATATTCTTCTAACCAAGACATATGAACATATGTTTCATGCCTTCCAGTGAACAGCCACTCACAACGAGAAGCAGACCACCAAACGAAAAGCAACGAAAAAGAAACTGCCGTTTCTCCCCGGTTCAATATCCAATACCTACCCGGGAAGCCCATGGTTTGTGGCTGATTCCCGGGAGGTTGAATGGCGTGTTATAGGCTGGCGAGCCTATACCGTCCAAAACAGGGAACTTCCACTTACACCATGACGTCGCAGTTGCGCCACCCACGTTTTCCAGCCACACCACCACTACGGACATCCTAGTGTTGGCAGGTTTGAGTCGTGTTGTGGGTTTAAGATAAAGGTCCGAGATTTGCCCAAGGGCTCGCAATTCAAGGGGGATGTAGTCTTCTTGTATCTACCTGCGACTGTAGTTCGAGCTTAGTTTCCAAACATCAACCGATCGCCTTGCGAGATTTATCAGTAACCAACGTACTGATTATTCACAACCGACATCATGGAGTGGACCAAAAACCAGTACAACAAGCAGTACGAGAGTTGGGTCCCGTGGCTCGAGGATATCTACCTCCGCTACTTTACGAAGGATAACAAAGCCAGCTACACAACACGTGGTACGTTTCTACCTCCGCGGGTTCCTGTATCCCTTTCGTCCTCCCGAATCACAAGACCAGCTGGCCGGAGTCATCCTTCGGCAGTATTCTAGAACCACAACTAACTTGACTCTCACCCCCCAAGAAAACCTCAACAAAACCAAAGTAACCGGCATCTCCCAAGTCGACGCCGCCCAAGACGGCATCAACAACCTCATCGCCGGCCAAGTCGGCCAAAACGGACTCGGCCGCCCCATCGGCGACCTGGCCTCGCGCGAAGGGCTCAACCGGGCCGAGCGTCAGGGGAAAGATGACCAGGGCGGTTATGTGCCGTCGTCGGTGGGCGGCTCCGCGGGCGTAAAGGCCGGAGAGGCGGTTCAGGGGGCCGGGAGCGCGGTTGTCGGTGGTGTGAAGGGAGTTGGGAGTGGTGTTGGGGCGTTGTTGGGAGGTGGGAAGGAGGGTGATAATAAGGAGTAATTGGTTGGTAAAGACGAGAAGGGGAAGGAGAGGGAGTCTGATATCTTGAGGGGGAGGTCTGCTGAAGTTGTTCTAAGCGCGAGGTATAATGTTTGTTGAAAGACGTTTTAATCTAATAGATTGTCTGGTTTGATAGGAAGTGGTCGTATTCGAATCGTAGAAACCTCACGGCGTATGTACACCTGTGTTTTGGCATCTCCATGCCCTACATAGTAGCTGACCTCCATCAAGAAATATTCCGGCTAAACTATTGCGGCCATGCAGCGGAACTAGATGAATGCGAATTATTCGTACACAGGGTTGTTTCCCCCTTCGATTCAGGGGTTCGAGTCGGGCGGCACGGGATCATTAATAAAAGACGTTTGATTTCTTCAATAAAAGACTGCGCCAACCAACCCATGGAGTGCTTGGACGATTCCAGCCTTTTAGCAACAGCCTTTCCAAGTCAGATTCTCTTCTCTGAGACGCCCAGCCGTTTCGTGGCTGCAATGTGGATGATCGAAGCCTAAATGGAAGAAAGAGAAGCTCCAGCCCTGTCGGAATATCGAGGATCTGCGCCCACATGGGTCCAGCCTCGAATCTCCCGGGCTTCCCGCAGTGCGTGTGCCTGCCGGAAACTGATTCCCCACTGGATGAACCCCTGTGGGGAATGAACCGTCCCTGACCATTTCGCGTCCGACGGCGCGGGTGTTTGCGAACTCTCAGCCCCGACATCCCATCTCTCTCGTTCCAGTCATTCCTTATCCATTACTTTTTTTACAACTTTCTTTGGTTATTTTTGTTTTTAGGTTTTCTGGGATCAAGCGCTGCTGGCACCCTTGGGGTTGCGAATCCCACGTCTTCGGCGGCTCGCTCTAGCAAGAGGAAAAGAAGGGAAAAAAAAGGGGCAACCATGGCGCGACGGCAGCATGTGACACTGACGGTTCTGGCGGTTACGGTGTTTCTAAGCCTCGTGTACTTCATGAGTGGCAGCCGATCCAAGGCCGACTATGGTTACGAGACAACCCACAACGACGTCTTCGATCCCTCCGACTATGACACTCTCGCCGAGACCCCGAGCGGCAGCGACGGCCTTGTCGATGCAAGCAAGCCGTCCTTGGATATTTCCGATCGCATTCTCACGGGCGGATCCATTGCGCCAAAACTCGCCAATGCTACGGCAAAGTATGTTGGCCTTGCCCAGTCTCCCTTCTTCGCTACTACCTGCCAATATTTCCCTGCCCTGTCTTCCCGCGGACTAGTCCATTCCCATCGCTAACTCCTGACTGTTCTAGAGCCGAACTCGGCCGAGCATCCTGGAAACTCCTGCACACGATGATGGCACGCTTCCCCGAGAAGCCCTCCGACGACGACAGCCTAGCACTCAAGACATACATCCAGCTATTCGCGCGGCTGTATCCGTGCGGCGAGTGCGCCGCACACTTCCAGAAGCTGCTGCGTAAATACCCGCCACAAACGAGTAGCCGCAATGCCGCCGCGGGATGGGCTTGCTTTGTGCACAACCAGGTCAATAAGAGGCTGAAGAAGGAGGAGTTTGATTGTAATAATATCGGTGACTTTTATGATTGTGGGTGTGGGGACGAGGAAGGGAAGGGTAACGGGAAGGGCGAAGGACAGGGCGAGGGCGAGAAGAAGGGAGAGGGAGAGGGTCAGAACAAGGGTACTGGAGAAGGAGCGCATCAAGAGTCCAAAGGCGACGAATTGAAAGGGAGGGAGGGCGTCACGGTCGAGATTGAAGAGGGCTTAATGAGGGGGGGCTAAAGAGAGGAAGTTCTTGGTGAGTAGAATTGGCATGGTAAATGCAGATTTGGGTACGGTGTTGAGGCGTCTTTTCCTGCGTTTTGGCCTGTGGTGGTTGGAGTATTCCCTCCGTTGGTGAATGTGTATCGCTTCTACATATTTACAGGCACAAACACCCAAATTTTGAGAGGGTGAAGGATACTTGCTGGCTCCCTAAGCCATCTAAACGAACTAGAATCAAAAAGAGCTTTATCTCGGCCCTTGTGGGATGTCCGTTTAGGGGGTGAGCAACCTGAAGAGGTCGACATTATGCTTTTGGCTCATCCCTGACGGGTCGTTTATCGCGATAAGATAAGGATCCACCGCGGGGGACGGTAGCACGTGATGTGCCGCTGCGCAGCCTGGCGAGGCCCACGCGTATTGGAGCTGCCTTGAGCTGGAGCTCCAAGCTCGCCAACAACGAACCACCACCCGTTAACGTCAAGCGACCTCCAAACCTCCGACCATTTCACCCCGAAACGAAACCCATGCCGATTTCTGAACGACCACTATACACCTTACTTAACGACTAACCACACACATACAAACATGGAATTCGGGAACTCGGGCTCGCTGAGCGAAGGTATGCATACTCCCAACGAGGTATTCCTCCACTCTGAGGCCCCGCTGGGGCACTAACCGTTGCGCGATTGCAGATGGCATCCATCTGGATATGGACCGGTTGAAGAAAGGCGAGGTCAAGTAAGCATACAAGACAACCTCTTGTTTACTCCAATGGGCTACCGCTAACCCCACCATAGCTTAGGCACCTCGATGTAAGCCCGACGTCCCGTCCCTCCGATATTGACGGAAACCCCGCCGAGCGCAACGCCGTTCTAACCTTTCCGACATAGTATGGCGGTGACTTTCAAAGACGGTGTTATCCTCGGGGCGGACTCACGTACAACAACAGGCGCATACATCGCGAACCGGGTAACAGACAAGTTGACACGGGTACACGACACCATCTGGTGCTGCCGCTCCGGGTCCGCCGCCGACACACAAGCAGTTGCCGACATTGTTAAGTACCAACTCGAACTGTTCTCCATGATGAACGGCAAGGCCCCCACCACACAAACCGCCGGCGCCATCTTCCAAGAGATTTGCTACGCCAACAAGGACCGGTTGTCGTGAGTGGCACCCCTGCAATACACTAACACATGGGCGGAGGATTGTCAGTGGCTGACGCGCATATTTCCAAAACAGGGCGGGTCTCATTATCGCAGGCTGGGATGAACGGCACGGAGGGCAGGTGTACAGCATCCCACTCGGCGGGTCGCTTCACAAGCAACCGTACTCGATCGGCGGGTCCGGTTCGACATACATCTACGGTTTCTGCGATGCCAACTGGCGCGAGGGGATGGAGGAGGCCGAGGCTGTTAACTTCGTGAAGGAGGCTCTGAAGGAGGCCATCAAGTGGGACGGCAGTTCCGGCGGTGTCATTCGTATGGTGGTGCTCACGGCTAAGGGGGCGGACAGGCACTTGTACCTCCCGGACACAGATTACAAGGTGCGGTATCAGTGAAGGAATGGTCAAGGGGTCACGACGGTGGAGGACTGGCGTTTGGGCTGGGCATGAAGCATTATGATGAACCCAGGGACGAGCGGCTGGGGTCGTTGTACAACAAAAGCAAGACACAATACATACCGTTCCGAAGAAAGTATCACTGTTTCGAACCTGCCAATTGGGGGTCGTGTCATACAGACGGGATAACGAGGGCAGGCAGCGGGGGTCGGTTGTCCCACAAGAGAAGTTTACGATAGTCTTGAATTCTGTCCGGCCCGGCCACGAACGTCGAGGAGTTTTCTAATTAATGATGCCCCCTAGGCGGCCCGCCGTTATTCACCTAGAAGGATACCGCTTCTTAGGCCCCTGGCTGCCATGTTTTTCAGGCGTGTATTATTTCTTTCAGTATGGTGGGTCTATCGGTGAAACAACGGAATCGCGCAGCGTTGGTGACGTCGATAAGACTGCAAAGCGATGCACGATTCCGGTCTTGTACTCGGGCTAAGATGGGGGGCGAAGAGTGGGGGCCTAGCTGGTAGGATGGAGGGCCAGGACGTGATGTAGAGCGAGGTTGAGGAAATGGCCAAGTCTGCGCCGAGGGGAGGGAGGAACGAATGTTCAAGCAGCGAGAGTCTGGGTAACTTGTTGAGGTAGTAATACGGATAGTGGGGAGTCAAATAGGTAGTTATCGGGCCCCCCATCGACTTTTGACGCGAGACTACACAGTATATGTTATAACCAAGGCAGTCAGTCAGCCAACACTCATCCTGAGGATGTGCATTCCTAGTCCTGTGTAACTTTGGGGCTGCGGACGGTTTTAGGTGTTATCGAGTCTGTTCACTCGAGCGCGCTAGTTGGGCTGATGGTCCTCGTTGTCGGCTTCTCCTGAAAGAATCGATGAATGGACCGGGGACGCGACGCGACGCGCCTCGCTTCCTTTCAGTCCTCTAAGCGACGAGGTTGGAGAACGTCGACGTTAATGGGAAAATAGAGGAAAAAAACGATACGAGTGCGTTGGAGTCGTATAGGTAAAGGAGTTTTCGGTCTGTGAGTTGGGATTCAAGAACCAAAATTCGTTCAAAAGACCATGTATGTTGAAGCGATGCGTCTTGCGTCAGCGATTCTATACTTGAAGTCACGTTGTTCAGTTGCCAGCTGCACGGCTGACCGGCGGATATTCCGGTAGTATCTAACCCGATGGGCTGGTCTTGCTGCTTGCTGCAACTGAAGTTTATTGATCACGTCTAGGTGGGGGAAGAGGGGGCAGAATGTCGGTGAGAGAGAGGGGCATCAAGCACCCCGCTCGAGACCTCTCTCACACCACCCCCCCCTCCCCCGTGCTCAGTGAACGCCATCAGATTGGCTGCTCTCAAAAAGGGTTCCTGCCGCCGAGCTGGCCGAAAGTATTCGACGCACTTTTGGGCCTAAACCGTCAGCGGTTGCTGACTCTCTTTCTTTTTACTTCGTCGTCTTGGGTTTCTCGTTTGCCCAAGAGAGAGAAAACTAGCCAACCAGTCGCAGGAAAGTCGAGCAAGTCCGCGTGCGGGTCGTACGCTGCACGGAACCGGGTCATTGCGAGGCTTTTGCATGGCACGAGGGGTCGGGCCTTGCATGCGGCCTGCTTGGTGATGGTGTTGTTCCTTTCTAGCTTGCCGGCAGTATGTTTCTGCCCAGATGGGAGAGGAACTCTTTAACATCCAGCGGGGACATGAGAGTCCCTGACCCTGAAGGCGTTATTTGCCGCACTCGATGCTTGCAACATCCCATGTTGCTGTGAAGGTTGTGAGGGTCTGTTAACTGACTGTTGAGAGCTTCTTCTCGTTCATTCGGGCTGTAGTACACTTGCGTTCTTCGAGGAGGTTCAAAGCTGTTAACATCATTCAAATAAATACAACAAACCTACCAATGTTCCGTCGGGAACCAACGGTTGTTCCATCCGTTCTTCGACCAACGCTCCACTTTCTGTTAAATTGCTGGGCAGTCAATAGTGTCTCGCGGGCCGGGGTGTTGAGTAGTGGCAGCGGCATTTTTCATATCTCAGCTCGCTCTTAAAGGACCATGTGCTTGGTTGTAGGTATAGGTATGGTGGTTGCCCCCCTATTAAGGAGGTTGAGACCACAGCGCATGAACAACTCGAAGCGTTTGATAAGGCACTTCCAGCGCCCCGGGCCGCTCACGGCGACTGCGGCGGCTCGTTCCATTTCCCACCTTGGGTCAGCAGAGAGCGCGGCAAGGCCTGGGCCTGGCAGCCCAGCGGAGGAACAGGGGCCAACGAATTGCGTTTGAGCCACCCCCTGTTCGAATTGCCCAAACACCAGGCGGGACTGGAACACTGAGCAACCAGGGCCGTCGTCATTCGTGCAGTTCGCAAGACAGCTCTGACGGTTGGAAGAGGGGCCCGATTCATGGGTGTAAATCGCAGGTACCTAATAGTATTTCTTCTCGCCCAGCTGAACGACGTGTTGGGATTTCTCTTTTTTTCTCCTTTCTTCCTTTTCCCCTTCTTTCTCTTCTTTTCCTTCTAGATCTTGCTCGCATCGGCCTGGGTTGGACCGGATCACGGAAATCTCTCTTCCTCACCAACAACTGGAGTCCGGCCAACCGGCCCCCACCCAGCCCCACGACCGCCGCCTCTTGACTATACACCCTTTGCTGTGCGATTGTCTACATCAGCCACCTCTGTCTATCCAACTGACGGGAGCCAGATCCTTCCTCGCCACCGAGTGCGGCGGTTTCGTCCAGCTTCTTGTTCCTAGACCTTGGTCTGGTCTTTCGCCCCTCGACTGCGCGTCACTCGCTGGCCCTGTGTTTCAGGTTTAGCTGGAACGTGGACTATCCAGACCATTGTACTATCATCGGGCTCGTATCGAACAACAACATCACCTCTATCTTATCCTGCAACGCATATTGCCGTCCAAGCTGGTCCCTATCCTAGCCTCAAGCCTGAGCCGCATTTATATCCCGAGGTACGTGGCATAAGCTTATCTTCACCGTCGTGTTTTATCCCATTCTCTCCCTGCCTAGGTGGCAGCCGCATCGGCCTTTCGTTTGTTTGACCCGCGATGATCCCATGCTCCGGATTATGGTGGGCTTGGGCTTTTCTTCTGTTTGCGATCGTTGGACAACTACCAACGACTAAGTTGCTGTGGTCGTGTGGTGCACCACAGCAACGGCCACGGCAACCGCAACCGGCCGAGTCAAGACCTAACATACAACGGCTCCGGTGAAAAGGACACGGGCATCACCAACCGGCCCCTTGCGCATACATTCCTCTGCGCCGCGTCCGCCACGCACGGCAACGTTGTTGTCTCGGGTGGTGTGCCGGTTACTTGCTTTTGGGCTAATAGTGACGCCAACGTGCTCCTTGATCTTTTGGTTGACGGAAGTGGCTGGCCGTGCACTTGCCCTCGGCCGTGCAGCCCATCGAATAATTATCGCTCTTTCCTCAGCAAGGCTGGAAACCCAGCACCTGCCCGGCACTTGTTCAGCACCTTCCACCTGGGCAAACAAACGCTTATCCTCTTTCCTTCCTTCTTTACCCCCCGCGTTTCAGATACGAGCCCTCCCAGGAACACACGTTCATTACGGTTCATACCCCTTCGCGAGTGCGGTTGTTGTGTCCAGGTCTCTTTCTGTTGCGGCGTTGCCCGAGTGCAGGGTTGGGGCAGTTCCGGCCCATTCTCGCGTGGACCCAAAATTTCGGCCCTCCAAGGAAAACCGTGCTAATTCTCCGCTATCTGCGACACAGCCACTCTCCGCCCGCTGATTAGTGACAAGGTCCCGCAGCGGCCGCCACCTGCCCGCCGCGCGATAACGTGTAAACCACTATCGTTGCTGCTCCGGCACCCACGATATCCTCCTTACCAAATCCCACAACTCGACGGCGGTGTCAGCATGGCTGCCATTATCGGAGACGTTTTTGCTGATTCCCCATCGCGCTTCCATGGCATGATCGGCAGCCACTCCCACGACATCCATTACCAAGCCCGGTCAGCCAGCCGATCCCGCGACCGAGACACGCAGTCGCACCACACGCCGCGCCCGACAGCGAGCCCCCGCAGACCATCAACATCGTTTAGTAGCAGTACACAGCACCAGTCACAGGACAGGAGTACCACGATACAGCCACCAAACCACGCCCTTGCCTCAGCCGGCGAGAGAACAACGAGGTTACCGTCGCCGCCACCTTCATCTTCCTCATCGCAACCGTCATCAGGCGGCACGCAACCACGATTCGAAGTACCTGGAGATGTCTCTCAAGAATCCACTGCGGGCTCTTTTTCTTCGTTCGACTCGGACGCTTCTTCAGCTAGCACCAGCACCGCCACGACAGTGATACCCCCGTCGTCGAGGTCAATGCCCTCACCAGGGTCTGATAACGGTCCACAATGGAACTCGACGCCCCTCGAGACAACCAACCCATCCATCCCCGCTCATCTTGATGATCCACCGGAGTCCCCTATCCAAACCCAAACCACGATCCGAGTGCGCGACCTCGCCCACATCCAGAGCCTGGCAAAGGCTGATTTACTTACCGGCACCGGGCCTGGTACTGTGAACGACCCTCCGCTACAACAAATGAAATATGAAATTAGCGGCATGCCTATTGGTGATATTATTGAGATGGTAGCAGCCTTGCTCACCAAGATTACGGCGACGAATGATCTTCAGCATGACGCCCTCAACCGCAACGCGCACCACTTGCGACAGGCTCAAGCACAAGCACGGGGCGAAGAAGGATCCGGTGAGACTGGAATGAGCCCACTTAGCAGCAGTGTTTTAGCCTTCCATGGCAAGAACGTGCCTGCCATCACTATCCTCAGCTACCTGAGCCGGATTCACAAGTACTGCCCCACCACGTACGAAGTTTTCTTAAGTTTGCTGGTGTATTTCGACCGCATGACCGAACGTGTCAACGATCTGGTTATGAAGAGTGAAGAAGCCCGTCGCTTCCAGCAACCGAAAACTGTGGCTCCTGGGGCCTCCGTCGACAAGGACATAGTCATGCGGGATCATGACGACGAGGGCGAGGAAGACGACCGTGGCTCCAGTGACGCGACCGAGACGGACTCTGAATTAGCCGACTCGACCGACGGGGAAGATAACGCCACTAGTGCCGCCCGGGCCCCAGAGAAACAAACGGGGGCAAGTACACGGAGCAGCGGCGGGGGACGCAGCTCACACCCCAGTGCTCCCAACGCCCCAGGGGTATCTGCGCAGCAACAAGCGACATATTTTGTGGTCGACAGCTTTAATATCCATCGCTTAATCATTGCTGGTGTGACTTGCGCCAGCAAGTTCTTTTCGGACGTGTTTTATACCAACTCGCGGTATGCCAAGGTATGTCCTTCGTCTTCTCTGTACATGATACCATTTCGATTTCGTCAAATGCTGACATTCCACCACAGGTCGGCGGCCTCCCCCTACCCGAGTTAAACCACCTTGAGCTGCAGTTCCTCCTGCTCAACGATTTTCGTCTTGCCGTACCAGTCGAGGACCTCGAGGCATATGCCACGATGCTTGTCGAGTTTTACGCACGTGAGGTTCTTGCGCAGCGGTCACGTCCAAGTACGGAGTAATATCCGCGTGTACAACCAACCACTTGGCTGGAGTTATCCGCTCGTGTCCGGGAGGTAGTCATTATAATTCGGGGCTGCTGCCCACTTGGATGGATAACCGGCGTTCTGACTGACTGTGTCGGCCAGTAGATGATGAGGGGAGGTGTGGGTTGCTTCGGGCGGGGTTGATATTTTTTGGTTGGGTGCATGCGATGAACATACACAGAGACGGAAAGACGCGGGGCGTTGTTTTCTTCTTGGCTGTTTTCATTTCGGTGATTTTTGCTTCTATTAGAGCGATGGGTAACGGGGCAGTCTTGAGTTGGTCCCGGTTTGTTTCACTTTCTGCATTGGGGACTGGGCTGATGGTGGAGTGTGGGTATTGGCGGTTTTCGGCGGCTGGTGTGTGTTGGAAGGCTACCTATTGCGGGAGTTGCTGAAGAGGGTGTTTGGGGTGGTGTGCATGCTTGTCCAGTAATTACTTCTGTCGTCTTCGTACGGTGAGGATAGGGCAAGCTGAGGGATGGTGAGGTGAGAGGCCATGACAAGGCTGCTATCGTCTTCCTCTCGAGGTAGATGAGGCAAGTCCCCTGATTCCATGCTACGAGGATGGGGCGGCTTGGCCCTGGTGTTGCGACACCAACGGTGTGGGAATACAAGTAACTTTGAAAGCAGTTTATGCCCGAGGGCTGGAGATGAATCCCCTAATCCCCTATTATTACTTACCTACGTCACTTGATGTGCAAGCTCTTTCTGTCTGCTTGCACGCTTACTGGTTTCGGGCCGCGAGTAAAGTGTAGAGAATCAAAATCTTCCCCTTGTTTGATATGATCGGATATGATTTATCTGCGGCGGTTCCTCGCAAGCTCTCAGGTTTTATATCCGTTGTCATTCAATGAATTCAATGAGCAAAAGAGACCCAATCACCCGAGTTAATGCCCCGTTTTGATAGACATTGTCGATCTTGTATCTTTCCGTCACATCTTCCGCATCCGACAGAGCAAGCAAGGATCGCTGTCCGTTCCCGCATCTCGGAGGGTACTGTGCGTGGTTTGACAGGGTTTGAAAGTCCGTAAATCGCAGTTTTGTAAGGGAACCCGTCTTGGTACAGTTTTACCCGTTCACAACACTGTCTTGTGGTTTGTCGGGCCCCCGCCGAAGTCCTGAGCAGCGGGTCGTCGTCCCTGGCTAAGCGTGTTCACCTTTGACCTCCGCCAAGTTCTTCCAGGCGTGGAATGCGCCGTCGTGTTTGGAAGAAATCGAAGAATGGCGTGCTAAAGCTATGATGCTTTCCACGGGCGCTGATCTGTGGGTTTTTTCTTGGATATACTTATATGTTAGGTAGGTAAACAACAAGGGCCATCGCAAGGGTGTTTAACACCCGTCTCGGCGTCAGGCAGCCGAGACGGAACCGGCTTGTTGAAGGATGATCGGGGGACAGATCTCTCGGATTCCGTAAACGGGACATTGTTTAACGATTGGCTTTTGGGATTGAGTGCGCTCTGAATGATTTTGTGTTGGTGAGAATTGGAAAGAAAAATCAAAAGAACCAGCCATCATGAGCGTTCAACGGGCCAAACAACGACACTCCCTTGGGTTGATAGCAGCTCTGCTCCCCTCACTTATCCAGGCGACTCTCGGCCACGGGTCGCTAACCCAATACTCTGCCTCGCTCCAATTTCCCTTGGAACCACCTACGCTCGACGTATCCTGCCCATTGCCAGTGGATGACAGAGTCGGAAACGGGCCAGTAGCAAGCACCTCTCTCTGGACACACCAGCCGAAGTGTGAGTTTTCAAAGGGTGCGACGAAGAAGTACTGCGCCTACACAAACTCCCAACATGGACCTCGCGGATGGAGCATCGTCACCAGGCCCGAGACGGCGGCGGACAGCGCGTCATTCCTAAACTACCCCTTGAACATGACCTGGCCGGCCGACAACAACACTCAGGGAACGGCGGCGGCGCCATACAAACTCGTCGATATTCCAGGCAGGGGGATAGGTGTGGTCGCAACCCGGCAGATCAAGCAGTACGAGGAGGTTATGTTGGACTACGCCACGGTGCTCGTGGATATCATGTTCACGACGGAGGTCTCGGCGTTCCTGGGGTACCGGCTCTTGCATGCAGCCGTGGACCAGCTGGCGGATCCGGACAGCGTGCTGGCGCTGGAGCAGAGCAATGGGTATGCGCGGGATAAGGTGGAGAATATTTTGCGGACGAACGCGTTTAATACACCGCTTGGGGATGTGCCGCATATTGCGCTGTATCCCTTGGTTTCGGTGAGTTGTCGTGTCGTGTTTTTGCCCAAACCATGGTTTTCGGGGGCGTATCCCAGGCTGACTGACGTCTCGGCCATGACAGAGAATCAACCACGGTTGTAACCCAAAGTAAGTCTTGATACATTCATAATCATAGGTGTGGCGTCTTCGCCCCTCCAGAACTAATTAACCCTATCAGTGCCTATACTCGCTTTAGACATGAAACCCTCCAATTAAGCATTGGCGCCCTTCGCGACATCGCCGAGGGCGAGGAGATCACTCATAGCTGTAATCCCTCACCCTTCTCCTTCCCCGTATGAATGCCATACTAATTCTGCCCAGACATCCCACTCGGCCTTACCAGCGTCGAACGCGCCCAGAAACTCCGTCCCTGGGGGTTCACCTGCACCTGTTCCCTCTGCACAGCCCCCACAGATGAGATCGCCGCCTCTGACGCCCGCCGACGCGAATTACAAGAACTCAACGGCGCAGCCCGGTCCGCCTTTCAAGCCGGCCGCCCATATGAAGCGCTGCGTCTCACGCGGCAGATCTTGGCACGGCTGCCGCGCGAGGACTTGTTGTTTGGGCTGGGCTCGGAGCAGTATGAGAATTTGGCGAGGGTGTATTACGTGCTTGGAGAGAAGGCGGAGGCTGAGAAGTATGTGCGGAAAGCGTTGGGGATCAGGGTGGAACAGGGTTATGACGAGGGGCCGGTGGGGGAAAGGGAGGTGGAGGTGGTGTTGAGTCGGTTTGCGGAGGAGGAAGGTGTGAGGTATTGAGCTGGAGAGATTGATGGCGATGAGGGCGGTGGTGAAGGGAACAGGGAGGGCCAAGGGGGTTGTCTGTTAAGTGGATTCGAGATTCTGGTTCTTTTACGCAGATCGAGTTGTCGACGGCGGCCGGGAAGTTGGTGCTTGCTCGGTCGTACGGGGATAAGGGGGGGAACTGCCCACGTAGTCCCTTGATTCCTCCAGTACCGATGTAGTAGACAAGCGTCTATTGGGTGCGCCTCAAGGTCGGGAGACTAGTACACAGTACATATTCCAAATTCCGGGGTACGGTTCATCAACTTATTACCGGAAGGCTGCCACATACGGATATGTAGTGTTCATACTATTAATAACAAGGGGGAACAGACCCTTACAAGCGTCCGGCTTACTTACACTACACGTGTAGTGTAATTACATGGAGCGAAACCGCCAGTGATCAGGCGTGTCAGATTATTGCTTTTGCATATTCTCAAGATCTCGTCCACCCAAATTCGAGGCAGAGGAACGAAGTCCTCGACCTACCTTTGACGCAACGGGCAAGTTTGTCCGATATGTTCCAGAAGCCGGTACCCCTGTGTAACGACTGACTCGATCGAGTTCACGAAATGAACACCAGAACCTTGTATCGCGACAATGGTGGGTAGGTAGGTGATGTCCATGCGCCAAACCAGGAACCCCAGCAGACTTCTGGTTGGGACCTGGATCTCTTCCTGGATTTCGACTTTGCAGGTCCTGCTCGGTGCTTGCCAGTGGTAAGTCCCGCCAAGACTGTCTCGGCCTTGACTGTTAGGCCTAGTGTACTTATGTAGGAGAGTGATGTTTGAGCAATGCTGCGAATGCGGGAACGGGCACGACGGGTTGTCACGACTTTGGGTGAAGTGGGTTCTCGGTGGAGTACCGGCCATCTTGGACGAGGGGTGCGGAGTTTTGAGTGTTCGAGCCTCGCCCAGGCACGCCAGGAGACTCATGTCTGTGACCTTGGCTTGTCAAGATTTGTGATCCCGTGCTTCTTCCTCCTGCAAGTAATTCAGGGGGTAAGGACCGATGTTGCCAAGGATGCGGGGTGGAGGAGCCGCCATGTGTCGGTCCCGGCGCTGAGCGCTCCACGACATTTGTTGACTGACATTTTTATTCATCGTGAAGGTGTCATGAGAATCTAGATTCATTGTCGCCCGCTCTCTCGAGGCGGTGAAGAACAGGTCACCGGCGCCAAATGTAACACAAGCGCCCGGGACCGTTCGCATGCAAACCGAAGGATCGATCTCACGGCGAAAACGCACAGAAACGATAGTTGCGGCGAGAACACAACATGTGGTGCGTCGTCGCATCGGCAATCCTTTCAGAGCTTGCGGGGTTGATCCTTCGACCCCATGTCCAGCGGCTCACTGAACCCCAACCTTGATTGTGACAAGCAGACAATTCGAGGTAATGTTACCTTTTCGTGCGGAGGCTCCGAGAAGAGAAGAGTTGGGACCCAAGGACCCCGCGAGGGATGAGACTGCGGGAAAACATGGATTTGGTCGGATGTGTAACCATACATAGCCATAATTCCTTTCCTCCCCACATTCTTCATTCGCAAGATCGTTTTTCTTCACCGAGGATGGAACAACCTCCACCGAAGTTGGTTGGAATCTGGATTAACGTGTGGAGGAAAGGTAATTTTGAAGCAGGATTCAAGTGCGGGGAAGGAGCTGGGGTGAAGTTGGGGTTGGGCTGGGGTTTTGGAATTCGTGTGGAGAACATCCCCTGCACACTGTCTTTGCACAGTGCCGAAGGATGCATCCAGTGCTTCCTTCCCGCCCGTGGGCAGGCCATTTGCAGGACCACTGCCAACTTCTTCCACTTCACAGAAAGGAGGCATGGATTTTCATCCGTTTTCTGTTTTCGTCACCAGTTGTCCCACTTGCCACGAGGACGAGCAGGCAAGCGGTAAAAACTTTACTTCTCGCATGTACTGTACTATTCTTGTGAAAGAGACGCTCTTCGCAAACCGGCGACCCAATACGGATTACGAGCTAAACCTTCTCAAACGCCTTCGGCACTGGCGTCGTTTTGATCGGACCGATATCCACACAACTTGGCCTAGTCAAACACCAGCACATCGAATAACAAATCATTCGAAGCCGACGTCAGCCAAGCACTCGGCACCGAGTGCCAAGGCTGACGCGGCAACGGCTGCCGTGCCGGGGGCGGGCACGGCGTTTTGCCCCATGGGCGAAGGTCGGTATTTCCGGTCGGCACGCGACAAAGATTTAACTAGTGGCCGTTGAAGGTGTTGACCGGACGCCGGATGGGGAGAGAAAGGAGAGGACAAGAGCGTCTTGCGATGTCAAAAATAAACCCCATGTGAAACAGAACCACGATCGACGGGAACCGGACCATGTCCTTGGGTTTTGACAGGCACGACAGATTCGGATTCCTCCACAGAACAGCGGGAACGACCGGTTTTCTGTGCAAGCCAGCACCAAAGTTGCAGCACAGGAGGCCCGTGGCCCTCGTGGCCCGCCCGCGCCCACACAGTTTGAAAACCCAATCCGATTCTGTCCACACAGGCAAGACAGGCACACACACAGAGAAACACATTCCTGCTTCGCAAGGGACGGCTGAAGGATCGTCACTGTGCGCCTCCTGATATGGCTCACTGGGCGAGCCTACGAGCGAGCCTGCTCGCTCCTGGCGCGATCGTTTGATGCGAGAAACTTTGCGCGCTGGCTTGGCTGGTGCATGGCACAGAACTTTACAGATCCCTGGCTTCGGCTCACTTTGTCACCTTGGTCACCCAGGCTCTCTCGCTCGGGTATGCCCCGGTGGATGCCTTGATTTGTGCTTGGTTCTTCCCCCGGCCACCCCCGGACCCCAGGACCCCGAATTGCATCTCGTTGGTACGTTCCAGCTTGGCGATGGTTGATCGCTTCCGTCTCCTGCCCTCTTGAGGGGCGCTGGTGGAGCAGCCTTGCAGTTGGATTGCAGGGGTCGTGCTCACCCATGCAACCAATTCGTGCCATTGCAGGCCACAGCAGAACATGCTGCCCATGTTGACAAGCTTGATGCGACGAGACGGCGGCGTGAGCTGGACAGACGGCCGGCCGGCCACATGCTTTGGTGGGTGGATGTTTGGGTAGCACGCGCCCGCCCGTAGTCTGCGGGATGCGGTCTGGGTGCCGAAAAGCAATTGATTTATTAGACCAATACCGCTCCCGGTTTTCGACACGCTTCTAGGTTCCCCCTTCCTTCTCTTCCTCGGACGAACCTGCTCTACTCCAGGTAATTGGCCTGCGTGAGCTTTGTGTGAGAGTCTAGGAAAGGAGACCACCACTACCACTGCCCTTGGTGCACGCGTTGTCCGTAACTCATCGCTACCATGGCGGACCGCAAGAGCTCGGACATCCGAGCAGACAGCGATCAAATGTGAGATCAAGTTTGGTTTAAACGTGGAATTACCTGACCAAAAACCGGAGCTGACTTCGCCTTTGTCTGAATAGCGCCGAGTCAAAGGGTGTTGCTGGCGCCCCTCTGGAGAAGGGTGTCTCACACACAGAACATGTTGACCTGAACCAAAACCTTCAAGCTAGGTAAGTTAGGAAGCACATCGAAGGCAGCCAGCTGGGAATCAACACTCACACGCTCGTTTTTCCCAAACTCTAGGATCAGGAATCCCCTCGAGGGCCTTTCCCACGCGGAGCTTATGAGCCGCGTTGAGGTCTTTGCTCAGGAAAAGGGCCTGACCGAGCACATCGGCTTGCTGCGCAAGGGCGCCCTAGTCGCGCAGGACCCGGAGAACTACGAAAACATCGGAGGCGAGGAGGCTCTCGACGAGGAAGAGAAGGCCGCCCTGCACAAGGAGGCCAACCACAAGTGGCGGCTCCCGGGGCGTCTTTACCTCACCATCATCACCTGCTCCATCGGTGCCGCTGTCCAAGGCTGGGATCAAACGGGCATCAACGGCGCCAACATCTTCTTCCCCAAGGTCTACGGCATCGGTAGCGACAGCACGCGCGATACTCTTCTGGTCGGTCTGCTCAACGCCGGCCCCTACATTGGCAGTGCCTTCATCGGGTGCTGGCTCTCGGATCCTATCAACAACTGGTTTGGTCGCCGCGGCGTCATTTTCCTCTCGGCTCACTTCTGCGTCTGGCCCGTCATCGGTTCTGCTTTTTGCCATGCGTGGCCTGAGCAGCTTGCTTGCCGCCTTCTCATGGGTATTGGCATGGGTGTGAAAGCATCAACTGTGCCCATTTACGCGGCTGAGAACTCGCCTGCTGCTATCCGTGGCGCGCTTGTCATGTCCTGGCGTAAGTTCTTTGTCATTGCCGGCTCTTAAGTCATACGGTATGGATCAAAGGAAGGCAAAGCTAACGAGACGTGCTAGAAATGTGGACTGCGTTCGGTATTTTCCTCGGCACCGCCTTCAACCTCGCTGTCTTCTACACCGGTGATATCAACTGGAGGCTGATGATCGGTAAGTGCGCCCCCTTCAATTGAAATCCTTGGAATGGATTTCGCCCCCCCGAAGGATTCGTATTCAAACACTGGATCGATTGTTAACCACTTTCCTCAACAGGCGCGCCGTTCATCCCCGCCATTCCCCTGCTCCTCCTGATCTACGTATGCCCCGAGTCGCCCCGCTGGTACATGAAGAAGGACCGGTATGTCGACGCCTGGAAGTCGATGATTAAGCTGCGCAACCACCCGCTCCAGGTTGCCCGCGACATCTTCTACATCCACTCCCAGCTGGAGCTCGAGATCCAGCTGCTCCAGAACACCAACTATGCCAAGCGCTTCGTCGAGCTCATCACGATCCCGCGTGTGCGCCGTGCTACGCTCGCGGCCTTCACCGTCATGATTGCCCAGCAGATGTGCGGCATCAACATCATCGCTTTCTACTCGACTTCCATCTTCAAGGACAACGGTTCCGACGACTTCCAGGCCCTACTTGCCTCCTTCGGCTTCGGTCTCATCAACTGGCTCTTCGCCTTCCCTGCCTTCTGGACCATCGATACCTTCGGCCGCCGCTCTCTGATTCTGTTTACCTTCCCCCAGATGGTCTGGACCCTCCTTGCTGCCGGTCTGTGCACCCTCCTTGATCAGGGCACTACGCGCACTGCGTTGGTCGCCTTCTTCGTCTACCTGTTCGCCATGTTCTACTCACCCGGTGAGGGGCCGGTGCCGTTCACCTACAGCGCCGAAGTGTTCCCGCTGTCTCATCGTGAAGTCGGCATGGGTTTTGCCGTCGCCACCTGTCTCTTCTGGGCCGCGGTTCTGAACATCACTTTCCCCTTCCTGCTCAAGCAGGCTACCGTCCTCGGCGCCTTTGGCTGCTATGCCGGGTTCAACCTGGTGGCCTTTGTCATGATCTTCTTCTGGGTCCCCGAGACGAAACAGCGCACGCTCGAGGAGTTGGATTACGTGTTTGCCGTGCCGACGAGCAAGTTCGGTCACTACCAGGTGACCAAGACGCTGCCGTGGTTCTTCAAGCGCTGGGTCCTGTTCCAGCGCAGTGCGAAGTTGGAGCCACTGTACCACTTCGATAATGAGAAGAAGGCGACCAGGGAGGGTGCGGCGGATGGGCCTGCTACACCTTTGGCTGAGACCAAGAAGGAGGAGTCCGCTTAAAGAGCTGAGCGCGTGCCTTCCCGCGGCTGAGTTTTCTTTGACGGTCTGATTTGTGGTGTGTGTGGTGGTATGAATCCATAAACGACGGATATGAATGAATTTAGTAGCGTGGAGGCGGGTTGGTCGGTCGGTAGTATTGTTGGGCCGTAGATTAATTGCTTTTTACGGCGATGGGTTGATGGTTGGGTTGTGGCGGTAGTTGGCGCGTTCTTATTATTCTTCACGCCTACGGGCCCCAGGTGTGCGCTTGGGAATATTTATACCAGTCTTCAACGGCGGTATTTGCCGTTCTGCTCTGCGTTATTGTTCATCTTGAAGTGATGCCTTCGTGGTTTCCGATATCCGTGTTCTTTAACTGATTAAGGGATGCTACTAGAGGGATCTAATACCAGCATTTCCAAGCTCGTCACGGTTGTTTAGAGCCTTACGGCTGCTTGCTTGTATGGTATGGTGTTGGAATTATTTCGATATCCTAGAGACTTCAAGCAGGTGAACAACACTATTACACCGTTAGAGAGCTGAGTCGACCAAGCCCGTCGATTGCATAACCTCCCCCCCTTGATAAATACCTAGTAATGCCGATTCCACGGAATCTCCAGAGCACCGTCCTCCCATCCCGTCACGACCTGGACCCTCTTGGAGCCCACAAACCGGAAATACACCGTCCATGACTTCCTCTTATACGGCCACGGATCCTTCCCAAAGAAATCATTCGTCATCCTAACCTGACCCCAACGCCCCTCAAAGTGATTCGACAACACCGACAACACCGCCGGCGCCTCAACCCGCTTCGGCCCAAACACCACCGCCAAAATATCCACCTGCCCATTCGCCCCCGCCCGCCACGGCCGCTCCAACACCCCATGAAAAAACCGATCCCCTTGCTGGCCTGCACCCTCCCCCAACCGCTGCCGCTGCGAAGCAAACGCCGCCTCCTGCCGACTCAACACCACCTTCCCCGGACTGGCATCCTCCGACGCATACACCAACCTCGTGACATCCTCCGGGTCGTCGTCAAACCGGTACAGAATGGTGAGGACTTTCACTTTGCCCGGTGCTGGATCGGGTCGCAGCGCGACGTTGAGAGAGCGCAGGTTGAGGGTTAGCGAGTTGCTGTCGCCGACGAGTTTTTGGATGTCCGGGGTTACGACGACGCCGCCGAAGGTGGCGCCGAGGATTTGGAGCTCGTTGGGACGGGGGGCGGCGATGGATTCTTCGTAGGAGGGGATGGGTTCTAGGTTGGTGAGGTTGTTGTTGTTGTTGGGATTCCAAGGGTTGGTGTCGTCTTGTTCGGTGAAGCGGGAGACGGTGCTGGGGTTGGTGGAGGTGGTGAAGAGGGCGTCGTCGTCGGCGTCGGGGTCGTTGTTTTGGAGGGTGACTCGGGTGAGGTTCGTCATTTTGAGTGGGGGGTTGCAGGTGGTCTGATTAAGCTTTTTTTTGAGATCGAGAGTTGGTCTTGTTCGTTGTCTTGTTGATTATATCTTCAAGCTGGAAGTTTCTGTCCCCTGTAATCAATGGGATTGGCGATGTCTGCAAGTGGGATGGTCCAATTTGATCCAGAAAGAAGCTCCAAAGCTATTATGTCTTGTCCCGTTTAAAATTCAAGTGATGATGTGTTGACCATTGGGGGCCTTGGGAGCGCGCGTGACGAGCGGGTAGTCGTCAGCTCCGGGCGGGGCAGTGCCGGGTTGGCTGCGATTGGGCGGCCCGAGCATTCTGGAGACGATTCCCGCAGCACGCCTCGACCCGGCCTTTGCCCCCGCATGAAAGTTACCTGTTGGCGGTCTCGGATGCCGTATCAGGGCGACTCAGACTCCAAGTGGACGACATTGGGGGAAGACGTGGCGGGTGACCCGAAATCGCTGGACACTACCCGCCGAAACGGATAAAGGTTGATGTCGGGTTTCTGCAGTTCTACACCAAGATACTGGGCCGTGAATAATTCTTCGAAATTCCAACTTAACTTCTATTTTGTATGATTTCGTGATTCAACCCCAAAACAAGAACGGTTTGCTTTTCTCGCCATGCTCCCAGTTTCTACTCTCGTATTCATCTTCACTCTTTCAATTGCTGTTGTAGTCATTACCCGTCATCGTCCTTGGTCTCGCCATCGATACCAGTTCCCGAATTCCCATATTGATAGTTCCGAAAAATCAACTTCCGTTGGGGACGATAAGGAGAATGAAGATGGAAATCCCCCAAAATGGGGTTCAGGTATTGAGCCTCTTGACGGCTTCGACTGGAGAGCTACTCCGCCATTGAAACTGAGACCGTTCAAGCCGATATTCAATGTCACAATGGGTACATATTACCACATCATTGACTGATAATTTCCTTACCAATGCAAGCCTATAATTCAGGGGTAATTACTTTTACTAACGAATTGCCGTTAGCCATCCAAAATAGCACCCCCTCCGACCTTATCGTCATGGACTGCAACTACCTCGACCGAGTGACCGGCCGCCGCCAACTCATTGACAAACACGGATCATTGCTCCATGGTGCTACCCCCTCTGGGGCCGCAGCAGTCCAAGAGCTTTACACATACCTTCTCGGCACATACCTCCCGACACGGTACCCAAGTATGTTTACCATCAAGCAAGAGGGGGTCCCAGGCCCCGAGCTTCAACCCCCCCGAACAATTGTCACTGTCTTTCACAATAAAGTCACCGACAGGACGTTTCCTCTCTCGCCTCCACGATTCAACCCGTCAGAAATGCTCAGAATTCTCGGTGAGACGGTTGAGGAAGACATGTTTCTCCTGTTACGAGACCAAGTCCAAAGCGGGGAAGGCAACTCTCCAAACAAACAAGAACACCGGTCTGTGGCCTTTGTATGCTGCCACCCTGCTGGATTCGACCCGTCTGAGAAGCTGGGCATGAGGTTGGCCGAGATCCATGGACCGGTTCCTGGATACGAGAAGATTGGAGCCAGCATGGAGCGGTACTTTGCTCGACTTGAGATTGGGAGAAGCGTGAAGCGGGTGAATGTAGGTTACCCTGCCTCAAACTTACTTTCAACCTCACACTATACCTAATCATACCCGGTCATATCCCCTAACATTATCTCAACCACAGTGGTCCATCCAAACCCACCCCAACCTCTACGCCCCCAGTTCCAGCGGCAATCACATCTACACCCACCCAAGCAACCAACACCAACCCACAGACCAAGACCAAAACCAAGATAACCACCAACCCCACCACCAAAACAACGCCACCCCCCAACCCGACCCCCAACAAGCCATATTCCGCGTCGAACGACAAACCCTCACCCGCCTCCCTCAAACCCGCGCCATCCTCTTCAGTTTCAAGACATACATGTACCCGCTCTCTGAGATCCGGGAGGAAGGACTCGGCCCGCAGCTCGCGGATGCCATTGAGGGGCTGCAGAAGGGGAATGCGCCGGGGATGTGGGTGTATAAGGGGGGTGTTAAGTGGGGGGAGTCGTTGAAGGGTTATTTGAGGGGGTGATATGAAGTGCGCGTGTTTGAGTGGTATTGGGCGTTGGGTCGGGGATGTGTGTTCATGATGTGGGATTGTTTCGTGGGTGCCCCGGTGATCTTTGAAAAGTAGCAGGTGAAGGTTACGATGCTAATGTTCGAAGACGATTTTAAGAACCCGCCATTGTTTTGGAGGCCGCACTTGTTTGTCTATAATAACTAGCTTCTACCGCTAAAGCCTTACAATAAAACACTGCTGGGAATCCATTCAAGCGCTTTCCTAAGAACATTTTACATCATGTCGCCTCGGTAATTAAGACTCAAGGAGTGACGCACCAAACGTGCTGACGGCATTCCGTAACGTGAGGGCAACATTGTTGGGCGCCCAAAAATGGGTGGCACTCGACACCTCATGGGCCCGAAACTTGGAACCGTCCACATTTTCCAGCCGGGAGGCCCACTCTCGAAGCTTCCGCACAGGCACAAATCCGTCCCGATCGCCGTAGATGGCGAGAGTGGTGTGATGCACGAGCTTGTCTTCCGCTTCGGTTGGGGTTGTATGGAGAATGGCGCCGTCCGTCTCAGGGGTTTCCGACTCAGCCGCCGTCTCGCTGCCTCTCAGCGAGAACCGAGCCCAGGCTTTTCCCGGTGCGCTTAGGAGTGGTGGGAGAGACATGGAGGCGAGGTTCGTGATGATGCCTTGTAAAGGTGAAACCAGCAGATAGGCCGGGGAGGGTGCGAGAAAGTTAGCAACGGGGAGTAGGTGATTGGGTGCGGCCTCTTCGGTTCCGTTGGGGGTCTGCGGCGGATGGATCCTCCCGCTCCGTGATCGCCGGTGTCCCTTGCGGGTACGCGCCATCAGCTCGGCCACGCCATGCCGTATCGTTTCCTCGAAATCTGCTGATCGAGAGCGCGGAGACTCGTGGCTCGTCCGCCGACTGCTCTCGTCCCCACCCACCCGTAGACCGACGTGCTTTCGAGGCGATCGAGGCCCGAGATGCGTCACAGAGGCTTCGCGGGCGCTTGCTAGCACAGTATTCTGCATTTCAGCGAGGTGCTGTGCTCGCAGACGGATCTCGGCGGCGGGTGTCCCACATTCTGGGGCATTGAAGAGACCGACTATCGACCCGAGGGATGGGAGCTGGCTCGTGATCATGGAGCCGTACGAATACCCTCCTTGCAGCAGGACAGGTGTGATGGATTGAGCAGCGGTATCTGCTGCATGACAGGCCCCGTCGATGTCTGCGTTTTCAGCCACAACCGGCGTACCGTCCCGGAACGGTTCAAGGAAGTGTGCGTAGTGAGTCACAAAGCCAACAATGGACATGTAATCGGCTCGTTCCGCTTTGGCCGTCCAGGAAGTTCGGCCAGCGGAGCCATGGGCACCTCTGCACGAAGCTGGTATCAGCGGGTTCCTGCAGCATTCGGATATCCGAAAACCTACCTGAAGTTGAACGTCCCGATAAGAAAGCCTAGGCGTAACAGGGTCCCCGCAACGATATCCACGATAGGGTCATCGTAGCATCCGCCAAGCGGGGCATAAGGATGCGCTATAACGGCAGCATGTTTTTGCCATGGTGGGGAGTTGGGGTTGGCATCTAGAGATTGAGGGTGGTAAATGCGACAGTCGATGGGAAGCCCGTCGTGCAGGCTCGGCACGGTAAAGGTCAGGCTCGGTCGTGGGAGCACCGGATATTCCATGATTTCTTTTGGCTTCGCAGATCGTGATTGATGTTCGCACGCCCGATTTTTTGGCTGGGAGCAAGTGCAGCCCAGAGGGCGACGAGCCGGAGGCGCCGTCACCACAAGATGGCGCCGAGTGGCATACGAGGGACGCGTATGCCCTTGAAAGAAATTCGTGGCTCAACGTTTGGGAAGCTGTTATCCATCTCAACGAGTGCCAGCTGGATTTCTCGGCATTCCAGCGGGGCAGCTGGCGCTGTGGGTCGCCCTCTCACCTGCCAGCTGGCCAATCGTGCGCTTTAGAATTGAATGCATCAGCTGCTTCAGTTATCAACGATCCTTAACTAATAACTAAAGTTGAAGGTCAAGGCTTTTCAGCTGTTTGTTATTTCTTCTTTTCCCCTTTTTCTTTTCTTTCAGGCTTGATATAATCGTTTTAATTCTACCAACATTACATACCTTCGTAACGACTTTTCTGTCCTACCATTCCTAAACACTATGTGTCGTTCCTTAGGGACCTGAGCTTCATTGAGTGCGAAGGTCCCGGAAAATGTCAGTGCAGTCATTTCCCCATGCAGTACGACCCTGGGCACGGTTTCTGGGCTGCCGGTAGACATTACCTGACCACCAAGAGGTTGAGTGACACAGCAGAACTCAACCCCACACAACCGAAACCTCAAGGGTCGCGGACGTGAATTTCAGTCACTTCTAGACTCCTTCGGTGCTTCCAGAGGATCGTTCAACACGTTTGGCGCTCGTGGCGTGAGATCTTGATCCTGAAGAAAGAACGGAGATATTCCCGTTTTAGGACATCGCATGGAGCTGCCCGAGTCGTGACCTGGCGGTGACAGCCCCAACTCAAACCCTCTGAGTGGAGCGGTGGAGTTTCGGTGTCCGGGTGTCGCGAAGCCGGGACGCGGGCGCCCGCGGTGATGGAAGCCTCGATATGATATGTCTTCTGTCATGGCAAACGACGTGTGTCCAACGGTACTGGGCACCAATAGCACCTGTACACTTTGTCATGACTTGAAGAGAATCTGGGCTCCCCGTAGGTGTAATGCATTGGAAGGCATGAATAAGGCCCCGGGCACTGTTGTGGCGGCCCGCTCCACCGATGTGTATGTACGTCCTCGATGTACGGGTACAAAGTACATGACGCAGTTGGCCCCGAGAGCCCCCACTCGCCTTAATGGAACAGCCAATCAGGGCTCCCCACGCACTTTCCCCACGATTTCCCGCTGTCGCTTCCGGCGCTCTTCTCAGATCTCTTCAGTGGGGAGCCCCGCCAATCCACGCCCTCCAATACCCCGTTTGGGCGAAAGGGACGGCGTCGGATTTCGTCAGGTGGCCTTTGTTACCGGTGCGTGATCCCGAGAACGTTGGATCGGGCAGGAAACGAAGATCGAGGCCCTCCGCTGTCTCGCTCACCGACTCTCTTCTCCTTTTTACATAGTATTATATCTCTATCCCACGTTTCGCCCGAGCCCCGGTCGACAACCTTGATCGTCCCCAATGAGTAACGCGACATTGTTTTGAGCCAGCGAGAAAGTAAGCGGCTGGACGACTTCCAACGGACAGAACGCCTCGGTTTCCAGCAGCAGTCGACTGCATCATATCGACGAACACTCAACACCCACCCGGGGCTTGCGTTGCCCTAATTTGCGCTCCCCGCCTTCTCCAATCCGCTTAAATCCTCGATCAACCGGATGCAGACCGTCCTCGCCTTGTCGAACTCCCAACAGCCCACTTGCGATAGGATAGGAGGGTTTCAATATCCCTCCCACTCTCCCGCGCCTGCCCATGGTCGCCGACATGCCCGACCTCCTGGTGCATAGACCGCACGGAGTACAAACACCGGCCGCCGCCGAAGCAGGCGCGAAGGCACCTGCACGTCCGGACCAGGCCAGAGGACTGAGGAGGAGGAAGAAGAGCCAGGATCATGGCCAGTCTCACGTGGTCCGACTTGCGCGGAGCGTAGGAAATCTTGCTCTGACATGGCGAGATGGCCTCACAGCGTCGGAACGCGAGAATAAGAGGAGGAAGGAGGAGCGGAAGCAGATCCTCGCTGCCCGCATGCAAAGCGTAAGCCCTATTGTACCCCGCTGTTGCCTTGGATTGGGTATTAATATCACCGTTCACATCTACAGGCTCAAAGGGCCCAAGACTGGGAAGAAGCCGCGTGTGAGCTTGACGAACTCGAAGGCAACAATGACTGGAAGCTCCACGACACGGTAGATGACTGCGACTACGACCCGGGCCTGATTCGCGCGAGTATGGAAGCGTTAGATGCGGCCCGAGAGAATTGCGATATCAGCGCAATGATGTACCTGATCCGCACTGCGTTGTCCCGTGACATAGGGGGCATGGGAAACGTCCAACTCTATCGCAACTCGTACCTCGGGACAAAGGCGCTTATTGAGTGCTACGTCGACTCGGCGGTCAAAACCGTTGATGCGGCGGTAAACATGGCGGTCCAAACCGAGCTCCACCCAAGAGAGCTGCTGGAGGGGATGATAGCGGCGAGACAGAGCTTCGGGCGGAGCGCTTTGCTGCTCAGCGGAGGGGCCACATTCGGCATGGCGCATATCGGGGTGCTCAAGACGCTGTACGAACAACAGCTGTTGCCCCGCATCATGTCAGGCGCATCAGCCGGGTCCATCGTTTGCGCCGTTCTCTGCACGCGCAAGGACGATGAGGTTCCCGATTTGATCAGGATGTTCCCCTTCGGTGACTTGGGCGTCTTTGAGGGGGAGAAGGAGTCGCTTATGGACCACATGCGCAACCTGCTTACTACTGGTAGCTGGTCCGACATCACGAATTTGACCCGGGTCATGCGCTCTTTGTTGGGCGACGTGACGTTTCAGGAGGCGTACAACCGGACGCGGCGGATTTGCAACATATGCGTCTCTTCGGCATCCATCTACGACGTCCCACGGTTACTCAACTACATCACTGCGCCAAATGTTATCATATGGTCAGCCGTTGCCGCCTCGTGCTCGGTGCCCATGATTTTCCAGGGCCATCCCTTGTTGATGAAGGACCCGGATACCGGCGCCCACGCACCGTGGATTCCTACACCGCAACAATTCATCGACGGATCTGTCGAGAACGACCTTCCGATGACCCGTCTTGCCGAAATGTTCAACGTCAACCATTTCATCGTTTCGCAAGTTAACCCTCACGTTATTCCTTTCCTCCCTCGGGACGAGCATGTCGTGCCGGGGCAACTCGGCGAAAAGAAGAAATCGATTGCCGATAACCACGAATGGCTCTATAACGCCGCCTCGGTCGCGCGGGAGGAGGGCGCCCACCGCATGCAGTACCTTGCGGACTTGGGCATCTTCCCAAACCTCCTCACAAAGCTGCTATCGGTCATGAGTCAGAAGTACTCGGGTGATATCAACATCCTGCCCGAAATCGCGCTAAGCGACATCCCGCTCATGCTCAAGAACCCCACTCCCAGTTTCATGCTGCGAAATTGTCTGGTCGGCGAACGCGCGACCTGGCCTAAGCTTAGTCGGATCCGTGACCGCCTCGCTATCGAACTCGCCTTGGACCAGGCTGTTCATGACTTGCGCGCCCGTGTCGTCTTCAGCCGCAGTCAAGTCAACCTACGCCGCGCCATGGGGGTTTGGGAGCCCATGACCTACCGCCACCCCGGCGCTCCCGACTCACCCAGGGCAGATTCCTCAGGCGCTTTCCTCAGCGTACAGCACAGCTCCGGCGAGGCCACACCGTCGGAGGAGCGGTCCTTTGGACGCCGCAGGGGCTCGGGGGCGAGTATCCAACTCGTGGCTGCCCGGCACAAGAAACCCTTCTTTCACGTTAGTAACGATGACGACATGTCAGATGAAGACGATAGTCTCGAATTCCGGGTCCGTCCTTCGCGGGCGAAGGCGGCGTCGACGGTGACATCCCTGACGGCAGGTCGTGGTGGGAGCAGCTCCGCATCGGGATCCGGAAATGGCGGTCTTCGGCCCCCGCGCCTTAAGAGGAACGCGAAGAGCCAAGGATTTATGCGTGGTGGTAGACCCGTCTCTCAACCCGAGGTTTACACCGAGTTTGGCCCGCGAGGGCCCTTGCTTCCGACAGATCTACAGGCCGGTGACCAACTTACTGATCTAGTTTCCGGCTTCACGCAGGGTGACGCTGAGGCAGGATTAAACGACAGCTCCGCCACAACAGCAACGGCCGTGGAAGGAGGAGATGGGAGCACCAGCAGCGACCGCCCGTCCTCTGCAGAGGCGTTCGCTACCGCCATTCGTCGTCTACGGCACAGCCCATTATCGTCGGTAGCGAGAAAGTTGATGAGCAGCGATACGTGTGATCAGATGTCAGAGGGCTTGCAGAGCCCGAGTGATACGGACCCGTATGCCGAGGCGGCGGAGTTTGGGCATTCTCATGGATCCAAGACGTTGAAGAGAGAGGAATCGTCTAAGTTGCGGTACTCGGACCCTTGAGGTACCAGAGTGGTGCGGCTTTGCAGTGCGGTTGAAGGTTGTGTGTGTAGGGGAGGAAGGGGGTCAGAGCTGGCCTGCTAGTTTCTTTTTGGGTGGGTTATGCCTCTTTTTAAGTGAGGCGGATTGCAACAACACGGCGTTTTGGAGAACAGTGGCTTGGTTATCGATATCCATTGGGAGGCGCGCGCACGGGGAAAGGGGGGGACATGCATGAACATGGACTCATTTGTTTTAGCAGCATTTGTAGCACAAACAAATATCGGTAGCATTGCGGGGGTTGGACTTCTGGAGGTGCATAAAAAAGGGAAAGACGTGGCATCGAGAGTGAGAAAGACAGCATCCCAATCCAGTGTTCAGGGGTTTGGGCGAAAAAGGCAGTCACAACAGAAGGGTCATTCTCAGCTGTTACTAGCATACCTTAGTCATGGCAGACGATTCACTACATTACGTTCATTCCAGTTGTGGTATGTACAGCAATCCTGAAGTCCTTATTCCCAACTTGCAGCTGGTAACCGGGATGCTCTCGTGTTACAATCCTCGGCCATATTTGTCAAGCCGGCGGAGGATCCTTCAGTGTATGTCCCGTGCCTACCCCGCGATTGGAAGACATGCCGAACAAATATTACAGACACTTGGGAGGGTGCCTTTTCACGCTTAATGCCATCTTCGTACGTTGTGAATCTCGCGATTTTAGTCCACAACTGACGCCGGAATAATTTCAGTGGGAAGCAGTTCTGCAATTCCTTCCCGTTCCCCTAGCATTGCGTTCCTTTGCTATCAAGATGGCCAACAAGGAACCTCAACCGCCATCTCCAACCACTCGCGCTCAGATCGGAAACAGTCCGCGGTTCCGGACAGATATCTACCCGTTTATCGAACCGTCCAAATTCCGAGCGACCCAAAAAGGCAAAGTCGCCATCATCACCGGTACGTTTCACACGTCTCGCCCCTTCCTGACCTTTTTTGCTATACCTACATATCCATCCCTACCCCCTTCCCCCTGCTCCTAATCGACGGACCAAGCCTGCTAATATTCTGACCCCCGCGGGCTACCCAAAACTCCAATAGGCTCATCCGGAACAATTGGTCAAGCCCTCGCCGAATCGTTTGCTGTGACAGGCGCGAATCTGGTGCTGAGCTATTACAACACACCTCCGCCAGCCGAGCTGAAGGAGAAATGTGTGCGGTATGGGGCTGGTGGTGTTGAGTTTGTGAAATGTAATGTTGCGGAGCTGGAGGGGTGCGAGAGGCTTGTTAACCGGGTGAGTCTTTTTTCTTTTATCCTGATATGGATGCGTGCGCCGTGGATAGGGCTCTCGTGGTGGGGAGATGGGAGTCTTGACTTTGGCTGGGGTATGGGGAACGGGGAAAATGTGGTTTGGACGTTGTTACTGACCTGGATTACTAGGCCCTGGAAGTGTATGGGAGAGTCGACATTCTGGTCAACAACGCCGGCGCTAATGGCCTAGGACCGGTAAGTTGTCTCCCCTCCCTCTGACACAAAACAAACCCCTGACGAAAAAGAAAAATGCAGCTACACGATCAAGACCCCCACCAATTCATACATGACCTCGCCGTGAATTTGCATGGGCCTTTCTACCTCATGCGGCTGGTAATCCCGCACTTCCGTGAGCAGCGCAGCGGATGTGTGCTCAATATCGCGTCTCGGGCGGGCACCCTCGCCATCCCCTACAGCACGAGCTACTGCGCGAGCAAGGCGGCATTGATCAATCTAACGGCATGTACACAAAAGGAGATGGATGTCGAAGGGCTGGAAGATATCCATTTGTATTCGCTACATCCTGGAGGGATAAAGAGTGCCATGACGATAAAGAGTCCGTTGTCGGTCTGAAACGAACATCCGAGCAGTCGACTAACTCCATACACAGAATACTCAGAAGAGGCCTTCTCTACTCTCCCGCCTCAAGCCCAATCACGCTACAACAATATACTCGACATCTACTACAACGACTCGCCACACCTCAACGGCATGGTGTGTGTCGCACTGGCAAGCGGCGTAGGGAAGCAGGCACTTCGCGGCAAATACTTCGACGTCAATCAGGACCTAGAGGATATCATTTCCCAGGAGGAAACCTTGGAAGCGCATCCTAGCTTGTACGGGCTCCATACCAGCTTTTTGGGGGGATGGCCGGATCATGGGGCACCGCCAGGGGGGTATCATGCGGAAGAGGTCAAGTTTGCGTTTCCGGGGTTCTGAGTCTTTGATGGGCTGCCGATGTTTAGCTTGTGAAGGGCGTTTATGCCACCCAGGGTAGAAGAATAAAGCACACTGAACGATGTTTTATGCCTGTAGTCGTGTCATCCCTGGGTAATACACAGCGTTCAGAGATCATTGGTAAACTGTTAGGGATACAACCCTGGTCAAGTATCCCTAGAATAAAACGAAGACTTGGTAAATCTCTGGCCAAACAAAGAGCTGGAGGACCATTTACCTAAACCCGCAGGGAGGTAGCGCGATCGAGAAGAGGGAAAAAAGACAGGAGTATCACACTAGAGAAACCATTTTTTAGGTATTGCTCGCCTTCTCCGTTCCGGGAAAATAAAATGTGACAGGGCCAATTAGTCTGAAACCTATGCAGAAGGGACAATGCAGCAAACATGGAAATCAGAAGGTGCTCCCTCTCGAGTCTCCGGCTTTTCACGGCTCACACGGCAGTCCCCCCGAGCCCCCTGCCCCCCTGGCTCACTGATGATCTGATAAGATGAGCCTGCAGAGATGTGGGCCTGCTGTGGGGTACGGAAGCGGACGAAGCCGCGGTGCTGGCCATGTGAGTCCTCCGGTTGGACCCTTGGACTGCGCCAACTTTTCAGATGACACAAGGATTTTACCAGACGGAAACGAGAGCGGTGGGGAGAACTTAGCTCCTTCAGGTCCGATGCCGGGACGCGAAGGTGTTCCCTCCCATCAAGACCCCCGTGGTTGGTGGCCCGTTATTCCAGAAGGCAAGCGCAATGTGGGCGTGGCTTCTTGGAAGTTCTTCCGTGGAAGAAGGGAGCCCAGAAATGCACTTTCCATGAATCCTTAGACAACCACTCGAGGACGCGGAGTTTACTCTAGGGATGCGGGGCCGTTGTACTCGGAGCCGACGCTTCGGGTAGTTCCATCCATCCGGCCACCCCCTTGTTCCATCTGATAAAAAGAGTGCCTTTCCGGACCTGGAGGATCTTTCCACCCCTCTTGGTTATGTGGGTGGTTAAGTATCTTGGCGTTGTCGTTCCCGTCCCCTCCCCCGTTCCCTTACCTGGCTGATGCTTTCCTTTCAACCCGCTCTCGAATCGCTCAGCCGTTTCTTCTGTGCTGCATCTCGAACAGCCTTCAAATTGTTGTGCCATAACCGACATATTAGGTACTCTTCGGCAACATCAACAAACACCATGGGCTCTCTCGCTGGAATGCCGACTTCCCAGCCGTTCAGTGTTCTTGTAGCTGGCGGGGCGTACGCGGGTCTTTCGGCGGCTCTCAATCTTCAAGATCTTTGTCGTGGTCTTCCGCCTCGGTGCGGAGAGCAACCTGCTGAGGGAGAGCACACTCCAACACCACTGCTCGAAGTCGACATCACCATTGTGGACGAGCGTGATGGGTATTGTAGGTGATCTCATCTTGTCCCGCCCCCCCCCTTTTCCTCCGTCTCTAGTTCAGCGTCCCTTTCTAACGGTAGTGTAAAGACCATCTTATTGGCTCACCTCTCGCTCTCTCATCCGAAAAGCACGCTGAGAAGTTCTGGATCAAATACGATGACATCCCCGGACTACGATCGCCCAAGATTCGCGTTCTCCACGGTTCTGTGAAGTCGGTCGACCCGGAACGCAAGGTGGCGACCTACCTCGCCAACGGTAGTTTAGAACCGCCCACCGAGTTGCGTTATGATTACTTTGTTGCCGCTTCAGGATTAAGAAGAGCCTGGCCCGTTGTGCCCCAGTCACTTCGAAGGAAGCAGTACCTGTTTGAGACAGCGGATCACATCCAGGCTGCCACAACCGCGCGGCACGGGGTTGTGGTGGTTGGTGGTGGTGAGTTTTGACCATTAAAGCTCCTCAGAGTATCCTCGATATTGACTCCTCCGTTTCAGGCGCCGTCGGGATAGAAATGGCCGCCGAGCTCAAGCTTGTGCACCCCAACCTCAACGTCACGCTCGTGCACTCCCGTGACAAACTCCTCTCCTCCGAGGCACTTCCGGACGACGTCAAAGATCGCAGCCTCGAATTACTCCGCGAAGCCAAGGTTACCGTACTCATGTCTCACCGCCTCGACCGCACCGAAGAGATCAAAGATGATACCGGCAAGCCATGCCTCAAAGTACACTTCACCAACGGACATACCATGCTCGCCGACCAAGTCTCCATGGCTGTGTCGCGCAGTGTTCCTACCACCACGTATCTACCCTCCGACCTCCTCGACGAGGAGGGGTATGTCAAGGTTCAAGCTAGTCTTGCATTCCCACAAGACACCCCCAACTCATCATCCCACTTCGCTGCGGGCGACTTGGTCAAGTGGTCCGGGATTAAGCGTTGCGGTGCCGCTATGCACATGGGGTATTATGCCGCGAGCAACATTTATGAGTACATGTTGCAGTGTACAGGGTCAAAAAAAGAGATAAAGTTGTTAGAGCTGGCTGAGATTCCACCCATGATCGGGTTGGCCGTTGGCAAGAAGGCTGTTGCGTACTGGCCCGAGGGGGGAATGACGTCAGGAGAGGATGTCATGAAGTCCTTCTTTGGGGATGATCTTGGGTTTTCTAGTGAGTATTTTCCTGTTTGCGCCTGCCATTTCTAGAGCTGAGCAGTATTCTAACGCCGAATAGTTTGCTGGAACCATATGAAGCTTGGGGAAGAGCCAGCGGCATGAAGGGCTTGGATTGCATCATGACGGCGTTTGGATAAATCGGTTTATTTTCGTGTATTGGGGATTTTAAGTCCGAGATTCATCTTGAGGCCAATCTATACAAAAGATTTCAGGTCTTGTCTAGCTGTTGCATTTGGCCATCACCCCAATTCACCACTGTTTTACTCCCATGGGACATTCCTTCAATATTTACATTTACTTTCCAATAACCCTCGCCCCCTCGATTGCGTACACACCGCCAACCCCCTACTTACAACTTCGGCACCAACCCAACCCCAGTCCCGCCCATAGTCTTCTCGTTATCATCCAACGGGCAAAGCTGAAAGAACCGCTCGCGCGAGCAACTCATAAGCGCAGACCGCTTATTCGGCAGATCAATAAACTTTTCCAGCCCAAACCCATGAATCAGATCATACGTGAGCACCGAGCTGTTGGTATACTTGGGTTCGCCGACGACACGCGCCGTGCGCGGCTCGTCCAGGAACAGATAGTGCATCAAGCTCGACCACCACGCGCTAACGCGGTGTGGGCCGCGGAACCGAACGTCGCCTACCAGACTGTGCCGGCCGCGGTCGTAGTCGTGTGAGGCGTAATATGAGCCAATGCGGTCTTCCTGTAGTTCGTGAAGCGTGATGGGTCAGTAGCTGTCCGTTTCTTCACCCTTTTGCCCGTGTTCTTTAAGGGCCGTAACCTCAAGAAGGGGGCGGGTCTGGTCTGGGTGGGTGAGCCTTCATACCTTAGCCCAATACACTTCAAAGTACGCAAAGAACGTCTCATCAAACCGCGCCAGCACCGCCAGCTGGTGCGCATCCTCATGCTGCAGCCGCCGCAGGTACGCGTCGTGCTGCGCGCGCGTGCCCGTCTGGTTCCACCCTTGCGACACGCGCGGATCGTTCTGCCATGTGTGGAACAACTCGGCGTGCTGCGGGTTCTCGCAGTCCAGAGCTACCATGCTGAAGGTCTCTCGGAGGTGGGGGATCCATCGGCTGTAGATGACGCTGCCGGGTGCGGGCTTGGAGCGCCGCCGTGGGTGCCAGGATGTGATGGGCCCTGAAGGGGATGAGGCGGAGGATGGGAAGGAGGAGGATGATGATGTCGGTGTGGTCGGAGTGACGGTCATGATGTATTCCGGTGGAGGGAGTGGGTAGGAAGCAAACTCGGGATCTTGCTCTTCGGGCGCCCAGGCCGGGCGCGGACCGAAGGGCGAGGCGGCGCCTTGCCAGAAGGCACTGCGCGAGAGGAGTAGCTCAGAGCTAGTATTTGTCGGTGTTGGTGGCGGTGATGCATGCTGTGTAGGAGCGGCATCCTGGGACAATGGGGGAGATGGGTGATCAACGGCGAGTCCGAGATTTTTGAGGTGTTGTGCGAGCCTCTCCGAGGCGGAGCCTTGTAAATCGAGACGAAAAGCTTCCTCGCTTGGGCGCACCGTGAAGACAGTGTAGGTGATGAGCCAGAGCTGGCCAACCGTTGGGGCCTGAGACCCAGTCCAGGAGACGGTTACCACGGGGTTACGCCGCGCTCTTGCCCACGCTGTGTTGTTCGAATCGCTAGGGCGATCACCGAACTTTGGGTCTTGAGGTTCGGAGAAGGAGACGGCGGCATTGTGGAGGGCTGTTGGAGGTTGCTTTTCGCCGGGCTCGGGATTGCGAGGCGCGAGTTGGTAGAAGTTGGTTTCGCTCGTCTTCCTCACAAAATAGGCTGTCTGGTATGGGTGAGGGAGCTTCAACACCGGATCCGAGGAGTTCGCAAAGCTGGCGAACTGCCGGTGTGATTGTGATGGAAGTCCCATGTCCCTTTAGCGCCTCTCAGATCGGCTGTGCGAGAGATTGACGTTATGAGCGTCTAGGGCGCTACTCGGAACCAGTCTTAGAATCGTGGCTCCGATATCAATGGCTCATCACTTATGCCACGCCAGGACAGCATCCGCTAAAAAATGAACTATGAAACGACCCGCGGTGAACAAGGCACGCGAGACTTGCAGCCGCATGTGCGTCGGCTCGAAAGTCAAGGAGAAACCGACACCCAGGAACCCGGGTCGCGCCAGACGGCAGAAACCGGCTTCATGACAGCAAGATCCATTTTGTTCCGGAACCACGAGTTCGTGCCCATCCAGGGGCCCAGGGCAATAATTGCCCAATGGAGGGCAGGACAGGGGTTCAGATGGCGCTCACAACCTCGGATCAGATAACTTTAGTTGGACCCCAAAAAGCGGATCAGATAATTTTGCCGAGCAGGGGTAGAAGACCCGACTTCGGACCAAAAGGCCGTCTCGAGTGAGAAGGTGGGGGTGATTACGAGTAGCGAACTAAGAATTTGAACAAGAGGACTGGCTCTTCCTCCAAGGGGGTGAGAGCCTGAGAGGTGCTTCTCCAACTTGGCCAATTCTGTGTCATCGCATCTTCGCGAGCAAGCGCAAGAGCAACTGTGCCGTGACTCCACAGCGTGGGACTTTGAGGTCTTGGCGTGAATAATCTTATCAGATCCTGAGGGCAGCATGGCTCGCCAATGGTTCCGTTTTGCGGCATTTTGCCGGAACAAGGAAGGGCCACCCAAGCCCGGAAGCGCTCGTTTTCGGTAATCCCACAGTGGGAAGCAAGGGCGATGAGAGCAAACCAGCAAACGACCGGTCGCGATGCCCCGCTGCCGGTTGTGCCGGCCGTGCCTGCCAGATACTCGCCCAGCCAGGAAAATTTTTCCTTGATCAGTTCATGGAGGTCGGACTCTTAGGCCGCTCTTCAGATGTGGAACCTATTCCGGATTACTCTGACCATAGACCCGTCCCTCACCGACCGAGGGACGAGCACACGTCCACACGATGAGGCCTCGACGTTCTTGGCCGTGGGGACTTGGACAGCCCTAGGTATCGTGGCAGGGGAGTACCCAGTGGTGTGCTCAAATCATACCCTCCCCCCACCCTTTTGGCCCTCCGAACCGAACTCCGAGGACAAATGGCGCCGTCCGGCGGGCATGACGTTCCCCGGCGTGATGAAGCCGGCTGCTCGCGTATCCATCTAATCTGATCTGCTGGGATGGGGACGTCCCTGACTGGGGTTGTTGCCAGATGGTTGGTGTTCTTGTTCGGTTCCGAGTCCGTGGTTCTTGATTTCTCTCTCCAATACACACCACTATGCGCGCCAATTGTGAATTTATCCCTTATTCCAGTGTTTTGGTTATTGTGATTGTTGATCTTCGAATTTGGGACCGACCAACTCAAAAAGGGGAGAGAAGCCTACAGGAATCCGCCAGACATGTCTATTCAGCCCACGTTCCCTTCTACGGGGGAAAGCTACATCCTCCCACAACCACAGAAACCGTCGCTCCTCTTTGGCCCAACAGATCCGCCGTTAGTTGACCTCACCCTTGGTGAGCTTCTCAACCTCCAATGCCTGGATCACGGCACGCGGGAAGCGCTGGTAATTCCCTGGACTGGTGCAAGATGGACATACAACGAGCTCAATCACCACAGCCGACTACTGGCAGCCGCCCTATTAGAAATGGGCATTGGTGTGGGTGACCGGGTGGGCATCATGGCTGGAAACTGCGAGCAATATGCGTCTGTATTCTTTGCTGCGACTAGGATAGGGGCTATTTTGGTGATTCTCAACAACACATACACTCCCACTGAGGCGCAGTATGGTCTTGACTTCTCCGGTGTGCTTTCCATTCATCTATGTTCATGCATTTCTGCTCGACACAGAACACTGACTTGGTTACAGAATGCAAAATATTCTTCACCACCAAGCAAATAGGGCGCCTGGATCAAAGATTACTCTTAGCCCAGCTCTCGGCACGGACGAAAGGACCGAAAGTGGTGATCCTCCGAGACGACTCGGATGGATACACACCGTATCAAGATTTGTTAACACAAGGATCCCGAGTTGATCCCGAGGTGCTTCATCAGGCCGAGGCCAAGGTCCTCCCTCATCTAGTGTGCAACCTCCAGTTTACAAGTGGCACTACGGGCCTCCCTAAAGCTGCCATGCTCACACACCAGTATGTGTTCTACGCGCAGATAACCGTATAGGAATTCATTAGCACTAACCACTAGTGTCACTGGTTCCCAGTAACATTGTGAATAACGCCCGTTTCATCGGCGACCGCATGAGGCTCGGCCCGGCCGATGTCCTCTGTTGCCCACCACCCCTTTTCCACTGTTTCGGCCTCGTTCTCGGCCTGCTCTCCGTCCTCACCCACGGCGCCAAGATTGTCTACCCGGCCGAAGTCTTCGACGCGCCCTCCACGCTCCGCGCGATCGTCAGCGAACAATGCACCGCGGTGCACGGCGTGCCCGCCATGTTCGACAGCTTGCTGGCCCTCCCCGAGGCACGCCACCTGCGCGCGGCCGACCTCCGATTACGCACCGGCATCATCGCCGGGGCGCCCGTGCCACGGCACTTGATGGAACAGCTGGTCTCCCGCCTAGGCATGACCGAGTTCACATCCAGCTACGGCTTAACCGAGGCATCACCAACCTGCTTCAACGCCTTCACCGACGACCCCATCACCACACGGCTCACCACCGTGGGCACACTAATGCCCCACGCCATGGCCAAAATCGTCGACCGCGAGGGGAATACGGTCCCAATCGGCACGCGCGGCGAGCTCTGCATGGGAGGCTACCAGTTGCAAGCGGGCTACTGGAACAACTCAGAGAAGACCAACGAGGTCATGGTCCGCGACGAGAGCGGCGTGCTGTGGCTGCACACCGGCGACGAGGCGGTCTTTGATGAGCGGGGCTACTGCTCCATCACGGGGCGTTTCAAGGACATCATCATCCGCGGCGGGGAGAACATCTACCCGTTGGAGATTGAGGAACGGCTCGTGGCACATCCGGCGGTCGGCATGGCCGTGGTGGTGGGGCTAAAGGATCTGCATTATGGGGAGGTCGTGGGTGCGTTCCTGGATCTTGAGGGGGGGCATAAGCGGACACACCGGCCCGATCGAGAGGAGGTTAGGGAGTGGGTGCGGAAGAAGCTGGGGAAACACAAGGCGCCGACGCATGTGTTTTGGCTTGGGGAGGACGGTGTGCCGAAGGGGGTGCCTCTGACGGGGAGTGGGAAAGTACGCAAGTTTGAGATGGCACAGTTGGGGAATAGGTTATTGGAGGCCAAAGCCAGGCTTTGAGAGCTGAGAGCACAGGAGTTTCTTCTTTTTTCTTCCTCTCTTGGATCTCAACCAGGGTGGGATAAACAAAATTGGATTCGAAAGCAACTAACTACTGCCATCATCAAAACGAACTAGATATACTTATCAAACGAATGACTGCGAATTGGAGTTCATCATTGCTTCGTCTTCATAAGAACCTTCCCCTCACAATCATAGAGGACCGGGTTATGGTCCACAGCGGGTCGCAGTCGTGGACCAAGATCGACGCCAAGCACCTCTATTTGTACAGGTTGGGGTAAGTCGCCTTGATAAAGTCGGCACCCTGTTTCCAGCATCTTCGTTAGCGGTTCGTTCCATCACAGCACACATAACGGTCATATCAGGAGACATTGTAACTCACCCTCTCACCAATCATGTACACCGACATCTGGATGCGGCAATCGGGAATGACCGGGATAACCGAAGCGTCGATGACACGAAGGTTCTTCACGCCGTGGACGCGCAGCTGGGGGTCCACGACACCTTGCTTGATGTCCTTGCTCAGACGGGCGGTGCCGCAGGGGTCTAGACATCTCAGGGGTTAGCACGACCGTTCCCTAATAAACAATCTGAAGAAGAGGGTGAATGAAAGAAGGAGGGGGGCACTGACGGAAACCGGTCTGGGACCGCTCCAAAATCATCTTGTTCATGGCCTCATCGGAGTGGCGCGGCATGGGCCAGGGGTAGTCCTTGCCAATGATATCCTTCATGCCGTCGCCGTTCATGAGGATGTCATCGACCCAACGGATGCCCTCGCGCAGGACGGCAAGATCAAGATCGTTGGAGAAGAAGTTGATGTTGACCTTGGGCTGCACCAACGGATCGGCCGTGGCCAGGGTCACAGAACCATTGCGGGACTGCGGGCGCAACAGGTCGACGATAACCGTCAGGTGGTCGCCCTTAGGGGGCGTGGGGATGTGCCACTGGAAGGCGTCGGCGAACATGGGGACGAAGTCAATCTCGAAGTGCGGCTGGCCCTCGGGGCCATAGGGGTCCTTGCCGCCGTTGGCCTTCTTGGCCTCCACCCACTCAGGCACCTTCTCGAGGCGCTCGTCGATGCGCGGCAAACCGATCACCTCGAGCAAGCCAGAGGTCAGCGGACCCTTGTTCTTCCAGCGGTACGACGACACCGCCGCGTCCTTTTCAAGCCCGGCGCGCAGCAAATGGCTGTCGAGGCCGTAGCCGTCCTTGAGCTCAAAGACATGCGACAGGATCGGGTGGTCCAGCAGGTTCTGGCCGACGTGGGGCGACTCAACCACGGGCTGGATGCCGAACTCGGACAGGGTCTCCTTGGGGCCGATACCCGACAGCATCAGCAGCTTGGGGGTCTCAAACACACCGCACGAGGCGATGACCTCGTACTGAGCTCGCACCGAAACCGGGTTGCCGTCCTGACCGACGACCTCGACGCCCACAGCCTTACCGTTCTCGATCAGCAGCTTCTTGTAGTGGGTCTTGTCCATGACGGTCACGTTGGACTTGCCGACCAGGTACTGCCACGACGACGAGCGCTTGCCGTCGTTGATGCTGTTGATGGACTTCCACAGCCCGCGCATGGTGCCGTTGTGCACGTCGTCGGTCAGCTCGTGGCCCTTGCTGGACCAGGCCTCGGTCAGGGCCTCGCGGAAGCCCTGGACCTCGGGCACCAGGTCCGAGTGCGACACCGGAATCGGGCCGTCCTGGCCGATGTACTTGAGCTCGGGCCTGTACAGGTTGTACTTGTCGTGGTACGTGGCCGGCTTGTACAGGTAGGGTTGGACCGTCTTCTAGGTCCAGTCCTGGCCGCCGTACTCGGCCCAGGCATCGAACGTGGGCGCGCTGCCGGGGATCCAGGTGTAGTAGTTGAGACAGCTGCTGCCGCCCAGGACCTTGCCGCGGGTGTTGGGCTTCTCGACGCGTGTATACTCGGGCCGGTCGATCATGGTTGTCTTGTACGACCAGTCGTGCTCGCTGTCGCGGAGCTCAAAGGCTCGTGCGGGGGTAGTGATGGCGGCATCTTGGCCCGGGTTTCCCACGCCGGCCTCGATGACGAGGACCTTGACGTCGGGGTTCTCGGCCAGGCGGCCTGCGACCACACAGCCCGCGGTTCCACCTATTTTTGGGGGAGGTATCATCAGCATCTACCGCTCGAGCGGGAAATTAAACGGAATTGGGGGAAAGGATGAGGGCAAAGGAGAAAGAGCGTACCGCCGACGACGATGAAATCGAAGCTGGAGTTGTTTTTGACTGCGGTAGCCATTGTGAAGGTGACAATGGTGTGTTAAGTTGGATCTGGTTTGGTGATGTTCTGTTCTGTTGATGACTTGCTTAAAAGGCTGACGTCTTGAGAGCTTGTTGAGAAGGTTTCGAGATGGTTGACTCGTGAGGGATCATGACCTCAAATATATCTTTCCTCTCTCCTCGACAAGCTCGATTCGTGCCGTCCCCCCTCCACCTCCTCCATCGGACTTTTGCAACGGCTCGGCCTGCTCGGAGGGTCGGTCCCATGGTTCCAGCCCCCGTTGCTACAGTTCCAGCCCGAGGTTCCTGCGAGGACCTCCGTGCGACTCCGCGCATTGAACCCGCAAGCGAGCCACTGACGGGACAAGCAGAAACCCCGTGTCCGACCTTTCTCCGCATTCTGGAACCACTGCTATGAATCTATGACGCCAGGAAGGGAGTCGGTGCTGTAGGACCCAGGAGCCACCGCCGGGAAGCTGCGGGAGAGAGCCAGGAGGCTTGGGAAGCGAACCAGGAAGCTTCAGGGAACGGACCTGGAAGTTGAGGGAACGTACCGGGAGAACGGCGTGGGGAGGTCAGGAAATTCGGGATCAAGGGACTCGAGTGAGGAGTTCGGGGCCACACTGGAGTGCTGTCTTACCAAGTCGTTGCGTCACAATGAGGCCATTTGGGCGCGGCCACGCATCGAGAGCATAAAGAAATAAACACCGATCAAGCTGGCAGTTGGTCAATTGGCGATCCCGAGCACGCCGAACAGATTTTGACTCGGGTATTCCGTGGTATATCTTGAGTTTGGGGTGGTTGTTGATGGTGTTGGAAAGATCCCGAGCCTCTCCGAGCAATTGCCGAACGCGCTCGACTCAAGCTTAAATACAACCACCACCCCCTCCAACAAACACTGCGGCCATTCTCAGACGGAATTTGCATAAAAGCCATCAATCGGTTTCAAGTTTCACAAATACTATCTCCTTTTGGTTTTACTTGTTACTTTGACCACTTTGGCCGACATTGAGACAACATAAGGTGAGGAGTGTCCTCCCCGAGCTTCCCATAAGAGCTCCGCGACCCACTCTCCGAGATGCCGAGCCCTCCGAATACACATTGTTGACTTGACTCCCCCTGACAGAAATACTTTCACCATGGCTCCTCCGCTCTACACTCTTGCAGAAGGTACGTACTCTACCCATGTAGATGATGGAGGCGCATTGAGTAGAGGGGAAAGAAAAGGATAAAAAAAAAAGAAGTAAAAAACAAGAGGGGGTGGCCGTGGCTCTCGAATACTTTGGATTACCCCTGAGAACGGTGATATTTCAAGATTCAAGGTTTAACTTAACGGTGTTCCAGGCCGCCCCTATCCCGATGCCTCGACAGCCCAGCGCTTCAGCGATGGCTCGCCGGCCAAGGGCCTCGCGCTGTTGCAGGACACCCAGCTCATCGAGACCCTGGCCCACTTCAGTCGGGAGCGCGTCCCCGAGCGCGTGGTCCATGCCAGCGCGGTGGGCACCTGGGGCGAGTTCGAGGTGACGCACGACATCTCGCACCTGACCTCGGCCAAGTTCCTCACGGGAATCGGCACCAAGTCCAAGACGCTGTCCCGTATCTCGACGGTCGGCCCCGGGGCCGGCAGCGCCGACACGGTGCGCGACGTCCGCGGGTGGGCGCTCAAGATCTTCACAGAGGAGGGCAACCAGAACTTTGTGTTCAACGACATCCCCGTGTTCTTCGTGCGCGACCCGATCAAGTTCCCGTCGTTGAACCGGTCGCACAAGCGCCACCCGGCCACCAACATCACAGACCCGACCATGTTCTGGGACTTCCACTCGCAGAACCAGGAGGGCATCCACGCGCTGATGCTACTGTACTCCAACCGCGGCACCCCCCAGTCGGTGCGGCACGTCAACGGCTACAGCGGCCACACGTACAAACTGACCAAGCCCGACGGGACCTTCCACTACGTCAAGTTCCACTTCAAGACCAACCAGGGCACCGATACGCTGACGGAGCAGGAGGCGGACAAGCTCGCCGGCGAGGACCCGGACTTTCACAAACGCGACATGTGGGACAATATCGCCAAGGGTAATTATCCGTCGTGGACGCTGTACATCCAGGTCATGACGCCTCAGCAGGCCGAGACGTACCGCTGGAACATCTTTGACATGACCCGCGTGTGGCCGCACAGTGATTTCCCCCTGCAGGAGGTCGGCAAGCTCACCCAGAACAAGAATGTTTGTCTCCCCGTTTTTTTTTCTTACGACCTGATTATCGTCTATTGGAAGACAAGCTGACCCCTTTTGTTTACTTACCCCTGAACACAGCCCGACAACTACTTCGCCGACATCGAACAAGCGGCCTTTTCGCCCTCAACCATGGTCCCCGGTATCGCGCCCTCAGCCGATATAAGTGCGTCTCTTCACTCTTCCCACTTTTCCCACTCTTTCCACTATAATTTTATACTGACTCTTGTTTGCTTGTTTGCCCCCAGTGCTCCAAGCCCGCATGTTCGCCTACCCCGACGCAGCCCGCTACCGCCTCGGCACCAACTACCAACAACTCCCCTGCAACCGCCCTGCCGTCCCCGTCTACTGTCCCTACCAGCGCGACGGCCAGGGCACCATCAACGGCAACTATGCCGGTGACCCCAACTACGTCCGGTCCGCCCTCAAACCGCTGGCGTTTTGTCCTGTGGATAAAGGGCTGCCGGGCCAGACGCCGCAGCAGAAGGTGCTGGGGCAAAAAGAGAGTGGTAAGGGCGGTACGGCGGCTGCGGCGGGGCCGGATGCGAAGCATAATATTTGGGTGATGGGGACGGTGGAGGATTATGCGAGCGAGGTTACGGAGGAGGACTTTGAGCAGCCGAGGGAGTTTGGGGAGAAGGTGTTGGGGAAGCAGCCCGGGCAGCAGGAGCAGTTGGTTAGTAATGTGGCTGGGCACTTGGGGAAGGCGGACCCGGCTGTTTGGGAGGCGACTTTTGGTAGGTCTTTTTTTTTACCCCTTTTCTTGATGTCTGCGATTCTGACTAATCGGGGGATATAGACATGTTCTCCCGGGTTACTCCTGAGCTGGGCGAGGCTATTCGCAAGGCTGTGACGTCTAAGGCCCAGAAGTGATCAGGCTTTGCAACGGAAGGTCGGTTCGGAAAGCCGGTTGAGTCTTTGGCCAAGAGCTGGGCACATACACTCAAAAAGGGGGTAGAAGAAACATTCGAAGTAGAAATGATACACTCGCTTCCCTCAACGACAGATAAGATAAGAAATAAACCTACATCCATCCACTCCGAGCAATTATGCACCGAGAATTGATCTTGAGACGGTGCTGAAGGTTGAGACCAGTTAACTTACCCCTGAAGGCAGTGGGTCTGGCCAAACATATGTAGTCTCAATTTTGCGATTTTAATGAGCACAGGTCGGCTGGTGTAGTGGTTATCACGTCTCGTTCACAAAAGTTGAATTAGCTGGATTTATTCCACCGAGAAGGTGCCAGGTTCGATCCCTGGGTCGATCATACCTTTTGCTGCTTTATTATCCCGATCAAACTGTGTATTTTCTTCCACTTTTTCTTCATTCTCTATTTCCAGTCCTCACTTTTGCAACTTTTTGATCCACATCCACACATCATTTCATTCCCCCCAAACTATATCCAATAATACCCCTTGAATACCTACACCCACTCACTCCAACTCGCCCCCTGACGATACACCAGCCCCTCACTCTCAAACTGCGGCCCCTCGGCATCAACTATATACCCCAACTCACAGCGGTTATAACTCACCTTCTTCTGCTGCTGCTCATAAAACACATCAAACCGGCTGCTCAGGGCGTCGCGCAGATTGCGCACGTTGCCGGCCGGGTGCAGGGCGTGCCAGGGCCGCACGCAGGTCTGGCCCCGGCATGACTTGAGCACGAAGAGCAGGGCGTCGAGGCGGGCGACGACTTTGGCGAAGGGTACGCCGAGGAGTGTGGTGGGTTGGGAGGAGGGGGTGTGCAGGAGGTTGTTGAGTTCGTAGCGGTCGGACTAGGTTTGTTAGCTCTATGTGTCTTTTCTTGTGTAGAGAGTCGGAACTCGAGAGTTCAGGAGGTTAAAGTTCAGGGGCTCAGAAACATACCGTCAAGTCATACAACTCGTGCTCGTTGTTGCACCAAACCGAGTAATAAAAGTTATACTCCCCCCCAATCACCCGCAGCGCCTTGTACGTATTATTCAACGTCAACCGCTGCTGATCCGGCCCAAACAGCCTTCCCTCCGACGCCGCAAACCCCCAAAACTCCACCGTAACATGCTCATGCCGATTATCCACAGCCTCCTCCAACTCCGCCTTGGTCAACGGGATCCCTTCCCCGTCAAATCCGTACTTCTCCCTCACCTCCTCCTCCTCATCCGCTACACCACCTGCACCCGCCAACCCAAGAATAGTCGGCGCCAAATCCACATGCGCCGTCACCACATCCTCCACCACTTCTCCCCGCGGCACCCCCGGCCCCCTTACAATCAACGGAATATTAATATCCTCCTCAAACCCACACTCCTTCCCAGGCTGCAACCGATGCTGCCCAATATGGTACCCATTATCCGTGGTATAAAACACATACGTATTCTCCAGCACCCCCAACGCCTCCAACCTCCCCACCACCGCCTCAACCAACTCATCCACACTCTGCAACGTCCGCAGCCGCTGCCGATAGAAATGATCGTTAAACTCGACGTTGTCCGCGCCCTGGCGTGGCAGGCGACGAACCCAGTTCGCGCCGGAGGGGTTGGATGGGTTGAAGTGCGGTGTGCGCGGGACAGTGACGTTGGGGAAGAGGTGGGCATGGCGCGCGGCGGGGATGGGCGGGGTGAAGGAGGCGAATCTGTCGATGTCGTCTGGGGATGAGGGGATGTCGCCGGGGGTGGCGGAGAGGGCGACGTTGCTGTGGGGAGCGACGGGTGCGATGCCGAGGAAGAAGGGGCGGTTGCCGTCGCCGTTGGGGGATGATGATGAGGCAGTTGCAGCGGCGACGGCATCGTCGAGGAAACCGAGGGCCTTTTCGGCGAGGACGTCGACGGAGTGCTGGTTGGGGTAGCTGACGGGGGGGTCGCGGTTGCGTTGGAAGCTGGCGTTGAGGTACATGTAGGTGTACGGGTCGAGGAGGAAGTCGGAGCCGTTCCAGCCGGCGGGGTAGGGGGAGTGGTAGTTGTCGGTGGTGTGGGCGTTGAAGAGTTTGCCGGTGTAGTAGGTGTTGTAGCCGGCGTCTTGGAGCCAGAGAGGGAGGTAGGCGTCGTTGAGGCCTTGGCTGATGAACTTGGGATAGCCGCCTGGGGTGTGTTAGTTCTTGTCCCTTTCGTCTCTGCGCTAAGAAATAGAAAGAGAAACAGAAACAAGATAAGAGGGTACTGACCATACGGCGGGTTCACATCCGTGACATTGGTATTATGCGCCAGCTTGCCCGTCCACAACGACACACGCGACGGACAGCAGATGGCCGTGGTGCAAAAGTGGCGCTTGTAAAAGGTCCCCTTATCGATCAGGTTCTTCTTGACCAGCGGCAGGTAGTCCACCGACTGCATGTGCAGGTCCTGGTCGTCGGTCAGGATGAACACGATGTTGGGCCGTTTTCCCTCGGGGTTGGGACCCCACGAGTCGGCCAGGCCGAGAGGTTGTTGTTCCTCGTACTCGTGAGATCCAGCGGCTAGGGCAGTTGGGAGGCCCAACCCTGCCGCGAGAATCGCTCCGGAGAGACGCATGATGGCGGATCCCAGATATCCGAGACAGAACAAGGTAATTAACCAATTGGCTAGTATCGTGGACTAATTGTTTAAGTGTGGTGACGAGGGAACTCTTGTCCGGTAGTCTCAAGTTAGACGACCAAGACCCGTGTGTGTAAGTCAATCCCATCAACAAAGTAAATAATTAAAAAAAAAAAAAAAATCAGGAACCCGCAAGCAGTCTCGGCTGTTGTTATGTACTTCATACACCTTCTCCAACGGTCTCATCCACGGCCCCACGAGTTCCCGACCTCCGTCCGCACGGCCGGCACCCCGCCTCCGACATCAAACGAAGGAACGTGGGCGTCGATGGCGTTATCATCTCCAACAATTGCATCGCGCGGGTCAACCGTTCTTTCGGCCCCTCCTCGAACCAACCCCCCCACGCCGTCCTGGCCGTTGTCTGTACGGTCGGTTGTGTGTACCTGGATCAATCCGAAACCGAACGGTCGGGGCCTCCCGGAGTCGCCCACTTCCCGTCCTTATCACCAAGAAAACTTATTGGCCCCGCCGGCTAGCCGGCCGGAGCGGGCGTTGGGTGCTTGTTCGGGTTTGGCGGGCGGGGGCGGGCTTGTGGGAAATGCGTGGGAAATGCGGTGCGGTTGCGGATTGCGGATTCAGGGGGTCACGACAATCGACTTACAAATGTCGTGATCGGCTCGAGCCCGGGCCTTGCAGGATTTCTTGCAGCACCACCACGGGGATAAGCCCCCACTCTCGGAGAAGACGGCGGGTTTGAAGTGCCGATAATGTGTTGAAGTCACGAAAAAGACAATATTTATCTTGGGATCTCTTTTTTTATTGTTTTTTGGTGGTGCCGAATTTCCGGGTTGTTTTCCTAAACACGTGGGCCAATCTACACCGGTACGTGTCCGTCTCACTTACACGGGTTATGACCAGCCTTCAACAACAACACTCACATTCATTGACGCATTCCACTAAGATTTACAATCTTTGAATATCAAATTATCCCTTACCTCATTTCCCCATCCGCTTAACATAATTACAAAAACATAGTATGGTCCAACACTCCGACCCCCCAGGGCTTGACCCCGAGCCCTCTGAGCGCTCGCCCCTTCTTAGCAAGCCGGCCAACACCAACGGTCACGATGTTTCAGTCTCAGCCGTCGAAGTAGCCGCGGCTGGACATATTGCTGGGAATGGCACCAATGGGTCAGTCCCAAAACCTACAACAACAGGGGGAGATGAAGAGAGCCAGGAGCCATCAGCCGATGAGGCAGACGAAGCAGGTCGAGTGAGACATGTAGCCAAGATTATTTCGGTACTGCTCATCGGTAAGTTTCCCTTCTGATATTCTTAACTTCTTACGTGAGGAATCCTAACGACAGAGAAAATAGGCATCTTCGTGGCGCATGCGGATGGCTCGATCATGTTGGCTACCCACCCCATCATCGCGTCCGAGTTCAACGACTTGGAGAACTCGAGCTGGCTCATCACCGGCTTTTCCCTCGCCGCAGCGGCTACGCAGGCCTTGGTGAGATCCACTAACCTTCGTTAGGTATGAAAGAAAGGAATCGATGGCTAATAATAGAGTGGCACATGTAGTACGGCAAACTCAGTGACATCTACGGCCGGAAGCGATTGGTGCTTATTGCCTATGTTATCTTCGTTATTGGATGGTGAGTGATCAGTACCCCTTTTGGAGATTGAAATACCGTCGATACTGACAAGTTGACTAGTGCCATTGTGTAAGCTGCAATTGCTACACCCCGATACATTAAGGGGTAACCGCTGACCAAAGACAGCGGAGCCGGACAAACCATGTGGCAGGTCATTCTCGGCCGTGTTATTTCGGGGGCTGGAGGCGCAGGAATGGCTGGGCTCGTCTCTATCTTGATAACAGGTGAGATGAGAGATCACTATGTAGTGGGTTTGATGTTGAGACGACGAGTACGCTAACATGGTGTTACACGTAGACCTGCTTCCCATCAGGGAAGTTGCTCAGTGGCGTGCCTATGTTAACCTCGTTGCCACGTTTGGCCGTAGCATTGGTGGCCCCTTGGGTGGATGGCTTGTTGATGTTGTCGGTTGGCGGTGGTGAGTCTTTCTTTTCTCTTCCCAAGCGATACCCACCCGGTTCCCCCGGTTTATTGATCCGCCATGAATGTATTCGCAGGTCCTTCTACGGCCAAGTCCCCCCTCTCATCCTCGCCATCATCCTCGTCTCATTCTCCCTGCCCAACTCGACCGCACCCAAGAACGCCGAGTCTTCTCAGCCCGAGCCCGAGCCCGAGCCCGAGCCCCAAGACAATGCAGCCAGCAACAAGAGCAAACTCCAGCGCGTAGATTTCAAAGGCGCCATCCTCTTCGCCCTCGTGATTCTAACCCTGCTCTTGCCCATCGAGCTGGGAGGTGTCAAGTTGCCCTGGTCGCACCCCGCGATTTATGCACTGTTTGCGTCGAGTGCTATACTCTTGGTTCTGTTTATTGCTGTCGAAAGGCGTCAGGCTGAACCCATTTTGCCTTTGGAGATCTTTCATCGCCGGGACGCCGTGTTTTCTTTTGCCATCATCGGGTGTCAGACGGCTGCCCAGTTGGGGGTATGTATTCCGAATGTCCTACTACCAAGTCATTTATGGGGGGGTACGATGAAAGCTAACGACCTTTTCCAGCTCATGTTCTCGGTACCACTCTATTTCCAAATCACCGCGCGCGTATCCAACACCGTCTCCGGCGCACACCTCGTTCCCGCAGTGGTCGGCAATGCTTTAGGCGGCATCATTTCCGGTGTGCTCATCAAAAGGTAATTCCCCCCTTCACCAGATGTAACCACCACAACCTCAAAACAAGCGTCTAACAAAACAACCCGCGATTAGATCCGGCCGCTACAAACCCCTCATCCTCCTCGCCACAACCCTCTCCTCCCTCAGCTACCTCCTCCTCATGCTCCGCTGGCACGGGCACACCAACCTCTTCGAATCCCTGTACATCTTCCCGGGCGGGTTCGGCACAGGCGTCGCGCAGTCGGCCGTCTTCGTCTCCCTGCAGGCTGTGATTGCCCACCCGTCGCATCTGGCGCCTGCTATCTCGTTTATGTATCTGACTACGACGGTGGCCTTGACCATTGGGTTGCCGTTGTCGGATACTGTTATGCGGGGTGTGTTGAGGAGGGGGTTGAGGGGGAGGTTGGTGGGTTTGGGCTTGGGGGGTGAGGAGGTTGGGAAGGTGGGTTGTTTTCACTTTACCCCTTTTCTTTATTTTGCTCTTGTCTATAATGGTTCAGTTTGGTGTGAGAGAAGATCGAACTGACCAGTCCATACCCAGATCATCGAAAGCACCGTCTCCGACGTCGACTTCATCGACCGCGTCTCCGGCAGCGTCCGCGAGGCGATTGTAGCGTCCTATGTTGACGGGTTGTGGTGGAGTCACGGTTCGTTCTGATTAGCCCAATACTTGTCTTTCTCCGTCGTCGACAGCTAACCTAACCATGATTAACAGGTGTATCGTTCATCTTTTCTGCCACGGGGTTTGTGCTGGCTTTGTTTATTCGTCAACGGCCGCTTGATGGCCCGAGGGCGTAGTGGTTTAGGTAATGTGCTGGGGGTGGAAATCGGCTGTCAAGGGCACAGCTGCAGAAGTGGTTTCTAGGGATAAAAGGACGGCGGAAAGGAGATTGTAAGGGCCCAGAGAGGCTTCAAGGATATCCCGCGAATGGAGGTTGGGTTGGTCGTATGCGATAAACAAAAAGAGAAAAAATGGACAGCGAAACCAGGGCGGCTTCCGAAATGTGATGTTGACAGTAGCCCCTGAAACATAAAGAGACAAAGGTGTTGAAATTTGATACAACACAGCCAACCATGGGTCACAAAATATAACATACGAGTGGCCCGGCACTTCCGGTAACAGACGTTATGACCATCAATCAACCCACAGACACTGTACCATCATATCCATATGGGGCAATTACACGATTCCACACAAATCTGAAAAATACACCCTCCACGCTAGCTAAGCCTGGAGAACACGTTGGAAGAAACGACCCGACTCAATTCATCGTCTCATCCCTCACCTTCATTTATCATCTCACGAGCATCATAAACATACAGCCAGCCCATTTCATACCCGTATAGCCACCCATTCCCAACCAACGCAAACATCAACTACCCCAGCGCCAACAATCCCAAGAACCCCCTTTCCTACCAGTGTATCCCTATCCTCAAGGCCCCGCAATCCCCAACCCAACCCTCCCCTGTCCATACTGCCCAGCACCACCACCACCACCAACTGCCCCAGTCTGCGCCGTCCCAAGCCCAGGCCCACCACCACCGACAGCACCTGCCGTCCCCGTCCTCTCCCTCATCCTCCTCCCCTCCATCAACCCCCTCAACCCCCTCTTCTGCAATCCAATAACACTACTCAAATCCCCACCCCATATCTCCCGTCCACTACCGCCCCGCTCGCTATCACCCACTTCTGACGCGCTCCACTCGCTCCCGCTGACGCTGGCCGTGGCGCTTAGCTCGTCGCTGCTTGGCGGTGCGCCGGGGACGGAGGTGGTTATTTTGAGACCGCGGGAACTGGTACTGCTGCTACCGCCTGCTTCGGAGGGTGGGGAGGAGGCGTTGCCGCCGTTGCTGCTACCTTCGCCGTTTTGTTGTTGTTGTTGTTGTTGTTGTTCTTGGGAAGGAGACGACTGCTGCTGTTGTTGTAGTTGGGGATCTTGCGATTGTGTCGCGTCAGAGAGGCCAGGACCGCCGCCGCCGGCCAGGCCGTCCAGTCCCAGGCCGGCGGTGTAGGGGAAGAAGTTGGGGTTGAGGGTGCCGTCGATGCCGCGGCCGCCTCCGGCTGCCATGGCAGTGGCGTTGAACACGGCGGCCGCGTTACGGCTGTCGAGAAGACCGTGGAGACGTTCGATGACGGCTTCGAGGAGGCCGTCGATGCGGTAGGGGCGGGCGATTTGGAGGAGACTGCAGAGGATTTGGGGGGTGCAGAGGGGGGAGGATGGAGAGGGGAGGCTGGAGGTGTAGATGAAGTGGAGGAGGGCTTGGATGGTGAGGTAGGTGTGTGGGAGGTATAAGCAGCGCGGTCGGCTGTTCGGGGGGAGGGTGCGTGGTGTAGGAGCTGTGTTGATTGCGGCGGGGTCGACGGGTGTGGCAGCTAGCGTGTTGGTGCTTCCGGCCTTGCTGCCGCTTGAGCCGCCGGTGGAGTACAATGTGCTCCCGCTCATGTTGCTCGGAGTGATGGTGAGGTTGGAGCTCCTGATCGAGCTGCTGGGAGCCGAAATGGAGTTGGACCGGAGCGTCGCCGCGTCGCTGCCGTCTTGTGTTGCTGTACCCTCCCGTAAGAGCTGGACAAAGTAGGGGCCCCATCTCCGGGCGACGATTCTCGAGTTGATCGGGATCCGCTCGCCCCCAATGCAGAGGATGTCCATGTCCGCCAGCTCCCGCAGCGCGAGGGCCTTCTCGCCCAGCTCTTCGGCCGCCCGGCTGTGGAACCGGCCACCAGCAGTCGAGCCCGCCTTACGAGCTAGGCTGAGCCCGGGTCCTGTGTAAGGGCTGCTGGCGCTCACGAAACCGCTCATAGCCGCGGTCTTCCGGGGGTTGTCGTAGAACCCAAAGGCTTCCAACTCGACGATGCAGACGTTGCTGAAGTTGATCCTGCGATGATTATAGTCATCTACGAGGCTCCGCTTCCTGTTGCCCAGCACGACGAACGCATTCCGCCTGTTCCACAACACACCGCGGTTCCAGCTGCCCTGGCTGAAGACGGCGCCGCCCGCATCGATGCGGCTCCACGTCAACGTCCGCAGGTCCAAGGCCCAGAGGGCGTACTCTTGCTTCGACGAAGTGAGGTACGTCCCGCTCACGACAAAGTGGGTGTCGATGATGCCGCCGTTGGGAAACCGCAGCCCAGGCGGGCTGTAAGTGCCGCTCATCGTCCGCTCGCTGAGGTGACCGTCGGGAGTCCGAATTTGCAGCTCCAGCTTGACATCTAAGAAATTATAGTTGCTGTAGATGAGCATGCTGGACCCGGGTTCCCTCGCCTCCTGGCTAATGCCCCCTACATCCTGTCGCCCACCCCCGGGAAACGATTTACCGAGCTTAGCAGTAACCGAAGGGGGGAGAGGCGCGACAACACTGCGGTACGCGCCGCAGCTCTTGCCCAAGGGTTGAGTAGAGACCCATTTCAAGCTCCTCAGGTTGAACACGCTGATCTGCTCAATGTAGTGGTTAGACGCGTCTTGGCCGCCAACCACGATCATCTCTGCGCCGCCAGAGCCGTCGATGTTGATTCCAATCCGGCCCTCGTTAGGGTTGCCGGTAGAGGGGTTATGCTGCAGCGCGGAAAGTGGTGCTCTATGCGACGCGAAGGCGGCCGAGGACGGGAGGATACATGCGCAATGCGCATAGCGGCCCTGTGGAGCGTCCTGCGTCGGGACAAAGGTCCACTTCTTCGTCGGGACGTCGTAAATGTAGATGTCCGACATGACTGTGACTTCCGGCTGCTGGTCTTGTGGGATGTTCTTCTGGTTTGTAGCGGGTGACATGCCGCCATAACAGACCATCTTCGTATCACCGAGCGCGCACATGGAGTGGAAATACCGTGGAGGTGGAATGTCGCCTCCAGTCTCTAATTTCGTCCAATGCCGGCGAATTAGGTCCAGCTCGTACAGGTCGGCCGTCAAGGGTGCAGGCCGGCTTCTAGACAATATCCTGCCACCAAAGACATACAGCTTGTCTCCCAATATGGTCGTCGTGGCTCCTACTAATGGGTGCGGCTCCTTCCCCGTTGTCCTGTGTACATTGCACATCAGCCCAGAGAGATGTGCTGACGGCGTCGCAGTTCCCACAGCGGCATTCCCGGTCTGGGGCCGCGACTGGCCAATATTGGGCGACGGCCCGGCTGAGAGTGTGCCGGTGCTTTTCGGGGTCAAATTGTCGTTCTCTCGCCCGTCGTGTTGGGATGAGCTCGCGAGGCTGCTTTGGCTTCCGTTCACACTCACGTCCTGGCCGTGGCTGCCCTGCGTTCGGGCATAGAACGAACCCGCCATATCTGCTCCCGACGATGAGTCCATCATGTCAAACCAAATATCCTCCTCCTCTTCCAAGTCGTCGTCGTCGTCGTCGTTGTCGTCGTCAGGGATGGTGTCTAAACTCGACGGCTGTGCAGACGCCAAGGGCGTTGAAGGGCTTAAAGGAAACGATTGCGGCGAAGCTGGTTCAGGCGGTAATGGTTTTGCGAGACTATCCTGCAAACTTATACTCCGCGCATGTTGCGGCACCGAAGGACGTGTATTTTCAGGAAACAATGGCGCAGAACTTGCGGGCTGGTCGACCACAGGGGAGTTTGGCTCTGACGGCCGGCGCAGGGAGAGTTTGGACGGCTTAGGCGCGATTCTCTTAATTCCGCGAAAAGCCGAAGTTATGATGTCCGCAGGCTTTTTGGCAGGTGGTCGTTCTTCGGGCCCCGAGTCTGTATGCTGCTGGACGACGTCTTCGTTTGGGGGGTCGCTCGGCTGTGTGCCTAGCTCTTCGGGAGTTAGTCCAGAGTCCGCCATCTTCGATACAGCCAAGTCCCTAGTTTAAAAAAAGAGAGAAAAAAATGTGATAGAAGAATTGGGTTCGTCCTAGGGGGGGCACTAGAGGAGGGGGTCAAGGCGAAGAGAAAATCCCCAACCCATTGAGTGCCTTAGGAATATGAAGCCAACTTGAAGAATGAACAAACAACAAAAAGAGGAAGGGGGGAAGCAAAGAACCCCCCCAAAAGAGACTCTCAAGGGGTCCGCTTTCCAGTGCACAGTCCACGGCTCGACAGCCCAGGGCTTCGCAGTTGGTGATGAACCCAGCGGAATGACAGAATCAGGGACCGGGGGACCAAGCACGCGCCGGGAGTTCCTTGATCGCGGTTCTTCCCTCGGGGTGCGCACACCGGCCAAGCGCAAGTTTCGTCTGGAGTCGTGGCAACATCCACCATCGCCAGGGATCTTCGTTATATGGGGCCCAGCAAGCGATCACCAAGGAAAGCGGCAGGGAAGTTCATCAAAAGAACCATGGTAGCGAAGCGAAGGCTGGGGTTTCTGTTCGGGATTCCTCCCTCACCCACAGGTAATCTCACAGCAACCAAGGAAGGGAGTCGTGCGTGCGTGACCATAGCGAAAGCGGGAGGAGAAAAGGGGATAGAGATTGATGAAGGTGTCCGTCCGTACCTGACTGATGCCACACGGCAGTTAACTACGCAGTACACCCTAGAACCTTGAAACCTCTGAGCAACCGCGATCCAAAAAACCACACTGCCGGGCTCGAAAACGAAGGGCAAAAAGGGAGTGATCGTGCACCGCACGGACGAATCTTGTGAGGAGTGGGTTGAGGAGGCGGGAAGATGGGTCCGCGGGGGGTCGCTCAAGAAAAAGAAATGACCCTGCCGATAGAAGGATGCAGAAGGCTCTCAGGCGTCAAAAACCGGGACCCAGAAAGTCTCCGTGCCGTGAGTGCGACAGCGGGCGCGCGGAGAAGAGTTGAAAGAGGGGGTCGAGCGGCGGACTGCACGCAAACAGTGAATAAACGCGATGCGATAGTTACAATGCGATGTTGCGGCGCTTTGAAAAAGGGGTCGAAGCTGCCACGAGGGAACCACGCTGGGCAGCCAGGACCGCACGAGGCTTTCCCGCTCCACAGGGCATTCGAAGATCAGAGAAGCGCTGCTCTTTTGGGTCGGTCCCTGTCGAATGTGGGGCAGGATGGAGCACGGATCACAGCGGTTATTGGGCCGAGAGGCCCTGACTCGAGGGGAAACATGTTGGCGGCAGGCAACTTCCCTCGAGCCCAAACAGGAGCTGGGTATTTTGTTTCGTCAAATTGTCATCAAGGTTCGTGTTTCTCTGTTACACAGAACGCCGAAAGGAGAGACGCGGTCGCAACCAAATTGGAGCATTGTTTCAAGGCTTCACCGGATCCAGCATTTTAAGAAAACCAACCACAAGCGACGCCGTTAGCTGAGCCACGTGGGAAGTACCGGGGTTCAGGGTTAAAAAGAACACCATCGCATTTGGGAGAAGATCGTCGATTATATTTGGTTTTTGGTTTTGGGTTGCTAACTCAGCAACATGCCGAAGAAACAGGTCCGGACGACACTATGGTACCAGATAGCAAGCAATCCGTACGGCTATATCCAACCTACAGAAAGCCTCCTACCCTCACAGCGTACAACCCCCCGTCCCGTGTCTTTCAGCCTGGGGTATCTCGTCACTCCTCCTTTTTTGTTCCTTTCATTTCCTTTCAATCGCTCGGCACTTAAGCGTCCTGGGGCAGCGGGGTGAAGCGCAGGTACGGCTTGACGGCGCGAAGGTTGGGGAACAGCTTGGTGGCATCATCGCCCTTGATGCTGGGGTGGACGATAACGTCGTCACCGGGGACCCAGTTGATCGGGGTGGTGACCTTGTGCTTGTCACCGGTCTGGAGCGAGTCAACGATGCGCAGGATCTCGGCGCTGTTGCGGCCGGTCGAAGCCGGGTACGACAGGATGGTGCGGATGGTCTTCTTGGGGTCGATCACGAAGACGGAACGGATAGTGAAGGCAATTCCCTTCTCGTCCACGTTGGTGGCGTCTTGGTGGTCGATCCTACAGTCCGGACGTCGTCAGCAGTCTGATCGGGGGTCATTGATGCATTCGCACGAAACGCCACACACACGAGGCAAGAAACTCACATGTCATAGAGGAGAGCAATCTTGCGCTCCTTGTCGGCCAAGATGGGGAAGCCAACGAGCGAGCCAGTGACGTCGTTGATGTCCTTGATCCAGCCCTCGTGGCTGCCGAGGGTGTTGGCGGAGAGACCGATGAGCTTCACGCCGCGCTTGGAGAACTCGGGCTCGAGACGGGCCATCTCGCCGAGCTCGGTGGTGCACACAGGGGTGTAGTCCTCGGGGTGGGAGAAAAGGATGACCCAGTTGTCGCCAATGAACTCATGGAAGTCGATGGGGCCCTTGGTGGTCTCGGCCTGGAAGTTGGGGGCAATGGTGCCTAGACGGAGGCTGCGAGGCATGTTAGCAACGGTGAGCAAGACAAGCTGGTTCCCGTAACCGTGGAGTATGCTTGGGTAAGAAACCGCGCATTGAGCGCGCATCCAATTCCTTGAGCAAGACACGACCGGTCATGGCTGGGTGAGTTGTACATACGGGGCGCTGCGCTCAGTGGCCATTGTGTCGATGTTGCTAAGGTGTAAAACCTGTAATAATTGGTATCACCACGTAGTAGTTGGAAATATCTAAGCAAAACTGCGAGCCTGAGATGAAAAAAATGAGGGGAGCGCGTCCGAGCCGAAGAGGGGCAGCGAGAAGATTTAAGAGCTCAATTCCTGGCCGATCTGTCCCCACGGGCCGGCCCCCCTAAGAGATTCAATCGTAGTGCATTAATAAACCGACATGTACCCCTTTGCCTCATCGGGACCTCCCCCACCAGCTCCATCCTCCAGTTTCTGCAGAACGTGCCTGGACGTGCTGAACCGAGTCTCCGACCTCGCCGTTGTCTTGAGCCCAAACAAGTGCGGCTGGTGACGCTCCCTTTTGGCTTCCTAGGCGACGACGCGGGGCAGCTCAACCCCTCCATCAGCTCAACGTGGGGCATTTGTGCCCCTCAGTGGCCTGATTGGGACTGGCGCTGCATTGCGCGATCCATGACGTGCCCTATTGGTTCGGGTCCATCATGTCATTGAGCACGCGCTGTCGCAACTTGGGCGAGCGCCTAGTGGGGGTTTGCGGGGGTCGGTTGCAGCTTGCAAGTGTTTGATGTGATTTTGTTTTGTATTGGTGATGATATGTCTCTCTTTGGTTGGGCGGTTTCTCCCTGCGTTTTGACTTCTCCGACGATGGAAGGGTATCGGGCCGACAGCCGCTCTGCACTTTGGTACGTACCTACCAAGTCACCTCCCCGGTTTCCTTCTCCATTGCTATATTCAGGTCCCCCGATACTGTATCGGCGTTTGTCAGAAACTCAATGAGAACCTTGATGGTGGATGTTTCATCGAATTGGCAACTGAACAAACCTCACCTTTATTTCCGAAAAGGGGTGGGAACCGGACAAAAACACATCGGGTACGAGCTTGGGGACTACGGCATCTTTCGCATCGGGCTAACATCAGAGCCCAACAAAATTGCCAGGGTCGAACCCCTCCGAATAGAGGTACAGATATCACTGCTTCCTATCATACAGTTTATCCTATGGTATCAGGTATTGTTTCCGGTCTCAACAAGCTAAAAGCCAAAGACCGAAATGTAAATGCCAAGTGTGAGATGTGGGCTGGCAAGAGGAGGGAAACAAATTGCGGGAGAGAAAGAAAGGCAGAGAAAACAGTAGACGCCGTCAATTTAGAGCTTGACCTTCCCGCCCTGTAGCGCTCCCCAGTCCTCGGTCGTAAACCTAACATAGGAATCGCCCTTTAGCCAGTACACCTCATCCAGCCCAGTCTTGCCGGGCTCCACGCCTTCACTACGCAGGCTCGTCTTCTGCTGCTTGTTCGTTCCCGTGGTCTGCAAGCTGCCGCCATGCACGACCCGTAGGAACAATGGCAGCGCATACTTAGGCAGACCCTTGCGCACATGCTTCGCCAGCGTCTTCAAGGTCTCCTCGCTCGGCGGTGCGCCCTCAGCACCACCAACCAATGCAGCGGGGCGGAACAAGACGGCGGCACACCCCGCGCGGCCCTCGTGGCGCGGCAGCTCGACGCCGTACACGTTGGACTCCAGGACGCTCGGGTGCAAGCCAACAACCTGAGCCACCTCGGCAGTGGACACGTTCTCGCTCTTCCAGCGGAAGGTGTCGCCGATGCGGTCGTTAAAGTAAACGCGGTTTTCTGAATCCCACCGCACGATATCGCCCGTGCGGAACCATGCGTCGCCCTTGCTGAACACATCGCGCATGATCTTCTTGCCCGTGGCCTCCTTGTCGCCGTAGTACCCCTGGAACCGCGACTCGACATCCTCGGCCGGAAGGGTAAATAGTAGTTCGCCGGGCTCGCCGCGGGCGACACGGCGGCAGAGGCCAGTCTTCGGGTCGCGGTACGGGAGCTCCGTCTCGTGGTCGACCTCGGCGATCGCGATCGAGCGGCCGACGGCGAGGTTGTAGATCGATCCAGCGCGGCCGACGGCCCCCATGCTGAAGTCGTTGCGGCTGATGTTCCAGGTGGCAAAACTGCCCTCCGTGGCACCGTAGAACTCGGCGATGGTCTCAATGCCGAAGCGTTCCTTGAACTTGTTCCACACGTCTGGGCGTAGACCGTTCCCAAAGGCAATGCGGACGTTGTGCTTGCGGTCGAGGTTCTCGCCCGTCGCGGGGTCGATGCGGGCAGGTGCCGAAAGCAGGTAACGGCACGTCTCGCCGACGTACTGGATGATGTTGGCGTTATGCTTCCGCACGTCATCCCAGAATCCGCTTGTCGAGAACTTCCGGCTCATCGCGAAGGTGGCACCGGCAGAGAGCGTGTTGGAGAATCCGAGTAGCATGGCGGTACTGTGATAAAGCGGCATGGCCTAGAAGAAAGTGAGTTAGTTCCGCCCACCAGTTCACGGCGACTGGGCGGTGATACTCACTGTGTAGAAAACGTCACTCTTCTTCGTCCCCGCCCAGCGAGACGTAAACCCGCCTACCACCGCAATTTTGTCCCAAGACACAATGGCCGCCTTAGGAAGCCCTGTGGTGCCGCTCGTGTAAATCAGGAGACCCATGGTGGTTCCCACAGCATCGCTACGGAACTCATCCGGCGGCCGGGTCGCGTCGTGCGACAGCATCTGAACCTCTAGCTCCGGCGTGACAACCTCAAATGTCACATCGCTTAACTCCGATCGAACATCCTCCCCGACGTTATCAGCGACAGTGGGGTCGATCAGCACCAGGCGGGTGGTTGCTTTCTTCACGCAGTGCGCCAGCGGTTTGCCCGTCAAGTTATAGTTGATCAGAGCGGGCACAGCGCCAAGCGACCAGAGGGCGAAAATAAGAAAGATGAAGGTATCGGTGTTTTGGAAGTCCAGGGCAACCAATTCACCCTTCTTGACACCGCGCCGCTCCTTCAGCCATGTTGCATAGCGAAGTACCGTGTCATAAGCCTGGGCGTAGGTGTGAACTCTGTCCTCGAAGCGCAGAAAGGCGCGGTTGGCGGAGGATTTGGCGGTGGCGAGGTCCTCAAGGCGGTAAAAGAAGTTGATGCGCCCACGTCTCATCCACCAAGCCTTTTGAACCAGAGCCGGGGCGACCGAGCTCACGAGATCCCAATCGTATGAAAGCAGGTATTTGGCGTTGGCGTAGGCGGCCAGCGCAGCCGCAGCTGGAACAGCGACGGGGAGAGGCAAAGGTACTGAGATGTTATCGTGTTAATTGGACTGCTGTCTGGTGGGCCGGTAGAATTAAAACCGCCGTGGATCTCTTGGGTTGTAAAACTCACGGGAAGTCATTATCGATGAATTTACGAGCTCAGAGGACCTTGGACGCTCTGATAACCATGAAAGAACAATATCTAAACAAAAGAATAAAACAGAGCAGGGCCCGAACCGACCTATGGGTTTACGGACTCTGGGTATCAATCAAAGAAAGAAGCTAGAAAAAGGGAAAGGGAGCCTCTGGGATCGGAGGCGTCGGCGAGGATCCCGGGGATTGAAGTTGGCAAACGCCCTCGGCTTGTGACCCAATCTCGGCCGCGGTAGACGGATTTATCTGAACCTATCCCGGGTTTCGGGCGAGCCCCGCGAAAGGAAAACATCAATGGACAGGGATCATATGCACAACCGAGAACGCTTTACCTTCAGAGTCCGAATCATGAAAGTCACAACCAACCTAGGTACCGGGTGCTTAAAAACGCTACCAAACCATTACCTCACGGGGCCGTTTTCCACGCCATTGCATCCGTTCGCCTCATCGGGATGAAATCAGCGTCTGCTGGACGGCTGCGGTCGAAGTGATGCGGACATAGGTTGCGCAGTCAGTCTCATGGGACGTGCCTCGGCTCGTTGCCTCTGCTGCATGCAGGGAAGCATGGGGGGCAGACAAAGGAATGCCAAGACAACAACGCATCGCCCACTCCACGATCCCGCTTGGAGCGTTTGGAATCGTTGGAAAGCGGCAACGCGGAAAAGGCACGGCAGTGTGAAGAAACTGGGGGACTGACCATCCTTTGCGGGGCGCGTGGAGACGATCGATCCACCGCAACACTCTCAGGTCGGAGGCATGTGGCGTCATGTTTGTTAAAGCGAAATGAACTCAAAAGTTAACTATTTTGAGGCCGGTTTAAGGGTATAACTCATGAGTGACAGCTCTACCCCGAGCCTTCTCGAATGGCTCCTTCAGTTCAACTTGAGTGCTTGTTCCATTGTCCAACGCAGCATCTGCCGCTCTGTTGGCAAAAAACCGAATCAAGTCGAAACGGCCTAAACTTTAGGGTAGGTGCGGGCGTTGAAACGGAGATGGGGCTCCGGGGTTGGTTCCTGTGCCTCGGGACGAGTCAGCGGGTTGAGTTGGTCTCGGTCACCATGTGAACCAGGGTCGCTGTGACTTGATGAAGCTCGGGGCAGTTCCTATGATTCAAGCAAAGCTTGCGAGCAAGACGACAGAAGTGTTATCAGGGACTTTCGTCTTATCGCCACGTGCAGCACTAATCCTATTGAGGCAGAAACTAGCGGTCCGCCAGTCGATTTCGACAAGGGGGTGGCAGGGGCACGCAACAGGGGCAGTTGTTCCCGCAGCGAAACCAACGGCGGACGAAGCGTGTCCAGCGCGCGGTCGATTCTCGAATGGATAGGCAACCCGCTGTGCGCCATGTCGATTCAACTACCGCCCGATGACGGCGCGGTGACCTCCAATGGGCCCGTCGCCGGCGCAGAACCAGGCTCCGGAGTAGTGTCCAACTCCAGTAGCAATGGCGACGGTGGAATGGCAACACAGTCTGAAGCCGGGGCCAAAAAGCTGGCGCCGCCCGAGAAGCCGTCCGACGTCCGCCGACGAAGCCACATCATCCTCTCGTTCTGGCTGATCGTGCTCTGTCTTGGCTTGCCGATATGGTGGAAAACCACAACAATTTATCGGGCTGATTTGCCTTTACAGGAGATGCTCGATTGGTCTGATGGAAAGGTGCGTTCGATCCAGTTGTTTTTGCATACCCTTGAGCGGCATCTGGCGGAGCGAAGCTGCTGACTCCGGTTCTAGGCATGCCGTCCCGTTTTCCCGCTCCGCATCTCGATCCAAGCGAACGCGCTTCAAGAGCAAGAAGCCCAGAACCTCCTCCGACTCACCCAACACGCTCTCGACGACCTCAATGATTTCTCGGGCCACCACCTTCGGTTACAGCTCGCACCGCCATCCACCACCGAACATGCAGGGTCTGAGAGCGTGCTGACGCTCCGGCTCGTGCCCGGCGACACAACCACGACCAAGTTCGACCCGCATCAGCCGATCCTCGATATCACGTACCCACCGAACGCCATCCCGTCTCCTACCTCGTCGTCTTCTGCCCTCGCCACATACGTAGCCGGCCAACTTCGAGCGACGTTTGCTGAAGAGCAGGCCACGATTTCATACCTACTATCGACCAATTCGATCCCGCCTGATCACCGCGCTCAAGGGCTCTCATCCGATGTATCCGACTCGCTTGCGAAGCGGACGACCCGCTCGCTGAAATATGCGCCTACATACCACTTGACCTTTTCGTTGTTCACCAGCGGACCGCTGCCGAGCGACTGGGACATTGACGGAGCGATCGGAGCGTACATGAAACCGGTGCTCGATGTGTTGTCTCCCATCCACAACTTTACCATTGACACACAAGTCCAGCTGTATGCCACACCGGGGGTCCAGAACCAAGTGCTGAACAAAGAGGATCTCTCATCTTTCATCAACGCCGCGGAGTGGCCGCTTTCGCCTTCTATCGGAGGTGCCCCAACTGTCAACTTCATCGTTTTCATCGGTAACCAAACAATCGCCACATCATCCCAAGACCCCATTGACGGTGACACTGGGTCACCGGCCGCCGCCTCCCACTCCTGGCTGATCCCGCAATGGGGCACTATTTACCTCCTACCCCTATCTCATGACACAACTCACCTCTCGGCCGAGGCTCTCAAGCAACCCCTCCTCACCTTCACCTCCCATCTTCTGTCTCTAACTGGCACACCGCAATCGGGCTCTCTCCCACTGCGCTTGTCCACACTCTCGCGCATCCGTTCCGCCGACCTTCTCCTGCGTGCCTCCTCCACGCTCGGATCCCTCGCCCGCTTGGCTCTCGCCCTCCCGTCCATTTCCATTCCGAGCCGTGTTGCCGAAGGCGTCTCGAAAACAATGCACCATTTACGTCTCGCATGTGATACGCTGGGCGGGCTAGAAGGGCTTGCGCACGCACGCATTGCGGAGGCGGAGGCAGAAAGGGCGTTTTTCGAGAAGAGTATGGTGGGGCAGTTGTATTTTCCTGACGAGCACAAGATCGCGGTATATCTCCCGCTCTTGGGGCCGGTGGCAGTGCCATTGGTCATGGGGCTTTTGAATGAGATCAAAGCGTGGAGGAAAAGGAGGAGCGAGAGGGCGGAGGTGGGAGAGGGGAAGAAGAAGGAGTAATCAGGCCAAACGGTCCAATTAGTTTCTAAAATAATATCTGTTGGGCCTTGTTGGTTAGTTGGCTTGTTAATAGAGAGATATCCATCGTACGTAATTAGATTCCAACGCGAGGCCCGAAGCTGTTGTCTGTTTCTACCATCGTTGTGGTTGATGGGGCTCGTGATACTATCAAAGTTGGGCCCTTTGACTCCTTGTTAAGTCACATTATCCGGGTTTCTCTTCAACAAATCCAATGCGGGTTTAGCTCAGTTGGGAGAGCGTCAGACTGAAGCCAAAACTTCGGTACCATCAATCTGAAGGTCATGTGTTCGATCCACATAAACCGCACTCTTTTTCTTTGCACAGTCATGATGTGTTTTGCCGGCGGGCTGACTCCATAGTATTCAGAACCCCGCTCTTTGCATGTGCGCTTCGTCCGGGAAAAGTGGGCCCGCCAAGTACAAAAGTGGCCTGTGCTTCGCTGCCCGTTGACCACATTTACCTCGAAGAATTCACAGCACTTCGTGACTCCCAAACGAACCGATTAGCCAGCCGTAGCGACTCTCTTTCTTTACCTAGCGACTCTTTTTTCTCCAACGCGGCAATTTACTTCAAGTAGAGGTAGAAGAACAACATCCACTACGTAGGTACATTCGAAAACTCTAGCCTGACGGCTCCGCTTTCATTCCACCTACCCTGCTAAAAAGCGTCCTGGATAAGGACAACCCCTTTATTGTGATCGCATTTTAACCAGAAAACATCCCTCGTTTTTTGACAGCTTGGTCGTCCAGCAATACTACCTCCTCCTCCCATGCTCCACGGCTATCTGCTGAAAACTAGGTTTGAAACTTTATATGTTTCTTGTAAATTCTAGTTACAGGTGCCGGCTTGTCCTTCTGCTCACGATTAAACTAGACATTAACTACATTTTCACCCGTCTTTCCCATAAGCTTTCTCCCTGACATGTACCTCGTTACCTACCACCCCCTCCTCCTCCGAATTCTCACAGCCACCTTCCGGTCCGGCCCCATCGCTCCAGTTGGAAACGCGCGCATATCCGGCTTCACATGGCGCGCGGCCACCGGATCGAGAATCTCGATCTCAAATGCCTTCATCATCCCCGCCAAGGCCACCAGCATCTCCTGCTTGGCCAAGTGGCGCCCAGGACAGATGCGAGTACCGCCGCCGTAGGGGTAGAAGTAGCCCTGCAGAGCGGCCGTGCTGGAGATGGGTTTGGCCGTTTTGTCGTCTTCGGCGGTCTTAGGCTTGTCAGCGTTCTTCGCGGGTGTAGTGTAGATGGAGGCGTCCGGTTTCTTGACAGGTCCGCTGGCCGGGTCGTTGGGGTACTCGAGGAAGCGTTCGGCCCAGTAGGTGTCGACGGGGTGTTCGGGTTTCCCATCGGGGCGAAGGCGGCCCTGGTTCCAGAAGTCCGGGTCGTGGGCGCCGAACCACACGATCGAGAGCATCAACGAGTTGCGCGGCATGGACCACCCGGCCAGCTGGAAGTTGTCGGTCACAGGATTGCGAGCGGAGGTGACGGCCGCGCAGTGGCGTAGCGACTCGAGGTAGACGCCGGTTAGGAGGGGCTTAGCGCATAGCGCAGCGACGTCAAACTTGTCGGTGGACTCGTCGAAGCACTCGGCCAGTTCGGCTGTGACCCGCGCGGTGAGGTTCTCCGAGACGAGTACGTTCAGCATCCCCCACAGCGTCGCAGGGATGACATTGGCGTTGGACGCCCACAGAAAACCTAGATCCTGGCAGACAGCGCCGTCTAGCGAGAAGCCGGCGTTGTCAAACATCTCGGCCCGCATACGCATCAGACGGGACCCCCAAATGGGCTCGTACTCAACGCCCGCCAGCGACGGGTCTCGGTAGTCGAGCTTCTCCCGTGCGTGAATTACCCACTTCTTGAGCGCGGCCAGAGCCCGGTCGCGCGTGACATACGCACTAGGGGCCAACCACCGCGGCGTGCGGCGGAAGTAGGTCAGAAGATTCTGATCGAAGGCCCAAAACTCACGCGCAAGTTCCGGCGCTACCTCAAACACGCGCTCTCCGAGCAAGCCCTTGCAGGATGCTTGGAACATGGCATCGCGCAGGAAACCGTAAAAGTCCGGCAGCTCAACCCACTCCTCTCCCTGACCCACTATCTCCGTGTCCCGCAAGTACGCCGTGTAATTCCCCACGAACCGCCCCATCATGCCCTCCAGCGCGGCGCCATTCAGCATCAAATGCAGATCCCGATGTTGCTGATACAACACACGATGGGCCGGATCCACGTCCTCAAACCCTTCCAACGGCCGCGCCTCATCGCCAGAGTGGTCGCGCTCAAACACGGCCAAATCCCGTGCTGACATGCCGAATTGGTCGCGCATAGCCACAACGATGATGGGCTTCATCGACAAGTCGCGCGCGTGTTTGAACATGGCTTGCACCGCGGCCCCGTGCGGGATGTAGTACATCGTCTCGAGCCCGACGAAGAGCCGAAAAGGGGCACGGCCGAACCGTTTGCTAAGATGTAGGTGTGAGCAACGGCAGTGTGTTGTAGGACGTGGAAGGGGGGGAGGATTGTATGCTTACATTGTTTTCGTGATGAACCCCTCAGTGTCGTAGGCAAACTGGAAGGTGTTGCCCAAAACCGGCAAGGCATAGGGCACCGGTGGGGGGTTACCTTTGCCGCGGACATTGCGGATCCAGTTGGCGTTGAAGGTGGTGAGAGCGTATGTGAGGATGAGTGGGAGGAGGACTGCTACCACAACTGTGAAGGTGAGACGTTCACCAACTAGCGCCTCTACAAAGGAATTGAGAGACCCCAGCGCGTTTGGCGCCGAGAACGCTGAATCCACCGCCATCGCGGAGTTGACGCGATAATCCGTCGGGAAGGGTAATGATATTTATGTGGGCATTGGTGAAGTGAGAAGTTTACTGAGATGAAATGAGTTGATTGTCGTTCATTTCAGCCTTTTGTCGAACGCCACACGCGTTTTCCCCTGCGCTGGCGCGCTTATTGGCGACAGGGGGGATTGTCAGCCGCAGGTTTTATCTCAGCAAGCGCTTTTCTCTTCCCAAGGCCGTAAACGAGGGAAAAAATGACTACAAATAGAACTGTGAGGGTATATTTCGGCCGCAAAAGCCAACTGTAACATCAAGCAACGCTAAAACATCAAATAACACTTTCAAAGCACCAGTACCGTCTTGAACCGTCCTGCTACCCAAGGGCTCCGTCCCCCAAAATGCTCACAAACATCCTGCGCTCAGCAATGTTACATGAGTGGTTACACCCTCTGACCCTGCCTTCCCTTCCCAGTATTTAGACTGCAGTTGGTCGCTCCCATTACTGTTGCTGCGGCTGCTGCTGCACCTGCATCGCACCCGTCGGCTGATACCCCTCGCTCACCACCGCAGCCCCGCCAACGCCCGCACCCAGACGTGCCTTGAGTTCGTCCTCGTGCTGCATCAGGACACACCCCGGGAAACAGCACGATACCCAAAAATCATTCTTGGATGTCCCCGGGATACCGTAGCGCTCGCGAATTTGTTGGCGCTGTTCTTTGAGAGAGCTTCATTCGAAATTGACCGGTTAGCGTTTTTGATCTCCATCTTTACTTATTTGTCTTGGATATCATATCGGGTGAAATTGAGGGCCACCGCAGGGGAATATAACACATACCTCACGTATGTACCAATACAGAATGCGCGACCAAACTCGACGCAGTCCCGGCTGTGCTTTTCGGTAGGAACGGTTGGGTCACGGAGGAGCTGGGCATTGTCGGCATAGACTGTCGGAGGATTGTGTTAGTCGGTTCTAGGTGAATAGCAGCAGGAACGAAAGGTGACGTATTCGTCACATGTTTGTACGTTGGATGGTATCGACATACTATAGCAGGCGCAGCAATTCGCTTTCCAAAAAAATCCGCAGGGGAAGAACCGGATAAGGCTGTTTGTCCACCCGCCTTGCGCGCTCTTCTCGTTCTGGGCCATGGTGTTGTGGTTGGGTGTGGATGGTGATAACACAGAGGTGCTCGCAGCTTAAACAAATCAATGATTGGTGCCAGGGTCACAGTGATGAAATCTGATCAAAACTCAGAGACGCAAGATGAAACGACGGCTTTTTGTATCTTTGCGGGCGACGTCAACTTAAGGATCATTCCAGTCTCGCCGGTATACCAAGTACGAAGTACGGATATAAGGCAAATGCCAAGTGCTGCCCTGGCTTGCCCGGTTGGAACTGAGCACCAAACTCCATGGCACTTCCTCTGTGTATTATCCCGATTGGGACAAAAACTAGCACCTCAATCGGAGGCGCAGTTGTCGTTCGCTGTGCAATGATGTCGGGCCCACACCTGCTGACCTGATCGGCATCCCGCCAAGACCCTGAACGGGGAGCCCGCCTCAATCCTTCGTTTGGCTCCCGTTCTCAAGATTGGAGGATAGCAGAATGTGGCTTGGTGACAGCGCTGAGGGTGGCTGCGATCCTTCTCGCCAAACCGCCGCCCAGCCGATAAGAAGGCAACATGACATCAACCGGCTTTTGGTGTCAATGACGCAGGACTGGCGAGAGGGGTGGGATTGGGTCCGGGGTCTTGTTCTTTCGCAAGCTTTGGTTGACTGTCAAGAACGGAACGAACTGTCTTGCTGAGGATCACATAGTCTGGTGTAAATATCTTGCCGTAACGAAGCTTTCGTGGTACCGGAGAAATTTCGTCGGTCTCAAAACCAAGTTTTTTGTAAAAGGCGAGACCACGTTGATTGGCCAAGAAGCATGTCAACATGACCTTTGTGATGGGCGGCAGGTTGGATGCGGCTGTTGAATGGAAGCCCATGAGCAAGGCACCCAGGCCGGTCCTATGTGGAATCATTGTCAGCCGAGGGTTGTCTTGGGGCTGAGACCCATGAGACCGAGTACAGTACCCCTGAAGGTCTGTTTGAAGATGGACTTCATAACAGTAAATGACTGGCTGCCCTTCCTCGTAGGTCGGCATTAGCGAAGTAAACCCACGGAGTGATGCTGTATCCTTTGTTTTGACAAGGATATATCGCAGTCCAGGCGACCTCATCTCCTTGAGCTTCCTTGCGGGATGCCACCCAGAACTTGAGTTCTCATAGTCCTTTTGGCTCGTCTGCTCAATTAGATGAAGGCACCGCGTAATTTCATCATCATTGAGGGCTTCAGACCGCACGAGACTCAATGTGTATTCGGCACCCGTCTCGGGATGGGTCCAGCTGTTTATCCATGGTCTTATCTCGGGCTCCTGTTTGGGTGTACTACAGAACACATGTTACCAAGTTAGTGTTGGCAGTTTGGGAAGAAAAGGGGGGCGAATCGTAATCCTTGAATCCACCCAATTCTATCCTAACGCCCGAACGCCATTTGGGGGACTCGCCTTGGTTCAAGATAGTCGATAATAAACTGTTCATCAGTTTTCCGGTTCGCAATCTCCAGAGGACTTGTTGGTGACCGCCGTCGTTTCGGCATTATGAAGAGAAGAGGCTAGAGAAGAGGCTACAAGAGTAAAGTGGGAGTTGTGCTGAGCGTTGTGACGGAACTCAACGGTTTCTATTCAACGCGTTTGGACGGGGAACAACGCGACTTGCCTGCCAGGACACAGGTAGAACAGTGCGGAGACTACACCCCTTGCGTGATTATACGGACCTTACTCAGCAATGTCTACACTTGAGAAAATTGAGCAGCTCACAAAACCAATGACTTACACGGCGGGCATTCATCAATATCCGCTGTAAGTTGAAAGTAATTTGGGTCCGGAGACTTTCACGGTCTTAAACTCCTATGTAAGTAACCAGCTGTCGTCTCATGAGTTCAGGATGTGGGAAGATAGTTATAGTGGGACGCCAAGCACCGACGGACCTGGGGTGCGGTCGCTTCCCTTAACTGCTAAAAATTCACCAGAGAACATGAACGTACCCTCATAAGGGGGTGGATAACAACCAGCTCAATTGAATGGGTTCTGTCAATATATAACCCGAATGAAGGTTTACAAGACGTTGCCGGCAGTTCTACTGTTGATGCGCACCTTTGGAGCGACCTCGTGGCGGCCTTTTCGCACGTTTGCTACGGACCGGAAGTCCAGCCTTGGGCGAACGCTGAGTTTAGATCAAGTGAGTACCTCTCTGTCATATGGAGAGAGCCTCTTCATCAAGTATCAACGCCTCTGACTAAGTTGTCCAGTTCATCCAAAGAACACGGGTCCTATCGTTCTACCGGCACATAATTCGAGGAACACGCCGGATATCAGATCCCAAAACCCGGGCTGAAACTCGCAAGTTTGCAAGAGACGAATTTGAGAGGCACCGCGGTGTTACAGACCCTGTCAGTCCATTACGATCGCTCCGCAACTTTCCTTCAAGTCATGAATGCTACTAACTCGGCATAAAGGCCCATATTCGCTATCTCTTATCAACAGGCAAGACGGAGTGGGATACCATGGAGAGGTATATTGACGGCTTATAAAACATGATCTGATCCAACTGTCTCTACTTCGCCGGACCATATTCTCACTTCCACGTTGAGCCATTGTCCCGTACTTTGGGGCGCCATGACGGATGCCCAACCTCCCCACCATCAGCCCCCCGTCTCCGAAAAATGTAGAGCTATCATGCTGTTGTTGGAGGAGCTGAGATGCTCGCCATTGCCCCCAGACACCAGCCCCCGCGTAGGCTAGTCGGTCTGCCTCCCCTCTTATCATACAGATTTCATGAAATCATTTCTTGGTATCAAAACAACCGCGCATCATCTTCCAAACTTTCATCGATTTAGCCTTGGCGCTGTTTGTGCCTCGGGTTGGCCGGACATATTATGTAGAGATACCCGTTATGTCGCTTGCCAGCCTTCCGCCGGACGACCTGTACCAAACAAACGTTTAGCTTAAACAGTTCCCGGTATTCACTAAGAAGTCACCTCCAAAACCCCGTCGGCCGACTAACCTTGCAATGTTCGCACCGCTTCTTGATCGCACTGCGCACCTTCATTCCCCGCACCTGCTGCTTCTGGAACACCGCCACGCCGCTCTGTACCGCAGGAGCGACCGCGCCCACACCCATGGTTGTTTTTGTGCCCGAGAGAGCGGCGTGTGAGAGACATCGTGCCTTCGTAGCGGTCGTTGTTGCCTTGGTTGTCGTCGGCCGACCGGCGGACAGGGAAAGCGCGCGCATCGACGAGGCCAGCGTTTTGCTCATCGACGCGGCCGACCGCATGCTTTGCACGAGGCCGGACATGGTTGGATGTGCGTGTAACTTGCTCCTGGGGCGTAGCAAGCGGAATTGAAGGGGAGGGCGTCAAAGACGTTCAGGTCTTTTCGCTCGGGTTTCGTTCGTCGTCGTCGACTTCGTCCTCGTCCGTCTTGGTTTCGATCGACAAGAAATTAAAGGTTGGCTTGCAGGGGTGCGGTGCATGGACCCCTCAGCAAGCCCGCAACAGAAAATCGTTCTTGGCGCTATCACGTGCATCAAATGGGGAGCTCGATTGACCCTAACCCCCGGGCCTTCTTTGCGTGCACTCAGAGACTCACTTCGTGAACGCAACGCCCAGTCTGTGACACCACTCGGGCCTACAGGCGCCATGACGATGATAAGGATGGGTTTCAATGACGTACCACTTAGTAGGAGCGGTGCTTGGGCCGCAGGAGATCTCTGGAGAGATTTTAAATGAGCCACCCCCTCAGCTTCGCCATCTCCATGGGCCTCAACGGAAATCACCATCCCAATAAATCCACACCAACCTATACACAGCTCTCTCTCCCATAATGGCCCCCCCTCTCATTTCCCTTGAAGAGCATTTCTTTTCCTCCGCTGCCCCATCCTCTCTCCCCGAGAAATATGCCGAACAACTAAACAATATCCCCAATGTCCTCGCCCAACTAACTGACCTCGGCGCCCGTCATCGCCTCCCCGACATGGATGCCGGAGGCATTGCGCTTCAGGTGGTCAGCCATGCTCCTGGTCTCGGCGTGCACGACGCCGCCCTGAGTCGGGCAGCGAACGATCAGCTGGCCAAGGCTATCGACGAGGAGGACAAACGGGCTGGTGGGGGGAGGAGGAAGGGAAAGGGGCGACTTGCCGGGTTTGCGGCAGTGCCGATGGCAGATCCGGAAGCTGCGGCGGTGGAGCTGCGACGGGCGGTGACGGAGTTAGGCTTCGTCGGCGCCCTGATAGACAATCACTGCAACGGCAAGTTCTACGAAGGGCCTGAGTACGATGTGTGGTGGGCAGCGGTGGAAGAGCTGGGCGTGCCGGTGTATCTTCACCCGTCATGGCCGAGCGACGACATGCGAGCGCGGTATTGTAGCTCAAAGTTTACCGAGGCAACCGCGGGGAGTTTGGCGACAAGTGGTTGGGGTTGGCATACTGAAACGGGACTGCACGTTCTGCGGTTGTTTTCCTCCGGGCTGTTCGATAGGCGGCGAGGGCTCAAGATTATCGTTGGGCATATGGGGGAGATGATACCGTTTATGCTGCAGAGGATTGCGCAGTTGAGTCGGAGGTGGGGAACGTTCGAAAGGGATTTCGAAACGGTGTATCGAGAAAATATCTGGGTCACAACGAGCGGCGACTGGAGTTTAGATCCGCTGCGGTGCATCCTGGCCAACACCAGGCTGGATCACATTCTGTACAGTGTGGACTACCCCTTTGTGTCGAACGAAGTTGGGTTGAAGTGGATTCAGGAACTTGAGAAGAGTGGGCTTGTTGACGAGGAAGGGCTCAAAGGTATTGCATACAAGAACGCGGAAAAGCTGTTAGGTGTGAAACTCCCACACAATAAGCCGGTATTATGAGTCTAGCTGTTACAAGAAGGAGGAGACACGCGAGCCGAGTATTGAAGTTTAACTTGTATAGATAGCGGGAAAGACGAAGATACAATCGAGAGCCGAATGATATGAAACCAAGATCATGCCACTCACGCAAATTGGTGGACGGCACACCATACCCCAGATCACGGAACTATTCTTGGCAAGAAGGAATATCTTAGACATCAAGTTAGGACTTGAGAGAAGTTAACAGGTCTGAAAAAAAAAAAAAAGGCAGTTATCCTCCTCCGGGAAGGCTCGAACTTCCAACCTCCTGATTAACAGTCAGACGCGCTAGCCAATTGCGCCACAGAGGACTAACTTGAATTTATCCGTCATTTGGGAGAGTCTAAGGATGTGGTCCTCCACATCGGTTGTCTCGATGAGTACACCACGTCTAGTTTCAACATTGCATCGACAATTCCAGTGCGAACACAAGAAATTGGCGCGGACAAGAGGTGCTTCGGCTTTCACCGGGCAAGTACAGATCGTCACTAGGTCACAAGACGTAATGATTAAAATACTTCACGTTGTATTCGAAAGTGTTTCCAACTCCAGCCAGTCATGCACTAATTTCACAAATACATCCAATAAGCCGGCAATATCTCAAGAAACACCGTAGATAACTCCTAATATATCTATGCTTTATGCCTTGGCCTTGCGATCCTCCTTGATCAAATCCGCCGCCCGCTCCGCAACCGCATACACCACACTCTGAATATTCCCAACCGGCTCAAGTGGGAACACACTAGCATCCACCACCCTCAGCCCCTTGGTCCCATACACCTTCAGCCGCTCATCCACCACCCCGCCCTGGTCCCGCGGCCGCAGCGCACAGCTGCCCGCAACGTGGAACACCGAGATCTGGCGCTGGCGCACAATCTCGCGCGCCGCCTCCAGCCCATCCTTGTCGTCCTTGTCCGTGGCGCGTACCGGGGGCAGGCGTAGACCATCCGGCTTGAGGATCTGGCCGAAGGCGGTGGAAGGGTCGACGATGCGCTCGACAAACTGCACGGCGCGCGCGAGCAGCTCGAAGTCGAGGGCGTTGCTGTTGTAGTTGGGGTCCCAGCGGGGCGCGGCGCGGACGTCGGTGCCCGAGGTGAGATGCACGCTACCGCGGGAGAGCGGCTGGTTGACGATGGTCATGATGGTGATGAAGTTTTGCGGGTGCACGGGGGTGATGTAGTGCGCCATGCTGGTTGGGTGGTCGGGGATGGAGACCTGACTAGGGAAGAGGAGGTATTGGAAGGTGGCTTCGGTCGGGGACTCGACGAGCTTGCGGATGACCTTGCCTTCGGGGGTGGAGAGGGTGGATTCGTGCTTGGAAAGGAGCTCAGTCTTGGCTTCGGCGGAAACCACGCCGGAGCCGTCGACTAGGGGCGCGTAGGCGACACTGATGATGCTCTGGCCGAGGGGGCCGGCGCCTCCGGACTGGTACATGCCCATGAGGGCCTGGAGGACGTTGGGGTCGCGCAGGACATCGGCGGAGGGGGTGGTCTCGGCCACCTCGAAGCTCTGGCAGACGATCGGGTGGTCCTGGAGGTTCTCACCGACGTTGGGGTTCTCGACCACGACGGGAATACCGTGTTGGGTGAGCAGGTCACGCCCACCAATACCTGACAGCTCGAGGATCTGGGGAGTCTGGAGGGCACCGGCTGCTAGGATGACCTCGGTGCGGGCCGAGATCTGCTTCTTCTGCTCATCTTTGCCGATGATCTCGACACCCGTCGCGACTGGTTCGTCGCCGCTCGAGGTGTCGAAAGTGATCTTGCTTACCAGAGTCTCGGTAAGGACAACCAGGTTTGGCCGCTTGGCCACCTCGGGGGTGTAGTACCCAGAACCGGCGAAGCTGCGGGTTTTGGTAGCCGGGTCGATACTGGCGTGGTTCTGGAAGGCGCCCAGGGCTTGTCCCTCGCGGGGGTCGGTGGAGACTTCAAGACCGAGGTCGGCAAAAGTCTTCATCCAAGCCTTGTTGGTGATACCGTAGCCCTCGCTGTGGGAGACCTGGATGGGGCCATCGCCCTTGGCTAGGTTGTCATTGACGTAGGTCAACCCGAGGAGGTCTTTGGCGGACTGCGGGGACCCGTGGACGGTTGCAAACTTGCGAAAGTAGGGCGCCAATGCGTCGTAGTTCCAGCTCGGGTTGCCGAGATCCGCCCAGGCGTCGATGTTGCCCTTGGATGGGTACAACAACATTAAGAAGTTGAGAGCGGAACTACCCCCGAGCATCTTGCCCCGGGATTGGTTGATAGTCCGGTTGTTCAAGGTTGACTTTATGAAACATGTTAGCCGAGAACGGGAAGCCGGAAGCCGGAAACCGGGAGCTGGGGCCGGAGATCATCATCTGTTCATAGACATTAAAGCAACACTAACCTGAGGCACAGAGGAGAAATTCCAGTCGTACTCCTCCTTACCGTACAACGCGGCCACCAGACCCGGAGTAAGGACTAAGGGGTCGGCGGTGCGGTCGGCACCGGCCTCAACCACGAGAACGCGGACATCGCTATCCTCACTTAAACGGTTGGCGACAACCAGGCCGGCGGTACCTCCACCGACGATAATGTAATCGAACGGCTGGTCGAGATCAACGGCCGCCATTGTGAAAGAAAGGTGAGGAAACAAGGGTAGGTAGGGGTGGAGAGTGCAGCGTCTTTCTCTAATTGTTTGAGAGGCTAGTGATCTCGGTAGCGATGGGGCTGCTTGAATGAGCGACCCAAGTTTGAGCTGTATGTTTTCTACCTCAAATTTGCACTCAGGCGGAGAGGGGTGGCCGTCACAGGGATAAGATTACTGATATGGGGATGGGAATAGCAACGGAGTTGGAAGAAACATAAACTGATGGAAACGATGTAATCACCTTGAACTTCTTTGAGGCAGCTACATATAGTACACCTTGGCCGACAGAAGTCGGGACTGGACCCGTTAACTCCTATTCATACCGCTAGTTAGCAACTTCTCCTCCCTTGGCCAAGTCTTTCTCCTCCTCTCTGTCACGATGCTGTGTTGTTTCAGGGAGCGAGGCTCCCTTTCCCTGCGAACCCCTCACTGTCGGTTCTCAAATCAATGTGGGATGGTCCAGGAAAGGTTAGTACCTCGGGCAGCAAGGTGGGAGTCGCTCCACCAAGGGGCTGGTCGGGTGGACGAACGAACCCCTCCGGCCCCCTGCCAGCGCATTCTCTTGACTCTGGGAACGTGGGTGACAGAGGGCGATCGTTCTTGTCCTCCCTCGCAGTCTGCAGAGGATTCAAGCTCGGCAGTGAGCGCGACGTTGGCTGCAGGTGCTGGTGTTCCACCCAGGGCCCCAGACCGCATCACGAAAAAACTCGCCGAAATGTTTCGAAAGGTGTGATGCGGGGGGGAGGTGAGTCTTCAGTCTTGAGTCTGGAGCACTTTCTCCGAGTCTCACATTATCAGTGGCCGACCATTCAAATAGTCCCGGCGAGTTCCTCTGCAAATGCTCAAGAGGTACGAGGAGATTGTTGTTTATATGTAACTAGTTAACGTCAGTTCCGAGAATTGTGGCAGAAGTCCTGGTTCTTGATGTTGCTCCGAGTCTGCATTGCCATCTCCAGACCTTTGCACGTAAACGGAGGTGAGTGGTGTTTTTTTCTTTCTCTTTTTTTTTGTCTTTTTTTGGCCAATCCATCGAGAGCTAACAAGCCTTCGTCCAATCCAGTTCACGATCAGATGCTGTGTGTCCGGGGAACCAGGGTAAGAGCGAAATGTGGGGGGAGAGCAAAAGGAGCGCGGAACCAGGAAGACAGGGAAAATGGCGTTCAACCGTTCCGAGTTGGTGTGACGGCGGGGAAGTTTCAAGACGGCAAGTTCCAGCGATCGCGAGGGCGCTAATAAAGTCCAGACAAACTCGACCTGGGAACCTTGATGCTGTAATCATAAGAATCGCACGAAACGTCTTGCCCGATGCCCTGCCCTGGTTAACTGCTCCCCATTGACGGAAACTGTGAGCAAAAATTTGGCTGACAATTTCTGCTGGTGGTTCTTTCCCCCCCCAAAAAGGTTTCCACTTCCAAGCGAACCAATGCCGAACACACATCCCGCGCTTCCTGGAGTTAGAATTTGAACCCTTGTTCCCCAGGCCCCTGCTCCCTGTCCGCGGTCGGTTTCGCGCCGAGACGAACCTCGCTAAGGACGAGTCCCTGCCCGCTTCCCGGAATCTCCCTCGTGGGTCTCAACGGTCCGCACGTGTAACACCAGGTTCGGCTCCAAAAGGTGCAGGCAAGGCCGTGCAGCATCGATAGGACACAGCAGATATTCACAGTGCCTTTCCAGGTTCCGGTGCCTTGGAATACACAATGGACGGCGAGCACACCACGAAACGTCGAGACCGGTTCAAGTTGCACAGGAGGGATGGAGAATAAGCCGGTCGACGCGGTGTTACAATCAGCACCGGGACTGCGTATTCTCCCCCCCCCCCACGCCAGCTAGGGGTCACATAATCGCGTCTTTTGGGGTCTTCGGTCACGTATCTTGAAGCTTTTCCTTCTCAGAACTGTTCTTAACACTCGACAGCTTCTTGTCCCGAGTGTCTGTAGTTTCATACTAACTACACTAGTAGCAACTGGGTCTAGCCACGCCCACCAACGAGTGATGTTCCCTGGCTTCATTCTCCCCGCTAGCCTCCAGCCACAAAACTGAGGACCCCATCAGGTTCGCCCCCTGAAGCCTGAAGACGGTCTTCATGGAGGGTCGGTTAATCCGATCCCGTGTGTGTGTTCGTCTCACTCGCGTCGTCAGCCACAACAACATCTGCCCGTCAAAAACAGAAACCCCCGAACCCCCGAGCAAGGGTAAGAATAAGCTCCACGCTAGAGTAACGTGAGCCAGGGTTAACTTCCTTCAACAAAAGAACACTGGTGGTCTTGCTCCGCTTCTCCCCCCTGACTCGAATTTCACACTGCAACCCACCGGTGGAGCTTGAATTCTCGCTACCGATGCCCTGATGCTCTTTCGGCCACCAGCTCGTGGCTCTGGCGACTGGCGTTTTGCTTCTTCCTTCAGTTCCGGAGTTCTTAACCCTCCCCCCCGGCCGGCCAAGCCGGTCACTTCCATGGCCTCGGTGGTCCACTCCGGGACTGAAGGTTACAATGACAAAGGGGGGCCCCATGTTCGCTCCCCTGCTCTCATCCTTGAGGAATCGTCTCAATATCCCCCCGAGCATCGAGGGGAGACAGAAACCCGAGCAAGAATACCAAATACCCATGCTGCCGAGCCAGGCTTGCCATACCCGACTCGATGGATGCTGTGATGATCTTTTTCCCTTTGCTTCTTGACGTCCCATCGAAGGCCCTTCTTTTCCCCTGATGTTTCTGCTTTGTTCATCATCGACTTCTTCCCGGGCCAGGCCCATCTGCATCTTTCTTGCCCCATCCACTGAGCCCTGGCCGTTTTGTACCGCTGCCGAGAATTTCCCCTGAGCTTATCACCGTAACGGGACGAAGGTGATTTATCTCCTGCACGCCGCTTGATGACAACGCTGTAAGCCGTTGTGTTCCCCGGATACTTATCAACACTCCTGCCCCCCCCCCCTCCTTCCGGGCAGTTCGTTCGACGTGCAAGATCGCCTCGAGATTCAACCGCTCGGCCACGGTCCGACCCCGACCTCCTTGACTTTTTAGTCTCACCCGAATCCGGCCCTTGGATTCATTTTCATTCGCACCAGCACCACAAACGACAAGCTTGGCGGAGGGCAGCACAGCTCCTCCCGAGGCACGAGCCAGCATGTTCGACTACGTCCCCTTCCCGATGTTTGACATCGTCAAAATCCATCTGATCATCAACTCCGTGCTCGCATTCCTTACTGTCTCTGTGGTGGCCCTGCGTCTTGTATCCCGTCTCACATCTGGCTCCAAGCTCTGGTGGGATGACTACCTGATTCTGTTTGCTCTGCCGCAAGGCCTTGGGATGCTCATCATCCAGGGGTTGTGTAAGTACACCAGCCACTTTTCTCTGCCTCTTCTTGCAGGCGCATACGGCAGATGTGCACTCGCAGTCACAACATCCTAACAACAACCTGGGATTTAGGGGCGCCAATGGGTATCGGCTACAATGTGACCGAGACACTCCCTAACCTCGAAACTATTTTGAAGATGCTCGTGGCCTATGAGCTCATCTACGCGACCTCGATCAGCACCATCAAAGTTAGCGTCATGCTTTTCTATCTCCGCGTGTTCGTCAACCCAAGCCTGCGCAAGGCCACCAAGGCCGCACTCATCTTTGTCGGCCTTTGGAGCATCGGCAACATCCTCCAGGTCTTCTTGATCTGCCGGCCCTTTGTCAAGACGTACAGCCTGACGGCCGAAGGCGTGTGCGGCAACCAGGTCGCCTCCTTCATTGCCATCGGCGCCTTCAACATCATCAGCGACGTGATGATCCTGACGCTTCCATTGCCAAGCGTCTGGCAGCTGAAGATGTCCACCGCCCGCAAGCTTGGTCTCAGCTGTGTGTTCCTGATCGGTCTAGTGTAAGTCCCAGTCCCCTGAACACCGAAAATCAAACCCCTCTCCCTTTATTGAAAAATTCCTAATCCCCCTTTGCAGTGTCAGCGTCATCGGCATTATCCGCATTGTCACGCTCACCCAGCTCGACCTCACCAACCTTACCGGAACCATGATCTGGGCCGACTTCTGGTCCGCCACCGAGCCCAACCTGGCCATTCTGTGCGTCAGCCTGCCCATGTTGGGCTCGCTGTGGAAGCGCTTCAGGGCGAATCGAGGGGCGAGCGAGTCCAAAAACTCGGGGTATTACTCCTCGGAGTCCAATACCATCGGCAGCAGCGCCTTCAGCAAGATCAAGAACCAGGATGCCGCCGAGCGGGGCGACACGCAAATTCACCTTGAAAACCTCTACGCCGCCAACCAGGAGGTACACTACCAGTCTGCCGTTGCGACGACAACCACGCCGGAGCCGGTCCGCATGCTGGTTGACCACAAGGACAAGGACAGCGGCTCCGAGGTCAGCTTGACGGAGCCATCGCCATATCAAACCGACAGGAACGGAATCCGGGTTCATACGAAGTGGTCCATCTCCCACAACTAAAGTCCTCGGGATGGAATGCGCCCACGTTTTTATTCACGTTTCTCGTTTTCTCTCTGTTTGATTTTGTTTTAACTTGTACACATACACAACTTGCCTTATGCACAGGAGTTCACATATGGGCTTGGGAATGATATGGGAATTTTTCAAGCGGGCAGGCTTCGCGTTGGTGTTTTTTTGGGTCGGGGAGTAACTTACTCCCCCAAAAAAGGGGTGGGTTTATTTTGCAAATTCAAGATAGATACCAGAATCGAAATGGGCAGGTAATACAAGAGGGGCAAACCCTTGTCATAAAACACTCTCTTAAAGGATTACTATGTGCAACGCAAATCCTACCGACTGTTTACTATGTACATAGGTAGTATGTGCTACCCCAGGATGACTGCTGACACCGTTCCCTTTGACAGCGACCGGTCAATTCCATGAAGACAACGTTATCAGCCTCGAAAGCGTTGAGGGATTCTTAACGACAAAGCCCCTGCATCAAGTTGGGTTGCAGTCCGCAAGAAAAGGAATGCCGGTCACCGGCCGACGAGAGCCGCCGATCATTTTCCTTCTGCGGGATCGCGCGCTGCCAGGGATCTTCGGTGGGGGTTGCCCGGTGAAGGTGAGGGGGTTCGGAGGCAAGGGGGTCAGGGACGGGAAGAGCGATGGCGGGCAAGGCGGGCAAGGCGGGTTCAAGGGGGTCAACTCCGATTCGGCGGCTGTGCCTCGAAGCCACTTTCAAAAACGTTGACGCCACACCTTGTGTAAAGTTTACCGTTAGCTTCGGGCGAGAAGATGACCCGGGCAACTTTGTCGTTTCAATTTTCGTTTCCGGACTCTCCAACCCTCTAAAAAAGCAAACGGCGGAATGATCTGAACCATCTTCCAGAGTCCTTCGCGGAGGTTTCTCATCCACGCCGGAACTTCGCTTCGTTGGCCTCCAGCGGAGGTCAAAAAAAGAAGTCGTCAACATCCTGGAAATCTCCGGCCGGCTCCCCTTGTCGGAGATGTCCCTTTGTTACCCTAGTGTGGTGGAGTCACAAAGCCCGAGGCCAGGACTCAGGCATGACAAATTCCGGCTTACCCCGATAGCTTCAACCTTATTACGGAGTAGTTAGTACCAGAAAAGAAATAAAGCAGTCCTGAATCTTTTGACTGGAGTGCAGCTTGCCTCCTGGCGGAAGCAAGTTTTGTTCCAGCCAACGAAACATGTTTAGGGCCCAAATTAGCCATTCCTCGCGGCTTTTTAGTATCTTGTTCTCTGATGAATGGACCCAAGTCGTTGGTGGTGCTTCTGAGGGAGACAGTTTCCAAGTCTATTATTGTCCTTAGCCAATGCACCTAGCAGGAAAACCTTGGACCAAATCTTAGTGTAGTCCCGGGCATTCCCCTGAGTTCCCCTGGCAGCACCCGTTGGTGTTGTCAAACAATATCCCAAAAGCCTGTGATTACTATTGATCATTAATCCCACAGATGCCTGGCAAGCCTGTTGGCTTCCTCAAACGCTCGCAGCTTCAACCAAGCTAGTCACTCATTGCAAAGTTGTCAAACACGTTGCCGTAGTCTCCAACGTGGGCATCCAGAGAATGACTCGGTTTCTGGACAGTCCTGATAGCCGCGAAGCTCTTACTGGTATACTGGAACTGTCGAACCGCACTCTCAGCTGCATTCTTAGCAACTACGTAGCGATCATGAGCACTATGTGCGTCGTTGAAGAGGGTCTCAACTGGGAGCTCTTCGATCCAGCGGGCCGTTGCTCCGTGGCAATGAGTAGGTAAGAACCACAATCGCGCTTCCAGTTTCTGGGAACAAGGCGTTGTCCGTGTTTAATCCGGCAATATCCCCGCCGTGGTACATACACTACCAGACTCGAGAGTGCGCCAACCACAGAGTTGGGATCGTCAACATCGTTATCACTGAGTGTCAGAACACCAGGTGATCCCAGGACGAAAGAGCGCAATCCTCGCAAAGAGAGGTGAGGGAAGCAGCTGTCATGCCTTTGCTGAGGGGGCTGAGGACGAGGAGGTTCACGGCAGGGGATACGCGGGCTGTTAATCTAGACAGTTGGTCGGCCTAGTCCACCATGTCTCATGATCATGTCTTCATTGCGGGCCATAACCTGCTTTATCCCGGAGTTTTTATAAAAACTAAAAACTTTTCAGCTCGCTCGATAATCCTAATCCGTGCCGGCTCATCCATCTCCTTGCCCAACGAAGAAACGCATACCGATATCAACAGCGAACTTTGAACTTCACCAAGGATAACTCTGCGCTGAGAACTCCCGTGCCTCCCCTGCCGGGCTTTATATTTTGGTCTGAGCCTTCGCGGCCCTCTGCTGCCGGATCGCCGTGCTGCTGATTTTAGACGCAAAGTCTTCAGTCTTAGTTGGCTCTTCCCCCACGTCCTCCTTCTCCTTTGCATCGAGCACATCCACCTCAAAAACATCCAGCACATGCCAGCCCTTCTCAGCGCGCTTATCATTGACGGCTTTACCCCCGGACCTCGTTTCGCCTGACACAACCAAAGCGTCAATACCCTCGACTGTGATAGTCGGCCCAAACGCGTCCTGTATACGTACGCATTGGACCCGAATAGTGCCGTCGCGGAAAGTTGCCTGAAAGTCGCCGTCGCTTTCCTCGATCTGGAGACGTGGTCCGTCTTTCCAACCCCGGGGCGAGAGTTCAAGGAGCTGAGCGAGGAAGGCCAGCACGTTGCGGGCCCGCTCTTCCCAGGGCTGGACGAATTCGGCGAATTTCTTGTTCCGTAACATCTCATCGCCAGTGATGCCAATGATGTACTGGCTAGGCGGCGTGGTGGTGAGGTCGCTCGTTCGAGGGACCTGGAGAAGGAGGGCGCCGGCTGTTAGAAGGAGTTTGTGGCCCGGGTGCAGATAATCGAATGTACCACCCAGACAGACCGTGGGGTAGGTTGATGTTTGCGCGGGTCCGCTCAGGGAGTTGTTGTTTGCAATGTTCAGCACCAAGCCACCCTCCACAGGAACTAGTTGAGACTGCAACAGGTTCTGCTTCCCTTCGGCAAATTTCAGGTAGGGCTGGGCCACCTGGTATCCCAACTCGCTTCTAACGGTAAAGATGTTGTCCCAGGGGTAGTAAGCCGAGGCGAAAGTGGCCATATCGACGATGGCGGTGTTGTTGGGATCGATGGCAGGGCGGAAGTCCTCTCTATAGTGCTTATTCCGGTCGTCATCGATGAGAACAACAGTGGAGTCGACAGAATGGGGCCCGCCATTCACTTCTGTGCCGATAGAAAGCTGAGCACATAGGACTGAGATGACCCCGTAAATGCCGGCCACCAAGGTCTGGGCCTGGGGCCATGACAGGGTCTTAGATCGAATGAACTGGCCGGATAGTATGGGGCAGGCGACTGCAATGATGAGTTGAGTGCCACCATTCGAGTTGTTTAACTTCTGAAGCGTGGCCTTGATGGAAGGTCGATACGCGGCGTTGAGAGAGTCGCGTGTAATGGGGTCGGGAGGGTACGGAAGGAGGAGAAGAGATGGGCGGACGTCCTGGCTCATGTTGCAAACTGCCGTGTCGTTTGTAAACTCGAAATGAGGTGAATTATTGTAAGGTATCGGGTATGAAATGACAAGGGTAGTGCGATACAATTCCAGTGGAAGTGTTTCAAATGCTAATGTGCGACTTGAGTAAGAGCACGAATCCTTCTCGTGGGATGGATGGTTTGTATGTCGCTCTTCCAAGTGGTAGGAAGAATTATGCTATGACTGTCCAAATAAATCATTAGGATTGGCGTGTGAGCAGCTGAACGGGACGGGCCTCACAAAACTATGTAACTATCGTTTTCCTCAAGCTCCTAACATATGGGGGGAGGTTGTTAGGCACCGTGCTAACAGAGCAGCAGCAGGTGGGGCAGCTTTGCGCGGACAAGCAAGGTGTTTTGTCACAGTGCTTCCCAAAATGTGTAAGAAACGATCACCGCTCTCAAATAATTATAACCTTTATAAAGAACTTGAGTATTCGATGGCCTAGAAAACTTCACCAAATCAAGGAATTCATCTCTTCATCTTGCTCGTAGGCTACCTAAGTTAGGTGGCAGGTGCTTTGCACCTTTGGTTTCGAATGTTCTGCTCAGTGTCGCTCTGTCTCGAATTATCTCCAGTGCTGCTCAAAAACCCAACGACCCACCAATAGAATCCCACCAATGACGCCTGCGTTGCTTGGCCCCGCACTTGTGCTTGTGGGCGGCTTGTCCGTCCCCAGCCGCAAGAGGGCATTGGGTTTCGAAGACTGGGTCCCGTGGAGAGCTCAACTTCACCTCATTTTCCCATAAAGCCATTCCGTCCTGCGCCTTGCTGCGCGCGCAAAGTGGTCGTTACTGCCACCGGGCTTTCGTGCCCGCCAGTTTCTCCCCTGTGGCTAGCTTTCAGCGATCCGTTGTCTCGAGCAGCCCGGCTGTCAGTTGACCCCAGTGGCCGATCAGTCGACGTTCAGAAGAGAGTCCTTGGCACACCCCGCCTCCCCACCTCGATTCCGACCTTCGTTCTCCAACCCCGATCGTCTGCCACACACCTCTCAGTTCGGACCACGATCCTAAGACCGGCGATTTGCGACTTCCGACCCCCGAATAGCCTGAGATACCTGTTCGACAATGAATCAACCACCTCAGTACCAGCCGCAACGGCGGACGGGTACCTTCTCATCACAACATGATGAGGCACACACCCCACCAGGCATCGCGAGCCACCAGGGGCATCCGGGACACTCAGGGCATCATGCGCACCAGGCCCATCAGGGACACCAGGGCCAGCAAATATCTCCCCGCGACTACTCGACTGGCGCCCCGCACATCAAGCTTGATCAAGTCTCCCCCAACCTCTCCCAAATGTCGGGCTACCAGAGCTCTGGATCGGTGCCAGGCACGCTCCAGCCCGGTGGTGTGAGTTCCCGACAGCCGACAATCCCCTCCAATGCGGCCCCGACCATTCCTAGCATGCAACAGTCCGAATATCCATCACATCACGCCCAAACCCCTCCAAAACACGGCTCGCTGAGCCTCTCACACAGTTACTCGCGGTCCAGCCCTTCGGCACACTACGAAGCCGGAGGGCCAGGCTATCTCCCGTACACCCCGACTACCCCGGGCGGTACCGCGACCTCGTCACAATTCATGTCCCCCACCGAACCCAAATACGCCCCCTCAGGCTCGCAGCGCAATATCTCCAACACCCCGCTTGGTCTTGCGGATATCCGCCCACGCGCCGATTCGAGTCTTTCGGACGGACTACCAGGCACCCCGGGCTACGAGCTGGCCAGCACCCAGCCACGTACCAGCAACTACATGGCACCATGGGCCCTCTACGCCTTCGACTGGTGTAAATGGACCCCCCATGCCAACAGCGGTGGGAAGCTCGCCATTGGTAGCTATCTTGAAGACGGCCATAACTTTGTGAGTGCCTCCCGGCGTAGCCGTCAAGAAAGCGGCGTCTTACTGACTGCGCCTTATCAGATACAAATTCTTGATGCTCAGGTCAACAACACGCCGTCCGATGCCTATGTCCCTGGAGGGCCTAAATGGTCCATGGATTTCACAAGGATTGCGGAGGCAACACACTCGTACCCAGTAACCCGATTACTTTGGGAGCCGCCCTCGTCACAAAAGCAATCCACCGACTTGCTCGCTACCTCGGGTGACCATCTCCGGCTTTGGTCACTTCCATCCGACTCGCAGGCTTCTGTATCAAGCTCTTCCATAACATCAAGAAATGGCCGTGATGCCCCCGTCACGAAACTCACACCGCTCGCGCTACTGTCCAACTCCAAGACGCCCGACCATACCGCTCCGCTTACCTCGCTGGACTGGAACACCGTCAACCCAAGCCTGATCATCACCTCAAGTATCGACACTACGTGTACCATCTGGGACATCCCATCCTTGACCGCGAAGACTCAACTGATTGCCCACGATAAAGAGGTGTATGATGTCCGTTTCTGCGCTCAGAGCACCGATGTGTTTGTGAGCTGTGGGCAAGATGGCAGCGTCCGCATGTTCGATTTGCGGAGCCTCGAGCACAGCACCATCATCTATGAGCCCACCGGTAAGGACGACAAAGGTGAGTACTCGTTCTTCGATTTTCGATCCGCAAATAGACTGCCCTTTTTTGCTAACCTTGCCTTTTTACCCCTAGACTCCAATGGCGGCCGCATGAGCCCGACACTCGCCCAGCAAACTCTCACCCACCCACCACCTCTTCTCCGCCTCGCTACTTCCCCGCACGACCACCATCTCCTCGCCACATTCGCCTCCGACTCCAACGTCATCCGCATCCTCGACGTCCGACAGCCAGGCCAAGCGCTTCTTGAATTACGTGGCCATTCAGGGGCGCTCAACTGCGTCGAGTGGTCCCCCTTGCGCCGTGGTACCCTCGCTTCCGGAGCGGACGACTGCCAAGTCCTCATCTGGGACTTGATGCATAACAGTCAGGGTGGTGCAACGGCCCTCCCGGGTGCTGGAGGCGCGCCGGGACCGAACGGTGCCGCAGGAGCCTCTGGGGCAGGTGCGGGAGGTGATAATGTGCGCAGCCCGGTGAGCAGCTGGCAATGCGAGTATGAGGTTGGTAATGTTGGATGGGTCCCACATTTGGCGGCGGGGGAGTATGGCGAGTGGCTGGGAGTTAGTGCCGGGCGCGGTGTATGGGGTGTCAAGTTATAAACGGGTTCTGGTGAAGTGTGTGGGGGGGAGGAGAGGAGCGGACATGTTTGAAGCCGGGAGTTAACGGGTACGAAGTGGGTTCGATATAGCTTGGACGATTGACGGACGACGAGAGCGGTGATATGGTCAATGTCTGGAGCGAAAATACCCAGCCTCTCCCTTTTCGAAGTACTTGTAGTCACCTAACCTGGGAGCAAAGCAGAAAGCATATTGGCGGATAGAAATGCAAGGAGGCAAAAGTGTGATAAAAACCGCCATCTGCGGAAGATAAACATAAGGAACCTATGATCCTTCTCACCAAAACAAGGAAATTCCTACTTAGCCCCTTTTTTGGCCTCCTTGTTTTCCTACATACCATACCAAGCTATTACATTTCATGGTTTTTTTGGCAACAGAAGGTTGGAGAGGAACCCTTAGCTGGCAGAGACAACGTTTTGCATAGCGGTGTACAAGAATATCTGATCACAGTGGTCCAAGTACAGCGGGAGCAAAAGTTGAAGGACCGTCTATCTTGAAGGTCTGGAGCGATTGCAGTGCTTACCATCAGTGGAGGCGATACAAAGTTTAATATAACCATATACAACCGTCACAAATCTCGCACTCATACAATTACTCAAAACGCACCATTCATTTCTCAGACCTATATGTTGTGTTTATCATACCTGGGGGTCTACCCGTCAATATGCACACAACACATAGTCAGCCAACCCCAGGAGCTGGGCTAGTTGATGGTTGCTTAGAGCTTCTGCATGGCGGCAACGTCGACGGACTGGACGAACTCCTCGAACTCAGTGATCTGCTCGCTGAGCTCGTCGATCGAAACCTTCTCGTCCTCAACAACAAGGTTGATCTGCAGCTTCTTGATGCCGAAACCAACGGGGATCAGCGTAGACGCACCCCAGACCAACCCGTCCTGCTCGATACCGCGGACGGCGGCCTCGAGGCCAACCATGTCGGTCTCATCATCTGTTTCGTGATGAGGCACTAGTTAGTTTCCAACTTCTTTTTTTTCTCCTTGTTTCTGAGAGGCCCAGAGAATTCTAGATAAATGTGAGGGGCAGTGGGGAAAAACGTACCCCAGGGCTTGACATCCAGGGTGACGATGGACTTGGCAGCCGGCTTAGGCCCCTTGGCCTCCTTCTTCTTCCGGTACTCAGCCAGGCGCTCCTCACGGACGCGAGCGGCCTCGGCATCCTCCTCCTCATCACTGCCAAAGAGGTCGACATCGTCGTCCTCCTCCTCCTCGGCGGCGGGGGCCTTGGCGGGGTTCAGGGTAACCTCGGCGACCTCAGGGCCGTAGACGGTGTACGGCTTGCTCGCATCGCCGGGTAGGGTCGGGAACTCGTCCTCGTACGAGGCGATGTGCTTGTACCAGCGCGCCGCGTTGGGGTACTTGGCGGCGTCGGGGGCGGCGCTCAAGGCCTTGAAGGTGACGGCATCGGCCTGCGAGGCGGAGTACCTGTTGAGTGGAACCGGTTAGCTTGAATACGATTCAATGGTCCAGGATTCCGTCCCGGAATACAATGCAGAATGTGGTTGAATCGTTAGGTCAGAGGTGTATGGAGGTACGGGTGTGTAATCATATGCAGGTTTTTACGCTGCTCAGCTACATGGGATCAAGAAGGTCATCATGAAAATGCAGTGTGTCCGAGGGGGGGCCGTTTGGGAAAAGGGGGAAAGGGACAATGCGTACCCGGCAATGTACGAGCGGGTCAGGAGCCAGTTGTTGAGCACTGCGCGGTGTTAGCTTGGCCGTGCATTATCGAATGCAATGTTTAGGTAGGGGAAAGAAAAAGGCAAAGAAAAAGACAATGCGCAGCTTACCGGTAAGACCGGCGTCAGTGAGGAGGTCGGTGAAGCCCATTTTGAAGATTGGAGTCACAGCGTAGCCGGGTGATCTGTAGAGAAACTAGGAGTGGTGCGTGGTGGTTGAGGAAAGATGGCGGGGTAAAAAAAAGATTTTGGCGTTTGATTCAAAGGAAATGCCCCGCACCTGTACGGAGCCTCAGGCAGAAACCGGAATAAGAATCGGGGTGGGGTCTCTACTCCGCGGGGTTTGAGGGACAGAAAATAAAGAGTGGAATATTAGAAGGCAATTAAAAGAAGAGAAGCACCAATCTACTGTGGCTAGCAAAGGCTCCGTTTCACGATTCTACGCGGGGAACAAAGAGTTTGCGGGCATGGGAGATCAAAGCAAGCCAAGTTAGCCACCAACAGCCAAAAAGGCTTCGGTCTGAAGAGGCAACGCCAAGGTTCACCAGATACTACAATCACTCCTCTTCTCCTTGCCCCGGATCACCAGAGCTCAGGTCTGGGATCCAGCCCTTGGGGCGCTCGCTTCCCCTAATAACCCGATCATAGCCCAATCGCTCAACTTTCTGTACTGATTGCCGCGTGACTTCCAGCTTCTTCTCCCACTGGAACTTGTTCCCGGGCCCAACGGGTAGCATCTCGAAGAACGTGCCTAATTCATGCATATCTTGGACAATGGTTCGCGGCTCGTCATCACCACCATCTTTACCGGTTTGACCACTGGCCATCTTGCCGGTTAGTGCGGTGGAAGTGGTCGCAAAGCGCATCATCTCCCCAGTCAGATCGAACACACCGTAGAGGTAGTCGTCCTGCGTAAGAGTGACGGTCGGTACATTGACAGCCGGGGGTTCGTCCTTTTCAGCGTTACCTGCCGGGTCACCGGCATCGGCCATGGGCTCGTCCTCGGAAATCACGGCCCCTTTCTTGGTGAGATCTTCAATTGTCGGGTCCAGTTCCGCGTGGCCGATGAGGGTCTGAGTGCGAAGGTAGTGCGCGAAGGTGAGGGCTTCCACAAGCTCTTCGAGGCACATTAGAGACCTAGAATACCGGTAGCGATTGATTCCTTGGATCTCAGGCGCAATGGATGCTAGAAGTTTTGATATGTCGGCTAGCCGGGAGTCGACCTCGGACTGGATGTTGTTTGGGAGTTGGCTCTCAATCTTTCGAACCCTGACCAAGTGTCAGTTTTGAGCTTTCAGGGGTCAGCGAATAGAAGTGGTCTCATACCGCTGTAACGAGAAGATACTGCACAATGTCAGCCTCAACCATGTCATTCTATCGCGCTAGCATGGGCATCTCACATCTTCTTACTCAACGCCGTGATGTCCCGCGATGCTTTGACGATGCGCTCTCGACGATCATGATGTTGGTCGAGCTCCTCGCGGAGGCTCTCAAACATGGGCGTGTAGGCATTTCGCACAACCGGCTTTGCGGCGGGTTTCGGACCGTCGCGTCGTTTCGTGTTCCCATTCCAGTCGCGCTTAAGACCAGACATGTTATAGTACAAGTAAATACGACCGGTTGCTCAAGATTTAACGTTGGAGGTTGTGTCTTTTAGGGTGATGAGTTCACTGCTGGGCCTGCTCTGCCGGGTTGAGGTTTCGACATCAGGTATGATTGATTGGTTGGAAAGAGCAACCCAGACAACTCTGCTGTGGGCCACAGCACTTTTGGTGGGCTCATCCTGAGCAGCTCAGGGGTGTGTGGGACAGGGGTAAACTTTACCTTGTCAACAACAAGAAGCTTGGAAACACGTCAACATCAACACAGCTCAGCAAGTCCGGGCTTGACGGGTAATATTGATGCTCAATCGACGGCCCGAAACATGATCTGAATCCTTCAAGATTCAACCTCCCTGCCTTTATGCGTCGTCTTGAATGAGGTCTAAGAGTATAAGAGCAACGAAACGACGTGGCCGGGATTCATCGCCTGAGCCGGAATCAACCTAGAGACGCAGTTGCGTGGACCATACCCATCAATTCCAAGCCGCCATTCACGCCTAGCAAGATGGCAAACCCCACAAAGCAAGCCAGAAGACCGCTCTCATCACCAACTACATCACACCAACCATCTTTGCTGTCGTCCTTCTTCTCTCGCCCGACGCCGGTGTATGCCTCGGCCGCCCTTCTCCGCCTAGTTTTTTTCCTATACGGCCTCTGGCAAGATGCCAACTCCCCCGTCAAGTACACCGATATCGACTACTTAGTTTTCACCGATGCTGCTCGGTTTGTTTCCCGCGGCCAGAGCCCCTATGAACGGGAGACATACCGCTATACTCCCATCCTCGCCTGGCTGTTGCTTCCAACGGCCTTCACCACGGGACTCCCGTTTGTCGACGCGGCCCTTTTCAGCTCCGGGAAAGTCTTATTCGCGATTTCCGACCTGGTCGCTGGGTGGTTACTAGAGCGTGTTTTGGCGAAGTCAATGGAACGGTCAAGGGCGCGGAAGTTTGCCGCAATATGGTTGCTCAACCCGATGGTCGCTACGATCAGTACGAGGGGAAGCTCCGAAGGTGTACTTGGGGTCCTCGTTATGGCGCTTCTCTCTTCGGTCCTGTCCAAGAGGGTCACTCTTGCTGGCCTACTTCTTGGATTCAGCGTGCATTTCAAGATCTACCCTTTCATCTATGCGCCAGCGATCATCTGGTGGATGGATGCGGACCGAATGAGCAGCAAGAAGAATACGCCCCCGAAACTTCAGGCTTCCTCGATCCCGGACAAAGTCTTCGCCTTCATCACCCCCGCCAGGGTTCAACTCGCGCTCACCAGCTTCATCACCTTCTTTGGTCTCAACTTCGCCATGTACTTCACATACGGCTTCCCCTTCCTCCAACATACCTACCTCCACCATGTCACCCGTATCGACCACCGCCATAACTTCAGCCCCTACAATACCCATCTCTACCTTGCTTCCTCCCCTTCCACTTCAAACTCAACTCTCTCGTCGTCGTTACCGGGAAGTGGTGGTGGAATTGAATCACTCGCGTTCCTCCCGCAACTCGTCCTCGCTTGTGTTCTGATTCCTCTGGGGTTAGCCAAGCGTGACCTCCCCACGGCCATGCTCGCTCAAACATTTGCCTTCGTTACGTTCAACAAAGTTTGCACTAGCCAGGTACGCTTCCCGATGCACACCACCTTAAACAATCCACCGATCTTAACCCGTAATTCTAGTACTTCCTTTGGTATATGGTCCTTCTTCCGCTCTACCTGCCCCATTCCTCCTTTCTGCGCAACAAAATTCATGGTATCACGGCATTAGGGTTGTGGGTGGCATCTCAAGGACTGTGGTTGCAACAGGGCTATGAGCTGGAGTTTTTGGGAAAGAGTTCCTTTTTGCCGGGATTGTGGCTTGCCTCCTTGGGGTTCTTTTTGGTAAATTGTTGGATTTTGGGGACAATAATTGGGGATTCGTGTAATGTTAAGGGTGGTTGAGAAGATAGTGTGCAGGGGTTTAGATTCTGTCTGTCGAACCATGAGTTCTGAGGACAAGCAACAGATGTATCAGGCAGAGGTGTTTGATAATTATTTAAGCTAGTACCTTGTGCCTACTCTTCGCTATCTAAGTAGACAATGGGCATGCCGGACCAGATCAATTGCCACTCAAGCCTGGAAACAAGATGCATTGAAATTCAACAACAGATTACCATGCAATTGACCATGCAATAAGTCACGCCAGCCGAGCCCAGCCAAGCAACCCCGTCAAGCGCCGTGGAGCAAACTGTTGCTCCCAATACAACAAATACCATAACCATAATGCTCCCACACTACTCCGTTAGGGTTATCATCGTTTACCAACGCCTAGAAGTGTGAAATAGAAACCCGCTCCCATCAACCAGCAAAGATAAAGTGACAGCACAACAAGGAGTGAAATAAAAAGAAAAGAACCGAGGCACTCTCATCTTCCGTCCACCCCCGAATATGACAAGAAGATGCGATTATGGAGTAGGGTCATCCCATCCGTAGAGCGAAGAGCAGAAATACCCCACCTTGACCTCCCAAACGCCTCCATATATCATTACTATCCCGCCCTTTGACCGTGAGAATGAAAATGCAGGAAAAGAAAGAAAATAATAGTTCTAGCCCATGTGATGTTCTGTTGGACCCATCAGACCTGAGTGATGACTACTGTATGTTTTTGTTAGTGTTGGGGCGCTACTGAAATCTGTGATCAGTCTAACGCCACATTCTACCAAGTCCCGCTGCGAGCCTCAAGGGGTAGACATCCCAGCGCTCAGCAGCGCATAGTTGGACAGCTTGAGCGAGACCGCTCTGGACGACGAAGACGGGAAGTCCGGGGTAAAGGTCATGCGGCCGTCTTTCCTGTAGGTGACCTCGCCAAAGGATTCGGAGAGCTCTTCGAATTGGGCATGGGGCCGGGCCTTGTTCAACTCGGTGATGATAGAGTCGCTCCAGACTCCAGAACACCGGCCTTTATTAAGAAGAAAATGAGGGTTAAGTGGTGGGAAGGGAGAGTCTGTGAAGAGAACCGGGTTAGTCAGCGTTACACCATGGTAAACGACATAGTCAACAAGAAGTTGAAAAGCCTACCAAGATCGACATAGCGGATTCTAAGATACTCGACCGATCGCAACCTCCCGAGTGCACGGATACCCGCAATCACCAAGTCCTCAAACGCGTTGATGAAGTTCATGTCGGTAATACCCGACCCGGATTCGTTCCAGTGCACAACCTGCCGGCAGCAGTTTTTGACTGTGAGGTCGATTGACTTCAGGCGTATGTGTCCCGGGTCCTTGTGTTTGGCCATGAGGTCGAAGAAAAACTGTTTGCAAACCCTGCCAGTGTATGAGATGCGCTCCAGTGTTGGGGATGCGGATCCGGTCGCGAGTCGAGAACAGAAGTGTAGTTTGTTGGACACTTTGAGGAAGTACGAGGGGAATGAGACCTCGCGGCGATAATCACCCTCGATGCAAAGGTCAAAGCTGGCCAACCGCACAGGCTTTTCGAGAATAGTAGCCATGGTAAGGTAACTCTTGGACTTGGGTTTGCTATACGAGCCATGCCAGTCCTGAAGGTTGGGGAAGGCCGACATGATCGTCTCAAAATCGTCTTCGCCACGGATAAGGTTCCATTGGCCCTTGCAAACCAGTGTACGAACACTCTCGACTCTAGGCATCCTTCGTTCCGTCTCGTCGCCAGGATCGCGGTGCCAGTACTTCACCTTCGGTGCCTTTTTACGCTCCCCGCCTTCCAGTGTCAGAACGCAGACATCGGGAAGGTGGTCTGCCACAAAGCTGAACGTTTCCTCCAGAGAGCAATTATCCATCGGCAGCACGTAGGATGCCGTGGTCAAACCGTCCGGCGTGACCGTTGGGAGGGTATTGGCGTTGGAAAGCGCGAGCGGTCGGTACTTGGGGTGAAACACCGGAAACCAAATCTCGATATGCTTAATATATGACCTCAGATGCGGGCGAGTTGATAAATAAACAATTGCTCCTTGCAGTGACTGGATTGACGCCTTCAGCTTGATGTGTCGGTACAACCGCTCCTGGATCATGACCCTCCATGCGCCGCTGACGAGAGATAACTCAGACAACTCTTTTCGTCGTGGATGCCGTAGTGCAGTCCCCCAGCGAGTTACAGAACTTTTGGATGCAGCCGAGACCCGGAACCCGAACAGGTGGTCGAGAATGCACTCGTGAATTTCGGCAGGTAGATCATTGATGCAGACACCAACGTCTGCCGCAGTCGAGGAGAAAGTCGGTGACGCAGAAGAGTTTCTATGCTCCCCGCCCAAAAAGCGGCTCGTCGGGCAACTAATGCAGCGTAAATCGGTACTGCGCGGGTCCAACTGGGGGAATGGTGTGCTGCTCGGCCGGGTGGGAGGTGTAAACTCTTGCATTCGCGTGTGATCGAGCGGGGGACTGGGCGGGCCCGGCGAAACAGGATTCGAGGCAATCATCATTATCGAGGCAATTTCAACGGTCGCATTGCCTTCGTCTTCTCCCATCGGTCCATGTATCGACTGGGTCCTCTCGACTCTGGGGATTTGGGTATCGATCGTGAGAGCGTCGGTCGGGAGACCGTCGTAGCCGAGGGCGGCTGATTCGCAGGTTGGATTCATGTCTTCCTCTCAAAGAAAATCAATTATCGGAGATCTCAGTCGTTCGGCGGTTGTCGGAAAATCATGGCAGAGTAGCTGAGTTCTCAACCTAGGCCGTCGTGTAGGTAGGACGACGCGAACCCGGAGGAATGGGGAGGAGGGATAAGAAGCAGCGCGGCGCAGGCGTGGGTTGGTGGTCCCCTCCGATGGGCGAATTGGCGTCGCAAATGCTGGCAGCGCCCTCCAGCGCTTTGGCGCGAGAACTTGGGCTGTTTTGTCGAACCTTCGTAAACCCCTGTTGTTATTTTGTGTTGGAAGCACGGTTGGTTTGAGTGGTCGCGTGGATGGTCCTGGTGATGGTCGGTTGGCGCGGGGTTGAATAAACTGTAGGGTTAAAACGTTAACCCAGGCCACACTGCCACTGCCAGGCTCTAAAGCTGGGCTCGGCAAGCTGAGTGAGCCTTGTGGCTCTTGCGCTAAGTTCCTGCAGCACTTGATCCAAGAGTGGGGCGCGCTGTGGGTATTTTGGAAGCCCGCTCCGGCCTCAGACAACAAAAAAACCGGGAAAACTCAATCATTTCTTCAACACATTCGCTCTAGCCATCAAGTGCTCCGAAATCTGCAGCTCACCGAGCCCCCCTGCACTAGTTATAGATATTTATTGCGGGCGCGGAAATCTCGCCGGATCCTCCCCACCTTGCCTTGGAAGTGCATAATCTCGCCATACCCCCAATTTTGTTCATTGGCGATCTCTAGCCAAATGGAACTAATTTCCTACCGACGGTAACTTAGGTAACTAACGAGATCGAACGGCGTGCCGCGTCCAAGGCCAGCTTCACCATCAACTTCATCGAGCTTAAGAAAGACCCCGCTACCCACCACCGTGCACTATGAGGATATCGATCAACGTCATCGGTAGAGATTTCTTACTATTTCAGGTGGCCCAAGGCCCATGGGTAGGTAGATGGGAGGCGATATTTGCCGCACCTGACAAGACATTTGCGCCTCGTCAATTTCTTGAACTCGGTACTTGATATAATTTAGTAGGTAACAACAGAGGAGATGAACACCTACAAACGCTTTGCAGTCACCCTGTTATCTATTTAATCTTAAATGGAAGCTCCTAGGCTTTCGGGCCCTGTTATCCCACCCCATTTTGATATGCCTTACTTTTTGCAGAACTTCAGGGTTTGGGAAAGCAAATTGGTGACTGGTTGTCTCCGTCCTTCCGACAAGGTGGAGCTGGCCCTTGAAGGGACTCCTTGCGTTGATATGGTTTGGGGCTGATTCGTTGCCAGAATACGGATATGGGTGCGCTTTCGAATTTGAATAGCCCTTGAAAGTCCCAAAAGACTAGATCGTTCGGCGATTCAGTCCATCTCCAGAAATCCACACCTTTCTGGAATGAGACACTCAATGGATGTGGGGGTTACATCGCCCCACAACTTAGAAACGCAGACAACAGAAACACCCCCCGTAACAGAGAGACAACTCAGTTAAGGAAAAAGTGTTTGGTCCCCCTCCGTCACAGGAGATGTACCGTGTACTAGTATATCTGAATATCTACTGTACTACTTTGCCCATCGGCGGTGGATTGATAGAGCCTCACGTATGCACAGTAACGCCATATCAAGATCTTCAAAGGCGGTCGCATTCGGGAGCATCAAAACTTGGCACTCGGCATAAGCCGGGGGATGTGGGGCGAGTTTCGTCGCAGACCGTGCCAAACGTTTCAGAACCTCTCAACCACACCCACTGTTTAGCGAGCACCTTGCTCATCAGAAACCAGAAGTTGTTTCTTTCGACCGTTTTGGCGATGGGGCAAACCTGACAAGCCCATCGCCAAGTCTTCAGCTCGGGGACGCCCGAGTTTTCGAGATAAAAACGAACTCCGACCCAGCATTTAACACCAAACACGTTGCTTGGCACCGAGCAGGCCTCGGGCGTTGCGTGTTATTTCCTATAATCAGCCAAGTCATGTCACCTGTTGAGCCTGTCTTGCATTGAGGAACTCGTCAAGAGAGCGGCTAGCAAGAAATTGAGCGCTCGGTTTACACGGTCATGCATGTAGGGGCTAAAACACGTTTCAGCCAACCTGGCAAGGAAATACCTCCTCGTGACTTTTAATTTTGGAGACAGACAGCCCCCGAGCTTGGTGGAAACGGGAACATTTCACAGCAAGTTCACACGCTTTCTCGAGAAGAAAAGAACAAGAGAGAGAAAAAGAACCAAGGGCCCGTGGAAGACCTCTCAACCGGGAGCTAGGCAGATGCTGTTAAAAAAGTCTCTGTCTCGAATATTGGACCCCCTCGGCATCTTGTACTCCTTTATCATCGTCCGATCATTGGCCGAGTCTCATTCACTGCAACATTTTCATCCCGATGGACCATCGAGCTGGACTGATGGCTAAGCGCCTGTTATCGAGTCTCACCAGCCACAACCTCCCTAGTCGTCGGCGACTAATTCCAAGGGGTCCCTCTCTGTCTTGTTGGCCCTTTCTCCTTTTAGTAACCCGATATCTCTATTAACCGGCAAATCACTCGCATGAGCGCTGTAGCGGATTTACCATGCCGTAACAGGCCACAAACAGCCTTGGACCGGCTCATCTGAGGCGATCTGTTATGCGCCAGGTTTAGGTACCGTCTCTTCGTTTCTGCAGCCAGCCGCAGCGGTAGGAAGGGGACGTCTTGCAAAAGACCCGAGGTGTAGGTAGCGGAAGACCAGGGGAGCCAACCCGCAATGCGCTGGATGGGTTCAAGCGAACCCACGCACACAGACGCTTTCCGGCTTGTTTTGGCTTGCATACCACTCAGCATGGCTAGTAAAGCTACTATGGACCGACCGCATATATGGTCACATTTCCGTTCCCGCATCAAACCCCCGTCCCACAAAACCGATACAAGAAAGAAGCTTCGCAAGTCTCTCCACGGAGCATCGCAACATCGCGAGCCCACATTCCTCAAAGGGAAATCATCCGAACTGTGCATCTTGAATTGTCTGAGGTTTCCTTGCACGCCACCCGTCGAAATGCTCAAATACGCTCACATCGGACGGTGTCTGCCCTGGGAGACTAGGGTTTCCCGTTTGACTTGGCATCCACAATCCACACAATCCAGGGGCAGTCGCCCCTCACAACAAACCCCTGCTTTTCTGTGACTCCTTGGGTGTTGAACATCCATTACAGTATCGAACAGCCTTCTTGCTTAGGATCTACTCTCCGAGAGGGGGGCCCGCTGGGCCGGTAGATTCATGCATTCTTCCTCAGTTAAAGGAAGCCAAGCCGCCACCCCAAGCGAGCACTGCTCTTGCTATCAACCTGTTGTGGTTTGCTTGTTTACTTTCCCTGTATCGGTTATTCGTTTCTTCTGAGCTGAGGCTCACCATCTTCAAACTTCCAATTTTTCTTGGCTTCCCCCTTTATTGGTGCTGGACATCTTTCACACAGGTTGATATTTCCCCCCTAATATCAACATCTTTATCAACCTTCCTCCCCGCCTCCCTCTTGACATCCGAGCCTTCCCCACGGCCCTCCCCCCTCTTCGGTCTCTCCTTTACCCTTTACTTGTTCCGCCAGCTCCCAACCCTTATCAACAATGGCCGGCCGCTTGCTTGCCTGCTTCACGTTGGCCTTCTCCGTGCTAGGCGTATCAGGGGCTCCAACCGCAGGATCAAACAAGACAGACGCTGCTTACATTGGGATACCCATCTCCAACCCCGGGGTTCTCAACGCCATTCCGAACCGGTACATTGTGGTGTATAATGGCACCTTCAACAGTGCCGAAATCGACGTCCACCAGAAAAGCGTCAAGCAAGCAATAGCAAGACGCAACATTGCCAGACGCTCGCTCAGCGGCAAACTCCTATCCACCAGCGTGGATACTTACCAGATCGGTAACTGGCGTGCCATGGCTCTCGAGGCCGACGACTTGATGGTGAACGAAATCTACTCGGCTAAGGAGGTCAGCTACATCGAGCAAGACGCCCGCGTTAGCCTCAATGCCAGGCAGATGCAGGGACGGACTACCTCCGGCTTGGCTCGCATCAGCCATGCCCAGCCCGGAGCCCGGACGTATGTTTTTGATAGCAGCGCAGGCCAGGGCATCACAGCGTTTGTGGTGGACACAGGAATCAAGGTGACACACTCGGAGTTCGAGGGGCGAGCGAGTTTTGCGGCCAATTTTATCAACAACGTGGTATGTTCCCAAAGAATCCCTGGGTCAATGGAAGTTTATTGACATTATGACACGTAGGACACAGATGAGGAAGGTCACGGTAGCCATGTTGCAGGAACTATTGGTGGGAAGACATTCGGCGTCGCTAAGAACGTGAAGCTCGTTGCCGTGAAGGTTTTGGGAGCCGACGGCTCAGGCACAAACTCTGGAGTTCTCGCCGGGATGCAGTTTGGTATGTCTGCTTAAATCCTATAAGTCGCACGAGTCCACTAACACTTCCCCCTTACCTAGTTGCTCAAAACGCCACCGCAACGGGCCTTGCCGGAAAAGCCGTCATGAACATGTCTCTAGGCGGCGGGGCCAGCCGGGCGGTCAACGCCGCCATCGACAATATCGAAAAAGCTGGTGTCGTTCCAGTAGTGGCAGCCGGTAACGAGGCTCAAGACGCGAGGAACGACTCGCCTGCCTCCGCCGCAGCTGCCATCACCGTAGGTGCTATCGACCAGACCAACGATGAGATCGCCAACTTTTCCAACTTTGGCCCTATCGTCGATGTTTTTGCCCCCGGCGTTGACGTGCTCAGCGTCGGCATCCAGACTGACACCTCAACCCAAACGTTGAGCGGCACTAGCATGGCCTCGCCTCATGTTGCTGGCCTGGCGGCTTACCTGATGGCACTGGAGAACATCACTGGTGTACAGGATGTGAGTGATCGCATCAAGGAACTCGCGCAAGCTACCGGCGCCCAGGTCAAGGGCGCCCCTCGAGGCACCACCACACTCATCGCCAACAACGGCTTTGCGTAAACACGTTGAGAAGAGGTCTGAGGGCGTGGTTTGGGGTCCCCTTCAGGCAGCGGAAATTGTATATAAATAACCCCCCGTTATACCATGGGCTAGGGACGCATTAGGCCTCGATCTTGAGATTCTGGTCTGGACATACCACTTTTGGTAGTGGACCTCTTTTTCCACAGAACTTGCTTTCTGCACTACGGAGAGGAAGTAAAGGCGCAGCGCAGGTCATAGCGGTCAGTTACAATGAGTTTGCAGTATTTGGTTTCACTCAAAGCAGGCGAGCGGGTTCTAGAAAAATAAAGCGTATCATTTCATTTCTCCTTGGACTTCTCCGTAGCACGGAGGGGGTCCCTTGCAAGCTGGACATGAAGCCGAGTCGCCTCAACCAACGATTAGGCTGAGATCAAAGAGAAATCTTTCACGGCGCGTTTCAACACAGGTCCGGTTTCAGTCTTAGCCCGTAGCAGCGCGGCCGCGCAAGCTTAGAGACAACAAGCCCGGGGTGCTTTTCCTATCCACGCGCAGATCAAGCCAGTATGAGGCCCAAAACAAATGCTTCCTATCCACTTATTCATCCAAGGACAAAAGGGGGGGTAGGGCGTCCCAGCTCTGAGGATTGGGACCAAAAGAATGGTTTTGTGAGGAAGCAAGTAAAGTAGAACGCAGCGGCTATGTCGTGAAGGGTGAACCAGTGGCAAAGTTATCATTTGAAACGGCACGACCATCAAACACGGCACCAGAAAGTAAACAAAGAAGTCGAGAAATGTCCGCAATCCGCCCTCGGCGGGCCACTTCACAGAAGGAAAATTGGGAAGTGTCCGAAGCCGAGAGCGTGCCCGGATGCCAGGCTACTTGCAAAGAAAGGGTTTCATATCAGCACATCTTCGGCACAACCACAGCCATCAAGAACCCCCGATGAAGAGGAGCGGCTGAATTGCAATTTGACATCCGTGCTTGTTCTCTTCTGTTTTATTTCCGTTCAGCCTCACGTACAAATGGCATGACAATGCAATCGATCAGGTGCAATGTTGACATTTGCTTAGAGATAAAAAAGAAAAGGTCCAAACACGTGAATATTATGTTAGTATTAAATGCTCGTCTTCCCCAGTCGCAGTTTTTCTTTTTCTAAAAAAAAAAAAAAAAAAGCTGCAGTATTTCCCCCATGTGTCGTCCCGTCAGTCCTGCTCGTCATCGTCTGTGGTTTGTGTGTACATGGCCGTATGTATCGCAAGGGTATGTCATTAGAAAGGTATGTAGAAACGTGAACCCAAATGTCTTTCTTTTGCTCGCTCGCTCGCCCCGGGGAGTGCCTAATCCAAGGTACTGTCGTGTCATCGAATGTTGGAGTCCAGGAGACTCAAAGCTCCTCGTGGCCCGTGATGGGAGACGGCGTTGCGCTGCGGAGACCGCTGCCGAGAGTGTTGTCGAGGTTGTTGAAGAACTTCTCCATGCGAGCGCCCATGAACCATGCGAGTCCAACCTAATGTCAGAGTTAGCATTTTTGAAGAAAGGGTAGAAAGAGATCAAAGACGATCCCGTTAGTTTTTTAGTGGAGACGTGTCTCCACAGCGGCGCGGATAATTTTTAACGCCACAGAAGATGGGAAGAACTCACCATGAGACCCCCAATAAGAGCCAGGGTCGCAATTGCAGACAGCACAAGCATTAGCGCCTCGCCAGTATCCATCACCGGCTCCGCACGGGGCTGGCCCGCCTCGATCTTCTTCGGGTCTTGCGTGGGGAAAATGGACTCAATGAATTGCTCAATCTAGTGGGTATTGTTAGTTACTCAATGAGTCCGGGATATTCACTAGCTTTATGTGAGGAAAAATGGTGCATACCTTGCCGCATTGGGTGCTGATAGCCAGGAAGTTCGGATCTCTGGGGTCGTTCTTCTTGTGAATCCTCTTCGTGTATTTCCGGAATGCGTCGCACAAAACACGGAGGTTTTGGGTCGATTCGATCATGAGCTGGCAAGCGTCACCCTTGGTGATCTTGATGTTCCTCTCAAACACCGCTGGGTTGCGGAACACGAGTTCCAAGGTCGCGATGGCCATGCTCTGGGGGATGGCGACGAAGTTGAAAACACTCTGGTCTCTGATACCAGCCATGTAGAACAGACACTCGTCGGCGTGCTTGAGGGCGTTCAACACCATGTGCGAGGAGCATTGGAGCGCCTTTTCGCGGTTCTCGATTGCAAAGAGGTCATCCCACTTGTCAACGTATTGGCTCCAGACTTCCTTGGGCCAGAAGCGCCGGTTGTCCTCCCAATCTTCGTGGACGTCGCGGATGATGTTGGTCTTTTGTAGGAACTGGCCCATGCTCTCCGTGAGGTCGGTGCGCACCAGCAGTTGGGGGTTGGCAAGCTCGCTCTTGACGAACAGCCGCGTCAGGCCGTCGCCGACCAGGCCAGCGACGTAGTGGCAGTACAACTCGTATTCCTCAACAGTGTTGACCCCGTTGATGTTGTGGTCGGCATTTATGGCGTAATCGGCCATCCCGTTGCCCATCTTGACGGTGATGTCCTTCACAATCTCGTAGTAGGGCTGCTTCATCTTTTTGAGTTCGACAATGATCTGGTCAAAGTGAACGAGAAGCTCGCGGTCCTTCTCATTGGGGCCGTTCTTATCAAAGGTCCACCCATCTTGCTCCATCAGCTCATGGAAATTCCTCAAGAGAGGCTCCTTCTCCTTGATGTTGATTGTCATGTCATCTTCGATGGTGTCCAGGCCGCGTAGTACGAGGTAGAACAGGCAAACGGGCATCAGCAACTCGGGGTTGAGTTCCTTAATGACGGCTGAAAACGATCGCGAGGTCAAGTCGAGGTACTTGAAGCATGCCTTTTCCGTTTCGGACTCCTTCGAAGGGTCGCGCCTGTGGACTGGCTCGTGCCATACCTTCCTATACCGCGAGTTAGGAGAAGATACATCTGGAAATATTACAGCGGAGCGATACATACCATTGAATAATAGACCGGAGCTGATTCGGGTGGAAGAGGAAATAGAGGGCTTTCTGCGCGGCACCCATCTTGGAGTCTTTGGGGGGGGATGTTCTGCGATTCAGGGGCTGGAGAAAAGAACCGGTTGTGGTCGGTGAGACGCGACGGCGTTACGATCGGGGAGCAGATCGTCTGCGGAGCTAGCGCGTCAGAAAATGAAGGCTTCTTGAGAATCGCAACTTCTAGGTAATCCGTTCCGGTGGTTCACTTATGAGCCCTCGCGTCACGAGAGAAAGAACAACGCGGTAGAGATGTGAACGGCGAGGTTGTGGAGGATGGATGTCGAGGCTCCACTGGAAATTGTCTTCCCCATCGACCTCGACCTCCAGCGGAAAAATGTAACAATTGGTCCCCTGCGCCCCAACGTCAACGCATGGCCGCCCCACTCTCCTGCTTGACCCGGGATGTCCGGCCGCGAATGCCGGATTTCATTGGCCAAGGTCCATCTCGGCCACATACTCAACTTCTCCAACTCGCCTACGGGACAACAAGCCAAACAGGAGGAGACATCAATGACGGGGAGATGCCGCCTGCAATTCCATAACTCTTCTTGGATACCTAGAAACATACATGTGAAAAAGCTTTGAGATCAGCATGCCTTCCGGGGTGTAAGAAATCAAAAAATGTCCTCCACACCTGTCATTAAGCCCCGAGTTGGCCAGACAGCCAGACAGGGTTGGTGGGAAAATGGCAAAATGCTGCCGCCAGGGTCGCACCGCGTGATCCTGCTTGAATGAGACGAGCCAGCACAACACATCCACCGAGGAGTGTACTCTCACGCAAGATCAACCTGGCGTGGGGAGCGGGATGGGGGTTCAGGAAGGGCTGGTGCTTATTTCCTCAGCGTTAAGAATATGGCACGTGGAGCATGTATTTGATAGTCAACACAATGCCTCCCTTCTACACAGCGCGGTCTCTTCCCGTGGTGGAGGTTCCGGCCGTTGTCTTCACACCACAACGTCCCGATCCAGGACACGGAGCGAGGGGGCGCCGTTACCAGGGACCGATGAGAGATCGTTTTTTGGAGGGGCGCCTGCCATTTGAAATGTATTTTCTGACCACGGTTGCCGTTCTGGTAACGAAAGTCGCCTGAAGGAAATGTACTCTTCACGTATACGGGGTGACTTCGAGTTCATCGTCGTTGTTCCGTTTGCCACCAGTTTTTCTCGTTGAAACTTTGAACACCTAGACACAACTTGTGGACACCATCTCGCGGCCCACCTATTTGATTCTTATTCAAGAGCGGTTGGTCAAGCCAAGACTCGGCAAATGTTAAGTTGGTTAACATTAACGATTCTCAGGTTTGAACGCAGGCCTCCCCAACATCCCCTCTCTTGCTAGTAAACGCACCATCATGGCGCCAATTAACGCGAACGGTGAACAAAAACACCGCTTTCTAATATGGGGTGGCGACGGGTGGGTCGCAGGACACCTCAAGACCTTACTTGAGGTACAAAACAAGGAGGTGTATTCGACAACAATTCGGATGGAAAACCGCGAAGCAGTTATCCAGGAGCTCGAAAGAATCCAACCCACCCACGTTCTCAACGCTGCCGGCTGCACAGGGCGGCCTAACGTCGACTGGTGTGAAGACAACAGAGAGGCGACTATCCGCTCGAACGTCGTCGGGACATTGAACTTGGCAGACTGCTGCTTTTTGAAAGGCATCCATTGCACGGTGTTTGCGACGGGGTGCATATACCAGTACGATGAGAAACATCCTTGGGACGGGCCAGGTTTTCTCGAGACCGACCCGGCCAACTTCGCTGGCAGTTTCTACTCCATGACAAAGGCGCATGTTGAGGAGGTGAGCCTCCTACCATTAAGTGGCCCCCTTCCTCAGTTCCCATATTCACCCGCACTGGTTAGGTTATCAAGCATTACAGCAACTGCTTAATCCTGCGTCTGCGCATGCCCGTCTCGGACGACCTACACCCGCGGAATTTTGTGACCAAGATTTCCAAGTACGAGCATGTCGTCAACATACCAAACAGCAATACCATCCTCACGGATTTGCTGCCAGCATCAATCCTGTTGGCCGAGCACGGTGACGTGGGTGTATACAACTTCACCAACCCAGGTGCCATTTCACACAACGAAGTCCTCACGCTATTTCGGGATATTGTGCGCCCGTCCTTCACATGGAAAAACTTCACTCTCGAAGAACAAGCAAAAGTCATCAAGGCGGGGCGCAGCAACTGTAAACTGGATACAACCAAGTTGGTGTCCAAACTGAAGGCATATAACTATGAGGTTCCCAACATCCACGAAGCCTATCGGGGTTGTTTTGAACGGATGAAAACAGCGGGAATACAATAATGTGGGAAAGAAAGCTGGATGGGGTATACCAAAAAACATTTTCAAGCAACAGATATAGAAAGACGTCTTCAGGTGTCGACACTCATGCTGTTGTTACACAACCTCTTTGTAGTATGACCACATGGATGAATGAAAGCTGCCTGTGATACATGAACAGGTGAGGGGCAGGCAAGCATGTGGCGACCCCGCTACAGGACCTGACACCCCGCTAAAATTTCGCCGAAGCAGCCACAGCCGGAGTTTTCCGCGCTGAAAAGGTACGTAATTTGGCTTTTCGCTTGGGCTCTGACCGTCGTAATCATACTCGTGAACATTCAATAAAATCGGCCTTTGTCCTCCTGCCGCCCCAACGCACTAAGTCGCAGTGATCGTTCTCGCTAGCAAGCACATTTCAAAAGCCCTCCCCTGCCAGACCACGCCGGATAGCATCGTCGCTTTGCTACCTCGGCATTCTCCCACCAGAGGACGAACGACACCCCACAGCGCACGTAGAAAGAGAAGACCGGCGCATCAACCCCCGTGAACGTTCAGTCATCCTTCGCCGCCATGGTGGTCGACACAGCATACTACGACATCCTCGGGGTCAAAACCACCGCAACTGAACTTGAGATCAAGAAGGCATACCGGAAACTCGCTATCGTCCACCACCCTGGTATGTAAGCGTATTCGAGCACTTCTCCCGTCACCGCTTGTCCGCGCCTATCGCGGCCATGACCCCAGCTGACACCCCCCGTTTCACAGACAAAAACCCAAACGATCCCACGGCCCACGCCAAATTCCAGGAGATCGGTGAAGCCTACCAAGTACTCTCGAACGATGACTTACGCAAAGCCTACGACAAGTTCGGTAAGGAGTCGGCGCGCCCGTCCGAAGGCTTTGTCGACCCGGCCGAGTTCTTTACCAGCATCTTTGGCGGTGAGGCTTTTATGGACTGGATCGGTGAGATTAGTCTAATGAAGGACTTGACTGCTACAATGGACATCACGATGGCGGCCGAGGAGGAGGAGGGGGAGGAGGGGCAAGAGGGTGTTGCAGATGCCACAGCGCCGTCTAAGGACGATGGCGAGTTCCCCGGCACCGAAGAGGCGATAAAGGAAAGCCTGAACACCGCGAAGGCCGCTGGCTCTGCCGAACCCCCAAGCGAAAAGAAGGAGGTGCCCACGGTGGTGGTCGAGGATGAAAAACCGACTGGGCAGGCAGACGCTCCGCAGGGCCACACAACATTTTCTCCGCCGTCACCGGGTTCCGGCTCGACAACACCCATGAGCGGCCGCCATCAAATCCCGCTCCGGCCCGCCTTGATGGACCGGCCGTCCGACGATGCAACCGACGATTCTATGTCGGCGCACGACGGGAAACGCAAAGACAAGAAGTCTAAGGCGGGTTTGTCCAAGGAGCAAAGGGAACAGCTGGCTGCGTACGAGAAGGAGCGCGCCAAAATTCGGCAGGATCGTGTCGACACATTGTCGCAGAAGCTCTTGGACCGCTTGTCGGTCTGGACGGAGACGGACAAGGGTAAAGACGTGACGAGAGCCTTCCAAGAGAAAACACGGCTTGAGGTGGAGGAGCTTAAAATGCAATCATTTGGTCTCGACATCTTGCACGCCATTGGCGCAATCTACGTCAGCAAAGCAACGACACTCATCCGCAGTCAAAAGTTCTTTGGCATGGGCGGCTTCCTTCACCGCATGAGGGACAAGGGTACGCTGGTCAAGGACACGTGGAATACCATCAGCAGTGCCATCGATGCTCAGCAGACCATGGAGGAAATGGCTCGCCTCGAGCAGCAGGGTGGCGACGATTGGACGGACGAGAAAAGGTCTGAGTATGAACGCCGTGTCACGGGCAAGATTGTGACTGCCGCCTGGCGCGGCAGCAAATTTGAGATCCAGAGTGTCCTCCGTGACGTGTGCGACGCGGTACTCAATGAAAAGAAGGTACCGCTGGGCAAGCGTCTGGAGCGTGCTGAGGCTCTGATCCTAATTGGCCAGATCTGCGCACAGGTACGTTTTCTTTGCCTTGCTTCCTTTGAAATCCAATCTCTTTGTTATTAGAACCAGAAGGAGAAAAAAGACAACACATCACTAACGGATAGCAATAGGCCAAGCGCACCGCTGAAGAGGAAGGAGATTACATGGCCTTCGAACAACTCGTCGCCGAGGCCGCCATAAAGAAGGAGAAAGAGTCCAAGAAGAAGGGCAAGGAGAAGAGTGAAGAGTCCGCTGACGGCAAGGAGAAGGAGAAGAACGCTGGGAGCGGCAAATTTGGTGATAAGGCATGGGCCGACGCCGCTTCAGCTGCGGCGGGGGATGCGCCGAATGTTCCGAAGGGGTCGTCATAAAGGCAGTTAGCAAGAGGCGGCGGTGGAGCGAGAAATTAATGAGGGGAGCTGGTGGATGGAATAGTGCATGCTGCTAGTCTGCGATGGATACCGCAGCTAGTGGCGGGTGTCGGGTTTACAGTTTACGCCCGTGAAGGAGGTAGGAAGGAAAGACGACCGAGTGTGTCTCTGAGTTGTTGGATCATTGAAGCAAGCGGCGGGGAAGAGAAGGAGAAGCGGGTGTGTCTCTTCGTTAGATACGGCATGGCGGGACTTGCTCTTTAGCTCGCGCATACCCAGGTTTGGTACGACCGCTAGGTATAAACAGTACTTGCACATACATCTCCTAATGAAGCATAGAGTCCAATTTTTATCATTGATCACATTGTTTGAACCTGAGGGTTGTCCCCAGCTGTTCTCCTCTCTCCTCCCCTGTCCTTTCATCTCTTCCTCCAATGTCTCTCGACGCTCCACCTGACAGACAACACGACAGCAGGCGGATCAATGTTGTGAGCATACCATACACATCCTTCTCCCTAGCCTCTTGGTATTTAATCTCTTCTAGCGACTGTGCCAGTTGAACATCATTTTCATGCATCAAGGGTATCTAATGGTACAATTTGGGCCCAATAAATGTTAAAGCAGGCTCACTGGATGGTTGCAAAACTGAGACTAGGCCAGGACAAAAGCGAGGGCTTGTTGGGGTGTGTGGTCCAAAGCCTCCTGCCCAGTCAGCCGTAACCAAGACAAGAAGAACAAACCATCGAGAGAGCCGAGGACAAAAACAAGCCGGTCCATCCAAATGCTCAAGGCCTTCCCCCCCCAGCTCGCTAACGACAGTCTTCGTGTGCGTGTGCGCGATCCCCGTATGCCCCCGCGCAATGTAAATATAGAAAGGTATATAACGCCGGGCCCAAACCAAAAGCCGAACAAAAAAATACACACATCTCAGCCCCCTGGACCCCACCACTAACCTAACCCGTATTCCTGCTTACCACGTGCAGGCTCCCGGTCCGGGGCCTGCATAGGTGAGGGAACAGAGGTCGGAGTGCGAATGGGGATGGGAGGAAACTAATGGGTCGTCGTTTGATACCCTAACACTAGCGGAGTGGTGAGCATTGGGCCAATTTGGGTGTGTTTGGCCGAAAGTATGTACGAAGTAGTGGGAAATCTTAAGTCTTGCCGTCGGTTCCCCTCGGGCCCCCTCAAGCGACGCCCTCAGGTGCAAGTTCAATCCCACTGTCCCTGTCCTGAGTATCTTTGCTCCATGTGGTGGTGCTGGTAATGGTGGTATCGGCATCGTCGTCGTGTTCATAACCACCACCAGCGGCGGCAAAGGAGCTCCTCCCAAATGCGTCGATCGCATAAATCGTCTCCTCACCGAGGGTGACGTCGCCAAGTTCGTCATCTTCCTCGCGTGCTCGTCTTTCTATCTCTTCGGGGGCTAGAACTCGGCCCCCCAATTCGACATCGCTGACTCGAACCTTGTATTCAAGTGCCCGCTTGCCCTCCTTAATGAGTTCCTCGGTCCACCCGAGGCATTTCTTAAGACTCTGGTTTATCTTTTGGCTGTCGACAAGTAATTGCTGGTGTTTAGATAGGTCGACATCGAGCCGTCGTTCCTCTTGCCGTCTTTTTTCGTGGCGTCGTTCCGCCGTAGCTGGATCCACCTCCCCCGAATCTTCTGACCCCGATGATTCATCCTCCTCATCCGGCTCATCGAGGCGCTCCAGCTCGGCCTCTACTTCCCCGGTCTCGCTTCCGCTCTCTTCTCCCAAAAGATCATCTAGGCCAGCTCCGGCCTGTGCCTGTTCTGCCCCATCCGTCGCCGGCTCAGAGGGTGTCTGCTTGTTCATGGAACTCGTATTGAGGTACCCAGACCTAGAGAGCCTCTGGTAACGCCGTATTTCCGCAGTTTGCTTCCTCAATTGCCTCTCGAGGGTTCTGTTGATGGCCTCTAGACTCGCGTTTGTGATCTGCAGGTCTTGTACCTTGCGCTCCCGCCGCGCGTTAGCGACAAGCTCCTTCACGGGATCATCCTGTGGTGTCTTAGCCGGGCTACTGAGGGACTCTGGTTGATCTTCTTCAGTCTCAGTCTCAGCAAAGTCCTCGGCAGCCTGAAGCAGGGAAGCAAAGCCAGTTGCAACGGGGCTACTCGGTAATGCTGGCCCTGAGGTGGGGGGGAGTGAAGGAGATGTGCTTCCTGAGGACTGGGCCGAAGGGAACGACCCGTGGGAAGATATACGTCTCGTATTCGCCGGCGGATCCACAACGGTAACGCTTTTTGAAAAGGTCTGTGATGGAGGCCGTGAAGAAGGTTGTTCCATGACGATTTTCCCCAGACTCAGCCGGTGGGGGTTCACTGTTGATGTGGGGGACCGAGGTGAAACGAGAGCAGGAGTGCTTGCACTGGATCCGACTTGTTGAGGTGACTTCAATGGAGGTAGTCCTCTCGGGGCATTGGCTTGCTGTTTGCCGTTCGTAATTCTTGGCGCTGTTGAAACGACAGATCCAGACCCCCTTTTGGCTGACGGCCCAATCTTGGCTGGGGGCTGTAAGCCAGGAGTGCCGTTGGCATAGACGAACTTGCTCGAGATACTTTCTTGGGGCGAAGGCGCCGTCGAGGGTGGGGAGAATGGCCGGGGGGGCGCATTTTGGTTCTGTCGCTCCGGCAAAGTGCTGCCGTTTGCGTAAAAGAATGTCGAGGATTTTGGCTGATGTTGGGGTATTGGCCTCGTCGTAGCAACAGGCTGTGTCGTAGACTTTTGTGCGTCTGAAGCATAAAAGAATTTGGAATCTTGGTCTTGCCGCGATCGACTCCCGATTTCCAAGGCTGGATTCAGTGCCACCGTCGGTCCTCTTTGTGTATCATCAACTCCGGCAGCCACCAAACCTGGGTGCATCTCCATCGGATCGGGGCGGTCTGCGTTTGGCGTGCTACTTGGCGTGGTGTTGGCACCGTCGACGCGATTCTGCCTCGGCCCGGACCGAGGGGTCACGTTGGCGTTGAGGAATACCGAGCCGGGTGATACCAAGTCATCTCGGTCTCGGGCGCCGTTCCCAGTGGCGGTGAGGTTCGATTCAGCAGTGGACCGTCGGACGAGCGGGGTTGCGAGGGCGGGTGCTTGTTGTTGTGAACCGATTGTTCGCGCGGCGATCTTAGGGGTCAGCGGCTGTTTGTTTACGTTGCGCCCGACCGCCGGCTGTCGAGGCCCGGCGACGGACGGCCGGTCATAGGACGGCATCCTGGCCGCAGTGGTCGGCGCGAGTGACTTGGCTGCCTCGGGTGCTAGTCTCACAGTCGGCAGCGGTGGCGGTGGCGGGGCATTTTGATCTCGCGAACGAAGCAGGTGCCGGGACGCGGGGGGCGTGTTTGCAGTCGCAGACGCACTCGCAACGGCATCAGTCGCGGTCGCGACGGTCGAATAGGCGGTTGTTGTTGTGGTAGTGATGCGGGCCGTTCGTTTGCCTGCGGCAGTGGTGCCCGTGGTTAGAATGCCAGCTGAAGGCTGCTCCTTGGGAACTCCTGGCAGTGTATTTCCTGTGGTGCGGGTGGCTTGGCGGGAGGTAGGGCGTTTCGGTGCTGCGGCAACTTTGAGGTTTGTTGTTGATGTTGTTGATAAGGGCGGTGGCATTGTGATGGAGACAAAATGGAACTCGTGGGGGCGTTGGGGTATTCCACGGCACCAGAACAGCCCAAAGGTGTGCAAGCCAGCCCTGATGTCTGTTTGGGGCCTTCTGAGTGGTCGGGCTCGGGTTCCAGCGAGCCGTTGCAACGCAACCTTGAGGTCGTGAGTCCAAGACGGGCGCAATTCAATGGGCCTAGCTTCGAACGAGACAATATGGGCACCGAGGCATGAACTCAAACACAACAAACCTCGAGTCCAGAGAGCTGTTGATTGGGGTTCTACGAACGAATGCAAGTTGCAAGGTGGATTGGGCGGCTTGAGATGAGCAATCTAGACAGGGGGGTTTGGAGCCCAACCCCAAGCCAAGAGAGGCCTGTTCGACCATTGTCTTGGGCCTAACCTGGGAAGTCAACAGAGAAGTGGGCCAGAAACGCCGAGCCATTCATCGTGATCGTTCATCCGAATTCATTGTTTTTTCACCGTTTATCCGTTCTTCATGCACTCACCACAAAATCGACGACCCCACTACGGGTGCACAGGCCAGGATGGCCTGCCAAGGCCGCCAGACACTGTTCTCGAACCAGGGAGGCCCCTCTCCGTGAACGGGTGCCTTGTAAACTTACGGGAGGTTTGGGCGGGCTCTTTTCGGATGTCAGTTCGAACTTGGAAGGAACAATCTCCTTCTTCAAACGAAACTTGATGCGCCGCCCGCGTCGGGCGTCTCCTCCTGTATAATATTTTCTAGAGAGTCTATTCCTCGTCGGAAACTTACAAACGCGCCTAGACACTCTTTTCTCACAAACCGCCAGTCCCCTACACCGTCTCTCGTCTCCCGGCCGGCGCGCGCCCCGCTGATCCACCGAATCCCTTCTTGTCGGTTGGTCCCGTCTCACTCGCACTGGGTCCAGCGCCCACCGGCACATGGTCCAACACAGGCCTCGAAAACCAACGATCTCGTCCACTGCCATCCGCTGGTTGCGCCCGGCATGGCGCTCTTGGGGATTTCGTTGATTCTCGCCTCCGTTGTCCTGTTCTGCATGCGGAGACCGTCGTGGTTTCCGTCTCTATTTGGCGGACAACATCGGCCCTCTCTTGAGCCTGCGCCGGCACAGGAAGCCGGCATCGCAAAAGATGAACAACAACGAGCCGATGACTCGGACGCGGAGAACGGGTCTCGGGCCTCAATACTGTTAATTCAGCATACGGCACCAGGGGCTGAGACCGACCCTCACATTTCCAAAGACGATGGAGAAGAACAGACGACACCGAAGGCTTCCGCGACAATCCTCGACGTTGCAGTTCCCGCGCTGTCGCTCCCTGCGTCGGGGTTAGCGCAAACTCCTTCCGCTCCGAAATCTACAAACGGCACGGCCCGGGCCGCGGCGATGACGGCATCGACATCAACATCGACATCATCCGCCTCCAGCCTCATGCCGCCTCCTTCACGCCCACCCACTTTGCGACCCCTCCCCAACAGCGGGCCGCCCTGCCCACCACCCTCCTCTTCCCCTACCTCCCTCGCGCCCCCACGCGGCCGCCCTTCCCCTCTACCCGCTCGCGGCCCGGGCTGTTCGACCCTCGCGCCACCTCCCACCCACTCCTCCAAGCCCAACAAGCCCTCGCGCGCCGTCGTCCTCTCCCCGGGCCACTCCCCGCTCGACTGGGCGCGCCTCACTGGCCACCCGGCCTCTGACCTACGTGGTCTTCCGGCCGGCTCCCCTTACCTCCGTGTGACACCTAGCATGCTCAAGAAGATGACCGGGCGCAAGGGGAAGGATGCATGGACGGTGCTAGGCGGGCGAGTGTACAACATAACGCCGTACCTGCCGTTCCATCCCGGAGGGGAACCAGAGTTGTTGCGGGGTGCGGGCAGAGATGGGACAAAGTTGTTTGGGGAGATTCACCCGTGGGTGAATTATGAGGGGATGTTGGCTGCGTGTTTGGTGGGAATCTCTGTCTCGGAGGACGAAGCGGATGAGCAAGCGGGGTTGGCGACGAAGAGCAGTAATGATGCTGGAATCGGAGGGAATGGCGGGGACATGGAAGCGATGGACTAATCGCCCGTGCGCTCAGAAGGTCGTGAGGGGAGGTTGATGACGCAGGAGCCTGGCGAGTACGGTTTGCGTGAGAGAATATCAGGACTGGTCTGTATTTTTGTGAGCACATGTCGACATGTATGATAACACGACGCACGGGCGTGTCTGGTAGGGCGTTCTGGTCTAAGATGGATACCCGTGGACGAGGGAAGGAAACCGGATTGAAGGGGCAATCATACATACGAAGGCCCCAGCGCCACCATAATTCATTGTTTATTTAGAGAATCTAGAAGAACAAACTGGCGAGCGTATATAATGGAGCCATATGCTCGGTCCGATCAAATATAACCCGATGCCCCAATACCCCATCTCCTAATACCCTGTCCCCCAATCTCCCGATGCGCTTCTTCTTTATCTCCGCCTCCCAAACCGGAACCCAGGTTCATCGTCACTATCGTCGCTATCATCATCGGCCGGCGGCTGGAATCCTCTCCTTGGCCTCTTAGCCACCCGACTTGCGTTTGAATCTGTCGGTGCAGACCGCTTATTGGACGATGTTGCCCCTGATCTCGTCTGGCTCTGTGACTGTGTTTGTGTTTGCAGCTGAGATCGACTACGTTGGGAGTTGGCCTTCTCAGCTGCCTTGGCAGCTCGGCTTCGAGAGGGTTCAGACTCGGGGATTACACTGCCATCTCCTGAAGCAGCGTTGGAAGGTTCGCCTGTCGGGTCCTCAATATCCTCATCGTCGCTACTATCGATCGCGAGGACGGTGCGTCGCGTTGTTGGGCGAGACCTATTTGCCTCTCTCTGGTTTTCCTTTTCATTTTCTGTTCCCCCAGGGACCAAGGTGTCTGACCTGCCCCCCAGCGATGGCTGATCGGTCTGGTCGTGCGTTTCACGCAGAGTATCTTTTTTCCGCCGCCCGTTGTCCTCTTCTTCTAGCCAGTAATCGTCCCCAATGCCGTATTCCTTCGGCTTCACCTCCTCTAGAGCAATAATGATCCGGGGCGCCTGGCGGCCTGCCGTGTCGCCCTGTTTGCGGAACCGCTTGAAGTTTTTGCGACCATTCCACCGCGGATCCCACCGACCGTCGGCGATATCTTGGTCTCGGGTGCGTCCTCCATTGTGGCCAGGCTCCGGGACATGCACCTCGCATTCTTCGATGATATGCAGAGATCGGATGGCTGCATAATCGATTCCGTCGTCGGGGAAGTTCTCTAGATCATTCCGCTTTGCGGCTGCGAGAGCCTCAGCCTCCTCCCGCTGGCGCCGCGCAAGCTCCAAAATATTGCTCTCTTTCTCTTCTTTAATCTTTTTCCCCTTGCCCCTTGCTGCCTGACCCTTCTTTGGCGCTTCTTGGGGCGAAGATTGCACCAACTCTTCGGGTTCATTTGGTGGGGGCGTCGGCTCTGGCTCAGGAAGCGATGGATCTGGTTGACCAGACTCGATGCGTCGGCGTTTGGCCGCAGCCGCTGTCGGGGCTATCTCATCCATAAACGCTGCGTCATCTTGCTCCGGTAGGGGTGACAATGGCCGTTTACGCCGTGTCGGCCGAGCGGGGCGCTCCGCACGGTATTCAGTCTCTGCAACGGAAACCGACTCTCGGGTCTGAGAGACGAAAAGGCTGTCTTGTGAAGCTGCAGCGGCATGCTGGGGTTCAGGATCTTCCACGGGAAGGGTTTCCTCTATACTCGGCTCACCACCATCATCAAAATCGAAGCCTTTAAACCTGCTCCGCCCACCCCTGCGACCCCGCCCAAGCCGTGACGCTGGCACTGGGGCAGACTCCTGTTCGGAGCCCCGGTCAACTTCCATTCGATCCGGGTCGGTGGAGGAGTCCCGATCCTGAGGCCCAGGACCGGGTTGCTGAGTCGCATACTCCAGAGGTCGCCGCAGCATAGAGGCATCACAGTCCAAAATAGCTTCGAGAAACTCGCGTTGGTCGATCGGCCGGAGATCGAGCCGTTGGGCGAACGAGGTCAGGAACTGAGCATACCACTCATAATCATCTCCCTTCGGTATGTACCGAACAACCACCACTCCTTTGCCCTCGCTGCCATCCTCAAACGACCCTAGACCCTTTTCCCCCGCCAAACCCTTGACATATCGGATAAAATCGTCAACGTCTGTTTTGCCCGGTGTCACTTCTTTGAGCAAAGCTTTCCCCTTCCCGGCGGTGATGACCGGGAACAAGTTCTCGTACTGCTTCTCTTCGTAGAAAACGAATGTGTAGCCGTCAAACACTTCTTGTCGTCGGCTATCGGGTGCGTATGACTCGGGCGGCCGTTCGGGGGGCTCCTCGCCACGTGGAGGCAGATGGTCAAGGGCTGTTGGCCAGGATGCTTCGAAGTCTTCTTCCAGCATACTCGGCATACCCTCTTCCGCATCCTCCGGAACATCAGCGGCATCCACAATCGCGTTGATGAAGCTGTCGATAACCACGTATTTCCCATCGATCAAGGCTTGTAAACATTTTGACGTGTTGCGTTTCTTAGATACCACATGAGTGGTGTCCGCCCCATAATCAGCCGAGTATTTGATATCGAGTTGTTCCAGGTCATCGCGAAGTCTCGTCCACGGGTCTGCTCGTAGTTCTTTTGATGTGAAGGAAAAGCTGAGAACGACTGGCTCCCATCGGATCCTGCGTGCCGTTCCTCATTAGTGTGTGTATGTTCCCGGACCGGCCACAACTGTCTTACCGAAGGACCTTGGAGCATGCGCCCAGCTTCACTTCGTTCGCATCTTCCACCAACTGTGCCTTCTGCCCCCTTATCTGAACCCCGTTCAAAAGCGTCCCCTTTTTAGAGTCGAGGTCTTCGACGGTCGCCGTCGATCGCGAACGAAGATTTCTCTGCCAGTAAAAGCATCAGTAAACGTTGACGCAGCGCGGTGCCCTTTGAAACCTACACCGCCACCATCGGGAACGTCATCGATTTTAATCGTGATATGTTTCCTGGAGATCGTTCTGTCGGAAATGGCCAGTTGCCCCGCTAAGAATCGTCGGTTGGCTGCGGTCAGTTACTCTGGAGAGTCGAAAAGGCCCGTTCGAGTTAAAAAGGAATTCAACACACGTTCAGCAACAGTGCGACCAAAAAGATAAACTTTCCCAGGTCGCAGCCAAAGGACCCGTCCTATATCCTGAGTTAACGGAACAGCCCCTTGGTTTGCACGCCACGGCGCAGGAACTTGCGACAAACTAACCCTCGAAAAGTTCACTTTCTAGCAACCACATGGCTCCTGCCCCAAGCGGGAAACAACCCCCACCCGCAGATTGATAGTGGCTAAAAGGACGACTTTGGCTCCGGATGCGAAAGGTCCTCAATCGGCGCGCGTGATGTGGAGAATGTGCTGAAGTTCGCGAAATTCGTCTCACAAAGAGTCAACACGTCATTGGCGCGAGGGCACGTGCCGGAGAAATTCTTGGCGGACCCCTTTGTCTCCGGCAGAGCCTCCACTGCGCCTTCAACCCATCTCCCTACTCCTCGGCAAACGGATTCAACACACGAAGGAATGGCAGGTTCCTGCTCATATCTCAATGTTCCGCCTATACGAACTCTATTCACACGACCAGCGCCAGCCTCAGAGCGATCAAATTCATCCTGAACCCATCCAACGCGCGTTTAAAGTTTTCGACAAGTCTTATCACCACCCTCGTCCCTCGTTAGCCAATCTCAACGTTGAAATATTTCCATTTCAACGTAGTCTCCCGCGAGTAAAATGCCTACTTGTCAAAATATACTAATGTCAACCAAGAAACATGTATTTACCCTGAAGATGTCAATGGTGGTCATTCTTAATCAAGTTTTCACGCAACCCACGAATACCCCCAGCGTATTGTTCATTTTCCACCGACCCCAAGTCTGATTCCCAAGCCCAGTCCATGTATCAACGAAGGTGTGGACAGTGGTCTTTAGTGGCGATTATCTCGAAACCTCCGGTGACCTTCTGGTAAGCATCCGAACCCATTTGACTTAGCAACCGTATTATCATTCACGCTGCTATCCTATTCTTATTCCCTATCTCATTGTCTATCATATCATCAAGTACCAGAGAAAAAGGGTCAGCTCTATGGCGACATCTATGTGCTGTGGAGTTGGGTGTACACCTGTAGGCCGTTCACATTCTTGTCAGGGCATCGTGTCGGGCAGACGGAATCGGTGGCTTTAGTCTACAACGCCCGAGGCTTTCCTTCCTCCAGCATACAGGCCAATTACCTGCTCCAGGATAACACCACGACAACCGGCAGGTATGGCGCGTAATGTATTGGTTTGGATCTCCCCGACCCGGTGGCTGAGTACGGTCATGGCTGACGTTTCCAAACCCTCATATTTAAGGCTAACGGAGGGAATGGGGCTCCTTAAAAATCACAAGGTCGGAGAATGGCCGAAGTTGTCTCGGTGGTTGGGACATCGTTTCGGTAACGCTTGTGTTTTGGAGGCCGCCCGGTGTTTAGCGGTCTGGCCCAGGTGAGACATGTCCCTCTTTTTGGAGCTCAGCGGTTGCGTGGTACGAAGGAGTTGAACATCGGTGCGGCGACAACATCAACAGCTTCAACACGCTCGATAATTCGAGTTGGCTCCTGACGATGGACAAACTTCGTCCGGGCTAGTTCACCAAGGAAAGAGTTCCGATGCTGGTCAAGGGGTTTGCACGTGGCTTGGCAGGGTCCCTTGTTCAATTCTCAACCCCACCCCGCCAGCGATCACTGCCGATGCAGCCGCAGGTGTGGTGGATGACGTCATGTATGGGCACAGCGCATTGTTCTCGGCCCTCTTCACCTCCCAACCATCACAGCGAAGACCCTGCTTTCTGCCATCTCTTGAAAGTTTCTTCGCCATGCCTAGACTGGCCGGCCCACAGTTAGCAGCAAAGCCCGATCAGGTTCAAAGCCGAAAGCCAGGCTCTTCCGTTCGCTGGCACCACGTCATCATGGTGTTGACACAGGCATTGCGCCCCAAGACTGACGAAGAGAATTAAGACACTCCTGCTTTATAAGGGCTGCCCATCCCCACTCTCGCTACCCATAATTATGCAATGCTTCCTTTCCATTCAATAGGTAGCTCAGCTTCAACTAGCTTACAACAACCAAGCCCTGTCCGCTGCTGCATCACTTCTCCTACAACATCTCTGCTACCATGGAACGCTTTGTCCCTATCGTCCACGCCGTTGCGGCCGTGTTTACCGTCATCGAGCTGGGCCTGACGGCTTACCGTGAGTTAACTATTAAAATGATAACTGCAGGAGCCCAAGTCTAACACTTTTCGTCAGTCGTAAGCCCGTTCTGGGGAACCCCCAGCACCCTGGCTTTTATGGTCTTCAACTCAGTCTGGTCGTTGCTGCTACTCGCCTACCTCTTCCTGACGCCCCTCTACTACGCCCGGTTCTTCCACGGCCTCGTTGCGCTGGTCCTCGAGTGGATTACTGTGATTTTTTGGTTCGCCGGTTCTATTGCCCTCGCCGCCTGGTGGGGCTCCCCCCGATGCGACGGCAACACCTACTGCGGCTCTACCGAGGCGGCTATTGCGTTTGGGTTTTTTATCTGGGCGCTGTTTGCTTTCCTGGTCTTTATCGATACTCTAGCTTTTCTCCGCGGCCGTGGGCACCATACCAACACGGCTGCTCAGCCTAAGCCCTTCCCCGGCGTCTAAGGGTCGGTTTATGTCGATATGGAACCCTGAAGGAAGCAGGTGCTGTTTGGGAGCAACACATATGTTGAAGAGACATTAATCTCGGGTGCGGTAATGTGGTAGGGAGATACGAGAGCAAGGGAAGATGGGACGTTGGGAAAATGTTAATGATACCCCTAAGCACAAACGCGATGACGTGCAGCCTCGATTATTTACGTGTTGCCACTTGGAAGGGGTATGGCTCGGTTTTAATGTTAAGTTTTAGGTGCCTTATAGAGGTACTCTATTAATTAATTCCCCGCATATTTTAGCAAAGAATTCCTTCACCGTGTGTTGAGTCTAGTAAGTTGGTGAACATAAGACCGGGTTCGGTGTTGAGTCACCGGTGTGGCGCTCTTGTCGGAACTACCCCTGTTGAACCGGGCCAACAACACCGACCACCATCATCCTCATCTTTTGACCACATTCCAACGACTTCTCTCTCATGCATTATAATTCCCAACGCCTAACAAACTACACTTAAGCGCTTCAGACAAATCGACAAATAAGAGCGAATACTACTTCGTTCAATATGGGCAAAGTTCACGGATCCCTTGCCCGTGCCGGTAAGCGATGTTCGGGAGCAGCCCATCGCAAAACAAGAGGCTGACAATGCGAGTATAGGCAAGGTCAAGTCGCAGACACCTAAGGTATGTCGAACGAAGACTATTACACCCTACCTCTCTTGTTCTCAAAACGCTGTGATTAGTGCGACAATGATTGACCCGACGCCCGCCGCCCTCTAGGTCGAGACTCAGGAGAAGCCCAAGACCCCGAAGGGTCGCGCCCACAAGCGTGAGCAGTACACACGGCGCTTCGTCAACATCGCTGCTACGGGTGGCAAGCGGAAGGTGAGGGAAGTTAGGTGCAGTTCCTTGGCGAGAAAATATAATGTTAAGACCATGCGCATGGTAGATGAACCCGAGTCCAACGGCTTAACGACAGAGAGAAGCGAAAGACGATACAGAAACACGATACTCTGAGGGCTTCAATCAGTTTCGCGACGGCGTTTAGACTCGGTATCAGGGCGATTAATAGATTTCCTAGCTTGAGGGTCATGTTTATTGTATTAACCAGCTGCGTTCCTCCTGTTCTTGTTATCTCAAACGATCCGGCGATCCAGCGATCCGGTCGCGTGATAATGTCATGATTGTCAAGGACATTTTGCTGCCATTTGTTTGAGGAATCATCATCTTGAAACGCCTCTAACCTTGAGTTCTGAGCCCTCCTCTCGTGGGCATTTCGTTTCTTGTCGCCTAAGGTCAGTCGCATTCGTGTGTGTGTGTGTTGAATTATGCCTTTAAACAGGTTCCTTTAAGCCCATAGGCTTGAATGTGACGCGACAAATGTCTTCGCCACCATTTTGAATGCAGAACCCCAACCAAAAGCTAACAATCATGTTATGGTCCTTTCACCGTGGTGTACCACAGCAAGGTGAGCCGGTGGGCAGACCGACCGATGAGCGAGACCCCACTCGTTAGTCCCACATATTTCAATTTTAGCCAATAGTAGCCTCTTATATGTGCCCCATAAAAATTTAGGGTTGGTTCTTGGCACACGAGAATTTCCTAGGAAAAGGCTTCCCCCACTCGCAAAACGTCGAACCGAATTCAAGTGCTCGACCGAGTCCCACGACGACAATCGATTTCCCGTTCAACAACCCTTTTGACAATCGAAAACATGGCTGATCGGGGAACTGGTGCCCGCGGCGGCGGCTTCGCTTCTCGTGGCGATCGTGGTGGTGACCGTGGCCGTGGCCGTGGCGGTCGCCGTGGTGGACGTCGTGGTGGCGGCAAGAGCGACGAGAAGGAGTGGCAGCCCGTCACCAAGCTCGGCCGCCTTGTCAAGGCTGGCAAGATCAAGAGCATGGAGGAGATCTACCTTCACTCCCTCCCCATTAAGGAGTACCAGATCGTCGATTTCTTCCTCCCCAAGCTCAAGGATGAGGTTATGAAGGTGCGCAAGGGCGGGATCTTACAGTTCAACCGATATTCTTCCCCCCGAGCACCTTGCTAATGTTGAATTTTGTCCCCCGTTACAGATCAAGCCCGTCCAGAAGCAAACCCGTGCCGGTCAGCGTACCCGTTTCAAGGCCATTGTCATCATTGGTGACTCCGAGGGCCACGTCGGTCTCGGTATCAAGACCTCCAAGGAAGTCGCAACTGCCATCCGTGCTGCCATCATCATCGCTAAGCTCAGCGTCATCCCCGTCCGTCGTGGGTACTGGGGCGCCAACCTTGGTCTTCCCCACTCCCTGCCCACCAAGGAGAGCGGCAAGTGCGGCTCTGTCACCGTCCGCGTAAGTACCTGATCCGGGCATATTCTCTTAGCTGCTGTGGTACTAACACTGCGACCCCCTTTCAGCTTATTCCCGCCCCCCGCGGTACTTCTCTCGTCGCTTCTCCCGCTGTGAAGCGTCTCCTCCAACTTGCCGGTGTTGAGGACGCCTACACCTCGTCTTCCGGCTCGACCAAGACCCTCGAGAACACCCTCAAGGCCACCTTTGCCGCCGTCTCCCACACCTACGGATTCCTTACACCCAACCTGTGGAAGGAGACTAAGCTCATCAGGAGCCCTCTGGAGGAGTTCGCCGATACCCTGCGGGACGGCAAGCGCTACGCTCAGTAGAGTGCTGAGGAAGGGTGAAGCTCGGCCAGCGGGGAAGTGTGCTTTGGGGCGTCAGTGGTTTCGGACTTTGCATGGGCTCCGGCAATGGCATAGATTGAGGCTGTCAAAAGTTAGCACGATCAGCCTGGATCAATTTCACGATATTGAACATTCACTCCTAGTCGCAGTACGTGATGTGTAGCTCGTTTGCTTGGGTGACACCCCGGGACACACAGTAGGGACAATCTTACCAAATGTGGTGCCGGGACTTCATGTCTTTTCGGCCCCTGGGTTATTCTCATACAGGATTCCTCGCCATGACTAGATCTCAAGATTCGTAACGGAATAAGCCTTCTCCATCTCGTTGACACTGCCATATCCAGCACCTCCACACTCGACTTGAAAGGCCCCATCCGCGTCCCTTCTACTACAGGTCGTCCGGTATTACTATCAGGAGTTCATGCAACGCGTGGGCCTGGTAGGCTATGTTACAACCATCTCATAGTTACTGTGGTTGTGGTCTAGGCTACTAGGCTTCCGTTTTTACCGCTCTAGGGAATACAAGGATATCGTGTCAACTCGAGGAATGGCGCTGATGAAAGTGCAGGGAAACACCTAATCTAGATATTTGAGGTTCACCCATACCTCACGGCGGATTGTGCTTAGGGGGTATGTTTAAAACCCATCTAAAATTCGGGTTACCAACGTGCGGGTGGTTGGACATAAAGTTGGGGAATGGGACCCGGGGTGTCGTGGGGGCGCCATGTTGGGGATAACTAAGATCCTTTCGAGTAACCCCTCGGTGTTCACGGGCGGGCATTTCCCAGAGAAGAACCTAGAGCATCGAGCGTATGTCCACGCTTCGCTGACTCTGGCACGGGGTGCGACGCCACGGCGGTAAATCAGGTACCGTGCCCCGGACTCATTTTAGTCAGGTAATATCTTTTTAGTGTTAAGATAGGATTTGGTTCATATACCCAGGACACAACTTGCGTCTGAGGGGTCTCTCAGAATGGGGGTGAGTCGTTAGCCTAGAGAAGGAGAGCGAAAGAGAGTGGGAGCAAAAACATGTCTGCGTGGGCGGTCTTCGCCTAGCCAATTTGGTCTTGGTGTAACACCGGTATTGGACTGCAACTCTGCTTTTAGGGGATCCAACAACGAAGTTCCTTAAGGTATCAACCTGGAACGGCTGACGGTCGCCCTGCCTTATGCTATGGTCATACTACTCCGAAACGCTACATCAATCGTCGAAACCCGGAGAGGGGGGCAAGAGTATAGTGAGCGAGCCACTGTGTGTTCGGGCATGCCATCATCGAGCATTCTAACCGAGTTTGTCAAGCACTGTTCGCGCGTCATCGAAGTGCTGAAACAGGGTGAAGATACGAGCGCGTAGATTGTCTCGCGGCACAACAATATTCCATAGAGTCTAAACGTGTTATTTTCGACGTGGTGACAAGAACCCCTCCAGTCTCGACTCGACGCCGAAACCGAGCTAGGTGATGGATGGGCGGTTAAGGTACATTGGGATGACGGAAGCGGCTCATCCCAGGGACTAGTGCCCGCCGTGGTGTAGCAACGGCGCTGGCAAACGACGTGGAGGCAAAAAGGGGTGCTCTGATGCACATACGTGGTAAGTTGATGTAAGCTGTACATACAGTCGCGAATCGAATTTCGGTTACTACGTAGGTCCCCGAAGCTGGGCTGTTCGATGCTACATCACGACACCGATCGGAACATCTAACCGCGTTTGTCACACTTTGTCCTTCAGTATTGTTAACTCTGTTCTGGTATACAGCATAGGTGGGGGGGCTTGCCAGGCAAACCCAATCTTGCATTGCAGCCCGCGTCCACACTTTCGTCCAGGCGCCAACCGCCAGACAGGACAAGGCGCGCCGGGAATCCACCTCATTGGGGATTGGGGTGAAACTCAATTGGCTGACTTTAACCAGGCGAATTGGAAGATTACACTGCATCTTCGGTTGCTTCCTTTTTGTCGATGAGCCCCACGAAGGGACAGCAGCGTCGATGGCCTTCGCGGCGGTCGCGAGCGCTTGGGCGCCGTCGATTTTGTTACACGAGAAGTCCTCAGCCGTCAAAACGAACGCCTGGGAGGAAGGGATCTGTCGAGATGAATACTCTGTTAATCCGAGCAGCTCCGCTTTTATGACCTTCGGGCCGATGCTCCTCCTGGGAAGCGAAGATGCAGGTTTTAAGTTACGTCTTGCATACCACCGTTCAATTTTCTGAGAGGGCAAGGGTTCTTCTGACCCAACTCGTTCATTGGTGCTTCGGGTATTTTGCGAAAAGCCATTTCTTGTCCAAATTTTTGCTTTTGGCCCGGCCCATGAGCCGAAAAGCCGCCCGCATTTGAACTAGAGTTCCTCAACACTGATTCGCGTTCTCGCTGAATTCCCACAGGACATCTCATGCCTCGTCGTTGTTTTTTCACACTTTGGGGAAACGACTCAAAAATGAGCGGGACGGTGATCATCAGGCTGTTGCACCTGCCTAATTCGGAACAGTCTTGGCATTTTTTGGGGAACGACTGGGGTGCTCCATCTGCTGCCCTCTCCCGCTCCACACGAGTTGTTGAGGAGGTTCCGATTCTGTCAGCAAGCCCGCATTCTGCGAAGAGAGTCCCCTGGGGTTTACCGGCTCTCACACATCGGTAACATCACCCGAGGTTTTGCTCTTCTCCTCCACCATATCGCTGTCCCAGTTGTCTGTTGTCGGCGGGGCTTTCGGATCTCAACAAGATTCCATCACCTGACGCACGCCGAGTCGGCACTCGCGGCGAAGCTTTTTTGAGGCTTTCCGCCGCCTGGTATTTTTATTTTTTACTATGTATTTTTTGGGAGGCGCCGCGCCGCTCAGGGAATCTCCGCCGCGTGGGAAGATGACGCCGCCGATCTTACCGTCTTGGCATCTGTTGCGTGTCTGAGACTTCTTCATCACTTGGCGTTCTGCCTCGACAAGACTATCTCTGTCATCCGTCAGCATCATGGAGCCTTGCTCAATCGGGATGGTGAGGAAGAGAAGAGAAAAGGATACGTTAGTCGACTACAAAATTCTGACGCCAAAGCCGACCCGGAATGAACCTTCGTTAATATCCGATGCATTTCGAGGGGTGTTCTTGCCAGGGAGCACCAAGGCTGTTCTGTGTCGTCCGTTCGACGTCGGGGCCGCCTCGCATCTGTCCGGTGACGAAGTCGTGCCAATTTTAAGCCTAAAAGCTGGAATGAAGCCCGAAGCCCGACACAACAGGATAGTCTAGAACAGTCATTCGTTTAGGGTTTTAAGGATGATGCCAACGGCGTACTCCGTAGTGCGGTCGTTGATGACTGACCGTTTGACCGTTCGAAGAGGCGAAAGAAAGTTGGAACGCTTGTCCTGGTCCGAACCGGGGACCGTGGACTTTGAGGAATTCCATGTTCCCATTGGCATTGAGCCGGAGCGAGGGGCCGAGTTTGTGTTTACCCCGGATGTTGATTGCTCGGCGATCACCGCAATCCTGACTGTGGGTCAACGTTGCCGAGTGTATGTATTCGTACAATGTACTCATACTTCCGAGTACGTGTAGGAGGGAACCAAGGGCGTCTCCGAATCTTTATGTGTATCGTCCTCCACAGTGAAGAGCAGGAATTGGTATTTTGGTTGCAAAACTCGAACCCGCCGCTGAGGCGGCATCTGGCAGTGTAGTCCATGCATCTGGTCAATCCTGAGGTATGTACGAAGTCACTTTTGGAAGGGAAGTTTCTCATCGTTTGCGCACGCAAGACTGCAAAAGTGGGTCAGGGTACCAAGGGTACCTCCCTGGCTCTTCTCCACATCGGTCCCTGGCCCCGGACTAGTGCAGTGTTCCTACCTTCGTCCGAACACCTGAGCCCGCCCTCTGCTGGGGTGATATTTTTTTCCGAAAAAAAAATTGAAAAATAAAATACAATAAATTATCGATAGTGTTCAAATATGAAACCGTTGCGCGCAATCAGCGATTAGACGCCTAGCCATCGCCATCTTCTGGTCAACAAGACTGAAGGCCCAACAGAACGTAGTCAGCTCCGCCGAGGACGCATTCGCGGGAGATGACAGACCGACCCGTGGAATCCGTTTCGTGAGTTGACCCAGTTCCCGTCGGATTGCCAAGCACGCGTTCCAGATGGGCTGGGCTGGGGATGATGGTGTGGACCACACCTGTCCAAGCCGTCGCAATTCTCCCGCTTGGCCGGAGGCAATGTCATTGGAGGTCAAAAGCTTCCATCTCCATCCGTCCGGGAATATGGGCCTCGACCCTATCAGAGACCGCTTCTTCTGGTGCCTTGTCGGCCGGTGCATGGTTCAGGGTTCAACGTGGACCAGGGAGGAAGGGTAGCGGCAGGGGGGTGGGGACGAAGCGCTGCAACTGGGGTAAGTTTTGATTCTTCGGGGAAAAGAAGGAGAAAGGTGGGAGGACCCCGATGGACCACGACCCGCTCATCATCTCAATGGCGTGGCGTCTGATTTGACGATCACCAAGCGATCGTTGCTGGTCGACGCGGCGAACCCCAGCACCAACACGCCTGTTGTGTCGCCAGCTACCACCCTCCCCTCCCCTGGTGGCCCGGAGGACTTTTCGCCGGACTTTGTATATGAGGACAGTCTTCTGTCGGTCGCGCCCTCGCTCTCCTCCTAGTGTCTTGCTCCCTAGGTTTCTTCAGCCTTTGCCGTCTTGTTCAACCTTCGCGACCGCTGGACATTGAGAACACCTCGCATCAATATAGCCAGCTCCAGCAAAGCAGCCGCTCGACACATCAACACAATGGCTGACACAGCGCAAGTGCCGGTCGAGAAGGAGGTGGGCTCAACGACGGGCGCCGCCGCGAACCCGAACGGCGTTCACCATCGTGCCGTCCACGATCCTCGCAACCCAATGGCCAACATTCACGCCGATGACCAGGGCCGTCTCCCGGCCTTCGGTGGTGAGTTCCAGCCCGGTCTCTGGCGCTCGGTCGAACACCGCAAGTTTGCCAACCCGGCGCCCCTCGGTCTCTCCGCTTTCGCCCTCACCACCTTCGTGCTCTCGGCCGTCAACCTTGGCGCTCGTGGTGTGACGGCCCCTAACATCGCCGTGCCCCTGGCTTTGGGCTACGGTGGACTTGTCCAACTCCTCGCGGGCATGTGGTAAGTCTCGGACGGAAACACTATGAGCTTCCCGGCACGCTCAGCATGTATCCAACAGTATCCTCGATTTTCTGACACGGGTGTTTCTAGGGAAATGGCTGTGGGCAACACCTTTGGTGCTACCGCGCTGTCCTCGTACGGTGGATTCTGGATTGCCTATGGTATCCTGCTGACGCCCGCGTGGAACATCCTCGGCGAAGGTGGCCCTTACGCAGCTGCGGCGGAGGTCGACCCAAAGATGGGTAACTCGGCGGTCGGCTTCTTCCTGACTGGCTGGTTCATTTTCACCACCATCCTGCTGCTCTGCACTCTGCGCTCGACCATCATGTTCTTCCTTCTCTTCTTCACCCTCGACCTGGCCTTCCTCATGCTCGCCTGCGGTGAATACGCCACCAACAACGGCGCTGCCGACGCTGCTAAGAAGCTCACACAAGCTGGTGGTGGCTTTGGCATGCTCGCTGCCTTCCTCGCCTGGTACAATGCCTTTGCTGGTATTGCCGATAGCAGGTATGTCTTGAAAACCCCTTCCCCAGTTTCCCTTTGTCTCCGTCCTATTATTCTCTTTTCTACACTCGTTCAACCCGGACCACTCTGCGATGCCCATCCATGTGGAGGTCTATAATCGCTTTCCCGGTGGACTCTTTCACACACACACACACCCATGCCTCTGCCACGCGACGCCCCCAAATTTCATGACTTGGCACAAAGCCTCCCGCCCGATCTTCCCCTTGTTCCCCAGCTCTATGCGGAAATTTCCAGTACCAATTGAACCAGTTCGACCGACTAACGCCTGCCACTAGCAACTCCTTCTTCCTCATCCCCGTCTTCCACTTCCCGTGGTCCGAGAAGGGACGTGAGGCTCGTCTTGCCAAGACTGCCAGCCGCACCAGTGCTTAAACTGGCGATATACTAATATATACCCGTTTGGGCAATTTATGCCGTTGTTTGGCTTGGTTTTTTTTTTTTTTCTTTTTCGCTTTACCTTCCTATGTTAATTTCGCGGACGAAATACCGCGTGGAAGAGGAGGCTGGCTGTCGATGGGGCCGCCCGCGAACCTTCAACATGGCAGCTCCTCCATGTCTCATGGAGATGGGCACAGCTTGGTTGATGCATGTTCCACCTCGGCGTCACGGTGCTACTGTGGGGTTTGGCGGGCCAGTGTCAAAAATGGGGATGACTGGGAGGGGAGTAATGCAAAGATATCCACTGTAATTTTACGAAAATATGAAAATCAGGATGGCCATGTTGCCGAGTTGACCTTGCCAAACGGCGCCTATTTTTGTTCCTTTGAGTTGTCTGGCCCTGCGGAGTAAAGAACTAACTTGGCGTTCTTGGGCCTGTTTTCTCCCCCACACCGCCAACATCCCCCGCATCTCGGATCCGTTTCCCCATCACGGACAGGCGGGCTGGCGGGCCAAGTTTACGGTTATGGGAAACCAACTACCGAGGCCCATGGCCGAGATCGTTAAGCGCCACACGCATCATCACAACCCCGTCTCTGGACGACTCGTCGACCATAGCGGAGAACTTCTGATGGTCAAAGGAATAGGACGCTGGGAAGCATGAAGATCGATGAAGATGCGTCGGGGCATCGGGGCACTTGGCCCTCGGTGACAATCAGGAAAAGGGAAAGCGAAGGACTGCTGATCTCTGTCTCTTCCCCATCTCCGGAGACGTGCACTCTGGTGGAGTTGTCCACTTCGGGGGACTCGGGCTCGGCATGCGGAGTTGATCGCTCCTTGACCGGCGCCCCGCCCCCGTGTTCCTCCCACTTGGAAAAGAAGACCCCCAAGGGAACGCGGGTTGGTAGTTTGAAATCATGTTGCTAACTACACTAGTGTTCACGTGGACGGACGAGGGCGGAACCCGACCGCGAGATCTCCATAGCTCAACAGATTGGTTTGCGTCAATGTTTCACCTCGGTCGTTGACGAACATTCTTGGCGGAATTAAGTTACCCCCTGCCTCTCGCTGAGTATTCCCTGCGACCTCGCAAAAAATGAACCGTAGAACTCCACGGTACGAATCCATAATTCCCCCGCGTTTACCAAATCATCGGGCCAATATCAGCACCTTGGAACCATTCCCAGTGGGTATCTACATGTGTTAACTATCCATGAAGATGAGGACGCATTCCCCTGCAGCTCAAAACCTTTCCCAGTTCTCGAATTGACTCCGAGGAGTTTGAGGAGAACCCGGGGTCTTGGACAACAATGCTGCGTTTTGCAACGGGTAATTGTGGAATAATTTCTACTTGCTCTCAAGGGAGAGAACTGGATGTGAGTTCTAGAAGTAAATTCTAAGAGAAAAACATAGAACACCCCAACGGTTTGAATGTAGTGACCAGGTACCTCGACAACGACTCATGCTTGAGGAGGAAAACCGGGGCATACGACACCGGAAAAAAAACATCAAAAGTTATGACAAGAGTGGGATTCGAACCCACGCCCTTTCGGACCACGGAATCTTGGAGTAGATTGGGATTAAGGGTAAACCTTAACGTGGCGCCTTAGACCGCTCGGCCATCTTGCCTTTATTTCTTATTGGAGTTTGGTAGTTGAAATTTCCCATATCATCCCACACGCTCTCCCACAACGCGCAAAGAAGGGCCCACTTTTCTACGGCGACCAGCAACCCAACTCGCCAAGAATCGTGTCCGCTATAATTTGGTTGCCGACAACAATTTTTTTGGAGGCGAGAAGAGAACGGAGAGTATTATGATAATGTCATTTCCTAACATATACAACATCACATTGAAAATATCGTCGTGGCACCTCACACTCCCCCAAACCCGCGTGATAAAAAATCCGTGATATCGCAACCCGGCGCAAACCCAAGGTTGGTCATAAACTGGGTATCAACATCAGCTGTGTCGGCGTACTCAATTGAAGCGAGATCATCTAAAAGAGCGTCGGTTTCGGCAGTGTGCCCGATACTCGCAGAGGGGACGAAAGGATACGATGTGGTAATATCAGGGTGTGTCGAGGTCACTGCAGAGGACGGTTCTCCGCCAAGTGGCAGAGGTATGATCGGGCTGGGGAATGTGGGCTGGTATAAGCCAACTGGATCAGGCGTGAGGAGGGAGTTGTATCCTTCGTTATTCAGGGGTGATTGCTGGTGTGTAGAGATCGGGCCCTCGTAAAGTGATGTTGCAGAATGGCCGGACTGTTTGGTAGCGGAGCTGTTCTCAAGAGTGGAACTAGCAATGGCCGACGACTCTAGCGATCCTGTAGGCGGTTGGGAAATAGAAGGGCGCGTTGGTGGCTTCGAGGGCTTGGAAAAGCATGTTGACAACAGACGTCGCAGCATCTCCCGGTTCTGCTCGCTGCAGTGGAGGACGTAGTTTTCGTTAGCTAGGGAAGCGACGCAGGTGGTGAGGAATGATGGCGTGCTTGATCTTCCGAATATCTGCTGGTACTGAGTGAGTGTGTCGTAGAGCATAAGAAGGGCAGAGTCTCCGTGGGGTTCAGCAAGAGCGCTCGCCCACAAGTAGGCTGCCCGAACCAAATAAGGCGTTGGGACGGAGGCGGTGCCACAAGCCGCCGAAGGAACAAAATTTCCGAATGGAGAGTTGGTGTTGACTGCGTGCTGTAGTTGGCCGAGAAACGCCTCAGGGGCTGCCCTCTGCGCCAGTCCTTGCCTTTTCAATGATTCTTGCTCAGCCACGATCTTGATTATGGAATAAAGTTGGTTGAACGTGCTCAGACGGAATGCAGCACTTCGGTTTGAGTACGACACCATATTTTCGGGCCCGAAACCAACACATGGCGTCCATGGTTCCCACTGATCGGGCCCATTTTCAGACACAAGCTGGACTGCAGAGAGATCTTCCACTCTGAGATGTGGCGGTCGGTTGCATCGAACCGAAAGAATGGTGTCGATTATGAAGCATGACATGAGCGAAAGATCCCTTTTTTGCCCGTCCAAGCTCTGACTGTCACCGTCAGTTACGTTAGGGTCGAGAAGAATGCGGATGGCCGAGCCGACCAAGAGACTAGCAGCGCTGAGGCTATCCTCTCCCAGTTTGAACAGGCTAAGCAATAGCAAAGCGCGAGAATGGTGAACTCGAAAGGGCCCATCCTCTTGTGGCAGGAGACTCCTAGCAATGCCATAAAGTTCCATCGGCAAATACTCGGCCGAGGGTGCATGTTGTGGCAAAGAAGGTTGTGAGGCGGCGGTTTCGTGGACCGCTGCCAATGCTAGCGCAGCCCATAAAGTAGAGTGGACCGCAGAGGAAGGGCTGGTGGGATCGATCATGAGCCCATGATCCGGGTAGGCGTAGGAGGCTTGGAACAAGTCCTGTTTATCCAAAATTGGAAGCCAGGAATGCGTGTAAGAAAAGTAAATGTCGAGTAAGCGCCAATGATTGGCGATGAGCTTAATACGCCTTGGGTGGGTTTGGCGTGTTCCCAGCGACACATTCTCCATCGTGTGTTGTGATGGCTCTGCGTTTGACAACCGTTGAACAAGGTCCACGCCGGGAGAACCCCCAGTGCCTTGGTGAAGCCGCCGCGCCTCTGGCAGGGCCAAATCAACCCCAATGCGAGGCTGAGCGCTGCTGGTTTCGGCATCGCTCGCATCGACCGACAAGGGGAGCCCTTCCTCCTGATGCGCCGCGACTGCCTCACCCGATAATATGCGGTCTATCCCTCTGTGAACTCGACTCCTCCTCCACTTCTTCTGCAAACGATCCGTTCCATCAGAATCTTTCCCCTCCAGAATCGGATGACCCCCGTCACCCCCCTGGGTAAGAAGAGCCCCGAGGGTTTCTTCGCTACCGGGCACCTTCTCAAAGACCCAACCAAGGGCCAACTCAAGGGTACGAATATATCCTGTTTGGACGCCCCGCTTCTTAGGGCTCACCTCGTAAGTACACGGCCGACTCTGCGAGACGCAGGGCTGGCATTGGGGTTGTTTGCCATCGCATCTTTCACGTGCTGCGCGGCACTGGTCACAAGCTCTCGACACCCTTTGCCGTTTGGCGGGCGGGGCCACGGCTGAGGCCGGCACGGGCAACGATTCGGCTGGGTTGAAAGGACCAAGGTCCGAGCTGCTAGGGGTTCCGGCTTCAGCAGGCCGCCGCTTTGGCGGCATTGCAGCGGAGTGATAGAGTCGGCCCTCCGGCACAGTCCTCGCGCCGACACCAATATCACCGGTGTACCATACCCGCCTACCTAGACGGCTGCCTCGAGTCCGAAAAAAGATAAGACCGCGGGGCTAAATTCTCGTTCTCTAGCGACCATAAAATATGAACCCCGTCCGTCGTGTGCGCCGGGCCTAGTCCGCCAGCTCCATCCGCATCGGCTCGTGGGTAACGGTTGGCGAAGCAGTTCACCACTTGGTTCCGATGGGCCCCGTCAATAACCCTGTGATGTGGTGTTTGCGCAGTCGGGTGCGATGGGTGTTGAATGGCGAGTCGTTGCACGCCAAGACGCTGTCCTGGAGTCGAGCTGCCGCGCGTTTAAGCTTGCTGTTTAGGAAAACCCTAGTGCCGATCGGGTGGGGAAATACCGTGTGCTTCACAGTTTGTAGGAAAGGCAATTGACGTCAAGGTAATTGAGTGCTGTTGTGCTGCTATGTGGCTCCTGTGGTCCGCAGCTGCCCCTAGCTTGCTTAGGTGCGTGGAAGTTTCAAGGAAAGGGAGGGAGTCGGAGAGGGGGAAATCGATTAAACGAGTGGAGCTCGCAGGGTGAACAATTATCCTCGCTTGGGAATTGGAGCCTTGTGTTGAGCGTCGCATTTCCTCCCACGCCCCACAAGCTTCTGACCAAACCTTTTACACCTTCGGAACCTCCCCGTAACCCAGCGAATTCCCGTCTGTGCGCCCCCCTTACAACCCGAACGAGACACAAGAAGAAGCATACGGGATTCCAGCTAGAGGTCAGGCAGGACGAGGCGCCAGTTCTGTATTTCTTGTCCCGTCATAGAGCTGCTTGAGGAGCCGCCCCATTTACTTTCACACTGGGCCTCTCTTCTCACCCTGATCCCAGCTGGCTGGGTTGTTGCCCGTCCCGGTCGTTTGCCCAACACCAAAGGGAAGTCGGTCGCAGGACCTAGACAGCCGCTAAGACGGTAGGCCTCGACAAGACACCTCGTCAAGATACGGCAGACATCTCCCCTACACTCTGCTCCCTAGTTTTCTGCCAATTGGCCGCCCTTGGCTGTCACCAGCATAATGCCATCGCCCACCGTTGCTGGCGTCAAGCGCTCCTATGCGAGAATGGCACTCGCTCAGGATGGTCAACCCCAAGGGTCTACACCACCATCTGACCGGCGCGCTTCCCCCGGTCTCTTCCCTGTGAAGGATATAAACTCCGCTTCCTCGTCTACAACCCGTGCGCCGCCGCTATCTTCGACCGGGCCTGCGGTCGCCCGTAAGTTTCTTCCCTGCTCTCTCTTCCCATTATCCTTTATTCCGAACTCCTAGAAAATATCTGTCCTCACGCGCAACCACCGCTAAATAACCCTAGGCCATTCGCCCGCGTATCGATCTCCACCACGCAAGTTGTCTGGTTCCGTAGCTGTCACCTACGATGTAGAGACATCCATCATCATTGCTGGCATCCGCGGCGCGGGTAAGACAACGCTCGCCGTAATTGCCTCTTCTGCCATGGATCGCAACGTGGTTGACCTCGAGATGGTTTTCCGGGAAGTTACTGGCTCTTCTAGTCCGGCGTATAAAAAGTTGCACGGTTCTGCAGCTTGTCAGGCCCGAGAAGTTGATGTTTTGCATGATGTTCTGGAACGGCACCGAAAACATGCGATCATCGTTTGCTCCTGGATCGAGAAGGAGATCCAGTCAGCCCTGGAGCAATTACAAACTACCGTCCCAATCATATACATCCTCCGCGACCCTAAAGCCATCCAAACTCACCTGGGGATCGAGAGCATCCAGAAAACTCGCAATATTCTCGGCGCAACCAGCACTTTCTTCCGGAATTGCACGCGCTATGAGTTTTTTAACGTCTCGGAGGACAGCAGCCTGCCTGACGAATTCGCAACTTCGCGCCTCTCGTCCACAACGGCCGACCCCGATCGGCCAACCGCGCCGTATCTAACACTCAAGCGAGCGGAGAGGCATTTCCTCAAATTTCTATCCCTGGTGCTACCGAGCGGCTCTATTCCTTTTATCGAGTCGGCGTTCCCATTATCCTCGATTCCTATCGAAACCAGACACTTCACCTACGCCATCTCCGTCCCGCTCTCGTCATTCATCCGGGGCGACCTAGACATTCAAGATTTAGAAACGGGCGCCGACGCTATAGAAATTGTCATCGACGACCTCGTTACCGACCACACCGACTACGTATGTTCATCTGGCATCTCCGCCCACCGAGCAGGTGAAATCAGCCGCGTTGTGGCTCAGTTTAGGCGAGATGCCATCATTCCACTCTTCTTGCATGTGGCGTTCCCCGAAGCAGCATTGTCGGATGAATATTGGCAATCAGTTTACATGTCATACGTCCAACACGGCTTAAGGCTAGCTCCAGAGTACATTTCCCTCGACCTAAGACTTGGAACTTCACTGTTGAACGATATCATCGACTGCAAAGGGAGTTGCAAAGTTGTGGGCAATATCCAGTTGGGAGACCCAGACCCGCCAGCATGGGACGACGCTTTTTGGGTTTCCTACTACGAAAAGGCTCAGAGCGGTGGCTGTGATCTCGTAAGATTTACGAGAAACGCAGTGACTGCTACCGAGAATTTGGACGTCCGTCTTGTCCACCGTAACGTCGAATCCGCCCCTGGCCCCAAGCTTCCCCTTATTGCTTTCAACACTGGAATCTTGGGACGAACGTCAGCGTGTTTCAACCGGATACTTACTTCGGTCATGCCAGAAGGGTTGCGAAATAAGCCCTGGGGGCTCTCGCCTTCGGCATCACTCTACCCATCGCTTACGGCCCGGGAGGCAACGCAAGCTTTGTACTCGGCGTTTTACTACCGCCCCTTGAGATTGTACGTGTTTGGGGCAAACGTAAGCTACAGCTTGTCTCCAGCCATGCACAATGCCGCCCTCAAAGCGTGCGGCATTCCACACCAGTACGAGCCACATTCAACGAGCACCATCGCCAGTTTAAAGGAACTTCTCAATGATCCCTGTTTTGCCGGTGCCTCGGTGGGCTTACCTTTCAAGGTCGAAATTATCAGTTTAACCCATTCACTGAGCCGGCATGCCCGGGCCATCGGTGCGGTCAACACTCTGATCCCTGTGCGGGACATCAATGCGGACGGCAGCATCCCCAACGATGCCCTACTATCCAATGGGAGGAACATCGCGGGTCCGGTGAAGGCTCTTTACGGGGAGAATACGGATTGGATCGGTATCCGAGCATGTATCCGCCGTGGCCTTTCGCCGGCCAATGCGGTACGTCCCAGTAGCTGCGGTCTCGTCGTCGGTGCCGGCGGGATGGCCAGGGCAGCTGTGTATGCCATGCTGCAGCTCGGAGTCAAAGATATTCTCATTTTCAACCGGACATCGGCCAACGCTGCGAAGCTTGTCTCCCACTTTGAGACGCTGCTAACGCGGAATGGGCTTCCGTTGTTCAGTACGAGCCCAGCGGCCAAAGAGGCAATGGTGACAAGGTTTCATATCATTCGGTCGCGGGATGACCCTTGGCCTGAAGGTTACAAACGTCCCACCATGATTGTCTCGTGCATACCAACACATGGCATTGGCGGCAACCGATCACCAGATTTTACGGTACCTCCACAATGGCTTGAAAGCCCAACAGGCGGCGTTGTCTTGGAGCTGGAGTACAAGACCTTGAACAGCCCCCTCATGGAACAGGTCCGGAAGGAGGCACATCGTGGGTGGGTAGCAATGGATGGGCTCGATTTGCTTCCAGAGCAAGGCTTTGCCCAGTTTGAGCTCTTCACGGGCCGCCGAGCACCCCGTCGGCTCATGAGGCGAGAGGTCTTCAAGGCGTACCCTGATGCTGGTAGTCTGAATCTGGCACGGTTGGAGCCTCGACTAAACAGCATTTCTACGGAAGAATCTTGAAATAGTGTTTCGATGCTGTCCTTCAGTCTGTACAGCTTGGGTATTCACGGGCGCCAAATTTGACCTTTACTTGTTCGACCGTAGTGCCGTGCGGTTTTCTCAGTGGCATTTAAGGGTGGCCGCCTGAACACGCCAGGTGATGCCAAGTCTTCTGCAGCCCAGGTAGGTATCTGAAGTTTGGCTTTGTGAACGCCTACAGGCACGTAGGGGTATATATTGTCACAGAGCAAGGTATGAACATTCCATCGTCATTGATATCGTCAATCCCGTTGTTAATCGCGTATCAATCCCATTCCCGAACAGACTAACAACGTTATTTCGATCCTTTCTTTTTTTACCAAGATTCCGTAAAGACACTCGGCGGACGGCTAAGATAGAGTTCCTGGATGCAGCTAGAAGTCGATATCACCTGGTGTTTCCGGAGAGTCGTCTGTCGCTGAACACCGCCGTCTTGCTCGGGCCCATCCAGTACCATCGCAGTCCGAGCTCCATCGTCCGGTAGATCTGCCGAGATCATCTACCGCCGTTTTTTCTGAGGCTTGCCACCGGCAGAGTATTCATCCTTGTTACCGGGGAACTTGCCCCAAACGGTTCCCCAAAATGCGGGGATTGGAGAAGTTTCGTGGATCACTTGGTGCTCAAGCACACAAATTTCCTGACATGTGTTTGCAGACCGGAGAGAGCCCGTAGATCGGCAGGAGCAGCGTTTCACGAGAGCATGGCACGCATGGTTCGCCCATCCCAAAAGTGTAGAGAGCTCCACCAAATCTTCCCTTTCCCGGTATCGAGGTGGTGTAATATCTTTCCAATCCCGACCTCTCCACAACTGCCACATGCCTGCCGCGGCTGGGAGCGCGTTCTGTCCTGCGACTAACACCCTTACGGCGATTCCGTAAGGAGGCGAGGGCGGTGACAACCCTAGTTGTACTAACACGGATTCGATTGAAGTTTGTTGTCGCTCGGCTGCTGCGATACCATTACTACCACCCACACAAATACACCCAGGTAGAATGCCACAAGCGACCCCAATTTCCCCGGATTTGACTAAGTTTCTTCCCCGTGGGGCATCTCTCGTGCCACCACCCAACGCTACGGCATGCACGGTGCCGACAAGCAGTTTCCAACAAACAAAACCATGACACTCCTCGCCCTCAAAGAAGACCGCCCGACCCCAAGGGCCGTTTATAACTGGCGCGTCTATGGCTGCGCTGCTGTCGCCTCCTTCGCCTCGTGCATGATCGGCTACGACTCCGCCTTCATCGGCACCACGCTCGCGCTGCCCTCCTTCGCCAGCGAGTTTAGTTTTGCGTCTTATGACCCGGACGCTCTCGCCCTGCTGCAGTCGAATATCGTATCCATATACCAGGCAGGTGCCTTCTTTGGTAGCTTGTTTGCCTATGTGACAAGTCATTTTCTCGGCCGGCGGACGTCGTTGGCGGTGTTTGCGTGTGTGTTCTTGGTTGGGGCTGGTGTGATGCTGGCAGCGAGTGCGGAAAGGGGCCTGGGACCGATTCTAGCGGGGAGGGTGTTGGCGGGCGTTGGGGTAGGGGGCGCGTCGAACATGGTGCCGATTTATATCTCGGAGCTGGCGCCACCCGCTGTCAGGGGGAGACTGGTCGGTATTTATGAACTGGGATGGCAGATTGGGGGGCTGGTTGGGTTCTGGATCAACTATGGTGTCAACACGACGATGCTGCCGACAAGGAGCCAGTGGCTGATCCCTTTCGCGGTCCAGCTGATACCGGGGGGGCTTTTGTTCCTTGGGGTGTTTTGGATCAAGGAGTCGCCGCGGTGGTTGTTTGCAAATGGCCGGAGGGCTGAGGCAATGAAAGTCATGTGCTGGATCCGGAACCTTGAACCGCATGATCAGTACATCCTCGAAGAGGTTGAGCAAATTGATCGGGACATTGAGAGGTTTGAAAGGGAGGTTGGCAAGGGGCTCTGGAAGCCGTTCCTGGCACTCAGGCAGCGCAAAGTCCAGTGGCGCTTTTTCCTAGGCGGGATGCTCTTCCTGCTACAAAACGCTTCCGGTGAGTCATTGACCATTGTTTATTGCAGAAGGTCCCGTATATGATATAATGGCTCTAAACGATCGTAACAGGTATCAACTCGATCAACTATTACAGCCCGACAGTGTTCCGCAGTATCGGTATTGTGGGCATCAACACCGGGTTTCTTACGACGGGCCTCTTCGGCGTTGTCAAGACGGCATTGACGGTCCTTTGGCTGCTTTGGCTTGTGGATCGCGTGGGACGACGCCGCATGCTTTTCATCGGCGCCTTCGGCGGCTCGCTGTGCATGTGGTTTATTGGAGCTTACATCAAAATCGCCAACCCATCATCCAAAGACCAGGACGGAACCAACAGCAGCAGGAGGATGGACGGAGGGGGCATCGCTGCTGTCTTCTTCTTCTACCTCTGGACAGCGTTCTACACCCCGTCATGGAATGGCACACCATGGGTTGTGAACTCGGAAATGTTTGACCAAAACACGCGCTCGTTAGGTCAAGCGTCCGCATCAGCCAACAACTGGTTCTGGAACTTCATCATTTCGCGCTTCACTCCGCAGATGTTTCTCAAGATGGGATACGGCGTATACTTTTTCTTTGCGGCCTTAATGCTGCTCTCGATTATCTTCGTCTACCACTTTCTACCGGAGACTAAATCGATCCCACTCGAGGCAATGGACCGGCTGTTTGAGATTAAGCCCGTTCGGAAGGCGAATCAGGTACTCATGGATGACCTTGCTCAAGGCGGAGGGGCCGGGGCGGCGGAGGATGTGTCATCTTGCGCCGGGGAGAAAACTAGGTCAGATCATTTGGAGGGGACAGCGAGGGTCTGATGATGTGTGGTATGGGGCGACTGTATTTCCCAGTTCGACATTATGCTAATCGCTGAGTTCAACTTGGCAACGGAATTGTATGTCCTAATATGGAGAGCAAGCCTCTGAACCAATATTGGCGCTGGATAATGAGTTGTTTGACATTTAAGCTCATCTTTGGTTGACACTGACGCGGGATATCCATGCTCAGTGATATATTCGTCCCAGGTATATAAAATCAAGGAGTTCCATGAGATAACACAGAAATGCCCTCGGAACTTCATGGCCCGCCACATATGTGACGAACCGCGGGTCCAGACTTGTATACTCCGCGACGATGGCCTTGCGGGAATATCGACATAAATATACCAATTTATTGAGCCCCTGAAGCGCTGATCGCTATGGCCTCGAAATCTCTATAACCTTCGCAGCAATCGCCTTCTTCACTTCCGTGACTGGAAGTTCATCCGCACCGCGGCCAGTCCAATATTTGTCCTAAGGTACCAATGTCAGCACACGTGTAGAAAGGAGGGAAATCAGATAGATGGGACAACCGACCTGCTCAATACCTTGCCAGATCATGGCCTCTGTCCCCAAGATAACCTGCCACCCCTCCGACTCCGCCAGGGCACCTAATGCCGTAAAAGGCGAAGGGTTATAACACATCTCCAACAGCGCCCCTTTCCGCTCTTTCCGCAGCATAACCTCTGTGATTCTCTTGAGGGTTTGTTCACCTTCGGTCACTGGTGCCCGGTCCGGGATGCACGCCACGATCGCTCCAGGTGCTTCAAGCGCCTCAGCCTGCTCGGGTGTCTTCACATATAAGAGACGAGCGCCATAGGACCGCTCCTTGCACTCGGCCACGATGGCCTCGATTTCACTGTCGTCACGACTAGCGAGATAGATCTGAGTAGCGCCGAGCCATTTATGCAGGGCGTATATGGCAGACCGGGCGGCACCGCCGCCGCCAATGACCATAGCTGGGCGGTTCTCGTAGACGGATGAGCCAACCGGGACGTTTTGGATAAAGGACTCGCGGATACCGACGACGTCAGTGTTGGCACCACAGAATAGACGACGGCCGTCCGGAAGGTGGCGGAGGAATAGTGTGTTGCATGCTCCCACCTCGCGGCATTCCTCTGTCAGCTCATCCAATCGGCTGAGGATGGTAACCTTATGTGGCATGGTGACGGATGCCCCTGCGGTGAACTGGTGAGTATCTAGGTGTAGTCTATGGATTGTTCTTCAAGGCGTACCATAAAATTTTGGGTGTTTTATGAGCTGCAGGAAAAGGTCCATGTCGGTGGAATCGAGACGTATTTGCCCCCATTGCAGACCCAACCCCTGGTAGACAACGGAGTGCAACAGCGGTGACATTGACGCTGCGAGTCCTTTCCCGAATAAGAAACCATGTTTGTCAAGCCGTTGGATGTGGGCGTCGAGGGCGATGGCTAACCCCCCCTGCTTCTCCTGCTGTTCACGAGGCGTCACGATCGGTGTCATCTTATCTATCCAATGTCCCTGATCCTGGGTATTGTCAAAAGCCAGGACGAAAGCTCTTAAGGGGTTGTAGTGAAGGATACGTTGCTGGAAACTGTAGCACAAGAACGGGGGGTTGAGGCAAAGATAAGTAAATTTAAGTGGTTACCTAGATGTTGATAAGGTAGTGAGATTCAACCCAAGAGCCGTGTTATTAAAAAGATACTTACTGTGACGTCTCCGGGAAAACTGCATCTAGCGGAGCCGCCAAAACGGGGAAATGACAAGAAAGGAGAGAAGTAGTAAGTAAAAGAGACCGGGAAGAAGACGGTGGGGATAATGGGGGAGGGACAGGACAAACGAGAGGAGGGGTTGTTAACTAGATGAGAACTATAAAAGGAGTAACGGAGCAAGGACTATTGTGCCGGTATATCCAATACATACAAGGAAGTCCTGACGGCCGAAGACCTGCTTTGAGGATATCTTGATAACCCTTGGGAAACCTCTCCTGGTTAAACATTTAACCAAGGCCCCAATGGCTCTCCATATTGGGATGCCGGTGGAGTAACAAAACAGAGTCCCGTTAATTACATACATGGATGGATGCATTTAAACTGACGACCAGCTGCATCATCACATTTCACATTTCAAGCCTGCCTTCTCCCCTTTTGCGGCTTCCTTTGTTCTTCCCTTTTCTCAGTTTCTCAGCCCAATCGCCCCACAACGCTCGCTTATCTTCGGTCATGGCTTGCGATCAGCCCGCCTCGTGCCCAGCTGCACGGAGCATTCCGGGATAACGTGACCGGATTTGAAATTTGGCCCAATCTATCCCAGTTAAAAACAATTTTGACAGACGACACGGGCCAAAATGTCCACACCGCTCCCTGCTCCCATTCCGCCATTTCGTAGGTCACGGGATGAGGCGGAAGATTTCAAGGATTCCCAGACCAGAAAATGAGGCGGTGATACCAAGGAGCTTTCGTCTCGCCGACCCGGGGCTCTGGATGATCTGCCCCCTGATTCCAAGACAACGTTAGCTCGCCCAAAACAGCGCTCAGGAAAAGAACACGCGAAACCTTTTCGTTGGGGTCTAGGCTACACTATTGAAACGATGTTGGCTCGGACGCCAAATGCGCCGCTGGGTCTGGCTCACGTACCCGCCAGGTTGGATGCCTCTCGAGGGCTGCAGGGGGGTTGATTTCTATCAAGAAGGAAAAGCAACAACTCACATCTGGCACCTGGTTTGGTACGGGATTATTCAGACACCCACCTACGGATTTTGAACAAAGAAGCTGAGGGGCAAAAATCAGTCATGAAAGTCATTGAACAATGCTGTTGGTCAAGGTACTAATACTTCTGTGTTCGCCTTTTGTTTTTTTTGTCAGGACCTTCTTTCCAAGAGGGTTGTATCGGTTCTGTTGCGGTGCTTCCTTCCCTTTTTCGTCCCTGCCGTTGTCGTCTATTTCGGCCTCCTGACAGGCATCTGAGAAAATTTCGTACGCACGTTTTACACACACCCTCCCCCCCAGTATCCCTCATCCTGACTTACCTAGGCCCGCCACATGACCGAGTAGGATATTAACCTCCGCCAGCCCTAGAAATACTTTCGTCCCTCGTCAAAATTTATCTCAGCCTCCCTAAAACGATCTCACCCTCATCAACCACCTCAAACTCACTTCTGTTTCCGACTGAGATTCATCCTGAAAATCTGGCCGTTCTCTCCGATCAAGCGAGCCGCCATGTCATATAAACTCGCTATTACATCCATGTCGCTCGGCCGGTGTTATGCCGGCCACTCTTTTACCGCCAAGATGGATGCCGCCTACAAGTACGGCTATCAGGGCATCGAGCTCTTCCATGAGGACCTGGCCGATGTTGCGGATAGCTTGTCCAATGAGCCTCCGTCTCCCGCCGGCCCGTCCCAGCAGGCCCAGATTAGAGCCGCCCGCCACATCCTACAAGTCTGCCAGGCCCGGAACATCGAAATTCTCTGCCTCCAGCCCTTCAGTCACTACGACGGTTTGCTCGACCGCAAGGAGCACGCACGTCGCCTCGACCAGCTCAAATTCTGGTTCCGCCTCGCCCGTGAGCTCAAGACCGACATCATCCAGATCCCAGCCAGCTTTCTCCCCGCCAGCCAGGTGACCAGCGACATCAACCTGATTGTCTCAGACCTACGTAAAGTGGCTGATATGGGGCTCGACGCCAACCCGCCCATTCGCTTTGCCTACGAGAGCCTCTGCTGGAGTACCCGTATCAACACGTGGGAGAAATGTTGGGATGTCGTGCAGCGTGTCGATCGCCCCAATTTCGGCATATGCCTTGACACCTTCAACATTGCCGGCCGCATCTACGCCGACCCGACTCGCGCGTCAGGCAGGACCATTGGGGCGGAGGATCAAGTGCGCAGGTCGATCGCCCGTTTGCTCAAAACGGTCGATGTCAAGAAGGTTTTCTACGTCCAGGTCGTTGACGCCGAACGCCTAAGAAACCCATTGCTACCCGGTCATGCATTCTACAACTCGGAGCAGCCAGCCCGGATGAGCTGGTCACGCAACTGCCGGCTCTTTTACGGCGAACAAGACCGCGGCGCCTACCTCCCCGTCAAGGAACTTTCCCATGCGCTTTTTCACGGCCTTGGCTTCGAGGGTTGGGTCAGCCTTGAGCTTTTCAATCGCCGCATGGCCGACGAGGGCCCTGAGGTGCCCGAGGAGCTGGCCAGGAGGGGCGCGGAGTCGTGGGCCAAGCTACAGAAGGACATGAAGTTTGACAAGCGCCAGAGCGTTGTGGAGAGGGTATATGCGTCGCTGTAGAATGCGGCATGCTACTTTTACTTTCCCCGGCGTTAAAATTTTAGAGGGCAGGGTAATCTGTATCTGTACTGCAACTGGGATTGGTAGACTGTCACTGGCCATGGGATCGGGATGGGATTCATTTTATGTGGCGTTATAATAGAAGGAGACCGGCAGCGGCTTCGATGATTAGCTGATGCCGGCCATGGAGATTATTGTGACGACTAGTTAGACTACTAATAGCTAATACAAGAAACGAATTAGCGAAGCGACTTTGCGTCCCGGCCGCGTCTAACAGCCACCGTTCCCGCAAACCCGAAAATACTCATAGTCGGGGACCCCATGACATTGATTGGAGTCAAACGGAAAGGATAAAACCTGGAAGCGCGGAATGCTCAGTCCCAGCCTAAATATCACTTCTCCCGGATGGGTATCTTCCATGCGATGTTTACTCTCAGGGGTAACTCAGCAGGACTTCAGACCATGTTTCATCTGTACCTGGGGAGCAACACAAGGGGAAACCTGAACACAAGGCTGGTCTTCACACTCCCTTTCATCGCATGATTTGAGCTTGTAGCTTTGAGATCAGGGGCATCTTACCAACAGTCCCCTGACTTCCTTAAGGATCGAAGTGGGGTTCCCTTGCTTCATTTTCTCATTTCGTCACATCCAATAAACTAGCGAGTGTTCCCATAGTTACAAGCTAACCAACGCTGTTCAACATTGAACTTCATGTCATTCTCCATACTCTCGTGTCCTCCCGTCAATCACCACCGGCCAACCATATGCACGTTAAGTTTGCGGCCGAAGCATACACAGCCTCCAAGGGCTCATAAACTAAATCAGGAGAGGAAGCACAATCGAGCTGATGTGAGTGCCATTGTTCGTATTGTTAATGGATTCCGTTTCGACGACAGGCGAGTGACCTCAGCAGGTTTGCCAACTGTGCGTCCCGTGGGGGTACTACTCCTCACAAGCTAGGAGGGGCGATGCGGCAGTGCGGGGAATGTAAGCCCCTTACGATCTAAGTCCAGGAGTCGGGGCTGTCGAGGTAACGGCCAGCCGGACGCATTCCACGTTACGCACCATGTGTAACGGGAACCTTAGTCTAACCCGGGAAAGGCCACGTTCCGCCCGGCACCACCACCACCTTTGCCCTTCTTGCGCTTTTTCTTGGACTGTTGTTGCCTCGCGCCTTCGTTATCGCTGTCGCTATCGTCCCCATCGGAATCTTCATCGCTATCTACTGACCTCTTGATACCGGAAACCGTCTCGCCAAGTTCCTCATCGTCCTCGAGACCCTCAACTCCGGATTCCGCCCAAACCTTGACCACCCGACCGCCGCCGCTTATCAGGCGATTTTGGTAGTCAAACGTCAGAGCAGCGACGCCTTCGATTTCGTCGTGTTTCAACACAGTCTGCAACTCGCGCTGTTTGAGGTCCACAACAGCTATACTGCCGTCACCAACGCCCACCATCACCTGCTTCCCCAACCCGAGCTCGTCGGGCACACGGACGATGGCGTCCAGGCTGTCACCATCCCGTTTGTTCTTCCCGCCTGCAATGTAGATGCGCTCTTGTTGATCATCCCACGCCCCACGGTCCCAAAGCGTCAGTACACCACCGCCGGTGCCGACCGCGACAACAGCGTTGCTGCGCATGCGCTTAGGGCCCAACCCTGTCGGGATAATGGTGGAGCACAGCAGCTCGTCCTCTTGGTCCTCCGATGTTGCGACGATCCCGGCGCGGAGATCGGTCACGGCAAGGGTGGTGCCACCGGTGGATACCCACTGTTTAGAGAAGCCGGATGTGCTCTCGGCGGAGGCGGGTAGTGGTGTGATACTCGAGATGTAATCGGCGTGCGGCACGTGTTTACGGACCGGCCTGGGGTTCAGGATACCATTCTCCCGGAGATCGAAGATGTAAAGGCCGCCCGAGTCTGTGCCGAGAAGCAGTGTTTGGGGGGAAAGATTGTGGATGATGGCCGGGCAGTCGGTGGCGCTTGTCGCGCTGTTGCGGGGAGGCAAGCCGATCTTGGACACGACAATGCCGGTCTCGGGGGAGAAATGCTTGACGACCGAGTCGGTTCCGGCTGAGTAAAGTGCTAGATTAGTAGTCATATGTCAGTAATTCCGTATGTCGTGCGATTAGCGGAAGGGTCGTGTTCCCTTCCGCGCCATGTTTGTCCCCTAACCAACCTTCTCCATCGTGGCTATAAGCCAGGTACCGGCAGCTTCCCTTGTGTCGATGGGTGCTCCATACACTTTTGATTAACCCCTTGCCGCTCGTGGAGCTACTGCTGTCACCGTTGCCGTCGTCATCCTCGCTCGGTAGCCGGAACGTTTCGACACGACCACTTGACAGGCCGACGGTCAACAGTGGCTTGGAGGGATGCAGCACCTGTGTGAACAGATCCGCCGACAGCGGCAGGGTGCAGAGGTTCTCAAACATGGCTGTAGTCTCTCAGTTCATTGTCGCCAAACTCCAATTCCTCAATTGGTATTGAGGAAGTAAAAGGGCTGGTGCAAGTGTCCTTGGTCAATGTTGAAGTTTGATGGGCCAATCGGCAAAAACTTGAGCTCGAAGCGTCAAAGCTTTCCTACACTCAGGGCCTAGAGCGCCGCTCCACCGTGTGTACACAGTGTTTGTATTTAACACACGCTATACTTTCCCGGTTAGGTACTATGTAAACACCTCCAGCCATTGATGCAAGCTCACCCGCCCCTCGACACCTGCACGAGAGCCATCAGATGTCTTAGGTAGCGAGCGGGCTGTCCGGCTTAGACCTATCTGATCACCATCCTTTCGATGGGAATGCGGTTGGTAAACGTAACCACTTTGCCTTCCACAACCGTTTTCCGTTGCATTTCCCCGAGTTACGCTTCTCAGTCTTTTGGCATCACCGAAGTGCACGTTTGAGTCTAGCAACACCGAATACCTTGAATTGAAATCCATGAAAATGGTGCCAAAGCTATCGGTGCAATCGCTGTCGCTACTCTTGTTCTCGGTCGGCATGGCTCTAAACATGACAGCAAAGCAAGACTTGCGTTGTATCATGTACTTCACGGGGTAATCAGCAGTTTTCCTCCTCGCGTTTAATGAGATCGTCGTCCGGAGTCCGCATCCTTGCTAACCCGCCCATCTCACTGTAGCCAGCACCCAGTGGCCCCATCTATAGACCAGCTTCAACACGTCACTCATGTCGCCATAGCCTTCATGAGCCCAGGCTTCTTCAATGAGCCTGGGAGGACAGATTGGCCTCTGTTCACTACCGTCACAGATGTCCGATCCAAGTTTCCAAAAGGAACCAAGGTCCAGGTGGCCATTGGCGGTTGGGGGGACACAGCTGGCTTCTCTGCCGCCGCACTGAACGACACAACGCGCCGGACGTTCGCCGAGAACGTGGCCAGCATGGTTGCGGCGACAGGCGCGGATGGAATTGATGTTGACTGGGAGTATCCCGGGTAAGCATGATCTCTTAGAGTGGGTGGTCCCTACGAGAGAGACCGTCACTAATATCTGCCCTAGTGGTAACGGCGAAGACTACAAGCAGGTCCCCAACTCGGCCAAGGCCTGGGAAATCGACGCTTATCCCCTGCTCCTCGGAGAGCTGCGTGGAGCTCTCGGGCCAAACAAGATTATTTCGGCCGCCGTCCCAGGGCTTCAACGAGACATGCTTGCGTTCACTCGTCTGACCGTTCCCCGGATTATGCGTCATGTGGACTATTTGAATGTGATGACATACGATCTCATGAACCGCCGCGACACCGTCACCAAGCATCATACCGGCGTTGCGTTGAGCCTCGAAGCCGTTGATGCCTACATCTCAGCCGGTGCGGCTCCGCAGAAGCTGAATCTGGGGTTTGCCTTTTACATCAAGTACTTCAAAACGGTCCATGATGAGTGTGCGCTCGCGTCCCCCATCGGATGCCCTACACTGCAGCTCGAGGACCCGGCCACGGGCAAGGATCTTGGCCGCAGTGGCGGGTTTTCATGGCATGATCCCATCCCGGACGAGGTCGCCGAGTCGTTCACCAAAGCAGTCAATTTCGGGGTCTACGACGAGGACCAAGGAGGTTACTATTACTGGGATGCCGCAGAAGATCTCTGGTGGACATTTGATACGCCAGACGCCATCAAGCGCAAATTCCCTGCGATCTTAGGCCAAAGACGTCTGGGTGGGGTGTTTGCCTGGGGTCTGGGCGAGGATGCGCCCCTATTCAAGCACTTTATAACCCTCAGTAATGAATTCGAAGGTCGGCTCCACGAAAGGAAAGATGAATTGTGAGTATGAGCAAAATCAAGCCTGGTACAGCATACTCGATTTGGGGGGGCCCGAGGGGGGGAGATCGGGGGAAGCAAAGAACGTTTGTTGACCAACTGAGTTTGGGTGAACTAGATATGCTTTCACCCCATAACTTGCCGATATCATCAAAAGGGACCACTTCTTAGTTGCCACTTTCTAGGCGAGCTTTTGATATGCCCCAGGAGGATGCTAAGCTCAGATGGAGCTATCAAACGGACGGCCCTCAAATATGGCGCCTTTCAAGCCAATATTCGAAGGTTTAGGGGAAGGAAAATTCCGGTCGATATCCGTACTACCTACTTAGTTAACGAATGCCCCGGAGCTCCCGTACCTACAAATCGAACATGGAACATCGTCGCCCCAGTCCTACATAGCCAATCAATTAGCTTACACAAGGCGGCGGGTACTAAGGGACTCCCTGCAAGTCTATGTGAAATCAATTTACCCATGGTATTGTTCACCGGCTCATAATGTCCAACCCATCCAGTTGTAACGCGTGGGTGTTTGAGCACGGCAGCGTTGTTCACTAATCCACTCTGCACACAACCTCAACGCTGACCAATGGAGGCACCAAATGCTGACTGAGCGACAAAGAATACTTCCCGCACGGGGAAACAAATAAGCACCCCAGGCGCAACGACGCCACTGCATTTGGAATCAGTCATAGATGTGTACGAAGGGCGTAGGATTTGGACGACATGTCAATGAAGGGCGGCGGATTATCATGTTGCTCAACGACGGTGAGCATGTAGACGTTGAGAATATAAGAAGTTGTGGTTGAACTCCATGTCGAGGAGGTTTCAGCACCATCTTAAGCAGCATCTCGCAGTTTGTGTGTTACTCTTCGGATCGGTGACTGTACTCACGAACAAGCCCCCCTTTCTAACAATATACAAAACCTGCTGTGTTGACGCTCGCAACTTCACACCGTCTTCTAATTTGCAGAGCCCCACGACAACATCACCATGTCGGCCAACACTCCAACGATCCGGGTTGCGACCGTCAAAGCCGACGGCGTCAATGTCTTCTTTCGTGCCGCCGGCTCTTTCGATGCGCCCACTGTGGTGCTACTTCACGGTTTCCCTTCCTCATCGCATATGTTTCGCAACCTAATCCCCATCCTCGCTACCCGCTACCGTGTCATCGCACCCGACCTTCCCGGGTTCGGCTTCACCACCGTCCCGGAGGAGCGCAACTACCAGTACACCTTTGCCAACCTCACCCAGACATTCACTGCCTTTGTGGACGCCCTGTCCTTGACACGTTTCGCGGTGTACATCTTCGACTACGGCGCACCGACTGCCTTCCGTTTCGCCCTAGAGCGGCCCGATGCCATCGCTGCTATCATCTCCCAGAACGGCAATGCCTACGAGGCGGGACTGGGTCAGCCATTCTGGAGCCAGATCCAAAAGCTCTGGATCCCCGAGGGAGCGCGCAAGGAGGACCGGGAGGCGCTGCGAGGTCTGCTCGAGTTGGGCGCAACCCAGTGGCAGTACCAGAACGGCTCTCCACACCCGGACGACATCCCGCCCGAGGCATACTATCTGGACCAGGCGCTCATGGACCGACCAGGCAACAAGGATGTGCAACTTGACCTGTTTGAGAGCTATGGTTCGAATGTGGCGCTATACCCGCGGTTCCAAAAGTATCTAAGGTCGTCGCGTGTGCCTGTTCTCACGGCTTGGGGTAAGGCGGACGAGATCTTTGTCCCGGCCGGTGCAGAGGCTTTCAAGAAGGATGTCAAGACGCTGGAGACACACTGGTTAGATGCCGGGCACTTTGCGCTGGAGACCAATGAGACGCAGGTTGCGGAGTGGATATTCGGATTCTTTGATAAGTACCGGGTGTTTGCCGCTTGATCGCGAGGCGAAAGCTTCATCTTGATAATGAGCGAGCATTAACTAGGGTGAGATCGTGGGCGTTGAGAGAGGAGTGGTCAGCAGTGGGAGGGGGGAAAAGAAATCGATAACCGGACGAGAATATGTTAAGGAAAGCAAATTTTAGCTGAACCCGCGTTCCGCCCGTGCCTGCTTCAATGTACACAATACCAGCGATACTCTACCAATTCCTTAAACGCCCCAAACACCATACCATGCAACCTCAAGGATCGCCCCCAACCCCCCAAATAAGCTGCGGGAAGCGGGCCTCCCAGAATGACGCCCGTCGCTAAACTCGCCATTGGTAGCCTAAAACGCAACGCCCGCGGGCAAGGAAAAAAACGCTGGTGGCTGCTTGTACACATGCACTAAAGCGGGCTTATGGAGGAAAGAAGGCGTGCTTCGTGGTCGCCCCAAATAGAGCCGTCTGTCTTTAAATCGATATGGTAACCATCCTCGTGAGTTCTCACACGTCCTTCAGAATGAGGGAGTCCGTGGGTTTGACCCGTTGTGCCCATTCGCTATGTACATCTTGTTAGCGAACATCATTTCCTCGGGATCAGGTTCTCGTTATAGAGAGTTACTCACGTCCAACTCCCGTCGTAAACCTTCCTCTTCGCTGGTGAGCCAATGTTGGCTTCATTTAGTGCTGTTTCGATCACACAAGCGGTGACACCGGTTCCACAGCTGGAAATGATGGGCTTCTCCGGATCTACACCTTTCTTCGTAAATACCTCCCTTAGTTTGTCCACGGGGAGGAAAGCCTTGGTTTCAGGGTCAAGGACAGTGTCAAACGGGATATTGATCGAGCTTGGTAGGTGTCCTGAGGATAGCCCGGGCCGTGGCTCGGGGTCCTTGCCGGAGAAGCGCCCAGCGGACCTGGCATCAAGAACCTGAACACCTTCGGCGCCTTCCTTGTTGTGGTCCTGCGCAACCTCCAGCACATCCTCAAATTGGGCGACCTTGGACTCGTCCATCTCCGGGATGGGATATGTGCCGCACTCAACAGTCCACACATTGCCAGATTCTGTTGGGAGGCCTTGTTCTACCCACAGTCGAAAGTTGTTGAGAATATGGACCTTGGGGTGGCCAAAGACCCTCATAGTCCAGCCGACGCGGGGTGCACTGAAGATGCCGAGTTCGTGGCTGTCGTAGACTACAACAGTATCCTCGTGACGGATGCCGAGCTCGCTCATGGCCTCGGCGAAATTCTTCGAGTTGGGAAGCATGTGGGGGTATGGGCTGCGCTTATCGATCACTTTGTCCAGGTCGAAGAACCGGGCCTTGGGGATGCGCTTCTCGCGAAAAGTCTGGATGCCGGTGCGGCCTTGCGGGTCGTTTGGGAGAAACCATGAGGCGCAGAGCGGGATTATGCGGGGCTCGGAGGTGATGGGCGACGGTGGGCTCTTTTTCAGGGCTTCGGCGAGCTCGTGCGGAGCGACGAGGTAGTGAGAGAAGGACCGGCGGGCCCTAAATATAGGGGCGGCTGTGAGACGGGTTGCGCATCTCCAAGAGGCATCACCGCGACCGAGCGGCGTGCGCAGTGGGCGGAGAACAGAAAAAGACGCCATAGTTGGTGGGCTGAGGTCTTGCACCGTTGCTCTTTGGCCCCTTGTGATTTTCTTGGTGAATTTGACCCTTGCCCGCAATCAACGGAGCTCCAGAGCCCTCTTCAATTTTAAATTGGGCGCTGAGTGACAGCCTCGACTGGGCGTGGGTGGGCGTTACTGTCGATCACCTTTCTCCATCGAAATGTGAATAGCCCACGCAAAGTTTGAGATTGTTATTTGGTGGTGAGGGGGGCCGTACAATCAGTAGGAGTGATGCCGCAGGCTTTGGAGCTTGGGCCACCCCATCGTCTGGTTCCAGCTTAGCACTAATTTGCCCCACTAACGTTATCCTGGGCAGTCTGCCCAGACTTCCTCTTCCATTGATACACCTGTCGCGGGCGCACCCCGATAGCTTCCACATTTGGGGGGGAATGAACATATGAGAAAGAGGTAGGCAGGCGGGCCTGTAAGAGCGACTGAACAACAAACAGACAAGCTCCAACCTTGCTAAAAACGACATGCATAAAGGTAGCAAACAACCACACATCCTGTATTCCCGTCTCATCAGCACACAACATGAAAGTCAAGATCACCAAGTGGAATGCCGTCGCGACTTGGCGTTGGAACATTCCTGAAGACGATGTTTGTGGCATTTGCCAGGTACACTTTGACGGAACGTGTCCAACCTGCAAATACCCCGGCGATAGCTGCCCACTCCGTGAGCACCCTAACCTAGGAGGGCTTGACCCCGCCGCTCTGCTTTTGCGCAAATGTACTGATCGATCAAACACATAGTATCTGGAAAATGCGGGCATAATTTTCATATGGTTTGTCGTTACACTGCTGCTTAAGGGGGTGCTCGCCGCGTTGCTAACCAATGGACTATAGCATTGTATTCTAGAGTGGATAAAACAGGACTCAGCCAAGGGCCAATGTCCAATGTGTCGGCAGAGTAAGTCTCGACGGCTTCTCCGCTATCTAGTTGTTTTGACTAAAGCTCTGCCCCAGGGTTTGAATGGACCGAGCAGCCAAATGAGACCTCACTGGACACAACATCGGGGGTCGCTGGGGCGTAGGATTGAGATTACACCGTGGGTGTATAGCAGAAACTGGAGGCAAGCTCGATACGGGGTATGGGACGCGTGGCTATGCCCGTAAGCCACAGTAAACAAACACCGTTAACTAACTGATAAACCATGGAGGATGCCAAATTCCGTGCTTTATTAAAGAGGGACTTGCTGGAACCCTTGTCTGTGCATCGAGTACATGTATGTATGTACCTCAGAGATAAGATAAGCATCTCGAGCACGCGGCCCTTCCGCGTAGCCGACTTCCACTCCATGCAAGGCTGAATACCTACCTACCTGGACTCCCTCTCCCAACCCCGCCCTCTTGGTAAACACATCTTGTATTTACCGCTCGCCCGGGATTTCATCGCAGGGCGTATCGTAATTTCTGGCAGCGCCGTTGTGCTCAACCTACAATTTACTATCGCAGGCCACACTGCCTCAGCATAACCCGACTAGCGTTTCCGTAATCTCGGCCTTCTGTGACCACCGCGAAGGTCCCAGCAGCAATGACCGATATAAACCCCGACCTCGACCGTCCCGAATCACAGGGTTACCGCGCCTCCCCAGTCCCCCCAAGTCCACGTCCATCAGTAGCCAGCCGAGCGAGCGGGTCCAGCCTTCGACGTGATCAGGAGCGCCAGGATGCCATAGCACCCCACATCAGACCGACGTCTGTGACTTATTCCCGACCCGAGACTCCCCAGAAACTCGCCGCGCAGCCTGTTGATGGACCTCCAGTACAACCTTCACAACAAGCGCAACAACAGAAGCACCACCCACAGCAACCACAACCCTTCGCACCCGTCTTCGCTCTCCTTGACTCGGTCTCGCATTCATCGAAGCGGCAAACCGTCCATTACCCAACAGTTCACTATATCTTCGCCGACGACGACCCCGGTATCCTTTCTGCCGCGCTCGCACGACATCACAACGGTAGTAACAGTAGTGGCGGTGGTAGTGGCGGGAGTGGCAGCGGGGACAGCGTTGGTGGATATGATGACACAGGAGTCCAAGGAGGCGGCGGCAGTAGGCCCGCTGACCGAGGTGTGATCCTCGATATGGAACCAAGCCCCGACGGCTTAGGGTACGAGGTAAAGTGGGCGAGTAGCCTGACGCCAGATTGGGCTGTCACGTCGGCTCAGGTTAGCCAGATAGAAGGCGATGCCGGCGGTGGAGGCCGTGGCGGCGTTGGGGTGACGGGGCTAGGGGGGAACCTTGTGCTTAGAGTTGAAGGTGTAAGCCTGGAGCCTGAATCGTCCTCTGGTTTGCCAGTCAAGGCGTCAACGTCGGAGGTGGATCTGCAGGGTTTCGGCGTGAGCTTGAGGCGAGAGCTACAGCAACACCGGGACGGGGCAACGCCCGGAGGGTACACGGGTTTGCTGAATGAATTTGAGAAGGGCATGTCGACGCTGCGGAAAGTAGTTGAAGCGGCTACAGCTAGGCAGCGAGTGTTGGGCGATGGCGATGGGCAGTTTTTGGAGGGTACGAAGAGAGGGACGGTACACCGTCCTCCAGCCGAGAGTGAGGCTGAAGGCGGGAGACTGAGGGATGGAAGGCTTGAAGGGGTGTAAGAAACCATATTTAATTCGTTGATTAGCTTGGCCATGTCAGCTGAGTGATTCGTATCTCAAATTACCTATTGAGATAGGATTTGAGCTGGGTCCGGGGCATTTTTCCATGATACTTTAGGCGTAATCAAAGGGGAAGGCGATTCAAATCGGCTAGTATTCGCATGAGCCTCGGGGCGGATTTGGCAAAAGCGCCAGACGTGGAAATGGTTATATAGCGGACAGCGTGAAGTGTATTATGAACGCCCGAACACAATGGAAAATGGAGGGATAAATCCAAAGCTATTTCCCGCCCGATCCACCAACGCCGCTGATATCTTAAAACGACCCGCCATGCTGATATGTGGTTCCGCGTGAGGAACAGAAGAACCGAGGAGATATAAAAAACGACCAAAATGGGCTACCCAAAGACTCACCTCCCGAGCTGATTACCCATCATCTCCGGGAAATCCATGTCCACAGAGCATAGCTACCTACTCCTAGTATATCAAAATGTCCGCCCCCACCTTTCAATCGTTAGACTGTACGTCGTCGGGCCGTTGCCAATCAACCACAAACCGCTTCTTAGCCGCAGCCTCAGCTTCACGGTTGCTGAGCCCCCTCCTTCCAGCAAACCGGTTAGAAGGGATGATGTCGGAATGAATCTTGGGGGCGCGAGCGGTGTTCATTTGGAGATCGGCAAGGAGGTTTCGCTGTAAGACACCGCGCTTTTGGCCTGCTGTGCTGCCGGTGTTGCTCGTATCAGTCCCGGTACCAGTATTTGTGCCGGCGTTGGAGCCAGAATTGCTGTTGGTACCATCGGTGTTTCCATTGGTGCCGCCGTTTGTGTTGCCGTTGTTGTTATTGTTGCCACCACCACCGCCACTTGCAGCGCGGTTGACCAGGATGTAGGCGACGACAGCAATCACGATGATGAGAACAATGGTAACTAGAATGTCAAGTTAGACCACACAGTCGGCTTTACCCAATTCCTAGCCACAACGTACCACATATGCCCAAGCAGATCCACTTCTTTTTCCGAGTCGACCTCGCCGTTGCCACCGTGGTCTCAAGCTCCGTGTTCGCCTTGACCATTTCTTCGGCGGCAGATTCGGCATGCGCGTCAATAGCCATGACCGTCACCTCCTGCTTGGTTAAAAGCTCCTGCATGTCGTCGAGCAGGTTCAGAAGCTCCATTAACTTCTTCTCAATCGCCAGCATGTCCTGGTGGCGCTGCTTAACGGCCCCGAGCACGCGGTTGGCGTGTTCCGCCCTGCTGCCCATGACCGCTTGCTGAAAAACGGGGGCTTCATTGTCGACCATTTGAGCGATTTCGGCGTCGGTGGCATCAGGGTGTACAATCCGCGCCTGGCGTTCCGCTTGAGCGTGTAGTTCCTTCCGGGATGCAGCCTCGAGCTCCTGGAACCTCTGAATCGCTCTGCGAAGGTCTCGGTCCGTCTTGTTGACCTGGGCAACATTTCGCGGTTGGCGGCTATCGGGATTCGACTTGACCTTCTTCAGCCGATCTGTTAAGGCCCTGTACTGGTCCATGATAGCCTGCGTCAGGTTGTCCAGCTCGCGCTTCGTGTTGGAACCCCCTGAGGTATCGGCATCGTCCAAGGCCCTTCTCTGGAGCCCGGAAAGCGCCCCAAGCTTGTTCTCAACATCCTGGATTCCGTTTTGGATGTCAATGCATTCGTCGAGAATCGAGTTTTGGTTTTGCGCTCTAGGGGCTGTAAAAAGAATATGATCAGCATCCCTCGATGACGGTCACGATGACAACGACAGGTTGGCAGCTTACACCCATAGCCCTGCTGCGGCGAATTTCCGTAACCCGGGGCCCGAGGCGAGTTCCCTTGGCCAAAAGATGACAGCTCATGATTCCCACCTAATAGCATGCCCAAATTAGAGATCACATTGACCTCACGTAGCAAGATGTTATCACCCGGGCTCACCTCCATACTGCAGAGCGTTTCGGTCATCAAAGGGATCTGACCCGTACCCACTGAACAAACTTGTTAGCAAATGTCGGTGCACGGCGCTGTGCTCTTGCAGACGGTGATGTGAAGAGATGAAATGAAAATATTTACATACCCGCCACGGCCGCCGCCGCCGCCATTGTCGCTGTAGGGGCTATACCCGCCGTACTAGAGGCGAGTCAGTCGCTTTGGTCCAAGGGGGAAAAGGGCATGGCACCGCAAGCCAAGCGGTCCTTCGGGCCCACACTCACGCTCATCTTGGGTTGTCAAACGACGCCGCGAGAGCAAATAGGAGTATATGTGGATAGACGGTCAACGCTGAGAAAGCTAGATCTCCCGGATCTCGCCGACAAGAAAAAAAAACGAAGAAAGCAACGAGGAGGAAGCCCGACGTTCTCGAAGAAAGACGCGGGAGCCAAGCGCGAAGGAGAAACTGTTTGTCGAGCAAATGCAGGGTTGGGCGTGTAACCCCGTAAATGAACACGCTAGGATCCTCAGGAGGTCCCGCCCGAACGAGGCTAGGGTTGTGTGGCGCGGTTCCAGAAGACCCCTTTCCTTTCACAGCATTGTCACCAACGGCCCCCAACCAAGCATGGAATCAACCTCACGAAACGAGGTCTTGACCTGCCGGCCATTTAGCAGCCATGGTCCCCTCGAAAAGTGGAACGGCATTCTCTTTTTCCGTTTCTGCCAACGGCTCAACGCTCGCTCCCGGGCGCGGTTAAGACCAAAGAGAAACACTTGGCTGGGGGGACGGTGATACGAGCGGCCCCTCGCCAGTGTTTGGCCGCTTCAGGGCTGTTCAAGCTGCGGGCTGTTCGCAGCCAACGATTGGCTCTGGTCCCTTCCAGAAGTGTTTCTGAAGCTCGCGCGATGTCCATACTCGCAGTACGAGAGCAGCCAGTGGCCGCAACGAATGTGGGCTTCTTGGCATGCTCGAGGCAGTTTCAAGGCCCCCGCACTGAACGGGCTCCTGGGGTTCGCTCGGTGCCACTGGACCTCACCTCAACAAGAGAAGCGTTTCAGAGCGTGGACCACGGGCGGCTTCTTCGGCCAGAGCATCCATGTGTCACAAAGTCGCCTGTTTGAGAAATGCGGGCGGCAAGTTGGGAAAAGGCCGTGGAACTCATCGCTGCTAAATCTGTCTTCGAGGCCCGAACGAACAATTTTTTACTGCATGGTGCAGTGCATGGAGTTCCAAGCCAAATTAAAAGTTGCAAAGCGCCCCCGAGGGAAAGCACCTTTCTAAGTTGACCGCAGCGTTACCATAACAGTCGCTGGCGCGAGGGACTGCGACCTCCCCGAGAACGTTGCAGGCGGGATGAAGTGTGTTAACGATACATACATGACTGACCAGGTACAACACCTATTTGTTCTCTTTCACTTCAGTTGAATCCTTCCCGCAACCTCATCCGATCGGTTCTGGTCTCCGCCGACTCTAACGGCCCGCTTCTTCCCCGTCCCGTCTGAACAAAGCGGCTCCTCCCCGTCCCTTGGCTTACGCGTTGACATAGTAGTTCCGTTTTTATGCCCCAATGCGCCTCAGAGCACAGCGTACGCGGAAGCATAACTGACGCTAAAATCCCGTTCCCTCTTGACGAGGTTGCTCCTCTGGTATTGCACAAAGCTGAACTTTCCCTTCTGCTCGTCCGGGGTGTCGCCCACGACAACCTCGAGCGCCGCCATAACTACGCCAATGGGGTGTCTCCCGCAGACGGTATTGCCCGTTTTTTGTACGGTGGTGAAGAAATCGCTGTGCGCCCCAGACTCCACCGCGTCTATAGCCGCCTGGTCTAGCACCCGGATGACCTCGTGGATTTCGGGATGTGTCGGATCCTCGGCCGCCCGGTTCCAGTCTACGGACACTTTCAGGGCCGTGTTGCCGTCGCGAATCTCGCCATTGTAGTATCTTGGCCGGTAGCTAAAACGCGAGCCCCAATGGCAAAAGTCGGACGACACAATCCAGACTGTCTGGGGGTCCTTTAAGTACGGTGCTAGGAGCCTGCCCCAATCCTGTTCCTCGTGCTCGTGTGTAGTACCAACGAGAATTGGCACAATCGGCGGGTATTTGCTACTGTCATCGCCAAAGGTCTGCTCAAGCCTCTTCCACAAATATGGAATATGCATCTCAAGGGAATGCTCGTTTACCTCTCCATCGGACGGCATCTCCTTGAACTTTCCGGTGCCCGACAGTTCAGTCGTAGTATCCTGGTCGACCACGAGATCCCCAAAAGGCGTGGCGTATCTGGCGTAAGTCGAGAGAGCGAGACCACGAAGATAGTAGGTGTGGGATGGCCCGAGAATGAAGACCCGTTTTGCCGAACGCAGATCGAGGGCTTTGTATGCCCAAGCGGCGCAAGGCCCGGAGTAAGAGTATCCGGCATGGCTGTTTCTGTGAGTTAGGCGGCCATTCCGGGATGCGTGCCTCATACGGCTGACGGTCTCCCACTACTCACGGTGCGATAATCACTCTTGCATCCGGAATCGGCAGCTCACTGTCGTCCAGAGTCGCAGGGACACGGTTCAAAAACTCGTCGAGCTGGGAAGAGAGTTCCTCAGGGTCTGCTTCATACCACGACCCAGCGTGGCTGGCCGGCCGTGTCGCCATCGCAAGGGAATGAGTGCGGTGAATTTCCCAAAACAACCTGAGAGGTTGAAACGTTGAGGTGGTGACGGTAAATTTCGAATCGCCAAAGAGAGCAATTAGTCGTGGGTTTGGTAAGACGAAGGTGGAAGGAAAGGACTGAGACAATGCAGAGAGACGAGCTCAGAGGCGGGGTTTAAGCTCGCAGCCCAGCCAGGACCCCTTTGCCCCGCACCGCGGCGACTCGCATGAGGCGTGACGTCTTGGGTGTGTAGTTGAAGCTCGGACACGATCAAAACGCGACTGTTCGTCACTATATCCAAGTAATGGGTCTCTTTTAGAAACGAGGCATTTGCCCCCCAGCTTCTTCCTAACCCCCCAAATGAGTAATGTTTAGGTAGCAAAGAACCATCCAGGCCACTGCGGGCCCTATTTAAATCCGACGCCAGACTCCAACGCATGAAACAAACACCCAACTCCCACATAACCGATAATCCATCTACCTATGTATCAGATACGAACCAGCATCCCTAGGCCGAGCCGCAAGCAAGCCATCCAGCATCTCATCCCGAGGGCGCGACGCACCTCTCCGCCAACTACCTCACCTAGAAACCCCCCTTTCAAACTCTCGACCCAACGCACGCAAGACACCGCCGATTTTCCCCAAGGTTACTGACGGAGCAACTAAAGCAAACAATCTTCCTACAAGCCCCGCAGGATGGCTCGGAACCGTAGCCGGCGCCCGTCATCGGCACATCCTCATCATCGCTAACCAACCTTGCGCCGCAGTCCTCGCAGGCTCCTAGCGAACCTTGGGCCGCATAGGCAGGTGATGGGGGCGATATGGCAGATGTGGCCGGGGAGGACGCCAGCGAGTTTGCCGAGGCTGCCGGGTCAGGGATGTTCCAGAAGCTGTGTAACGACCGTTGCTGGGCCCCATGACTAAGTTGCGTTTGGGTCGTAGCGGATTCCTCAGTGAGACTGGTAAATTCAGGCGTCACATGCTGGGGTTCGTAGAGGCGGCGTTGAGCAGAGTAAAGGACATCCAAGGTGCGTCCTAAGAGGAAGAAAACAATGATTAGTACAAGCATCGCTATCGGATAGGTCAGTCTTGGAACTTACGATGCACCTCCGATTCTGACGGACGATTATCACGGAAGCGCTTCATAGTGCGACTTGGTAAATGCGAAGGCGTAGACAGTCGCGGTACAAAGAACGCTTGCCTGGCCGTATCAATTGCCGATGCCGCATTGAAATTGAAGGAGCTGCTGCTATTGCGCTGCTCGAGCGAGGAGAACATTGGCTCCAGCTCAGACTTTGACCTCTTACGCTTGAGTACCATTATGATTCAAGCTCTTGTCGTAGTGGTAGTATTAGATCAGAGAGGTGGCGAGCTGTGAAGACGCCAATTAATGAGATAAGTCGGTGTTTGGGAGATGTTGTGGTTCTCAATTTGTGGAGGGGTATGTGATGCTGCCTCCGATGGAAGAGCGCGCCGCGTCTCGACGCGAAATCGCGAAAGCCACTTAAAGTGTTGGTCTGTGCGTTCGTAACGAGCAGGAGGGCGCGTGGGCGCTCCGCCGCACTGGACTTAATCTCTTGTGGGGCCTGGTCCCGTGAGATGGCGTCCATCACGTGAGGTTTGAGACGCGAAGCCGTCGCGTCGTCGCAGCAAAATGCTGACGACAACCTCAGTTTCGCTTCTTCGGGCTGCACTGAGATATTTACCCCGCCAGTGGCTTGTGAAAGCCGTGCTTCCTTACTGCCATGAATCTTAGTTCTGCCGTACTAACCCGGTTCAAAAGATACATGACCAAAACTTGGAAATGACATTCGCGACAGTCCACAATGACAAGTCCACTACAGAGGATGAGGAACCGAGCGGGGGCTTATCGGTCGACCATGCTTCTCTCAAGTATTCCCTATTAGGGCCGTCCTTGACCAAGGCTGGGCAAGATTCTGTTGACCAGTCCAAGGCAAGCTTGCCCCGGATCCTCCCCTTTCCCCCCTCTCACAATTTCTGTGCTAACCGAAAGCTGTCGTTCTTAAAATGCAGGTCTCAGAGATTATCTACAATGCCTCGAAAGGGTCTAAATTCTTCGACCATGAAGAGGCAAGGGACAAGTTATTGACTGTCAAAATCGAGGCTATTCTCGCAAAGAAACGCCAGCTCGAGGTATTGGATCTTAGCCGGGAGCTCCGGGCGGCCGACAACTTACTTGCTCAACTGGAGCTCTCCCGAGACCTCACACAGCATATTGTTCACGTCGACTGCGATGCGTTCTACGCCGCAGTGGAACAGTTGGATCGCCCAGAGCTCAGAGACCTCCCTTTCGCCGTAGGTGGTGGGGTGCTGACTACTTGTAACTACGTCGCCCGGGAGTTTGGATGCCGCAGCGGCATGGCCTGCTTTGTGGCCAAGAAGCTTTGCCCTGAGCTCATTATCATTCCGCTCAACTTTGGCAAGTATTCCGCAAAGGCCTCCGAGGTCAGGGAGGTGTTGGCAGAGTACGATCCGCGGTTCGAGAGTACCAGCATTGACGAAGCATATCTTAACATCACGGAATACTGCGCCAAGCACAACATGGATCCGGCCGATGCAGTCGCCCAGATGAGGAGTGAAATATTCGAAAAGACGCAAATCACTGTCTCGGCAGGCATCGCAGCCAACACACGGTTGGCCAAAATCTGTTCTAACATGAACAAACCGAATGGCCAGTACATCCTCCCCCGCGAGCGGTCCGTGATCATGCAATTCATGCGTGATCTCCCTTGCCGCAAAGTGAACGGCATCGGCCGGGTTCTTGAGAGAGAGCTTGCCTCGGTGGGCATGCGTACCTGCGGCGACATCTATGTGCATCGGCAATATATCGATCGACTATTCGGTCAAAAGACGCACGAGTTCCTTCTTCGGTGTCATCTTGGCTTAGGCAGAACAAACGTTCAGCCGGCGGAGGGATACGAGCGCAAGAGCGTGGGTACGGAGAGAACATTTCGGGACATGAGTGACCCAGTCCGGCTGCGGGAGACGCTGCGGCGTATAGCCGAAGAATTGGAAGCAGACATGAAGCGTGCCGAATGCAAAGGCCGTACGCTTTGTATCAAAGTCAAGCTTCACACTTTCGAGGTGCTAACGCGGCAAGTTGTGCCACCCAAGGCTGTGTGCTTAGCGGACGATTTGTACAGCTATTCACTGCCCATGTTGGCAAAGTTGGAGCAAGAGATCCCAAGCATGAAGATACGTCTGATGGGACTAAGGTGTACCCAGCTCGTGAGCACAAAGAAGCCGGACACAAGAGCCTTTTTTGGATTACGGCCCCAGAAACCGGTTTCCAACGAACTGGGGGAGGAGGGTAGCAACACTGGGGATGGTCAGGCTGATGGTATCAATCCCCGGCGAGCAACGGGGGAAGGGTTGACTGGGGAGGTTACCGTTGTTCCACGTAGCTCGGAATCCGGTCAGAACGGGGGACCGGACAGTCCGGGTCCGATGCAGGAGATGGAGGATGTCCCCAACCCTCGCGACAGCCCATCCGACCCAACTGAGGAGACGCTATGGGATTGCCCCGTTTGTGGCTGGCCTCAGCCTGCAGACGAGCGTCAGTTCAACGCGCACATCGACTTATGCCTATCCCGGCAAATGATTAAAGATGCGGTCCAGCAAGGGACGGTCGCACAGCGGCGGTCGCCGCCAGAACAATCGGAGAGACGAACCTCGGAGATAAGTAAGGGGAAGGAAAAGAAGAGGGCACGGCCTCGAGAGTCACTAGACCGTCGACAGAAAAAGCTTTGTTTCGGGTAAACGTTAGAAAGTGGAGTGAGTTTTCATACCAAGCCAACTTAAGAGAAAATACCCCTCGGCCCTAAGCCCATGATACTCGTTAAATATGGGCAACCAACACGTCGGCCGCAGCAGTCTCTATTCAACGGCCTCTTGCACCTGTTTGGTGCTCTATGATCTAATCGTTACCTCTATCCTTTGAACTCCAACTTCCCATTATTCCGTGGTCCTCTAAAACGCCTCCCCGACCAACTCCCAGCTAAATGAACACACACATTCCGCCCTCAGTCGTGACATAGCTCATAAGAAAACAACTTCTAAGGATCCATGCTTGCCCTACGGCCCGTCGCGCTCCTCCGGATCTGATAGTCTACCTCCTCCTCTTGCTGTATCTCTTCGCCAGGCAACCGCACAGCGCGATCCAACGCCACGGGCAACCCACGGTGGCGGCCGCGGAGCATGACAGCACAGAGGACAAGTTTGGCAGCGGTGTGCCAGGAGCCACTGAAGCTGTAGGCGTCTTGTGGGACGCCGACGCTGATGCCCACGCAACCGTACGCTGAGACGACTTCGAAAATGACGTTAAATACGCTAAAGTTGACGGGGTCGGCAAGGAATTTATCCGTATTGATCGTGACAATGACGAGAATGGCAAGGACCAGCCACCAGAGGTCGTGTGCGAGTTGGCCGTGTATTTGTTGACCAATAAAGCTGATGTGGGATTCGAGGCCTTGGTTCGTTAGGGTTGACGGGGTTGGCCGGGCGCCCACTCCATGAAGGATCAAGGTCTTTCTAACGATGGCTCGCCCCAAAGCGGTGATTGAACCGGTGTTGCCACGATTATGGCGACTATGAGTTGAGAGAGTGGGGGTCAGCTCGGGGCCGACGTCTAGGACTTCGTCCCTAGTGTAGATGCCGAGCGAGCGCTCTTCATACACATTCGAGTGTCGCATAGTGATGACAACGGGATACACCGAAATGTACATCATAACAACGTACAGGACCTGTAGTCCGATGTAGACAGAAGGGATCGAAACAACATAAAACCCGCCGGAACGCACAGCTAAAATCCAGACTTGGTCAGCGTAACCTTTGGGAAAACGGGATTGATATCTGGGCAATGCCCGTACGCACCTAAAGCCTGAAACAAACCATCCAGGACACGATAGTTGGACGGGATGTGCTGCATGCCCGGATTACCAATATTGAGGAGCTCAAACCCTGCCCAATCAATAGAGTTGAGGAGAATGAGCATGAAGACGAGCCACCAGGTTGGACGAGCGGGGAAGAGGTGTGTGTACACCCGGCGAGGGTATTGGAGAATAAACGCGAGGGTGTCCTTCAAGCTCGTAGCTTCGTCCTCCCTGGTCATCGAGACGAGGAGCTTGCGAAGAGACCAAATGACGAGCCTTAGAAATACCGGGTAGGCGGTATTCCCCGCCAAAATCATTAGACCCATGGTAACGAGAACAAAGCCCGATTCTTGAAACGGAACCATGTTGGCATCCAGCAGCGACATGCCCGAGTTGTTAAACGCGGACGCCCCGTTGAAGATGCCCAGCCACCACGGATTGATGCCATTTCGAAGCGGCGCCTCCGGTTGCATGCGGCTAATCCAAGCTCCGAGTGCGACACAGCCACAGACCTGCCATAGGACAAAGTACAGCGGCACGACAATAGAGAGTACCCAAAGTGCTTGGTACTCGCAGCCCCCAAGCCGCTCGCGTTCCTCGTTTGTCAGCCCGTGGAACTGCGAGTTCCTTCCGTCACAACCATGGACAAAGAGATCGCGCCCTCCCAGCTCATGTTTCTTGTTCGTTGCAATACCATCCTCTCCATCGCGGTGCCTACGCGTTGGAACACATTCCTCCCCATGATGCTCGGCAGCCGTAGCAACAGCGCCGCGAGGTTGATAAGCGTCGGCGAAACCGATATGTGTAAGTGCGAAAGGGCCCTCTCTCGTAACCCCCCCGCTCGATGGGTTGCCGGTATCGCCGTTGCTATTGTTGGGTGAGATGCCAGGTTGGTGAGGCCGGGCGGCACTTAACGGTTCAGGGTACTCAAGCATCGGGGACGACGCGACTTGGAACCGTGGTAATGATATCGTTGGAAGTCTCCAGAATGTCAGGAGGCGTTGCAGTCTCGATAACCCGACTGTAGCCACAGGGCGAGTTGCCCTGCGCATCTGTTCGGCGCGAACCACGTCCCGAAACCGCTTCTCGAAGACATGTTTGCGTGCCATAATAGTCCAGATTGAAACCCAAATCGAGCTTCCAAAAATGATGAGCAGGAACAACATGATCTGCTGCCATGTTGTCATCTGGCTCAGGTTCACCGTGTTGAGCCCGGATTCGGTCATGGCGCTGACAACGAGAAATAAGCTATCAGTGTAACTAATGCTCTGGGCTGGGCTGGACGAACCCCAGAAGATGAGCGAGGAGATGAGGCAGACGGTGATGAAATATGCATAGTGGATTGTGATAAAGTTTAGAGGCGGAAGCCAGCATCGCAATTGCGGGTGCCTCGAGGCATCTCGTGGCCGTTCATCATTGATTTCACAATGCCAAGGAGAAGGCATCGTTAGCACTGTTCATCAAGGCTATGATGAACGGGTCAAATAGTAGATATTGAAGGAGAAGTTCGAGGACGCAAATGTCAGCTGCTGGGTCTCGAGTCTGTGCTGAATCGTGGAGACGCCCGCTACAGCCTCTGGCCTCCCACCAAGCAAAGTGTACACAATAGTCGAAAAAATAATGTAGGCGCAAAACGCAGGCTGCCAGCCTCGTTTCCCGCGGCCGGTCGAGCAGGTCAACAGGCCACCCGGAAGTGATGTTGAACGACCATCGGCTGGGTAGCAGAAAATGGTTCGGACCTGGGGTGACGTCCGGTTCCACCAGTTTATCCGATCCAGACCGCCTCCCAGCGGTGGGGGACTACCCCTGCCCAGCCCCTGGTTGAACAAAGAACATGGCAGACCCTCCTCACCAGTTTGAGAGGATGTGAACATGACAAGTCAGCTTCTCGAACCAAACCGCTGCCCGCGTTTTGCAGGAGCGCGCACGGCTCCTGACAACGCCTAAACGCTTCAGTACCACTAAGGAAATGAGTGCCGTATCTGGAATTGGATGTGGGTGTGCGACGAGGTGGAAGAAGATGTGGCAGAGAATGTGGCAAAAGCCAGATGGCAGCGTCGCACATCGGCTAATTTACTTGCAACGACCAAGACTCCCCCGTTATTTCCGCGACGCAAAGAGCACAGAGGTATATCCCAAGTTACAACAGTTCTTCTTCGAGAGAAGACTAAAGCTCGTTGTGCTCCTGGGTATCATCGGTGTCGGCAACCACGGTTTTCACCGCCTCAGTAGCCTCGCTCACCGCACTTGCAACCTTGTCGGCCACATTCTGAGTTTCCTCCGAGGCGGGGGTATCGGTGGCAGACTTCGTAACGATAGACTCGGGCTGAGGAACACCGTCGATGCCCATCAATTCGGTCTCAAATACTACAGAGGTGGGAACGGTTAGCCAAGTCAGGAGAGAGGACACGGGAATAGGCATCGCAAGCGCGTAGGGGAATCAAAACAAGGGAGTGAGGTTGTACCTAGAGTAGAACCCGCTGGGATGGGGCCAATGCTCCGGTCACCATAACCATAGCTTGGGGCAATGGTTAAGGTCCGCTTCTCGCCAATGCACATGTCGACCAGGCCTTCGTCCCATCTGGAACGTCTTCTGTCAGCTTCCTTCGCGAGTACGTCCGATTATTCGAGGGGAAAGGGCTACCCTTTAATCACCATACCAGCGCCCAGCTTGAAACTGAACGGTGACCCTCGGTCATAGCCTGTTGGGAAAGTTACACAGAGATTAGTTAGGTATCTAACCTAATACCATCGCCGCCCTAGAAGGAAACCAAGCACTTGTGAAGAGTGGAAGGCGTTGATGATCTTACTTGCGTCAAATTTCTGGCCATTGGACTGGAGGGTGCCTCGGTAATGAACCTTGACGGTATCGCCCTTTTGCGAGCGGCGCTCACACTCGACGGCGGTTGTAACGTCAATCTTCAAGTCATCGGTGGCCAGAACGCCAACGGCGGCGGAGGCCAGCAAGGATAGTGACAAAAGGATCTGCATCTTAAAAATAAGGCGGCACGAAAAGCGAGGCGAAAGCGAGGAGTAGTTTCAATCAGGGTTGGCCGGTCGTGGAAACTGCTAACGTATGCCCGAGCTAGGTGCGAGAGGTAGTAAAACGACAACCTCAAGGTGCTTGCGCGTGAACCAGCCAGATCACCCACAGGCCGGGCAGGGGAGGCACTTCGCGCCTTGGCACCTCAGCCACAACCCACCTCAACCTCATTCCCTACCTCCCTCACATGCCCAGGCTGCCAGGACAGCAGCGTGACCACCGACCAAGTATTTGCGGCAGGTGGTGGAGGACCCACTACACCACACTGCCGAGCCTGACGCAGGTCCCAGGCGTCTCGAATTCGTGGGCGTCGGCCGTCATGTCCTGCGAAGGCCTGGAACGTGCTGCAGTGAACCCACAGGATCCATCAACGAGCTTCCATGGACACATGTAAAGTACCTAATCTCCATCTGGCACCGACCTACCAAGTGAGCCAAGGTACTTCGGGCAACCCAATGGTGGGAGGCGCTTCTCTACCCGCATCTCGAACTGATCACGCCGGAGCCGGGCACCTGGGCACCGTCCGCCTCAGGTTGCTCGCCCTGCCAAGCTTTCGGAGGAGACACCAATCGAACCCTCGTCGAAGATCAATCCGTCGTCGTCGAAGCCTGCATGCGATTTTTCGCCGGGCCTCACTCTCCTTCCCCGAGACCTTTGATACGGCTTCCTGTGCTGCCTGGATATTCAGGTGAGTCACCGACCCAATCACAAGACTTTTCCGCCAAGCGCGCTCTCCTTTCAGGCAGGATGCGAAACACAGGTGCGTAACTCAGGCAACACTAGGCAAAATCACGCTGCTCAGTCGCTCAACAGCGACGAGCGTCCGTTCGGGGCTTTACTCAGTCAGGTACCTATGTATTTGTGTTGTCGCTGCGTGTAGGTACCTTGTTCGCGTGGGTTGCGGCAAGCCGGTACCTGCCTTGGCAAGCTTGGTTACATACATGTACCTATACACTCCAATACATAAATACCTTACGGTAAGGTATAGTACGTAGGACTTGAGCAGTCTCCCAGGCCCCCGTCCCCCGCTGCTCTGTCGGTCCTCCATCATCAAGCTGTGCCACGGTTGAGGACCACCACCAGATTCGCCACCGCACTTCCAGTCCGCCAGTTCGAGTTAAGGGCAGGAATACAGGAATGCAGCGTGCGGGTCGCTCATTGTTCGAAAGGGATTGATCCTGATTGGCCTCTCTCACCAACTCAGCCCATCTCGTCCATTTGTCGGACAGGCTTCGTGTCCTAGCCTTACCTTTTGCCCTTGCGAATGTTCAAAAGACAAACGTCCCCTGGTCCATTGACTCATAATCAGTGCCCTGCCACCTTTGGTCGTTCCCTAGCCATATCCAGACCGGAAATTACCAGGCATCAAAGTGGCCTTGTGGTGTGCCTGAGGGCATTCACCGAAAGTCGCCTAACCTCGCGACTGGCCTTCATGCCTGTCCGTCCGCCTCGGATGGTCCGCTCATATCCAATGTGGGCAATATGTGATGAAGAAACGAGTACAAGCCGGGGTGGCTATGTTGTGAAGGGATGTATTTAAGCACGGATTCTCCCACGATGCTCCTGACTTAAAGGCTATCCTACTTATCCAGTGACCCCAGCAAGAATTATACTTGACCGTGTTGTCCCCATCGATCATAATACCGTCCATTGACTCCGGAACATATCCAAAGTACAAATAACCCTACCAGCCAAACAACATGTCTCCCTACACGAGCTACGGCGCCGTTGTCATCCAGTCCGGCAGCCACGGGTCCAGTTCGTCGGCCCCAAAATCATCCACTGCCTACGCCTCGATGTCCAGCCAGACAAACTCCTCGTCCGGGTCAACTTCTGACGCGCGATACCGGTCCGGCTCATCCAGTAGGTTTACCCCTTCCGCCCATCGCTTCCTTGAACGAATCACTGACGCACCAACAGCAAGCTATTACACAGACATCAAGGAGATTCGCAACTCCCGTGGTGGATCCGAGACTGTCGTTGTCCACCACAACAAGCCCAACCCGGACAAGAGCGAGCCCAGATCCTCAGACCGGTACTACACGAAGTAAAATTCGAATGTGTTAAGGGGGTCTTGGGGCCAGCAGCCAGCATTGTTTTCTCGGCACCGTTCGGTTGTTTGCAGTATTTTTGGGATTGGTTCGGTTCTCTGCTATCTCTCATGCATTTCGGGGCTTTTAGACGGGCCATGATTCCTGCACCATTGTAGAGCAGTGTGTCAAATACATCTCCAGCAATGGAGGAAGGGTCCGGGTTGGCGTTTTGGGTCCTAATTCGGGGTTTTCGAGTTGTCTTAATGGACTTTATTAGGTAGATAGCCGTAGTTCGTTTCATCACCCCTTGCTCGGTTGACTTTGGGAGAATGTACTCATTAAAACCACTGCATCCAAGAGTCCAATTGCCTGAGGATACTCCTTAGAAACAATTATCGATGGAAGGTTGCGGCTATCCCAACTTGCCTCACCGGTAATTAGCTGGTACATGATCACAATGCCCGGCTGCCCATCCCGACATACCGGTTCACCCGCGTAGTAGGTAGCTTGGCCGCTTACAGTTTCTCTCCCGAGAACTGGGATAGTAACAAGGGCAACGGGCACGAATACATGCCACGGACCTGAAGGTTACAGGATTTTTTCATATTTATATGCTGCCATCCTCAAACAATGATCTGGCCCTCACGCCCCACCCTCGCGTTTGGCATATTCCTCCTCAATCGCCTCCTTGTACTTGTCATCTGCTGACCGCGGGTCCTCGTGCAGAACGCCCTCCTTGATCAAGGCTTCCGGGGACGGCCGATGGGCAATCTTTTCGTTCAATGAATCGGCTCGCATGTGTTTCTCAAGCTAGTGGGAAGTGGGGAGCTGTCAGCCAGAGGCTAGGGAGGGTATTCAGGAGCGAGCAATGCTACTTGCCTCTTTCTGGTGTGCTTGGAGGCCGGGCGCAGCAGTCGATGCAGGGAGAATGTTCTCTGGGCAAAGGCCGCCTGTTAGAATCCAGCAATGATATGTCAGGCACGCTTACTAGGGGTTTCCGAAAAATGGGCGTACTGTTGACAAGCTCCTGGCGATCTGGCCGATGACTCAAGTGAAACTCCAACGAGTTCTTCCGCTCGGTGTTAGGCCGGCTAGGCGAGATGGGAGTCTCGTCAACGACCTTGTTACTTTCTCCCTTATCGGCCATTATGCGATTGTATATTTCGTAGTGGACTCTTGTGAATTGAAACTCGTTCCGGCAGCCAATATTTGAGAAATGGTTAACCTGCAAGCAATGTACGACTTGCACAGCGATCGATGATGAAACTCGAGAGAGTCTAACAAGGCGGGAACAGCTTTACTTTGTACCTCCTTGGGCAGAAAGGATGTGGTCGGGGCGGACGGTTACACCTCCTCTTTCGAGTGTACTGCATGTGCAAGTTGCCTCAACGGGCTACATATGATAGGCTGGACAATCGATCGGCCCAACGATCACAACCCCCAGCACCGACGTGGAAAGTTGGGATCAAAGCAACACGATGCCCGAGGGCCACCAGAGACCCCGCAACATCCCTTGTCAATTTGAGGCAGGGCGGCCCGCCCGTTTTCCAACCCCGGCCTCATGTACGTCACAGTAGAGCCCGAATACTTGTTTGGCACCAAGCATTTAAACTTTGTAGTGTATTCGTACTATGTACATGCTTGTCTACGGTCATGTGCTCCAAGAATGATTGGCTTCAAATGTAGTGTCTTAACTCTAAATTTGCGAACCGAAAATAGTCAACCGGCAGAAGAAGTGAGCCCATATATTGCAGGTGTGTAATTCACAATCGCGGAAAGCCCAAGTAATATGATAGAGCGATATTTGATATCGATGATATGGACGACGGAGTATGTAGTTCTCGACCGGACAATCCCGACGCTCCGCCGTCAAGCTGTCAAATAACATGGAGCTAATCACAACGGCGATGCTCTAGGTGGGGCTGTTCTGTGCCACCGCCTGGGCCTCTTGCACCATCCAACCAACTAATATTAAGCACAGAGAACGCAGGACCTACACAGACTTACTTTTCCCTTCCCACTCGATTCGACTCGCAATTTCTTCTTCCCGGTCTTCAACGGGGCGAGGAGCCGGCCTAAGTATTGCCGGACGAATAACACCGGAATTAACCGTCTCCCTCGCTCGATGCAAGCAGGCCATCCCTCCCAACCACGATGGGGCAGGGCTTGTCGAATGAGACGACGGCTTCTCTCTCACATGAGGAGTTAAACAAAGCGCTGGTAAGTGCTCTTCTGTAACACGGTCTTTAACCCGCCCTCTGATTCTCATAATATTCCTAGGCCGGGAAATTTGCAGAAGAATGCTTCACACCCATTGAACTTTACTCCCTCAAAGATGTCTTCGCCGGCCTAGCAGGCCAGGTCGGCCATCTCAAGCCGGATACCGTTGCACAGTTCCTGGAACTACCAGAAATTCTCGATGTCTCTACTGTTTTATTTCAAATTATGTCCTACATTGGAGCTTTCCCGTTCCTACAAGACGCCCCAGCTATTCTCGGACTTGAGCAGATGGTGATAGTCATCACGATACTAACTGGCAGGTACCGCAAAGTCCTCTTAGGCGGCTCTAGCGACAGGTTGAAGCTACTATTCGGGGGCTTAGCCATTCTTGACCGGCACCTATCTGAGTCCAAACTCGCACGGCACCCTTCATCGTCTACTAGGCAACGGCGAGGAGGGACAACTCCCGGCACGGGTCCAATATCGGGGTCGACAGTCGACGAACCGAAGGAGGACTCAAATCCAGGCGCTGACTTTGACGAAGACGGTCTTGTATTCTCAGCGTTAGAGGCGTTGGGCTGCCTAAAACCTTATGGGCACATGGCGCCGTCCATAACTCCCGATTCCATGATCCCGGCAGGCAGTATGCGGAAACTCGTGCTCTTACTGTTACTTATTGCGCCCCTGGGTCCACAGGAAAGCCTAGAGGCATATTCGACCCGGTTGTCCGAGGATGACCTAGAGAATCTAGGTTACACCGCGGATTGTGTCCTTGAGACCTTTCTCGGTAGCGGGGAAGTGCCGGCGGTGGGACTTGGCCGCTTCAGAGCGGTCATATTGACGTCCATGCCCTATATCTTTGACGGGTTCACCGCCCTCTTTGAGCATTTCTTGTTCTCCAAGAACCTAGAGTTCCACCGGCACCTTGGTGACCCCCCGACTACAGCCAACCTGGCCCAACAGCCCGTCCAACCCCTGTTTGAAAGCACGGCATCCATCATGAATTTCGGCATTTTGTCTCAGCTATCGTTTTTTATTACCGGCACTTCGCTATTTCGAAGGCTCCGTCTTTTGTACTCTGGTGACGAGGATGGTTTCAGCATGGGAAGTTTCGAATCTAGGGTCTTCAACTGGCGGGCGCCCACGTTGCTACTCGTGAGCGGGACGCGCCTTTCAGCTGAGACCGGGCGGTCTCAAAACGGCCCTGCTTCGACGTTTCTTTCATCAATCCCAGCTCAGCGCCTTCCACCAGGCAACAAGAACGAGAGCGAGAGGGAGGAGAGATTGACATATGGAGTCTATTTGAGTCAGCCATGGAAACATACTTACCGCGAATGCTTTGGAAACGAGGAAACAGTGATGTTTCAACTGCAACCGGTTCATGATGTATTTCACGCATCCACGATAAACAAGGACTACGCATCTTTTACGAAATCTTCACCATCCTCCTTACCAGGGGGCGTGTCCTTTGGCTGCCCGCCACCACAGCCAATACACGCCTACCGCCGGTCCAATATCATGCCGTTGGGGCCGGTGTCACTCATGGTTGAGGATAGTTTTGAGTACGGGGTCTTCACCCACAACTATACGTCCCAGGGCGGCGCGTTCCAGGCGAGCGCGACCAGGCAATTTGACTTTCAAGATCGCTTCGAGGTTTCCAGCATTGAGGTATGGGGGCTCGGTGACGAGGAGGAAGCCAAGCGCCAGACTGAACGTTGGGCATGGGAAGCGAGGGAAGCCGAGGCAAGGAGGAGGGTGAACCTTGGGACTGGTGACATTGAAGCTGATCGGGCCTTGCTAGAAATGGCAGGGCTAGTTGGGGCCAACAGAAGTGGCGGTAGCGTGGCTTAAACCGGGCGGCCGTGATTTGATCATCTTGCTCCCATCGCAGTCTCAATATCGATCACACCACGAATTATGAAAAAATGCCCCCCAGAAGCGCAATATCACATGAAACTGCCCAAACGCTGGGGCACATGTCTTTCTTACTTGGACTTGAAGTCCTTTGCGCCTTATACCTATGTGTTCGTACACCGATCGTACATATGCGTGTGATAGAAGACCCAGTGTTCCTCCCCACATTCAACTGCTGAATCAAGGCTTTTGGTCCTTTTTGTCTTCTGCTGTTACTTCTGGGCCGGGCGTATTTGATCCTCCCAACCAGCCTCCCAATGATGCTGGAGGAACTTTTGACTTCGTATCGGCATTGTTCGCCTGGCCTTGGGCTTCTGTCACACCCAAAGCTTCCGAGCCAGCCGGAGCGTTGTTGGCTGCCTTGAATGCCGCCTCCGCCTGGGCAGCGACACCTTGAGGCTTTGGCTCGGCGATGCCCCCGCGGCCAGCCGCACGCCTCCGCTTCTTTGCCAGCATCTCCTGGAGAGCCTTTTCCTCCTCGTCTCGAATCTCCAACTCCCGAATCCACTTCGCCCGCTGCTCCTCCGCTTTCGCGAGCTGTTCAGCCTGCCACGCCTCTTTTGTCTTGTTGCGGTCCTCGGCGTAATACCAGCCTCCAATGCACATTGATACGACCGTCAATGCGTGAAAGGCAATGCGGGCCCGAAACATGCGCTGGGCTTCATGGCTATCGCCACGCCGAATGGCTTTTATAGCCTTCACAAGGGCAACAACCGTGAGTGTCGTGAAAATTGGAATAAAAGGCTCTTCTTTAAGTTTCCGTACAACTTTTTGTGATGGTGTTTCTTTGTAACGCCTGTGGGGGCTCTACGTGAGCCGTTGTCCTGCTTCTATCGAGGGCGAAAAAGAGAAGGGGTAACAGGCTGTCGCGATATTCGGGGTTCGCTTACTCGTCATGGTCGAAGGACGACGGCAGTGGCCGACCAGACAGCGGTTGGTCATCTGACATGTTCAATACGTTCGACGCCGTTTTGCCTATCGAATTAGATATGGGGGTGGGGGCGTTCATCAACACTGGGACGAGGCGGGGAGCTGAGAAATGCGAGACATCATTGAATTTCATGTTTGGGTGGGCACGGACCATTTGTCGGGCCATTTTTATCGGATCATTTCAGAGTAACTACCGGTACGTACCTAAACCCCACCAAAAAAAAACATGCCAGGGGTACAAAGAAAAAGGTACCAGCATCTCAACAACACGTCAGATGTGTAATTACACACCACGAAGTATGCACGATTGCTCCACTAAAAATTATCGACGAAGGCCGAAAACCGGACTTCGGGGGCTGCTCTCTCAACGAGACGTAGAGAGTCGAGATACTAAGCGATATCGTCAGTAACATGGCGTCGTCAGGATTCCACAACCTCGATGCGGCAGCGGAAGCCTTCTCATCTACGAACGGTTCGATGGCCATTGTCCAAGATGAATCGACTCAGACGGCAACAAAGAGTGACGAGCCTCTTGCCCGGACGCCATCCCTTAGTAGCTTCGCCCTGACGGAATACAGCGCAAGGCCAACTCTTGCCACTGAGGACATAGAGACACATGTAAAAAAGATTGTCCCTGATGAGTTTCTATTGCCAAACGGGACCCCGGATGTGAGTTTGACACGGTCTCGAGGCCCTAGTCGGGTGTGTGGCGGCTGATAATCTTTTCCCACCCAGTATCTGCGCCTCATCATCACCTCCTACCCTCGGGTGCGAGAGGTGTGTAACGAAATCCCGCTCGTCCATGCGGTGAATCTCAGCAACCGTTTGGAGTGCAACGTGTTGCTGAAACGAGAAGACGAACAGCCCGTCTTCAGTTTTAAGCTGAGGGGTGCCTACAACAAGATGGCGCACCTAGACCGTGCTGAGTCTTGGAGAGGAGTGGTGTGCTGCAGCGCCGGGAATCACGCCCAGGGTGTCGCATACTCTGCTAGGAAGCTAAAGATTCCGGCCACTATTGTGATGCCTAAGGGCACGCCTAGCATCAAACACCTCAATGTTTCGAGGATGGGCGGCCATGTGGTGCTGCACGGTGCTGATTTCGACGAGGCCAAGGAGGAGTGCGCCCGGCGAGAAAAGCAGGGCGGCCTCATCAACATCCCCCCTTTCGACGACCCTTATGTCATTGCCGGCCAAGGTACCATTGGCATGGAAATTCTCTCCCAGACGAACCTCCAGAAACTACAGGCCATCTTTTGCTGCGTTGGAGGTGGCGGCCTGATTGCCGGTGTCGGTGTTTATGTGAAGCGCATTGCGCCGCACGTCAAGATTATTGGAGTAGAAACCTACGACGCAGATGCCATGACGCAGTCCCTCAACAAAGGCGAAAGAGTCCTTCTCAAAGATGTCGGTCTTTTTGCCGACGGTGCGGCGGTGAAGACAGTGGGCGAGGAGACCTTCCGCATCTGCCAGGAAGTAGTGGATGAGATGGTTAGGGTAACCACCGACGAGGCGTGCGCCGCCATCAAGGACATGTTCGAAGACACCCGATCCGTTGTTGAACCTGCGGGGGCCCTTGCCATTGCCGGGCTCAAGAAGTGGGTTGCCGCAAACCCATCTAGTGACCCAACCCGGTCAGTTGTGGCCGTCGCATCTGGCGCAAATATGAACTTCGACCGGCTGGGTTTCGTCGCGGCTCGAGCTACGTATGGCGAGGGACGGGAAGCCCTACTGGCCGCCAAAATTCCGGAGCGCCCGGGCGCCTTTGCGGAACTCATCAATTCCATCATGCCGCACTCAGTGACAGAGTTCAGCTATCGCTACGCCAGCAAAGCCGAAGCTAACGTGTTAGTTGGTATCTCCCTCACGGCGCCAGGGAGCCAGCGAATCCAGGAGTTGCAGAATATTATCGGCCGCATTAAAGAATCCGGGACGATGGATGTGACGGATTTATCTGGGGACGAGCTAGCCAAGAGTCACCTCCGGTACATGGTTGGTGGCCGATCAAGCGTGCACAATGAACGATTGTACATGTTCCGTTTCCCCGAAAGACCCGGTGCATTGGAGCGGTTTCTCCAGACTCTACGGCCGAAATACAACATAAGTTTGTTCCACTACCGGAACTCGGGCGGTGATATTGGCCAGGTTTTGACAGGCATTCTTTGCCCCGATGATGAGGTTACGGAGTTGCAGCGGTTTTTGAAGGAGATTGGTTACCCATGGGAGGACTGTACAGATTCGTTGGTGTTCAAGAGGCTGTTAAGAGTATAAGAGAAACCATTGCAAATATAGCTGATATAACCGGAAAAAATAATGACTCAGTTATAGGCTAGGGATATTTACCTCTAGGTCTATCTCCTAGTTAGCCTATTCCCTACTAGTAATAGTTCCTTAAAATTCTCGTCCTCCTCTTTCTTCCCTGAATATTATATAATACTCTATAAACAGTTATAGGGGTACTTCTTCCTCTATCTATTGTTAAATAGCTATAATCTTATAGTCTTTAATTGGTTATAAGGTATAGTAAAATATACCATCTATCTATTATTATAATAGTACTAGTAAGTCCTCTAGGGTATTATTGTCTTAGTGATTGGTTCTCCTATTTAAGGTATGTACTTACATATTTTCTATACCCTTCTTATAGTTGATCACAAAGTTAAATTCCAATAGGAATTCTACCTATTTAGTTTATTGTCTATTCAAGACTTTAGTCGTTATAAAGTATTTAAGATTCTTATAGTTAGTATAAACCTATACCAGATAGGTTATCCTACTGAAGTAAGGTCTCTATTCTTAAAATACCTCGATAATAATAAGTAATTCCTTATTATAAATAGAGTAGTTAAAATAAGGTCTATCTAGCTTCTTTAATAAGAACGCTATTAGATATAACTTCCTGTTCTTATCCCTCTATCTGAGTTACCCTCTAATTATAAGGTTTAATATATTAGCCTCTACCTTAAAAGGTAGATTAGGGTCTGATAATTAAAGTACTAGATCTATTAGAATACTCTATTAGATCCTTCTAAATGCCTACTTCTAAATATCTCCCTACTTAAATTTAGCCCCTTTCTTAGTAAGTTTATATAATAACTATACAATATTACCAAAGTTTTAGATGAATATTCAGACGAAGTTTATAAATCTAATAAATCCTTAAACCTCTATAATGTTAATAGGTATTAGCTATTCTATAATTACCTGGATTTTCTAAGGTTTAATCCTAACCTTGCTAGGTAAGATTTTATAGCCTAAGAAGACTATCTTTTAAATATAAAATTCGCTCTTCCCTTTATTAACTGATATTTAATATTAATATAATATATTAAATACTTATTATATATATTATTAGTATTCCTTAAATATCTTAGAGTAGATAAGAATATCGTTTAAGTAGTATACTATAAATTTATTAAGGTAAGGTTAAATAATATAGTTGATTATAGCTTAGAACGTTATAGATATATTAATAAGGCTAAAGGGTATTACCAGATATTTAAAGTATCTATAAGACGTCTTAAAAGCTGTTTTTCATTTATCCCCTTTTTTAATATAAATATAGGTATATACTATTAGTAGATTGAGATAGGTAAAGTATTATATTCTAGCTGGTTATAATACACGTATATGTCAAGAGGCCATAGAAGCCTCTGATTTAGCTGTTTCCGATGTAATTGTAGCTAGTTCCTAGTGTTGCTATGCTGTAATGGAGGATAGTGTTTATAGAGTGGTGGAGAGTGTTCAGCTCGCTTATAAGGTACGTTATATAATATTAGTAAAAGGATTATAGAGGGAATATCTATAAGCCTATTAATAGTAGAGAAAGTAAAGTTTAGGCTATTAAATAACCTAAAGATAATAAAGGATAATAGATATGAAGTAAAGGCCTATAGGAAAGGTAGGAAAGTTAGTAAAGCCTTATACTCTATTAACTAAGGCTAAATACTTTATAAATACTTTAATTATAGAAAGAGATATCTAATATAGGCTAAAGAGTATCTAGAAAAGGTTAAAGTAAAGAACGGGGTTAAAGAGATATATTAATATAAACCTAAGACATTTAAACTAGCTAGGAATAATAGAATAAGGTCTAAAGAAGGAATAGGGATATAGGCTTTTTACCTTTAACGGGGCTTTAATATAGTAGGAAGAGGAAAATGGGTATTATAAGATAGGGGTAAAGTATCTAAAGATTTAAAGGACTAAAGACCAATTTATGAGGGTTTTAATAGTAATAAAGGACCTATTATAAACCTAGTTAAACCTAATAATGAGGCCTTTAACACTAATTACTCTACTACTATAGTAGATAATAACTATATTATAGAGATAGATAGACTAATAGACTTTAGAAGACTAATTAAGAAAGGATAATATAATAGATTTAAATAAAAGTTAAAGTTCTGTTATAAAATATAAAGAGGAATAAAGAATATCTTAAGGTAGCTTTAAAAGAGGTTTAATTTAATATTCTTTTAATCTAAGACCTTTAGATTAATTAATAGACTAGGTTAACCTACTAGTTAAAAGGTATAACATACTATTTAATATATAGATTAAAGGGGCTAATAGTAGTATTTATTAATAAGAGGTTTAATATAAGGTAGTAGGATTATAAGATAAAGAAGAGGTTCTATCAGATATAGTTCCTAGGGATAAAAGTAAAGGTGATAAAGTTTTAATTAATATATAGCTTTAAAAAGGATATTAAAGTAATCTAAACCTTATAGAAGTAATAGTCTTTATAAAGATAGATAATACTAGTAAAGGACTTTAATCTATATTATCTACGATAGGACTAGTTTAAATAATATAGTATTAAAGTTAAAGTCTTATTAGATTTAGCTCTATGGTAAGATTTTAAACTCTAAATCTTAAAAGGTATTATAATTAAAGGTCTCTAAAGGAGGTAAAAGTACTATATCTCTAAAATAGATTATATATAGATATTAAAGGACTTTATAACTATTTACTTTAGTCTAAAGGAATAAAGGTAATTAAACTATTACTTATAGGTTTTAGAGATAAGGGTAAAAGGATTAAAGGTATAAAGGCTTTAATTAAAAGAATAAAACTAGAAGATAATAAATAAAGAGAAGATAAAGGCTAAAGTAACTCATATTCTAAAACTAATAAGACTAAAAGATAAAGGGGAATAAGGGTTATAAATATAGATGAAAGGGGTAAAAGGCTTAAAAGGAGTATTTATATAACTAATAGAAAAGATTTAAAGGATTATAGAAATAGCTATTTTAAGGAATAAAGTAATAAAGGGAAGGGGGTTACTATAATAGATAAAGGAGATATAAAAGATAAAAGCAGAGGTAATGAGGGTAAAGAGGGAATCTAAAATAGTACCTTTAAAGAGAGGAAGGAAAAGGTTTAATTAATATTTTTAAAGGGTAAAGAAGGTGATTAAAGAAGGGAAGATCTAGATATAAAAGATTATATTATAAAAGGCTATTAATAATATTATATTATTATAGTCCCTAAAGTAATAGATAAAATATTAAAGCTTCCTACTATTAGATCCTTTAAAGCTCTTTATATTTAAAACATTAAAAGAAAGGCTAAAGTTTACTATATATAAAAAGAAGGTAAAGGCTTTAATAAGTTAGTTTTATCCTAATCTAATAGTTAACTTTATAAATATAGAATATCTAAGATTAATTTAATAATAAACTTAAATATTTGGTATGAAGAGGTTATATTTAAAGATATTTAAAAGGTGCTAGTAATATTAATACAGATATGTTTTAAACTTGGATAGTTTTTAAAGAGGTATAAAAGAATAAAGGAAATAATACTATAGAAGCTTAAAAAGACTTTAGAGATATATAAAACCTTCACAAGATATTAGCTAATTACCCTTTTACTAATAATAAAGAAGATTATTAAAGCTTTAATAATAAAAGAGGTTATAAAGGTTATAAAAGTCTATAGTCTATTATTAAATAAATGAATAAAGAACTAGAAGTATAGATCTATAAAGATAGTAATGTAGTTAATAGTAATATATATATAAAAGGTCTAAAGGTAAAAAATAATAACTTATTTTAATAATTAGATATCTTAAAGATATTTAATATAGTTAACTATAACGTATCTTATCAGCGAGCTGCGTATATCACCGAGCTGCGTACGCCCCACTACAACGCTCCCTCCCTATACCTTACATCAATTTTTTCCACAACCTAATATGCCTCCTACTTCAAAGGAAGCGAGGATAATCTTGGCCCTTAAAGCTATTCGAAATGACGGAAACTTAAGCCTTCGAACTGCAGCTAAGCTCTACAACGTACCAGAATCAACCCTCCGTTCCCGACGCGCTGGTATACCTGCACGACGCAATACTATACCCAACTTACGCCGGCTTACTAATTCCGAGGAGAAGGCTATTGTTCAGTATATAATTAAGCTGTCTGAACGAGCATTTCTACCAAGACTTACTAGTATAGAAGATATAGATCCCCCCCTTTATCATTATAGCTGTATAGTACCACCTTACCAACTGGTATACCGAGTACAACCTCCCAGCCGACTGGCGTATTACAACTACCGACAATAGCTGGACTACCAATATAGTTAGCTTGGATTAGATCAAGTACTTTGACTTCTATATAGCACCTTGTAGAAAAGGCAAATACCGGTTATCGATCCTCGACAGCCACAAGAGCTACTACTCGACTGAATTTAAGCTCTATTACCAATAGAACAATATTATTACGCTCTATATGCCTCTATATTCCTTGTACCTCCTCCAGCTACTCGATATTAGCTGCTTTAGGCCGTTGAAACAGGTATATAGCCGCCAGATCGAGGACTTAATATATATATATATCAACTATATAAGTAAGCTTGAGTTCCTCTATATCTTTCGTATAGCCTTCTTCACCTCTATTACCAAGAGCAATATCCAGGGTGGCTTCGTAGGTACAGGCCTTGTTCCATACAATCCAGGGAAGGTGCTTTCTAAGCTAGATATCAAGCTTTCTACACCAATACCACCAATCTTATAGCCTGGCACTATATAACCTTAGGTCTTCTAGACACCCTACAACCCTCGAGAAGCCAATTCGTAGTTAACACTTATCAAGACTTATATTGCCAACTATTAAAACAGCTCCCTAACCTCAATATTAGCTATTATAGACCAGCTTACTAAGGGTATAATAGCTATAATATATAAGGTGGCTCTACTATACTCTGAGGTCTCTTCGCTCCGTAAGGCCAACGAGGTATTAAGCAAGCGCCGGAGAGCCAAAAGA